TTTTTTTTTCATCAGCTTTACTACGCAAAACTCCCCAAAGATATCGCCTCTCGTTATGTTCTTTTATTAGATCCTATGCTTGGTAATATATATTTATATATATATGTATATTGTTATATGTGTATATATTTTTTTAATTCATTTATGAAAAAATAGCCACTGGTGGATCTGCCATGCAAGCTGTTCAAGTTTTGCTTGATAATAATGTTAGGGAAGATCATATTATCTTCTTGAACTTGATTGGTTCTCCTGAAGGTATTGATGCTTTTGTTCAACGTTTCCCTAAGGTCAAAATTGTTATTGGTGAGCTTGATGCTGGTCTTAATGAAGAAAAGTATATTATGCCCGGCTGTGGTGATTTTGGTTGCAGGTACTTATAAGTAAAATGGTTCTTTGAATGATTTTAACTAATTGTTTTGTTTATCTTCTATTGTAGATACTTTGGTACTGATTAGATATTTATTTAAACATCAACAACATTGCATAAAAATAAACTACATCCATTTTAGAAGAAAGTTTAAAGTTCCTTGTCGTTTTGATTTTTTTTTTGAAGTCAATGTACATGTTTCATGTTAAACAGAACAAGCAGTAATACAGTTTTTTCCGCTTTTTAAACTCTCTATCCCCCACTTTATGTAATGACTACCCTCAACAAATATATTGTATAAAATTGAACGTAATTATTTAAAATAAGTGGCATGGATGAAAAAGAAAAAAAGTTTGACAGGGACTATCATTTTTAGTATCATGCAACAACCTGATCGAATATATTGAATATATCTTATATTTTTGTAGACAAAGGAAGGGGTCAAAAAAAATAATTCAAACATTGATAATATCATCTTAGATAGGATAGATTATTTGCGCTATATGAGTATAGAGAATACATGTAAATCACAAAAAATACAAAGTATATCTATGAATGTAAAACCCTACAAATACAAGCTAAATACTTTTGTGTTCTTAATTTTACAGATGGTAAATTTCTATTTATATGCATACCTGAAAAATCGCGATTTTTTTTTTATTACTTTCAGTTTGTCTTATTAGAGTGATTGAGCTACTACCTTTTACTTTATTTTTTTTTTAACATTTTGCATCTAGTTATTGTCATATTAGCTTTGACTACAACTTGTATCTATTATTAAACAAGAGAATTATTAGTGCAGGAATATACATATTTGTATATAAAAAAAAGAAAAGAAAGAAAGAAAAAATCTCACAAAAATGCAAATTATAGCATAAAGTATATAATTTGTTCAAATATAACTTTTTTCAATATACTATAGGAAAAATCGTAATGTAATAACAACTAAAACTATTGGCAGACTTTTACTTGATATAGTTATTATACAAAGATAAACTAGATGGAGCGTTTAGAAGCTTTATATTCCAAAGATTGTTTATCGAATGAAAAGATAAATCAATTGTATAGAGGATATAATAATAAATTACAAAAAAAAAAAAAAAAAAAAAAAAAAAAAAAAAAAAAAGCCATTCGAATTATAAAGCAATATTTAATGATAAAACCTCTTTTACCATTATATTTATGAATTTTAACCAAAATTAAACATAAACATAAAAGTGACATACAATTTATGTTTGTTAAGCATTGAAAGCCTCTATTCCTTCTGAATGGAGCCCACAATTGTAAGAAAAATTGCTAATAAATCTGTTTTTTTTAGTACATATTTGTATACAAATATAGAATATAATACAGTCTATCCGGAAAATATTACCGCTTTATTATTATTATTATTAAATTGGCATAATTTATTGTCTCAAAGTATCTTTTTTCGCTCCACCTAATTACCTAGCGATACCCTTTTTGCTCGTCTATTACCTTATGCCCAATCCTTAAGTAAGCCAAACTCACTAGTATAAACTGGCTCAAACTACAATGCGAAAAAAAACACTGTGCTTCAATATTCTCTACCTTGGATAAAAAGAAATTTTACAATATTCTTCATAGTAAATTTCTAGCTGACTAGTTTCAAGCTCTATTTGCTTAGTCTGATTCCATACTGCTGTCTTCTTGTCATCCTACTCTTGGACTAGATTCTATCCTCTGGCTACCCTATAGCTACCTTGGAATGGAGCCGTGTACTTTGCTGACGCTTTGGTTTGGTTTGGTTTGGTTACCTGGTAGTAAACCTAAGGAATGTATCCTTTCACCCCGTATCACAATTGGAGTCGTCGCCATACTTTTGACTATTTGCATACTCATCACCACTTGTACCTTTTTTTTTTTTTTCCTCAATTGATGATTCAATATTGTTCTTCCTTAATTTACTCCCACTGCATAAACCTCGTTGTCCCTCCGATAGTCTCAGTTGGTTTACCCTATGTACCATTCTACATAAATTGAATTACTATTTCCATGATGAGTTTCCTCCTCCTTCTGTTGAACCTGGTTACCCAAGTAATAGTGTATGTGTCTTTCTGCTTACTCTTTGTTTCTTTTCATTCTATCTCTTTTTTCTTGTTACATTATATCTTATTTCTATTCTTTTGCCCTTTTCCCTTCTTGCTCTTTAAGAAGGTTTTTTATTCTTATCACACATTTATAACTGGCTCGGACAATACAGCACTTTTCGTTACTACATGCTCACTGTCAAAAAATCAAAAAAAAAAAGTTGTACAGAAATAAAATAGAATTTAATCGTAATTTATTGTCTAATTTATCGTCTTTAATTCATTTAATCTTTTATTATTATTATTATTATGAAAATGGTCAAAATAGTATTTATGATGAAAGCATGGAAATTGGTTTGACTGAAATAAATGATCTAAACATAATTTTAGAGTAAACATTAATGTCTCAAAAGAAAAACATAAAAATAACAACAACAAATGGAATAACAGGTCGCAAGAGTGGGATGTCACTTTTCAAGAACGCAGCTTTATCCATCGTAAGAGAAATACTTTAAATTTAACAACTGTAAAATATCCCACTTTTGAACTTGTAGTTCGAAATGATTCTGACAATGTGGAAAAAAAAGAAAGAAAGATTCCAGAGGCTTCAGCTTATAAAGATACTAAACCTTGATTATTTGAGTAATTGTGTGTGTGTGTGTGTGTGTGTGTGTTTTATTGATAAAGCTAGTTTTTATATTAGCATGAAAAACCAATTGGGCAAAGTCAGAAAAAGGTACATTCAACAGTTGTAAAGACTCCCATTCCCCCCCTCAGACATGTTCTGTATCGTATATAATCATAGGAGCCCATTTGTGCAACAAGTGTACTTTATGGTATGTTAAGAAAATCTCCTCTAAAAGCTCCCAAGACGAAAAATAACAAATGCAACTAAATCTAACAAAAAAAGAAGGCAGTTGAGGACATTGAAATAAATGAAGAAAAAACTCCGTCAAAAGGAACAACAACGGTATATTATGCCGAATTTTATAAATATACTTCTTGATATAATAGAACTATGAAGGACTATTATCTAGTCATGAATAATGCCTCAATTCATAAATTTAGACCTATTGAAGAGAAAGATTGAAAGTAGAGGTTATAAAAGCCTTGTATCTTCTACCATATATTCTCTTCAGAACTGAATCCAATTGCATAATTTTTTGGCATCTAGTGAAGCATAACTTAAAAAAAAAAAAAAAAAAAAAAAACGAAAAGCTTTTTAGAAAATGAAACCTCAAATGCTAGAACAACTGATGTCTGTAATCAGATTTTTGTCAGCGATTTAATAACTATTATTATCTATTTTAGATGCCAAGTTATGAAATGTTATGATAAAAAAAACATTAAGTGTTTCATTTTTTTAACTAATTGAGTATTTTTTTATTATGCAAAGAATGATTTATATGTATACAATAACTTAGTTATAAAGACGATGGTAATAATGATGGTAACAACTCCAATAGTAGGAAACACTAGACTACATAATTATTCAAAATATTCTCTCAATGCATGTACGGGTAAACATGCGCCGAAAGTTTTACAGGTACTTGAATCTCCATTGTTTCCTTTAAGTCCAAAACCACTACCTTGTCCAACATATTTTTTAGCAATAACTTGCTGGCCGAAACCTCCCTTGTTACCGTTAATAACAGTAGCTATAATCAATCATATTAGTTATTGTTATTACTTTTTTTTTCCTACTTTTCTTTTTACCTTGAGGTGCTAAGACAACAACATCAAGATCGCCATCTGTCTCACGTTTCACAGTGATTTCTCCTTCTGTATATCTACCCTGAGAATCGACAGGATAAATATTTAAAACAGAGACACATGAAGGGAGACCATTAGCAATAGAACCGCTACCACCGAGTGTAAAGGTTGAACCAACAGTGACAGGAACCTATAATAGAAACAATTTAAAAACCATGAACATGTAAATAGTTGTATATGGTATAACTTACGTTGAAAACAGCTGTAGAGCCAGGATAAATATCGAAAACTTGTGCACCAAATGTACCACCGAATCCATTCCAAGCACTCTTGCCTTCAAGTATAGCTGAAGGGTCTGACATACCTCCAGGATGGATGTTACAGTCACCGTTATTACATGTACTAAATAAATAAACCCATAATTCAAAGTCATTAACATTCCAAGTTTGGTCAGAAGGGAATGAAATTCCGCCGTCAGAACCAACAACAATAGTAGGATTTCTAATTGCAAAAAATCTGGATGCATAGTTTGCCTGATACTTTAATACATTCATTTCAAGTGAGAATTTGCTTGATAGATCACGATGACATTTATAGCCTTCTTCTTTTACTTGAACCTTAGCATTTTCAGGAACAAAAGCAGTACCTCGAACATCAACTGTACCCTCCAACTGCTTTTGTACGAATAAACCAACGGTGTTTATATTATTCATATTGGAAGGACACTTTGCATTTCCCTTAGTGTTGACATTAAACTCCCTGGCCTTGCTACTAAAACTACCTCCAACAAGTAGAGAGCCATAGGTACCAGATTCATTTCCAGCTTCAAAGTCTTCAAGGAATATGTTTGACATATCTTCCATCTGTATATTTCATTATCAGTACAAGCAAAATATTAAAAGTGAAAAAAAAATGAATAACTTACAGCAAGGAAAGTTTGTTCATAAAGTTGTGGTTCTCCGCCAAAAAGGTTATTAAATTTGTTTAAGCAGATAGGCTTATTACAATAAATTATCTTGTACAAATTAGCAGCACCCAAGACATTAGCGACGAAACCTGTCAATAGTAAAAATGAGCTAGCTTTTGTAAGGAACATATTAATTAAGAATAAATAAAGACACAGAACAATAATTTTTTTTCAGGATTCTTGGATGCCCTTTTATATATAAATTATCAATTATTTTTTTTTTTTTATTATTATTAAACTTTGATAGTCGTCGGTTGTTTCATTTCCTACGAATAAATATCACATGTAAGTTACAATCGAAATTTACAACAGTGAAACAATAGATTTACATAGTTTTAGAATTTTATAATTGTCTCTATCATAATTGGTCTTGTTAGAATATTATTGTTATATAGTCTTTTATGCAGTATTTTAATTATTATATAACTTTATTATAGATTAGATTTAGTCCGTTACGCAGTACTTATATTATTAGATAACTTTGCTATATGTTAACTTACTCTTATAAATGTTAGTTCTGTGAATCACACGGAACATTATCTTTCTGAGGATGTGTTTACATGATAAATTCTAGCAAAGGTATCTATACTATTTTTGACAATACCTGTGGCTTGAAAAATTCGACATAGGTAAATATATCCTATTTAGTTTCACTCTTGTTTACTTAAAATTTAAAACTATAATCATTATGACATGATACGCTGTGTCAATAAAAATACTGACTATAAATTTTAACTAACTTTAGAGTATCACGTTCTTGTTGCTTAGAGTCCACCTTTATTTTTATTTTATTTTTTATTTAGTAAATCTCTCATATCCTTCCAAGTTGCTTATCATGTAGTAAATATGTCAGATTATCAACTAAACATCAATAAAGATGAAGGGTCTAGATGTTATACACAAATTTAAACTATTAATAGAAATTCGAAGCAATTTGACCAACCAATAAACCCGAGTCAGTATCAACAATCTCAGTTACTATTCCAATAAAATCCAGTCCGTGTCTATTTTAAGTGGCGAATAGAGAAAAATAAACAAAAGACAAATCTATGAAAGTTCAGTGAAGTTTATTAAAATTAAAGGAATATTAAAGGAAAAAAGAAAATAGAGTGTAGAATAGATACATATTTATATCTTTTTTTTTTTGGAAGATAGATAAAGTCACTTGTTGACTTCTTGCGTAGTATGGTAAAGGTAGTAAGATAAAATTATATAATTGAATGTTTAGAATGATTATACTTGCTTGAAATAATAAATTTAGAGGCTGAAATGTCATAATTCTGTAAATGATGGCAAGCTTTTTTTTTTCCGTCTTCCATCACTTTCAGTAATGTTTTTTTTTCCTTAGTTGGAAAGCGCTAAACATATAATTTCTGTACTATTATATCCTCATAATTCATCTTGACTTGTCTTTGCAAACTTTATTCAAGCTTATGCCAGTTACATGGGGCCCCTACAACAAAAGTTCTCGTATCATGCTGAATCCACAGTAGGTTAAGGACCTTCTAAATGACGAAAAAAAAATAATCGTCGACTATCAACGTTGCCACCAAGTAATAACTTTTTTCACGGAAAAGGCTCTAATCCACTAGATCCATTCCGACTTCCTTTCAAATGAAGTTAATTGTATTTATGTTTTTACCGCTCATGAAATACAACCACTTTTCTCTAACACACTTCCTCTAATGATGAAGGCTCAGAAGATCCTAATATTGTTTCCGTTACAATAACTCAGATGCAAGCTACTGCCATTCACAACGACTCTTTAACAATCTAACAACTTATCAAAGCTCAAAATGAAATCAAATATCTAAATGAGAAACTTGAAGAACAAACATCTACACGACTCCATATTTCGGAAATTCAACAAATTACAAAATTATCTATATTTCTCCATTCGTCAACTTCAACTTCCGGCTCCCCTGACTCTAACTCTTGGCACCAACTTGACCTAAAATACTTGATTAGACTAACATAACTGATGGTGCTCACCCAGCGGATACAACAGTAGTAACACCAGGAGGCTGCTGCTCGATTTCCCCCCCTCCCTCCTCTCAAAGCTTTCACTATCTATCTATTCCTATAAAGGCTCGAATTCATATAGATAAACTCGGAACAATTCCTTCGCTGTCACGGAATCAACAACTCCAGAATTCTGGATATCTATTATCTGAATAGAAATAGTATCGCTTTATTAGTCCACGACGATTACACATCTATCATGAGCTGACTTATAATATCATGTTTCTTGATTAAACATGCGGATCATAAAATTAGTCCGGAAAACCTTATAATCCACTTCTGTTGTGATTTAGGTAAGTAAATAAAATAAAATAAAATAAAATAAAATAAAATAAAATAAAATAAAATAAAATAAAATAAAATAAAATAAAATAAAATAAAACGAAACAAAAAAAAAAGAAATACTTTGACATTTGTTTATATACTATACTATAAAAGTTAAGTACAACACTATTCAATACAAAATATTGAGTGTTAGTATTTGTTATGATTATAACTGTCTTTATAACGAAGTTTATAGAAATAAACCACCATCATTTATTTAAATAATAAAGATGTTATTCAAATCAAAACTAGTATATTGTACTTTACAGCATAATAGTCATTCTACATTCACTTTTAATAATAGTCATTGTTAGAGTATTCGAGCATTTAAAAATAATTATATACATTGCATTATGTAATAATAAGAATTCAATAAGGTTACTATTGTTATATTCAATTACATAATTATTTTTAAGTATGCATATTATATTATATGTGTCTACAAGGTTAGATAGTATTATGTAATAATATCTTAAAAGTTGATAGCAATAACAGAAATATTCACTATAAATTCAAATTGACGAGTTATTTACTCCAGAAATAATGAATTGTTCTATTTTTAGAATAGTATTTTTTTCGGACTTTTTAATTTTTTTTTATGGAAATAGGTACAAAAAAAATTCAGGTGATCTCTTTATTTTTTCTAAATAATATTGTTACTTAATTTGGAAAAAACTCCTTTGTATTTCAGACAGTTAACTTGACTTAATTCATTACCCTTCTGAAACTTTTCATTTACAAAAATAAAATAATGAACACTATTCACTATCAGTAGTCTTCAGACTATGTATAGTTGACATAAGATACTGATGATGAGATAGATTTGGGAAACAATAACCATTGAGTATAATAACATTGAGAAGATCGTAGATCTTGATGTAATGATAAAAAAAAATGAAACAATAGAGATGACAAAAGTCATAGATAATCTTGCTGAAGAAATAAAAGTTATTTTATTTTACTAATCGAACAAGTGTAAGAGAAGTATAGCTAAAACCAGATAGAGTGGTTTCTCTGTATAGCAGCAAAAGGAAGGTCTGTCAATCCCTAAAAGTTGTTGCATATGAATTAATAAACAAATTTAATACTAGCAATGACATTGTTTTACCAGGAAACAATCCAAGGAAAAAAAAGGAACAATAAATTAAAAAAAAACTGTTTCTTAGACACTCAGCCTTCTTGATTAAACTCTTTGACAAAAATCCTTCGATAATACTTGAGGAAACAAGAATAAAACTGTGTGAAGAGTTTCCTAGCCTAGAAAATTGTGTATTTGTTAAAAAAAACCGACTCTCATAGTTAAACAATTAGAGACCGTGCTTAGTCAAGGAAAAATAATCCAGCAATCGTGAAAGTCCATACACAAAAGGGCGTTAACATAAGCATTGTCGTATGTATAGCTTTATGTGGTGTCGACAACTTCTCTAAAGTTGAAAAATAATATTTTCAAGAAAATAAGAGAACATCTACCACTTAAGATGTAGGAAAGTCTAAAGCACTTCCAAAAAAAAGCACCACAGCTTATCATATTGTAAGACTTATCAAATCAGTTAAGAATGCTTTAGATAGACATAACAAAAAGGGTGTGTCTATAGTATTGAATTACTGAAGAATTCATCACTCTCACATCATTGTTGATGCTATTAACAAAAAAGGTTACAAACCCCTGTTTATGCTATCTTAATCCCCATTGAAGAATGCCGTTCAAAAATTAAAAAAGCTAACCAGAAGAAATCCCCTTGATGAAGCTAATATACTCACTCCATGTATTGCAGAAGCTTGCAGTCAAGTTACTATAGAAGATTGCAAGGGGCGGGTAAACCATGCTTAAATATATTGGAAGCAATGTCTTTCTAATGAGGTTGGCTTGAAATAACAATAAAATTTAAAATGAAAAGGAACTGATCCGAATTAAGTAAAGAAGTCGTCCAAAAAAAGGAAAAGATCGCCTGAATTTTTTTTTTTTTTTGCAAAGGTTTGAAATTAAAAAAAGTGTCTGGAAATTTTTTGGAAAAGTCTAAATTTTTTCTGAAAAAGTCTGAAAACCAAGTAAAAATGCCATAACAGCGTTAGCCCAAGCAGAAAAAGAATAAAAATATCATATTATGTCAAATTACGCAGAAATGATAATTTTATCCATGATGTTTTATTACGCAAGCAGTATTTGCTTGTTATAAATAACAAATTTCTATTAATATCACCTACCTTGTAAAACCATGTAGATAATTCTCTTTGATTCCGCATTATCATCCCTAGTACAATTTTGTATTAACAATAAACTATACAGAGCTTTCACAGACTTATCTTTTGTTTTGTATTCTCTTTCTATATTCTGTTTGCTATCAAAATAATATTTTTATGAGTGACGATAAGAATAAAACAAGAATATATAATACAACAAACAAAATATAAGTTGTATAATATGAGGTACAAAATTAGTTTACGCGTAAGAGTGAACATATATACATGTGTTATGTTTGACTTGTAACTTATTCCTTTAGATCAAAAAAAAACAAAAACAAAAAAAATCAGGACAGTTTTAATTTGAAGCCCAGTCATTTCAATTAATTAATCCTCAGCTAGATTTAAGCTATTTTTGCTACAATTAGAAGAGGGTATAAACCTACCCCTACCCCACCACTTAGAAGATAAAGACTAACACTGAAACAAAATATAGACTCTAGAAATTCTATAAGTGAAGGTTTCAGATTTGATCCTATTACGATTATAATTGATAATTAATAATCATAACAATCGGATGTCTTAATCATTTTCCAGCTGGTGTCAGATTTACAAACTATAATAAAAATAAATAAGCTATCAATTGTTTGAAATTTAAAAAAATAATTTTTTTTTTTTTTAAGCATCGCAATTTTAATCTAATTGTTAATTACTGTTAAATGAATTCAGGTCGGAGATATAAAACAGTGTCGGAGTTTTTATTAGATTAGCATAATTGTCTAGTTTGTCGTTTTTGATTTTTTTTTAATGAAAAGTGACAGTAAAAAAAAATGAAACACTTAATGTTTTTTTATCATAACATTTCATAACTTGGCATCTAAAATAGATAATAATAGTTATTAAATCGCTGACAAAAATCTGATTACAGACATCAGTTGTTCTAGCATTTGAGGTTTCATTTTCTAAAAAGCTTTTCGTTTTTTTTTTTTTTTTTTTTTTTTTTTTTTAAGTTATGCTTCACTAGATGCCAAAAAATTATGCAATTGGATTCAGTTCTGAAGAGAATATATGGTAGAAGATACAAGGCTTTTATAACCTCTACTTTCAATCTTTCTCTTCAATAGGTCTAAATTTATGAATTGAGGCATTATTCATGACTAGATAATAGTCCTTCATAGTTCTATTATATCAAGAAGTATATTTATAAAATTCGGCATAATATACCGTTGTTGTTCCTTTTGACGGAGTTTTTTCTTCATTTATTTCAATGTCCTCAACTGCCTTCTTTTTTTGTTAGATTTAGTTGCATTTGTTATTTTTCGTCTTGGGAGCTTTTAGAGGAGATTTTCTTAACATACCATAAAGTACACTTGTTGCACAAATGGGCTCCTATGATTATATACGATACAGAACATGTCTGAGGGGGGGAATGGGAGTCTTTACAACTGTTGAATGTACCTTTTTCTGACTTTGCCCAATTGGTTTTTCATGCTAATATAAAAACTAGCTTTATCAATAAAACACACACACACACACACACACACACAATTACTCAAATAATCAAGGTTTAGTATCTTTATAAGCTGAAGCCTCTGGAATCTTTCTTTCTTTTTTTTCCACATTGTCAGAATCATTTCGAACTACAAGTTCAAAAGTGGGATATTTTACAGTTGTTAAATTTAAAGTATTTCTCTTACGATGGATAAAGCTGCGTTCTTGAAAAGTGACATCCCACTCTTGCGACCTGTTATTCCATTTGTTGTTGTTATTTTTATGTTTTTCTTTTGAGACATTAATGTTTACTCTAAAATTATGTTTAGATCATTTATTTCAGTCAAACCAATTTCCATGCTTTCATCATAAATACTATTTTGACCATTTTCATAATAATAATAATAATAAAAGATTAAATGAATTAAAGACGATAAATTAGACAATAAATTACGATTAAATTCTATTTTATTTCTGTACAACTTTTTTTTTTGATTTTTTGACAGTGAGCATGTAGTAACGAAAAGTGCTGTATTGTCCGAGCCAGTTATAAATGTGTGATAAGAATAAAAAACCTTCTTAAAGAGCAAGAAGGGAAAAGGGCAAAAGAATAGAAATAAGATATAATGTAACAAGAAAAAAGAGATAGAATGAAAAGAAACAAAGAGTAAGCAGAAAGACACATACACTATTACTTGGGTAACCAGGTTCAACAGAAGGAGGAGGAAACTCATCATGGAAATAGTAATTCAATTTATGTAGAATGGTACATAGGGTAAACCAACTGAGACTATCGGAGGGACAACGAGGTTTATGCAGTGGGAGTAAATTAAGGAAGAACAATATTGAATCATCAATTGAGGAAAAAAAAAAAAAAGGTACAAGTGGTGATGAGTATGCAAATAGTCAAAAGTATGGCGACGACTCCAATTGTGATACGGGGTGAAAGGATACATTCCTTAGGTTTACTACCAGGTAACCAAACCAAACCAAACCAAAGCGTCAGCAAAGTACACGGCTCCATTCCAAGGTAGCTATAGGGTAGCCAGAGGATAGAATCTAGTCCAAGAGTAGGATGACAAGAAGACAGCAGTATGGAATCAGACTAAGCAAATAGAGCTTGAAACTAGTCAGCTAGAAATTTACTATGAAGAATATTGTAAAATTTCTTTTTATCCAAGGTAGAGAATATTGAAGCACAGTGTTTTTTTTCGCATTGTAGTTTGAGCCAGTTTATACTAGTGAGTTTGGCTTACTTAAGGATTGGGCATAAGGTAATAGACGAGCAAAAAGGGTATCGCTAGGTAATTAGGTGGAGCGAAAAAAGATACTTTGAGACAATAAATTATGCCAATTTAATAATAATAATAATAAAGCGGTAATATTTTCCGAATAGACTGTACACATTAAAGAAACTTATATCTTTCTTTTTATTTACTGATGATACTGAAACAAAAAAGAATCATATATATTATCGCATTGCTTGATGGTAAATACAAAGTGGCTACCTCACTATGAAAGCTAATTTTTTTTTTCAACAACAGTGAGAAAAAAAAATAAAAAAAAATAAAAATTGAATTAAAGAAACGACAAGTAATAAAGCATTGTGTGCGCATGTATTCACTTTTAAGCATTTTTATAAATATTATTTTTCTGCACCAAATATAATGTCTTTATTAGATGACTATATTGAATCTTCAGAAGCTGCTCACGGTGCTTCTATACTTCAATATGGTGCAGATGCTTTTACTTCAGCTGCAGGTTTCGATGGACAAGATAATCTTCGAGTAAGAGAATTAACAATTTGAAACATTAAGCATTATTATTCATTCTTTGAAAAAAAAAGTTAGAGACAGGTTATGTATCTACAGGTTTTGGTCAAACAGAAGAACCAATCTTTGGATTAGACTATGTTCAATTCCAAATGCCTGCAAAACTTGTTGATATGGCTGTATCCAATAATATTCTTATTGTTGCACTTGAATCATTTCGTTTATTAAAAATTAATCTAGATAATTCTTTAGAAGTTGAAGGTAATCATTGTTTAATGTCAGTAGCATATTTTTATTCATTTTCTTAGAAATTGAGATTGTACGTAAACCAAATGATGGCAAGATAAAAAAAATATTTTTCGATCCAACTGGTAGACATTTGATTATCACAACGGATCATGGCGAAAACTATTATTTATATGAAAAATGGAGAAAAACAAAAGTTTTATCTAAATTTAAAGTAAGAGAAGAAGAAGTGTATCTTGAATAGTTAAGACTTATTTTCTTTTTTTCCTTTTTTTTTCAGGGAATTATTATTACTTCAATTGCTTGGAATAAGCAAGCAACATTAACCGATCCTTCAACACGAGAAATTTTAATTGGTACAAAAAATGGTCTTATTTATGAGGCTTGCTTGGAACCAGCAGATGAATATTTTAAAAGAGAGGAAAAATATTTCAAGCAAGTTTATTCTATACATGAATCTACCATGCCTATCACTGGTCTTTATTTCGAACAGTTCCCCGTTAATAATCGTAAATATTTTGTAATGGCCACCACTACAACACGTATTTATCAATTTATTGGGTTTATTGGTCCAAACAGTTCAAGTAGCGGATCACATCTTTCTTCAGCAGGCAATGATACTGTAGAAGAAAGAGGTGAAAAGGCTATGTTTGAAAATCTGTTTTCCAAATATGATGTAAACCCAGGCTATCAAGAGTTGCCTGGTGAACTACCGCATAGTGAGTTACATTTCTTTAGTCGATTTCATGAACTACAGCAACAAGGTATTGCAGAGTTATTTGCTTGGTTAACTGGACCTGGTATTTATCATGGCTCACTTGTTTATGGATCACAGAATGTAGGTGATAGCGTCGTTGATAATGTTCAGTTATTACAGTAAGATAGATACATACTATTTAATTATTTTGTTTTAAAAATATGCTATTAGATATCCAGCTACTCCTGAGGAGGATGATGATTCAGGAAAGCTTATAACTGAAATGCCTATCTCTGTAGCATTAACAGAGTTCCATTTCATACTACTTTATAAAGATCGTGTTAGAGCTATCTGTCAATTGAATGACCAAATTGTCTATGAGGAAATGATACCCTTTGTAATCTATCATGTTTATCCAACAAAATGCTGGAACTAGAATGAATGAATGTTAATTATTATTTGTAGGGACAAGACGAGAGAGTGGTTGGAATGACAGTAGATGATATTAAAAAAACATTTTGGATTTATACAACACTCTCTATTTATGAATTAATCATCAGTAATGAGGAACGTGATGTTTGGAAGCTTTATTTAGAGAAGAAAAGATATAATTCAGCGCTACATTATTGTAAAGACCCTGCTCAAAGGGACAAAGTATTTACAGCCCAAGCAAAAGATTACTTTAGTCAAAGACGTTACAAAATGAGTGCAGAAATTTTTGCTGACAGTACAGTACCCTTTGAGGAAGTCACGTTAATGTTTGTGGAGAAAGAAGAAGTAGATGCTTTACGTGTTTATTTATCAAACAAATTAAGCAAATTAAGAAAGAATGTAAACAAATTATATCTATTATGTGTATATTATTAGTTTAAAAAGATTTTTTTTTATTTAATTTTATGATAAATAATTAGGATCAAACACAAAAAACGATGCTAGCCACATGGCTTGTCGAATTATATCTTTCAAAATTAAATGAGCTGGAAGACTTGGCGTCATCTGCTCATTGCTCACCGATACCAAATGAAGCAACTAACTTAACACCAAATACAGAGGCTTATTTTCTTGAACAACTAGACGAAGTTCGTGATGAATTTAAAACTTTTCTTGAAACTTATAGTGGGCATCTTCACCGCCCAACGACTTATCATTTAATAACTAGTCATGGTCGTAGCGAAGAGTTCTTATACTTTGCCTCTTTGATTGGTGATTATGAAAAAGTGATCAGTTATTGGATCACCGAAAAGAACTGGACAAAGGCTTTAGCAGTTTTAAGTAAAGAGGTAGTCATGAATGATTTATATTTCTTACATACTTTTTTTTTTCTCCTAACTGTATTAGTTCCTTAGGCTGATCCTGAAGTTTTTTATAAATTTTCACCAGTTTTAATGGAAAATGAACCTTATGAAACAGTTAATGTTTGGATGAGACAGAGTAATTTAAATCCAAGGCAACTTATTCCTGCTCTTTTAAGATATGACCATAAGAAAGTAATTGATAAGGTGAATCAGGTAAAAAAAAAAAAGGGATAGGAAACCAAATGAACTTAGCTCTTTTGATTAGAATCAAGCTATACGTTATTTGTCACACGTTGTGACGAATCTTAATAACACTGATCACGCTATTCATAACTTTTTATTAACGCTTTATGCTACTCAAAAAACAACAGACGAGACAGCTTTATTAACATTTTTAAAAAATGAAGTAAAGTGTATCCTTTTGATATAATGTTTAAAGTTAAATTAATATCTAACTAATAGGGTCAGGAAATGCATTATAATCTTGATTATGCTTTGAGACTATGTGCTCAAAACGGTAGAACTCAAAGTTGTGTACATATTTATAGTCAAATGGGATTGTATGAAGATGCTGTTAATTTAGCACTTCAGGTAAGCATATTTGTATATAAGCTAAAAATAAATATATTTTTTTTATTTACTATTATTATTGAAGAATCATGATGTTGATCTAGCACGCATTAATGCAGACAAGCCAGAAGATGATGATGCACTCCGAAAGAAGCTTTGGTTAACTATTGCAAAATACATTGTTCAAAAAAATAAGGATATTAAATCTGCACTTGAATTTTTGAAACAAAGTAACTTGCTGAAGATAGAAGATATACTTCCATTCTTTCCAGATTTTGTTGTAATTAATGACTTCAAGGTAAAGACGATAATTAAACATCAGATAAATAGCATTAATAATGTTAATTTTTTTTTCCTTTCTTTCTTGTTGTTGTAGGAGGAGATTTGTGATGCTTTAGAGAAATATAATACTACAATTGATGATATTAAGGGAGAAATGGATGAGGCGACTAAAAGTAGTGATAGCATTCGATTGGATATTCGAAACTTAAAGAGCAGGTAAAATTACGTTCGTTCGAAAGTTTATATTATTTCTATGTATTCAACTTTTATTTTAAGGTTTGCTATCGTAAATGCTGCTGATAGATGCTATTGCTGTCATTATCCACTTTATAGTCGTGCTTTTTACATATTTCCTTGTCAACATGGTTTTCATAGTGATTGTCTTATGGATAAGGTATATAACATAATCTTATATCATATAACATCTGGCTTAATTTTTATATTTAGATGTTTAAAGTGCTGCCTACTAGAGACATAAAACGAGTTAAAATTATCCAAGACTTAATTACAAAAGAGACTAATTCGACACCTAAATCTAGTCGAAATCCTACACATCAATTCATGAATACAGCTAAAAGTGTTATTTTCCCATCAGATACAGTCCAAGATGAAAACAAAATAGATTCTGACTTGACTATAGGAAAACTCGAACAGCTAAAAGAAGAATTAGACGACATTGTAGCTAGTGAATGCATGTTATGTGGTGATATTATGGTAAAGTTTATTGATCAACCTTTTATTCTTGACGAAGAAATGGAAATTGCAGCAAGTTGGGCCATCTAATTGTTTTACTTTTATTACCACTTGTATATAATAATAATAATATCCTTACTAAATAAATATTTTTTTTTAAAAAAAAAAGCATATAGCTCGTCTCCCTTATATAGAGTTTATAGCTTGAAATAACAATGGTTAGCTCTGTTAGAAAGCGTCAGACCATACTCATAGAGACTAAGTTTAAACTTGTATTAATAAAACCAAGCTTCAGAAGAAATTATCATTTCGTTCTACAAATATATTGAATTAAGGAAATATCTAATTATAGGATTTTATAGACTCAGAACTCATTATAACAGACCATTACAATATGCTATCAACAGCATACTTTTTTTTTATAACCTTACAAAGTCTTTAACCAGCAAAACGAACAATACTATAATGCAAGTTATAAAAAGATGATAGCTATTATATATGTATTATGTTAAAGTATATAATCAACATGAAATATGTATATAATATATAATAGGTTTTTATATTCTATTGAGTATTCTCTTTGATAGCTTTTTTCTTCTTCTTATTGTCTAATCATTGTTATTATTATATTTGTATTTACTTTGTATTTTTTTACTCTAGATGCACAAGCACAATCCACTGACGATCATAACCCTTACTTATGAAAATATGAGATATTTATCCGCATAATAAATGTATTTATTATGAAAAAATGATGAGTAGATATTATTTGTAATTAGAGATATACTAATAGTATAAGAATGCATTATGTACATAATATAGTACAAGTTTAAGAGAACAGCAAATTATGCACCATGAAACAAGAATCCTTAAGTCCAAAAAAGTTTCAAGTATAGACATATAGTGTTCATAATTGCATTATAAAGTGGTATTTATAGCTCTATATAGATTAACAAAATATTTTTATTATATTTATTTGAATCTTATTGAATATAGCAGCTTAAGAAATCAGTCAGAAGATCATATTGGTGTATTTTAGAAACTTGCTTTAAATGAGGGCATTCCGAGATATAAATTTAAAGTTTATTCTATTATTAGCTATCTTCTTCAATAATAGAAGTGTACACGCTTTTCTGGTTTAAGAAAAAAATAAAATAAACATTACCCTAAACTAGTATGAATAACTTTCCAAATACTAAACGTAGAATAGATAAACAGATTAACAAAAAAAAACAAACAGTATTAATTCGAAAGAGGGAGCTGAATTAAGTAATGGTGATCTAAAAATCCATCATTTCTGCTGAGCGTGAAGAGTAGATTAATAACTTTATTGCCTCTGATCTTCAGCTTTTTGTTATATGAATTAACTGAATTCCTCTATGTCAAAGTTCGCAACTCAATCATCATTTGAAGAATAGTAGTATGCATTTTACTGTAAAAAAAATGACCTTGTTTTGAACCTGAAGAAAGAATCTCTATTGATATTCTACAGATATAATTCAAGTAGTTTATAAACTGGAAGGACACGAACCTTGACTATATGAAAAATCGCATATTTTTATTGATAAAGCCGGATTCCATACTAACATGAAAAGCAACTGAACTATATCAACACTTGGAACACCGCCATAGTAAAGACTCTAGAAACAAGAGCAATCTCTTATTCGGTTATTGGTGCTATTTATTCATCTACCATGCTTCACTTTTTTTTTATCTTCTATTCTGGCGTTTGAACGACACATTTTCATGAATCGCCAAAATCCACAGTACCGATTGTATCAATTGTTACAAAGACATGTTACTCTTTTTTGTCCTACCAATGATGATAAATTAGAAACATTTTTTTTAGATGGTGATTTCATCGATTAGTTATTATTATTGAGTTTGCAGAATAAAAGACTTAAAAAGAAATAAATTGTAAACCTATTTTAGTAAGTCAGAAAGGTTATAAAAGAACATAAGATATAAGGGCTGTTGATGGATTTATTTATACCAGCAGACCTCACCATAAACAGCCTCTGAAATATTATGAAGCGACTTTTTTATATTTCATAACTTAAGAGCATGTTTTATTAGAATGTAATAAACAAATTTATTTTTGAATATGAGTAATAAAATGAAATAACTAGCAAGTAATTCTTACAGCAATAACTAAATTATACATAAAATTTGCGGGCCTTAAAAAGTTTTTTCCATTGAAAAATAAAGGTACAACGTTTTAGTTTACCGGATATGCCTTGTATTATTGATTTCCAATACCATTATTTTATTCTTATTTTTTTTTTTTAATTCTATTGAAGCTATTCTTTCAGGTTTTTATATTGCTACTCCTAAATTCTCTAAAAAACAAATCTTTAAAAATTGAATTTTTCCAAGCAAACCATCCATTCTTTAATCCTGTTTCTTGAATTATTTATGTATTATTGTATTGTTTGAATAGTTTTTTTTTTTTTTTTTTTTTTTTTTTTTTTTTTTTGGGAGGAGGAGGAAAATTTAGTTCTTTTTTTTGATAAAAATAAGATTATAGTTAAAATAAGCTTCATCATTTCGACGTCAATCAAATTCCTCATTTATTTTTATCAAGAGACTGGGATTAAACATGAATGCATGATGTTAGACTTAATAAATACTACTAGAATTACTGACATGTTTATTAAAGTTGGATAGAGAAAGAAAAAAAAAGTATATAAGGAACTTATCTTTTTGCTTTCCTCTTTTTTTTTCACTTTATTATCTCGTAATAATTAAAAATAAAAATGAACTCTCACTCGATTCCTTCTGGCCCTTTCTTTATTGTTTCTAAGGTAATTTAGATAAAAGTAAATAGAATTCATTATACATTATGATGTAACTAATAATGTATATGTTAGTTTAACAGACGTGTCCTTGACGTTGAAGGTGCTTCTGTAAAAGACAAAGCAAAAATCTGTGTTTGGAAACAAAAGGATAATAGCGATAACGAAAATCAATTATGGGAATATAGAAATGGCAATTTTGTCAATCTTCATAGTGGCAAAGTCCTTGACATTAAAGGTGACAAAGTCAAGTCTGATGGTATAGTCATTCTAGCTACGTATGCATGTTTATAGGATATACTCTAAACTTTTTTTTTATTAGTTAAACTTATTCAAAATGAAAAGGCCACATCTGATGAAAAGGAAGTTGAAAAGCAACGTTGGATGATTGATTATGAAGGTTATATCCATAATGCTGCTGATCCTAACTTGGTCGTTGATATTCGTGGAGCTGAAGATGAAGATGGTGCCGAAGTTATCTTGTATGAAAAGCGTAGTGGTGCTGTTGCTGCTAATCAACAATGGGAACTTGTTCCTCGTCGTTAAAAATTTATATTATCTATTGTAAATAAATGCATATACTTTTATGAAAAGTTATTTTCGAGCTTCTTAAAAAGGCTGTAGTCTAGATCAGAGACGTCCTTAGAAAAAAAAAACTAGAAAACTAAATGTACAGCATAAAGGATGTTGTAAAATATAAGGACATATATAAACGAAGGTTAAATATAAAACATGATTAAATCATTAATAATAAAAGCTTCCACGTTGAATGGCTAATAAAGAACTAATCAGGTTACCAAATATACCTTTTTTAACATTTAAAAAAAAGATAGTTTATATTTGCTGTAATATATAAAGCAATGAGTTTACTGACTCAAAGTTGAGTAAGGAAGCACTCAAACCGAATTGATCTATTTAAAGTTCTCGTATTGATTCCTCTGTTTTTTTTCTTTGCGGTTTTCTATATTCCTAAGACAGATTCGATATATCAAAGTTTTGAAGATTTCTCACTTGCATTTAAAATAATTAAAAAGACTTTATATTTGTTTATTTTTTATATTATTTTTCTAATATTACATATGAAACTAAGCAGCAGCATTACCACCAGTGCTATTACTTATCTTTTCTGGTGCTGCAATTTTACCATAGATTCTCCAAATATCTTCGGGATCAGAAATAGTCTTTTGGAAAATAACATACTCTAATACATTATGAATCTTGTTAGGGTCACCACCAATTAGTTTATTCTTTTTGTCATAAACTGCCATAGATTGCTTTGTAAACATTTTTACTGTTACTTGACCAATGGAAAAGCCATGCTTACTAAGACCTGTAGTACCTAAACAACGTACGCAAACAATCTTAGGTTGTTCTACATCACCGTGATATCTCCATTCCCAATGAGCATTATTACGATGCTTTAATTGATTTTTTAAGTTCTAAAACACATGTATTAATCATACATACTAACAGGCAAATAATAATAATAAAACTTACAGAATACATAGAATCTAAACATACTTCTTCCAATATTGCACGATCACCCCTATTGAAATATGAATAAAAAAAATATATATTTATCCAGAATTAACTTGTCGGCTTACCTTGCGAATGCATCGTTCATATCTTTATAAGTTTCTATTGCTTCAGAAAGAAACTTGCGAGAATTCCATTTTTCATATAAAGATTTATGTTTAATCAAGCCCACACTAACATTACAAATACTTGATCAAAAAAAAAAAAAAATTATTTTATATGCCAATACTTTACCTTAATAGGTTTTGTACACTATTTTTTAAATTTCTCCACTTAGTTAAACGCCATTTGGTAAAATCAGTGAACATGGAAGGTGTTTGTTCGGGTGGAACATAGTTAGCTATTGTATTATAGAATTAATTTGTTTTGTATTGAATAAACGATGGAATACATACGAATACAATCATTATTTACCAAATACACCATGATCACGTAAAAGGATCTGTTTATCCTGATGAGTAACATAGGTACGTTTAGGTAATTGAGAAAAAATAATTCTTGAAACAGCAAAAGGCTGTTGATGAACTGAGCCAGTTATCAAGACACCAAGGGGTCGTTTAAGGATGAAAGGCCTTACAGTCGCCATTATGTTATTGTATGAATATGTGGAGTAAGAGGAAAGATAAATATGTTCCTGTTAAAAAAATAATATTCAAAATAGCCCGGGGTAGTAAGCTATTTTATTTGACAGTTTGAAAACAGTCACAGTATGTAAATTACCTTCTAATTGCTGTTCAACAACAATTTTTTTTTTGTCTGCATATTTTTTTTTAATTATTCTGTTTCTTGCACCATGTTCAAAAAATCTTCTCGTGCAAGAAACATTCGTAGAAGAATAGAGACCACGGATGATGAACCAGCCGAGGTTGAACAAGGTATTTTAAAAGTTATAAAGACCTATTCAATCTAATATAGTTGTTTAGAAGAAACCGTAAAAAAGACAATTACATCAACAGAAAAAAAAAAGAAAACAAATAAAAAGACATTAAATGCATTAAGTTTCGAGGATGAAATAGGCGATGTAGAAGAATTTCAAATTAAAAAGTCAAAAGCAAGTAGAAAATTTAAATTAAAACCTACAGAGTAAGTTGTGGTATTATTTTGAAGCATCAAGTTTAACAATTTTTTCCTATTTAGTGAATTAACTGAAGAAATGGAGGTTGATAAACCAATTTCGAGCTATGATGCTGATACATTAAAAAAGCTTCGTGAAGGTACACCAAGTTTACCCATATCAGTTATTTCGACACTACAGCAAGATGATTCTTTATTACATGAAAAATTTCCTGCTACAATGAATGCGACTATTCCAGGCGTTGGTATTCCCGATGCAAGTGCTATACTTGCAGCAAAAAAAAGAGAGAACAATTACGGAAGGGAATCAGCATTGTAGAAAGCGATGATGGATTTATTCCTTTAGATGCAGATGCAGATATTAATGATGTAGGAAGAAAAAAAAAATATGCAAACGTATACTTTTTTTTTTGTACTAATATTCTTAATTAGAAAGCTGGATCTAGACTAGTACGAGAGGAGGACGATTTTAATGATGATGGCGAAGCAGGTTATAAGAAATCATAATAAAAATGATTATAATATATATTAACTAACTTGACTTTTCTTTTTAGAATTTGAACAATATGTAGGTGATAAGTTAACATTTAATAAAGGGTCAGTAAAGAATCAAGAAAAAGAACATTTAGAGGGAGTTCGAGAGATGATTGAAGAAGCAGAAGATGATGATGAACGCTCAGAAGATTTAGAGAGATGGGAAGAAAATATGATGAGATTTGGTGGTGCAAAAAGTCTACCTATTGAACACGATCCATTTGCGGCTCCAACTAATTATCGACCAGCACAAAGTAATAAAAAATTTGTATTTCGATTAGAGCTCTTTATTAACTAATATTTATTTACGTTAGTTCCTGAGGAATCTACTTTGCCTAGTCTATCTGATGTAATGAAATATTTAGATTTATCTACAGACGAGGTAGCACAGTCAATGCAACAATATGAATCGAATTTAGCAGATTCATTAAAAACAATTGAAAATTTGAACAACACTGAATTAGATTTAACTAAAGAAATCGAAAGAAGCAGTAATCGGTACAATTATTTCCAAGAATTGACACAATTTGTGAATGATTTAGGAGATTTCTTAGATTCTAAATTTCCCGAGTTAGAAAAAATCGAAGCAGATGTACACGACATTTTATTTACCAAAACTGAAGTGATTTTAGAACGTAGATGGCAAAATAATTTAGATGACTTGTGTACATTCGCAAATGTTGATATATCACAATTAAATAAGGAAGAGGAAGAGGAAGAGGATGAATTTGGAAGAGTAAAAGAACTACGTAATTCAGAAACTGCACGTAATCGAAGAAAATCAGAACGACAACAACGTATTAAACAGCAATTAGAACACATATCAGAATTAGAAAGAGAAGATGCTATTAAAGAAGAGGGTTTATGGTCAGACGATGAGATGAGTGAAGAATATTTAAATCAAAGAGAAACAAAACTAGAATATATCCAAACTACTGGCGTTGAAGAAATGATGGCTAATGTGAATGAAGATTTTAGAACACTGCGTGCTGTTAAAGATAAATTTGAAGCATGGAAAACAGAGTATTATGATGATTATCAAAAGGCATATGGAAGTTTAAGCTTACCAGGAGCATTTGAGTTTTATATTAGAACTGAATTAGTTTCATGGGACCCATTTTCTGTAAGTAGTAACGTAATGTTTATATTTGAGTCTATTTATAATACAAATTATGTAGGACTCGATGGAACTTGATAGTATGCAATGGCATAATATTCTGTCTGAATATGGTGTTTCAATAGAACATGATGATCCTGATGTTGAAATGCTTAATAAAGTAGTACAAAAGGTCATTATTAAGAAGGTTAAAAAAATGATAGATACCCTCGATGCAGCCTCATCAAAGCAAATGAGATATGCGTCTCAGATATTGGAACAAATTTCTTATTACGTTGACATAAACGAGAAGGCATATCAGGTATAGTTAGTGAAAAAATAAAATACTTTGACAAACTATGTCTAAATAATTTATTCATATAGGAATTGACTATGGAAGTTATGAAGACCTTAGAGAGTCAAATAACTCGATTTGTAGACATAATTGGAACAGCTGTGCTCAAAACTGATCTAGATGCTGAAAGTATAGACACCAAACATCGTTTCTTCTGGGCACATTGTAAATATCTCAAGACATTAAAAATATTGCGAAGACAGTTACCAAAAGAAAGACTAACCCAATTAGGCAATATTATTATGGACAGAATTCTTACGCCTATTCTTAAACCAGAATTATATTCTACAGATCTTCACCTTCAAAATGAAGCATTATTACTTTTGTCACATTTACAAAAATAATAAATTTTATATACATCTTTATTCCCAACGTCTATTTCTTCTATTTCTTGAAGGATGATGAATAATTTGTCCCGTTTTTTTCTGTAGCTCTGCTAAACCATCTTTTGCTTCTAATCTAATGTGTATAATAGAGTTTTGTCTTTTTTGTATTTCTATATCTTTTTCCTATTCATAAAATTAGTAAAGGAATAAATAAATAAATAAAAAAAAAAGCATCGAAAAATTTAGTTTTACCATATCTTCAGGTATAACATCATCTATTAAAGTTATTGTTTCTGTAGTAGGTTTTAAAATAATTTGGTTTTGTAATACTGCTTGTGCTTCTAATGCCATAGACATTGCACGTATAATCATGGCACCTAATCCATGGATCGTTACTGTTTTATAGCTAAATAAGAATAAATACAGGTAAATATGTATATATGCAAATGGGATCAATTATGTTTCTATTTACTTTTCTTTCAACATTAATCTTCTTACACGTTTAATGATTGCCTGTGTTTTACTCTTTTTCGAAATATAAATGTCTGTAGGAACGGTTGCCGGTCTTTGTGGTACACGCTTATGAATAGACCCTAATGATGATAAAATAAATAAATAAATAAATAATGATTGCTTTTTATTCCAATTACAAGTCCTTACCTTGGACTGGGGATCTTTTTCCTTTAATTACACTTGACATGATTAATATTTAATTATAAAAAGAAATAATTAGGAATGTCAAGAAAAAGTTTTTTTTTTTAAAAAAATAAATAAATATATGACGGTTTTTTTTTCATTTGAATATGAATAGAAACAGTATGCATTAAACACAGCTTTAAAAAACACTTCATCAAACATTTCCTGTATTATTTAGTCTTTATTTTATTACACAGATATAAGCTTATACACATATCAAAAAAAGTTTATTTACTTTTAGTTAGTTTATTAAGCTTCAACAGGTTCAGCAACAGGGGCAGGTCTGAAGTCTTGAGCAGAGGGTTCTTCAATAGTGACATCTTCCTTAGGTTCGAGGATAGTGACGATATCAGGAAGAGTTTGCTTAGGACCGTTACGACCAGTAGGATCGCTATCCAACATAATCTTAACCTTAATACCCAAAACACCTTGACGCAAATCAACGTGACGAACAGCAGTGGTGATGAAGTCACGGGCAGGGTTACCAGAGTGGATCATGAAGCCATCAGCGAACTTCATAGCCTTGGCACGGGCAGCACGAACCTTACCAGAGACAACAACTTCACAACCCTTGGCACCAGATTCCATAACGAAACGGACAACACCATAACAGGCACTAAATTAAACATTGACATGTTTGTTAATCATGATCATTGTCTCAAAAATTCATCTCTTAAAAAGAAAACTCCTCTTGCTCCTAATATTATATACACATATTGTTTTTTTTAAAAAACTTACCGACGGACAGCCAAACCGTTGAGAAGCTTGAACTTGACAGATTCACATTGAGCAATGGCACAGAGACCACGGTTTTGAACACGTTCAGCATAAAGTTCAACAGCGTTTTCGGGGAACTTGAAACGCTTTTGAACAAGAGTGGTCAATTCACGAATACGGCGACCCTTTTCACCAAGAACGTTTTGTGTGTGAGTAGCACGGATGATGATTCTACAAACATTTGAAAATTAGCATTATTTTTTTTTGACTCATAAGTTGAATTATGCTTACTCTGTACGGGCAGGAGTAACACGGACTTCAACACCAGCATAACCATCTTCAGCAAGTTCACGGGTGAAGAATTCGTTTAATTCAGCGTAGAAAACACCGTCAGCGACCTATATAAAATGTTGTCAATTGACTTTGTTGCATGTGTGGACATGTTGTATAAAGTTTCAACTTACGAACTATAATTTTTTTTGGATAAAAGATGTTAGTCTATCATTCAACGATAACAGATGTTTATTTTTTTTAATGTATACCTTTCTCTTCTTGGAGATTTGAGCAGCCATGGTCATATATGTGGATACGTTAAAAAAGGAAGGATGGATAGGATTCCAGTTAAATTCAACTAGATGTCAGCCCTCTCTGCTCTTTCATTACTTCGAATCCAAAAATGGTAATTTACGAGTCCGGCGTACTTTAGTCCGGATCGGTATATCAAATTTGACTTGACTTTTTTTTTTTTTTTTTTTTTTAAGTTTGCCATACTACGCTTTAATAATTTTCGCTCTATTCATTACCAGAAAAAAATAAAGTGACATGCTTAGTGTACATAAATCAATGAAATTATAGAATAGCTGCAGTTATTAAATGACTAAAGCAAATTTGGCATATATGTTAACTATAGAATACTTGTAATAACATTTTATATCTAGTCTATATTCATGTACATATACGTGTACATATACGTCATACATACACTATTTTATGAAAAATACATACTTGATTACAATAAATATCATATTTCAAAATATGTTTTTTAATGCATACAAAAGAAGTATAAGCTTATAGTGTTGATTTTCATTCACTCATTCATATTCAAGTTACATATTATTATATAAAATAATTTGGCTGTAAAAGACTTTATTATTTTATACAAACGATTAAGAATAATATTTTGTTGCATTGATCAAAATAGCATAGCATAGCACACAAGTAGCATTATTCATCTCATAGAGAATTGTGCGGTTCCTTAAAAACAAGCCACGAAAGTATTTGACGGACATATGAAAAACCGTCACATTATAACCTCTGGCTGCTGAGGAGTGGGAGAGAGGTAGGATGGAATGAATGATAACAAAAGATTAAGCATCCAAACTATAGATCCTTCTTTTAAATCGTTAATATGGGTAATGTATATACATGACATTCATCCATCCATTATCTAACTAATCCCTTTATTTTTTTTCCCTTAAAATAAACAGCTGTTGGCAAGAATAAGTAAGCTTTTTTTTGTTTTATTTTTTTTCCAATGAGTTAAGGTAATTAACCTTTATATTTTTTTTTATTAGGCGTCTTTCTAAGGGAAAGAAGGGTTTGAAGAAGAAGGTGTAAGTATTTTTATTTTATTTTTTGTCGTAATTGTAGTTGAAAAAAAAAGAGGTGAATAGAATCAAATTGGCACATTCAAAGTTAATTTTTCAACAAATGAGGGGAAACCATTAATATTAATAATTTATCAATAAGCATCGAGATTTATTTCTATTCAAGATATTAAATTAATCAACATTAAATTTATAAGAAAAACCAGCAGAAATAGTGGATGAAATTTCTAGATGGAATGATAGAATTGCTTTCAATTTAACTGCCAATCGATATGACATCACTTTTTTTTTTCAACTACATGCAGAAAAAGAAAGCTAGTTTTCTGAACTTTTTTTATATAGCGTTGACCCCTTCACCCGTAAGGACTGGTATGATATCAAGGCTCCCTCTATGTTCGAAGTCCGTCAAGTTGGTAAGACTCTTGTCAACCGTACTCAAGGTCTTCGTAATGCCAACGATTCCCTTCAAGGTCGTGTTATCGAAATGTCTCTTGGTGATCTCTCCAAGGATGAATCTCGTGCCTTCCGTAAGATCCAATTGAAGGTTGATGAAATCCAAGGTAAGAACTGTCTCACCAACTTCTACCGCATGGATATGACCACCGACAAGCTCCGTTCCATGGTCAAGAAATGGCAAACTCTTATTGAGGCTTTCGTTGACATCAAGACCACTGATGGTTACCTCGTTCGTCTCTTTGCTATCTCTTTCACTGCTCGTCGTCGTAACCAAATCAAGAAGACTACTTATGCTCAATCATCTCAAATCCGTCAAATCCGTAAGAAGATGTTTGAAATCATGACTGAGGAAGCTACTGCTTGTGATCTTAAGGAACTCGTTACTAAGGTTACCTCCTCTGCTTCTCAATCTGCTCAAGATGCTATTGCTGTTCGCATTGAGAAGGCTTGTCAAGGTATCTACCCCCTTCAAAACACTTACATTCGTAAGGTCAAGATCCTCAAGGCTCCCAAGTTTGATGTCTCTGCTCTCTTGGCTCTTCACGGTGGTGCCGCTGCTGCTGGTGAAGATGTTGGTTCCAAGGCCACTAAGGATTTCGTTGAACCTCCTATTTTGGCCTCTGTTTAAATTTTATATTATAATAATAATAAAAAAAGTATCGCTTGTTCTCTGGCCTTAAATATACTATTTTTATTTTATTTTCAACTAAAGTGAGATATAATGAATGGATGTAGAAAACCAAATAAAGCCTGATAGATGATAATTCCATTCATAATGTATATGATAGGTAGAAGATATCTATTTGCATATAATAAATATGATTACAAGAAAAAAAGAAAAAAAAATTAATAAAAACATTATTCTCTCCTCTCCTTTCCCTTTTTATACCTTAATTCTAACGATTCAGGTGAACTCCCGATAGTTACTAGGTAAATCAAAGCGAGTAATACAGGTGCATCTTGAATTATAGTTATGATGGATAAACGATAATAATGAGTCCATCCTATAAGTAAATCTTTACAACAGACAATAACAGAAGGTACATAATACGGTAAAATTGAGATGAAAAAGATAAGGCATGATTGCCTATACTTGTATAGGTTTTGTAAGGAGGGCATATCAGGTTGCAATGTACAAGATATACGTGCAGAACAAGTGAAGAAAAGCCAAACCAACAAGTAACCTATAAAGACGAGAGCAGAAGGTAAGAAGGCGAGTAAACCTATTACAATTGATAAATGACATAAAAAGTAATAATATTTAGTGGACAGGTGTGTGATGTTCGGAGAAGGACAACGGAAGAGACATAAAGGTAATAGACTTAATAGAAATACAAGTGATGAAGTAACCAACCAAAGGAAAGCTGTTAGTCCAATACTCAAGCCAAAGGCCAAGATAAGTAAACCAGTTAATAACCAGTCATCACTTCCAAGTAATATATCTTTTAATACAGAATAGTTACTAGACAATGAATAATAGTAATGAATGATAGATACTATAAAGAGTAATATCACAAATCGCAAGAATGAGCCTGATACACAATTGACGAGAGCTTCAGGGAATGCAATAAAATCCTCTAAAATGTACAAGCATATGTAAAATTTATAAAATAATAATAATAATAAAAAAAAAAGACTTACGCTTTCCATTCATAACATAGGAATAAAGTTGAGTTAAAAGTATGATTGATGTTGAAATCCACAGAAATTGAGCTAAAATAGCACCATAGCGAAGTACACAACGTCCTAATGTTCCATACCAATCAAAGCTTAATTCAACATGCAACGTTTGATTGTCTACAAAGAATTGAAGTGATAATCCTTCTTCTTTATCAATGCCATTTTCTTGATGAAAAGTGATTCTATCAGATAGACCACTTTCAAGGCCACGATAATATTTAATTTCTTGTTGGTGGTGGACCCTTTGCTGCATCATTGGCTTAAAGAACTCTGTATCGTCTGACTTGATGGAAGTTATGTGCAAATCAAATGCAAATAATGAATTATGTATATGAAGAAAATTGTGAAGCGAGTAAAAAGAATCTACATCAAAGGATAAACCACCATTCCAGATAATATCTATATACAAATATACATATACACATACAAGATCAATATTAAACTATAGAATCCGTGATTTATTGTAATTACCCCAGACACTTTGAGTATATTGTATAGACTGACTAAAAATAGCATATGCTTTTATAAAAGGTGTTTCGTCTGTATTCACAATTTGACAATGCTTTATTACAGCCAAATGGCTATAATCCTCACCACTATCTACTGTTAATAACCTATAAGGCTTTGCTTCGATAAGATTCTCTGCAGTGGCTGAAGGTAATACTGTAACATGAGGTGTTGTCTGTTGGCAATGAAAGTCATTACTATTATTCATTGGTTTTTTGCAGAATGCAATAGACCAACACCTATCATATGCCTTATCGATGTTAGTTAAAAATTGCCATTTCTGAGTATTTGGTAAAATAAGATGTTTTCCTTCTTCATCAAACAAGACATACTCGTTTAGAGTGTTTGCTTCTCTAAATTCATTTAAAGTCATGATACTATTGTCTTTTATATATGTGTATATAATAAAATAAGCAATATTAGTATCCTTTTTTTTTTCTTATTGTTTTGAATATGCATATTATTTACATTGACTTTGACTTTCGATTGTAGCATACTGTCCGCCTTCTAATAAATGATATTTTAACATCCCCATTCGGTCATCTAGAGTCGTCAGGTCAGCAATATCTAACAGAGTAGTTGCTAAAAGACGCACTAATTGGTTACACCATAAAATGGCCATATGATCGACTCCTGTCCAAACACCTGGAATTGAAGTTGTATAGGTTGTAAAGCCATGTTTCGTAGGTATGATCGAGGCCGTATTGACACCATCTGAATGTATGATGTTATCAAGTGAACCACCCGCGATTGAGATAACAATAACATCCCTTAGGGACGCCTTATAATGATCATCCGATCTCCAATAACGTGTTAAATCTTTATAGACTTTATAGATAGTGGCATCTAAAAGCAAAGGGGCACTTAAATGAGGTGTAGCAAGTGTTAAGATAGTCCTAACACTATTTGGAACGTAATTTGGTAACATGAACATGGTACGTGCAATTAGACCACCCATAGAATGACCAATTATAATGACAGAAGAAGTATGAGTGTCATAAAGTGAAAGAATACGTTCAACTACAGAATTCATATATTCTGCTTGATCTAACAGCGTTTGACCACTTAGAGCAGATAATTCTTCATTTAAATCCACTATTTTTTTTTTTTTTTTTTCGAAACATATTTATTTATTTATTTGAATAATCTGGCTCTTCTCATGTCTAGCCTTACCAGTAAAAAAATCTATCTTTTGCTTTTTCCTTGCTGTAGTTGAAGCTAAAGATCTAATTTGTTTATAACTTCCAGCTTGTCCTGGTATAAATAATGCAGGTACACCATACAACTTTATAAATAATAATAATAATTAATTTTTTTTTTGACAGTTATAATAACACTTATTATTTACTTTGTCAGGATCATCGAGATAACCTTCTCTATAAAGGTATAATGTATATTTCTTTGAAAAACTTGAACTAGGTGAATCTATTTTGATAAATGTCGGATATGAATAAGTCATGGCGCAATTCTGCATGTCTTGTCTTTGTAAAGGAGAAATGACAGATGATAGAGTTGGTAAATGAAATAAAAATGAATCAAACATGACAAACAACACAAGTGATGTCAACGTGATCAATAAACCAATCACTAAATTCATCCACACTCTATCATGTTTTGGATAATTCATATTGTGTAAATCCTAGGAACATAAAAAAAAAGGAAATAAACTAATATTTTTTTTTTTAAAAAAAAGGTGCATTTTTATTAAAGTATTATAAATCAAAAACTAATTATTTAGTGAAAAAAAAAAAAAAGGAGTTGGGAATGAAGACAAAAACAAAATGACATTATTCTATAAGCATGTAATGTATTTATGAAAAGGAAAATAAAATAAATGATGTGTATATTTTTTTTTATATTATATACGAAATTAATCACTTTCAGTATCAGGTTCTTTAGTACCGCCTTCAATTAACCATTTAAGATGACGTGCACGTCTACGTTCTTCTCGTGCTTTAAGCTCATTTCTAGTCAATCTCTTCTTCTTGGAGATCTTTGCTTTTACTTTCTCTTCATCAATGTTGGTTTCATCATCAACAGCAGAAACACCCTTCTTTTGAAGTTTACCATCAACCAATGTCCAGGATTCAGGACACAAGGCACTAACAAACTCTTCACTGTGAGAAATCATGATGACAGCACCTTCCCACTTCTTGATAGCTGTAGCAAGACCACCAAGGGCTTCACGATCTAAGAAATTGGTAGGTTCATCAAGCACCAACATGTGACAATTATTCCACATGGCTGCAGCAATCACAACCTTGACTTTTTGTCCACCAGAGAGTGCACTCATCTTTGTATATTGAGCAATATCAGGATCAAGACCGATATCAGCAAAGTGTTGACGAATAGTAGGCATATTTAATTCACGATATAATAAACCTTCACGTGATGCTTCCTTATCATCAAATTGTTGAACCAACTTTTGGAAACCCAATTCGAGTAATTTTTCACGAGAGAACCAAGTATTATGCTTGTGAAGCTTGTTCTTCCATTTGATTTCATATTGGAATGTCTTCTTAAGCTTTGTACGGCCTAACAAGGCTTCAATCTGTCTTTCTTCTCCATTGACAGGGATCTTTTTCTCCATCTGAGCTCGTTCTTCATCACTCCAAATACGAGTTTCCTTTTCAGCAACCTCCTTGTCTTCACCTGTTGAATAACGCCATTGTAAGTAATCTGTAGGGGTCTTTTCAAGATGTTGATTCAAATGATGGAAAGCGTGTTGTGCAACATAACCAATGCGAAGTGCAGGATGACGCCAGACAACACCTGTCTGAGGCACGAGTTCACCTGTCAAGAGTTTAATCATGGTAGATTTACCAGCACCGTTAGGACCGATGACAGCAACACGAGATGAAAGTGAGAGAGAAGCGGTAGCGTTGTAAAGTGAAGGCTTTGGATTACCAGGATAGGTATAAGTACAATCCGTCATCTTGAGGATAGCCTTCGTATTGGATCTGACACCTTGTAAGACAGAGGGCTTAGGGAAAGTGAATTCAACAGTAGAGGCGTCAAGTGTATAATAGGTACGGGCAGCAGGATAGACTTTAACAAAGGCAGAGAGATTACCATGGTATAGACGAAGCTTTTTCTTTTCGTAATGGAGAATTTGAGTACAGACATTATCCAAGAAACCAGAATCGTGAGAAACAATAAGACAGGTCACTTGAGATTGTGCATTCAAGTAATCCTCAAGCCATTTGATATTTGTTACATCCAAGTGATTTGTAGGTTCGTCCAATAAAAGAATATCAGCCTTAGATAAAAGAGCACGAGCAAGTTCAAGTTTCATCTTCCAACCACCAGAGAGAGCGGAAGCAGACATCTGAAGACGATTATCATCAAAGCCTACATCACGAAGAGATTTCTCAATATCAGAACGAGGTAAATTCTTCAAGAGCTCATCAGCAGCAACATAATCAACAATCTTGAGAGAAGAATCAGCGACTTGAGAGTTATAATCAACCAAGGCAGTACGAACTTGATCCTGAGGTGGGAAGCCCTCTACCTTACCAGCATGAATGGCATTTAACAATGTACTCTTACCAGCACCATTTTGACCACAGAGACCATAACGTTGACCACGATGTAACTTGAGTCTTGTATGACTTAATAAGAGACGTGTACCATAAGCGAGCGAAAAATCTTCAACATGACAAATCTCTTCGCCCTCTTGTTCGTCAATAGCAGAGTCATCACTTTCTGGGTTGCGCTTCTTGAAGATATCATGGATTTCGTTAAAGGCATTCTCGACAAGAGGAGGGATATCTGATTTCATAATAAAGGCCTTAAGATAAGGTGTGAAAACTTTAAGCCATTTTTCTTTAATAAACATTTCTTGACGAGCAAAATCTGCTGCAATAGTACCAAGATAAGAAACAAAGGAGATAAAGAAAGAATCAAGGAAACCCTGTACTTTAGTAGCAGCTTTCTTAACAGCAGCAGTACATTCTTCAATTGTAACTTCAGTTGAATTGCTATCTGTCCTTTCTTGAGCACCACCGGCATCAATCAAGGTCTGTTTAGCCTTATTTGCTAAAACACGAATCTCTGGGAAAGCAGCAGATTCAGCTTGACGCTCAATACCAGGATATAATTGAGGTAAGAATTGCGCAGCAGTACGAGGATCACGAACGAGTTTACACAAGTTATTAGTAATGACAACTGTTTGACGTAAAACGGTGGTTGAACGTTCATTTAGAGCACGAGTCAATAAGGGAACCATGATAGCCAAAGTAGGGCCATTGACTTCAGCAACAAAAGTGGTTTGAGCCAACTTTTCAATGGTTTCAGGAACACGGGTAGGATCACCCATACAGAGAACAAGATCTTTCAAGTGACGATGAATATCAGGATTACCACCGACTGAACAAATCTTTAACATGGCCTTTTCAGCAATGGTCGCTACATCCTTCTTGGTATCAGCAAGACAATCTGAGACAGCAGGAATGATCTCTGGTAAACATTCACCAATTTGCTCAGGGGCTCTTTCAGTAAAACGTTGTAATAATTTAAGAGCGCCGATCTTTGTCTGCCATTTCTTAGAATTGCCACTGCCATGGCCCATACCCTTTAAGAGGATAGGCAAAAGAGCCTTTGTAGCTTCAGGTGGAATCATATCTACAAGTGTACGAGATGCAACTTGAGCAGCTTCTTGAACAACAGCACCCTTATCTGAATAAAGATCAAGGAAAGTTTCAAGATGTTGAATGAGAAGAGGTTCAACTTCATGATTCATCACTTCTTCCATTGCATTGAACCCGATAAGACCACCTTCTCGTTCTAAACCAGACTTTTTGTTCTTTGTAGATGCTGCCAGTTTATCAAGAATACCATAAGTTTTGATCATAATCATACCCTTAGACTGAACAAGCTTGGCAAGTTCTTGAGCTGCTTGCTCGACTTCTTCTGAAGTAGGAGCAGTGTTAATCTTATTAAGGAGATCAGCAACTTGAATCGCTTGTTCGTTTGCTGGAGATACCATCATTTACCAGTTGTTGTTGTTTTTTTTTTGTTTGTTTGAAAATAAAAATAAGACGCTAGTAAATGGAATAAAAGGAAAAAGAACTATGCAGTTGTAAAAAAAAAAAGGGGGAGATAGGTTCTTCGCTAGAAAGAAGCAACCAAAGAGAATGGATAACAACTAAAAAAAAAAAAAAAAAAAAAAAAAAAAAAAAAAAATGGTTTTAAAAAATTTGCTTAATCTATTCAAACCCAGTTTCTGGAATAGAAAAAAAAAAGATAACTGACAGTCATTTCATTTACTTCCTTTCAGAAGAAGCATTATTTTGAAATGCTCTGTCCCCTCCTTCTTATAAGTCTAAATCGATAAGCTTAAGATAAGTTGTTAGTCATGTAAAGTAGCACTATTTTCACTTCTCAAACACATTCTTCTTTAACATAAATTAGCCTAATAATCATTGGTAAAAGGATTTGATGTAAGTGTGAAATACTAAAACTGACTGTGCATAATAAATGCAGACAGGTTTTATATTTAATTGGTTTAAATTTTAGGACACTTGTGGCTTTTATGAAATTTAGAATACAGTAAACAAATCAAAGAAAACAATTAATTAACTAAAAAATAAAATAAAGTAAAATAAAATAAAATAAAAAAATAAAAAATAAACGCAATAGAACAAGTAAAAACATACAGCAAAGAAGCTATGATCATTTTAGATTCTAATTTTTATTATTTTGTTATGTTTTGGTTTTCAAGAAAGGAGGAAAAAAAGTCAGTTTTATATACTTGAAGTCAATCTTCTTAATTAAAAGAAATTCACTTGGATCTTTTTTTTTTTTTTTTTTTTTTTTTTTGAAAAAAAAAACTTACAAAGTTGGAATATCTTTATTTTTTCTTTCATTTTCATAATACTTGGCAATTAAGAATGCAACATCAAGTGACTGTTCATAATTTAAACGAGGATCACAATGAGTTTGATAATTTGAAGGAAGATCAGAATCTCTTAAATCCATTGATCCACCAATACATTCTAACAAAAAAAAAAAAAAAAGATGTCAATAATTGTTTTGCCCGACATTATTATTAATCTCTTTACCTGTAACAGAATCACCAGTCAATTCAAAGTGAACACCATTTAATTTACTATTGCATTCTTTGTGGATTCTGAAAGTTTGAGATAATTCTTGAATGATATCAACAAAATGACGAGTTTTCAAATTGCCAGATGCAGTCTTTGTATTTCCATGCATAGGATCACAGACCCAAACAGGAATATGCCCAGATTTACGAACAGCTTCAATGTGTTGAGGCAAAAACTTTTCGACTTTGTCAGCACCAAAACGAGTAATCAATGTGACTTTACCAATTTCCTTATTAGGATTGACTGTATTTAATAAATCTACTAATTGTTCAGGTACAGTTGTAGGTCCAACTTTTACACCGATAGGATTCTCGATACCACGAATATATTCAACATGAGCGCCATCAGGTTGACGAGTACGATCACCAATCCACAAAAAGTGAGCACCTGTATTATACCATTTCTTTTCCTTAGTAGAAGGTGACGTTAATAAACGTGTTAAGGATGCTTCGTAATCTAGCAATAATGATTCGTGTGAAACAAAGAAATCAATAGAATTGAGGGCATTAGGAATATCATTCTTGTCTGCACCAATGGTTCGCATGAAATCAAGCGAATCTGATAATTGTGTTACAATTGTTTCATATTCCCGTTTGACATTATCAGAGCGCACGTGGCTCAAATTCCATTGAGAAGGCTGATGTAGATCTGCAAACCCAGAATCAAGCAAGGTGCGTACATAATTTAATGTGGCAGCTGAATGGAAATAAGCACTTTTTTTAAAAAAAAAAAAAAAAAAAAAAAAAAAAAAAGAAAGAAAGAAAGAAAGAGGATAAGAAACTGATCTCACTGTGTGTAAGAATGTTTATAATAATGTAGTTTACCCTAACAAACGGTCAGGATCTGGTTTACGGTCTTTAGGATCAAACCCGTTTACATTATCTCCTCTAATAAAAAAAAGGATAAGTTAATTCTGACTATTATTTACAAAACTATGACTGGCTTTACCTAAATGAATGAATTTCAACGCCTTCATGCATTTCCATTGGATTTGAACGAGGTTTAGCATATTGACCAGCCATACGAGCAATACGTACAACAGGAGTGCGAGCACCCCAAGTTAATACAAGTGACATTTGTAACAAGACCTTGAGTTTTGCTTCAATTGGTTCCTTCATGAATCACATATATAAAAGAAAGAAATTACAATGTCAATTAGGATCATTCAAATGTATCCCATAATTTGAGTGTTTACTTGAGAACAATAATCGAATAATTCAGCGCAGTCACCACCCTGCAATAAGAAAGATTTACCGAGGGCAGCTTCTTTCAACTGTGCTTTCAAATTTTCAATCTATGATAATTTTATTTAGAGAAAAAAGAAAAAAGGACATTCTTTAATTTATAATGTAGTTCATTCTTACTTCTGCTGGAGATACCATGGGAGGCAAACGTCGTAATTTATCTAATACACGATCAACGTGGTCTTGGTTTTCATAAACAACATCTTGTACAATAGGCTTTGTTTTCCAATGTTGAGGAGACCAATCAGCAGTCATAATACAATAAAAAAAACTATAAAAAAATGAAAATAAAAGAGAAAAGAGAGAGAGGAAAAAAAAAAGAACGAATCCTTATCATTATTAAAAAAAATGAAGTTTAATAAATAACGAATAAATCGTTAGCACCCTTCTCATTAGACTACTTTTTATGGATGTAAACCGTCACTTAATATTTTGACATTTTTTTTTTTTTTTTTTTTTTTTTTTTTTTTTTTTTTTTTTTTACAATTCTTGACTCATACTTTATAATATAGAATCTCTCCTTTCTCATTCCTTTGTCTCTTTTCTTTTCTTTATTATTTCAGATAATGGACAAGATTTTATTAGTAGTTTGCTTCAATTTTCTTCTTTAATATCGTTATTTTGACTTGATTCATTTAAAATATAAATATTATATATGAAGGAATTCTTTAGGGTTTATTTTATTTTATTTTATTTATTTGCATTATTAATAAAATAATTCAAATCGGGTATTTAAAGATCATTGTCTCGGTATTAATTCCTTACTACCGTAATAAGTTATTTCTATTTGTTTAAATTATATTTATTTTATTTTATTTTGCCTGACTTGTTATTATTATTAAGAAAAGGAGGGACACATACACATATAGAGTATGATAACTATTAAAAAAAAAAGGGGGTGTATGTATTTATTTATTTATTCATTTGTTTGTTCGTTTCTGTGCAAGGTTTCACGGATACCAAATAAGATAGTGTAATTGCTTGATTACCTAATACAGGTTGCAACATGATTGGATCATTTTAAAACGTTATAACTGTACCTGGATTTAATCTATTTTTTTTTTTTTTTTTTTTTTTTTACTACTGAGATCATTTATATGCTAGTTCTGTACATAATATTTTTTTTCTTTTTTTGTTTTTAATATATATATACAAGGAGCGATGAGATACCGATGAATGTAAAGAAGAATTTATGAACTTGTTATATATATAAACAAGTCGATTCATAAGATAATGATGCCCGATGTTAAGAAGAAGAAGAAGAAAAAAAGGGTTTATTATGATTACATATTATTTTAGTTCAAGTTATTTTGTTTGAATTCTATCATTTTCTGTAGGGCAATAAATAGGTGCTTCTATATCGAATTTAAGTGTTTCTTGCTTCTTAACAGGATCCATAAACATCATGTTCCTATCAAAAAGAAAAAGAAAAAATACAACGATTAATACCAATCTCAAGCTTGAAAATAATTCAATTTTTTTTTATACCATAGCATTTTTGATAACCATTTGTGTGCCAATGAAGAAGGATGGAAACAATCAATATTACTATAATATATATATATATATATATGTATACATAAAGGTTATACATGGTAATCGTAGTATTATTATTTATTCTCTAATTTTTACCTAATGGCTTGAATAGGAAAACTCATAATGTCTACTAATAATGGTTGAAATACAACTCCAAACGTTTGATCTGATAGAAATTGGTCAGTTTGATAATTCTCTACGACGTTTTTTAAAGCAACATTATATTCAGGAAAGTGAGTTGACATGATAGTACGATTGTATTCACTATGCGAACATTCACATTCATGATCATGGCCAATAAAATCACTTCCTTTAATAGGTCGACAATAATCTGTAAAATTGGATGTAGCAACTACGATATCATGAACTCTCATCAGTCCCACTATATGAAAATTGACATTAATAAACCCTTCTTTCTTTCTTTCTCTTTGGTTTGATTATACCAATTTGTACAAGAACATAAGGTATACTTGTTCTAATACGTTCAATAGCTGCTAAAACATTGATTCCAAATGTGTTTGGTAGAGAAGTAGGTTCAGTACAGGAATGGCAAATATCATTTGAACCAATAAAAAAAGTGAGTAGTTTCCAATCATTTCGCTGAACTGCTCCTGATTCATATAATTCATCTAATTCATCCAACAAATAATCAATTTCATGGTTTAAATTGAGACTACGTGCACCTGATTGTGCTGCATTTAATCTGTCAATCTTGGATCTATATTGACCTTTAGGACAGATTTGATTACCTAAGAAAAAAAAAAGAGAGAGAGAGAGAGAGAGTTATAAAAGGAGAAGAAGAAGAAAAGTAGAGTTTTTTTTTGTTATTCATATAAATATTTACCAAAACAAATACTAATAATATGATCTCCTACAGAAGCACCATGAAGGTTATGAGAGTAATAATTGAGTATATTGGGTACAGTTACAGTATTTGGATTCTATAATAATAATAATGAATAACAGTAAGATACTTGGTTTATATTATCTTACTTACACCACCCATTGCAAATGAAACACCTCTATTCTCATATAAATTCTCGATATTAATAAATCGATTATCTTGAATACCTTCAGCAGCAAAGGCTGCCATAACACTACATGATGATGAGAAATGAATATAAATGAAATGAGAACAAAAGTTTTTTTTTTGTGGAGAAAGAGATACACTTACCTATCACCTATACCTGCAACAACACGAATATCATCAGGCCTTAAATCATGTACACTTTGTGCTGGTGACGCTCTAGGTGTTAAAAAGGGACAACCAATATCTAACGGCACCTCTGTTCCATTTCTGGCTATCGTTGTCATATCAGTACCATTATTTTGACGTCGAGCGATTGTTGCTGTCATTACAGTAGGCATCATGATTAACGAAAATAAATAAGCCATGATAGGCATTGAAGAGGCTATAAAAACAAATGTAGGCAGCATATCGAAACAACCTTCAAAGTAATGAAAGAGCGCAGAGGAATGTTGCTTTTGATTATATGTTTTTATAGTTGAATCAATCTGTGATTCTTCTTCTTCAATTTGTGGTGGTACAGAAGAAGGCTTTGAAAAGGATAAAATATATGAATTTCCTTTAGTATAAAACATTCGAATACGATTTATGCAAAAAAAAAAAAAAGAACAATCATTCAATTATATTTATAATAAAGAAAAAAAAAAAGAATCAACAAGTACAGTCTATAATAATAAAAAGGAGATAAAAAAAAATGGTAAAGAAAATCAAAAAGGAGAAAGTGATGATAATTTGGTACGCGGTAATAGACGATATAATTGTACATTCGTTTCTTTAAGAATGAGTTGAGGTACCAAGATATGATCTTCATCCTTTTTATCTTCATAGTCAAGTAATTTCACATCAAAATAGTGACTACATAAAGACCAAAAGCGTTGCTCTTCTGCTTCATCAAATCCACGACGTTTATAACCAATATAAATACGAGTCTCACTTGTGCTTAAATCTACAAATGTCTTTACAAGGTCTTCAAAGAATTGTGATTCATAAAGTACATCGGATGCAAGAATTAAATCTGCTTTCCCACATGCTTCTGCCTCCTTTCTGTTCCCCCATAAAAGAGACTTTGTTTGTAATTGTTGGTTTGATAATAATAAGAAATTATTTATCTTTCCATTTTTATTGATCAAATCGACTGCGTCACCTAATTCTGTAATTGTAATTTGACCTTGTTTACTACTTGATTCTATCATACTTGCTGCTACATAAAATCCTAATAATCCAGTGCTTTTTTTTTTAAAAAAAAAAAAGAAAAAAGAAAAAAAAAAGGAGAGATTATCAACAACAAAAAGCAAGCAAAAACTACTTTCAGTTTATATACAATTACCCTGCACTTAAATCTAGTGTATGTTTCCCTTGTATATAGTCTGGACGTAACTTGATCATGTTTTTTATGAAATCAAGCATAACAAGAGCGGAATCCCAAATTTTACCTGGAATACCTGAATCCCACATTTCATGAATAGCAATATTATTAAGAGGTGGATCGCATGATGATGATGAAGTAGCCACAGAAAACACACGATAACCATCATGAATCATATCTTTAATTTCATTTGGATCCCACAATTCTAAAGGTAAATTCGTGATGCTGCTCTTCTCTTCTTTATCAAAATCAGATGATGTTGTTGTATCTGATATAATTTCAATAGGACCTACTACGAGAGGTAAGATCATGTCTTCATTATGTGTCGTCTTATCACCCTTAGGAAATTGAACGAGCTTTGAAGCCTTTATATGTATAAATCTCTTTTGTTGTCCCTGCTTTGAATGATGCTTGGATCGGACACGATATTCAAATGCACCTTTACCAGATTGAACAAAGCCTGGTACAGGCATCCTTTCTTTAGATAATCGTCCTTCTGAAAAGGCATGACAAGATCGAATTTCAATTTCCCAGTCACGATCTTGTGTCTGAAAAGGTGTAATGCTTTCTTTATGATTAGGTGTAAAGAGATCACATGTGACTATCACTTGTCCATCGGGTTCAATATCAGCGCGTCGAAATAAACCTAATTCATTAACAAGTAATAGATCAACTCGATACCAATGATTAGGTATAATAGGTGAAACTAAAGGAGAACGTAAATTGATTCGATAAAGTGAGAAATGTTTTTCTAATTTCGTTCGAAATTCTTCATCAGTCAAACTCATTCTTTTTTTGAGTAAATAGGAAGAAAAGGAAAAAGAAAGAAAGAAAGAAAAGAAAAAAAAATCTGGTGTTGTTTAACTTTCCGCTTATTTTATTATTATTGACTGACACAAATAGCTACACCTAATAAAACTAAACCCATTCCTAACCAGGTATCTATCATGATGATGAATATAATAATCTGAACATGGTCTCTGTTTATTTAATGTAAAAAAGAAGAAGAAGAAAAAAAAGTTACCTTTACCACCAATTTTCTCACCTAAACATAAACCAGTTAATAATGAAAAAATAAATGTCAATGAATTAGTGATTGGCACAGCGAGTGACATGTCTGTATAAAATATTAAAAAAAAACATGATGAGTTTCGATCTCCATTCACATGCAACATTTATCTATTCTTGTTAGAAAAAAAAATTACTTGATTTCCCTAGAGTGTAATAATAAACGACTGAACCGCTTAGATTAAGGACCAACGGAAGAAGATACTTTTGAAATCAAATCTATTATTAGTCTTTTATTATCGTTTTTATTATTATTGTTATTACCTGCCATTTTGTAAATAAATATTTTATTTCTGCAAACCACTTTTTGAAGCAACCACTTTGTGAATATTGATTTGATATTTTATCTAAACCAGCACTACCTGCTTTAATGAAAGGATTGGTTGAACCCCAACAAATAGCCACTATATTTATTGAATGAATAAATGAATAAATCATGTGATACTTTTATTCCTTTATTACTTTACCCAAAATAAATCCAATTAGTTGACCTAAAAAAAAAAAAAAAAGTAAACAACAGTACAGAAAAGGGGCTTTCTTAATCAAGTTAGAGCAACTTACAAAGAAGTGAGTCAGACATTAATAACTCGAGTGAGAGAGAGAGAGAGAAAATAAAACATTCAATCAAATTTTATTTTATTTTTACAGTTGACGATGACTGCTAATTATTTTAATAGGGTGCTGCATAATAAAATGGACACCCTTTCATTGTTAAATAAAGATGAAGCTTTTATTAAGAAGAAGAAAATAAAGTTAGTATTGCGCAGTAAATGACTATGATGATAGATCTAAATTTATCATTGAGGACTGCTGCTGTTGCGCGTTTTTTTCATGTCAAACATTATAAAGAAGAAGAAAAGAAAAAAAAATAAAGAGAGAGAGAGAGAGAGAGTAAGAGAAAGAGAGACAGATACAATCAAATCATGGTTTGTTTGTTTTCGTTCTTGTCTTACGCTAAGCTTCTTCTCTTCTCGATAGTGTTGTTTATTATTATTACAAGTACATATTGGAGATTATTTTAACAGCAGCAATCATCTACTCCTTCTTCGTTACAACAAATACAACAAATACACAAAGCAGCAAATCTATTAAAATTATTATGACTATCTATTATCGTAATGACTATCTAATTACTTACAGCCCTAAACAACATCTATAACAATCGTCACATTGACTTTGTTGATGAGGATATAAAGGATAAGGATGTTGTGGTTGTGGTTGTGGTTGTTGTACCATGATAGGTTGTCCGCCTGTCATTTGCATTGCCCCCATAGCAGGATAATATCCTATAATGAAATTAAAGATAAAAAGGGTTATTCCATGTATATTTGTATGTCTATATCTAACCTGGTGTCTGTTGAGTTGCTATCATTGGAGTATAAGGTGAATGGCCATAAGTCGTTGTAGTCATTTGGGGCATTCCAGGTGTAGTTGTATATATTGGAGTAGTTGTATATATTGGAGTAGTTGTATAGATAGGATTAGGTATAGCAGTAGTCATATGAAAATAAAATAGATAAATAAAAAGAAAAGAAAAAAGAAAGAGTAAACAAATGTATATCATGTACAAATATAGTAGAAAGTATTATTCTAATAATTCATTCTCATATACTTGCTTATTTTTTCTTTTTCATTATGTAACTTCTCCTTTCTATAATAGAAGATCTACAATAATTGCTTATTACTACTTGGCACTGAAATTAAATAGTGAGCTTTATTTATTTATTTTTTATTTTTTTTTCCCTTTCTCTCTCCTTCTCTTTCTCACTCTCACTCTCTCACTCTCTCACTCAATTCCCCCTTTTTTTTCATTTTTATTATAAATGATGGAAACAAAGGTTGTAATAGTCAAGTTAGGTGGTGCAGCTATTACAAATAAAAAGGGATTATGTGAATTAGGACCAGAGAATGAAGTATCTAGTTTGTTAGACAAAGTAGCTCATGCCTATCAAATTTTGAAAGCAGCAGGACATCAACTTATTTTAATACATGGTGCAGGTAGTTTTGGTCATCCTCAAGCTATTCAATATAAACTCAAATTAGGCTGGCAAGAGGAGAGTAAGAAGGAAGATGAAAGGAGATATTTTACAATCATAAATGGCTTCTCACATATTCGTTCTTGTTTACAATTACTGAATTATAACATGATTAGTCAGCTTGAATCAAGACATGTCCCTGTCTTATCTTTACCACCTATTCATTATGTTGAAACAAAGAATTGTGAAGAAAGTGAGACAAAGGAATTCATCAAGATGGCCAGCCAAGTTCAAAGATATTTAAACTTGGGATTTGTACCTGTTTTACATGGAGATGCTGTCCTTGATGATGTTCGAGGATGTACTATTCTATCGGGTGATATCATGATGTATCAATTAACCAAATTAATATCAAATGTATGTCGATGTATCTTTATAACAGACGTCTATGGTCTTTATCCAGCTGATCCAAAGCAGACGTTTATGAATGATAAAAATGACTTGATCCATTCTATACAAGTCGATATAGAAGAAGCTGAACATGAAATGATACAACAAGATGATGAAACGACATATGATGTAACAGGTGGTATGAAAGGAAAAGTAAAATGGGCAAAGAAAATAGTATGGATTCGACAAGATTTAGATGTGATTTTAGGTAGATGGGATACAGTAGATGTATTCGATATGATGACATTAAAGAGTTCAAAAGATGAGAAAAGAAGATGTATGACTGTCTTTACAAGGAAATAATTCATTCTATTTATTATTAATTTAAACTTGTCAAATAAGCTTGAATTATACTTTTCATAGTTCCCATTTCATGTTCTTTACTGTAAATATCTAATAAACGTTCTACTGCTAAAGCGTGTAAATCAGATACATGATTCACTTCATTGGATGATACTAATTTACTTGCACACTATTAAAATAGTTAGTATAAAGGAAAATAGGGAATTTTTTTTTTGGGTTAATTCAATGTATAAACATTAGATGTATCATTATCATTACCAATTGTAATCCATAAAGCGCTCTTACATGATCTGTACATAATTCTAATACTTTACAATAATGCTTTAAAGCTAAAGGTAAATGATTTAAAGTATAAAGTATTTCAGCATATTTTAAAAAGGAAATATGATTTGAAGGTTGAAGAAGGATCATTTCTTCACAACAATAAGCTGCTTGATCATACATATGTTTAGATACATAAATATCACATAATTCTGACCAAGCTTCATGATCGTCATAATAGGTATCTAAATAGGTTGAAAGTGCTTTCATCATCTCTTCATCCTTATTCCTTGCTTTTAATAAAGCGATCTGTCTTTTCGAGGCCAACTATGATAATGATATATTTAAATAACATTCTTTCTCCATTATATAAAATAGTTGCTTTACCATATTGGTATCATCCTCTTGTAGGATTGAATCATAAACTTCTTTTGCTTTATCTAATTGACCTTCTGCTTCAAACCTCATTCCTAACAAACGACGAAATCTCAACGATTTTTCTGTAAAACGTTCCTTTAGTTTATCAATACAATGCTAAATAAAAATAAACATTATTAAATTTGAATAAACAAAAAAAAAAAAAAAAAAAAAAAAAAAAAAAAAAAAGGGAGGGGAAAAAAGAGTAGGGGTCAAACATACATTGGCAAGAATAAAATCTTGAACATCAAGTGCTGCTATTGCTACTTGTTCATAAAAAGGCCAAACTAACATAATGCAACAAGTTATTTTAAAGTATAATCATCTTTCATAATATTTTATATATGTATACCTTGATCACCTAATTTAGAAATGTAATTATCTTTTATAAGTCTTGCTCCTAAAAAAGCTACTTTTTCAGAACAACGTTCATTAGTTAAACGATAATGTTGAAGTTCTTCAATAGCTTTGATGTGATTAAACTTGCTCATGTTGTATATTTAAAATAAAATAAAATGAAAATAAAATATGTCTTTTCGCGTCCGTTTTCATGTTTATTCATTATCCGACTCGGACAGAATAATTGTCATACTATTCCAACATTATGCAGTAGTAGTGGTAGTAGTAGCGGTAGCAGTAGTGATAGTAGCAGTAGTAGTAGCAGCAGCAGTAGTAGCAGTAGTAGCAGTAGCAGTAGCAATAGCAGTAGCAGTAGCAGTAGCAGTAGCAGTAGCAGTAGCAGTAGCAATAGTATTATTATTCTATTTATGACTTGTTTAAATAAAAGAGATAAATAGTAATCAAGGAAATAGATTTATTATTATTCGCTTATAATAATAACAATTCTTCCTCTTTTTTGTTGCTTCTAATAAACTAGGATATGAAATTCGACGATGATAATCTAAGTATTAACTAAATATGGAAATCAGTTTCAAAGATATTCAATGCATCATTTTAAGAAAGAAAGTCTATTATACATAAAAATAATAATGTAAGATGACTTCTTTTATATAAATAGAAAAAAGTAGTTTATATTGATGCTAACACTAAAAATATGACATGATTCTTTTTTATATAGTGTTATTCTAATATTTTGACAATAAATAATCTCTTTTTTTTCTTTCATTGTGACATTTTAAAAGACATATCAAATCATTGTTACATAGAAGAAAGTCTTGTTTAATTAAGGGCAAAGTTTTATAATATAAAGTTTCAAAAAAATATATGAAAAATTTTTTTTTCTGTGATGAACCTCTCATACATTACCTTTTTTTTTTTTTATTCAAGTTTTTCAGTCTCCGATATATCAAAACTTAAATCGTCCTTTTTTTTTTTTTTTTATATATTTGTGTATATGTGTATACACATATATATTTTTTTTTTCCCTTTTCTTATTTTTATTTTATTTATTTTATTTTATTTTATTTTTTTTCTTGAATACCTTTTATTATTAGAATTTATTTATTGTTATTATGAGCTGCATTCAAACAGGTAATCATCAATAGAAACCTTGGTTTTATGCTCTTCTTTTAATTCCTTTTTATTATTGCTATTTTCTATGATAGACAATAGTTATATCCATTCTCGGTAATTATCAAGTAACCAAATAAGGATAGTAAAAAAGATGAATACTTAATTATTTATGTTGAATAGATTTGTTAGCAGTAATGATAATCGTCCAGAATTTACACATGAAGAGAGTAATAGCAGTAGTAGTACAAATAATATACCAAAACTATTAAGATCCTCTACTTCTTCTTCTACTACTGAGCAGTTACAACCACCTACACCTAATCCTGACTTGTTTGATTTTCAATTTTTATCTTCAAAAGATAATCCTATTATTAATCATCTTCGTATTACAACAACTATTTCAAATGAAAGTGAATGTGAATCAGTGTCAACTCAATCTTCTTCCTTGTATCATCGACATAAAACATCATTATACCCATCTTCTATAAATACAACAGATATAACAAATAACTTGGATGCAATTGCAACTCCAATATCGTCAAGAGAAATAGTAACAACCACTACTGCGTCATCGTTTGATACATGTATTTCTCGTTATTTACCACAAAATCAAGCTGTCATCACAACTCAGGATAATTGGCGTATTAGTCTTTTAAATCAAATAGCTACCATGATTCTTTCTGGTTTACAAAGAGATTTAACTGAACAAGATTTTATTGGGAAACATATATTAGACTTTATCGATGTCAACTATAGACCTTTATTACTTGATAAAATTGTTAAAATGAGAGATGATTCTCCTCAATCTTACCATCTTCACAGTCATGGCATTGTCCTCATTTGTGGTGATATCGTAAGTGAATTACAAAAATTATCTGTATCCTATCCTAATTATTTTTCTTTCTTTCTTTCTTTCTTTTTATTTATATTCATATTTATATAAAAATAGATACCTATTATCAAACAAGATGGAACCAAGTCTTCTGCTTCTCTTTGGTTAAAAGAAAAGAAAAATGAAAATGGTTCTTCTATCTTTATTTGGATATTTGAAGAAGTGTCTCATAGTACAATCAAAATTTTATTAAATGAAAATGTAAGTTTATATTGTATCAATACATATAAATATATATATAAATATATATATATGTATATATAAATATATATATATATATATATTTATATAAAAGGGGAATATAACTTTGTTGAATAATAAGAATTATAGAATTTAATTCAATCTGTAAATGAAGATAATGACGCTATCGAACTCTTTGGCTATACTTCTTTAGAATTGATTCAACAACCTATTCAAAAATTAATACCCCATTATGATAAGACATCTCTATTTTTTGGCGGTCGTACGAAAAGAGATGCTTATTTCCCTGTCATGATTGGACATATTCAAAATAGAATTCGTATTACATCTATGCCAACTCTGGCAGGACTCGTGACTGTGGATCGTGAAAGTATGAAGATTCAAAGTTCAAATCATAGTCATACATCATCCTTTTGTAAACATCTATTTGGTTATGAACATATCGATCACATGTCCTTGGCCATCTTGATCCCACTCTATCCACGTCTTATCGAGTTACTTGAACGTGATCATTTATTAGATGAAGGTTATGTTCTGAATAACTCAATTTGTCATCACATCCTTTTAAATGAAGTAGGTCAACCTCTGATGGCTCGACATCGTGATGGTAGCGAATTTGAAATTGATATTCAAATCAAATTGCTCGACTCTACAACATATGCACTTTGGATTACCTTTGATCGAGATGCTGTCTTTACACGTTATGGTCATACCACTTCATCTATTATGTATTCATCATCACAACAAAAGGATTCTTATTCAACTACCATTGTTCGATCTAAATCAATTAATTTACCTGCCATTTATACAAAGAGGAAAAAATCAAGTATCGTTCTAAATCGACCTACTATCATAACGACTGCTACGAATACAAAGAATGTAATGGGTATTAATACATGTTCAATAAAAGAAGAAGAAGGAGTAGTAGTATCAGGTCCTATTCACTTGGAATCTTCAGTAGAACAACAACAACAACAACAACAACAACTACGGCCAGTCTCAATGGGTCGTATCACGAGTTTTTCGAGACCTTCTTTCTTTAGTTCAGTCGAAAAGAATGAAGTTAAAGATTCCTTTCATAGTCACTCAAATCGTTTTCATATACAACAACAACAACAACAATCTACTCCTGATACAAAAGATTTAAGTTCGATTTGGCCACGTTTAGGCGAATATTCTGCACAAACCTTAAAAACAAATATTCATAATTATGAGATTGTAGATGAATTAGGTCAAGGTGCTTATGGTGTAGTGAAACTAGCTTATCTAAAAAGTGATCCACAAAAGGTAAATATATAAAAAAAAAAAAAAAAAAAAAAAGAAAGAAATCTTGTCTTTTAAACCTCGATATTCATCCTTTCTCTCTCTTTTTCTTTTTATTATTATTATATTTATAGAAACGTGTAGTTATCAAATATATTATAAAGTCACGTATTTTAGTTGATTGTTGGATACGAGATCGTAAACTTGGACTTATCCCTGCTGAAATTCACGTTTTACATACTTTACGTAAAATACCACACATCAATTGTAGTGATATGTGTAAGTCTTTCTCTTTATATATATATATATAAACGTGACTATTTTAAATAGGGATAGTAGTAGTAACATAACATAACATATATACATCTATTTAGTGGATTATTTTGAAGATGAAGATAATTATTATGTTGTTATGGATCTTTATGGTGCAGGCATGGATTTATTTGATTATATTGAATTAAAAGAAGGTGGAATGACAGAAACTGAAATTCGAGATATCTTTCGTCAAATAGCAGAAGCAGTGAGACATTTACATGATCATCGTATCGTTCATCGAGATATTAAAGATGAAAATGTCATTTTAGACCTCAATGGTGGTGTTCGATTAATTGATTTTGGAAGTGCTGCTTATCTAAAAGAAAGTAAACAATTTGAAACATTTGTTGGAACCCTGGATTATGCTGCACCTGAAATTCTGAAAGGACAAGCCTATAGTGGTCCACCTCAAGATATTTGGGCCTGTGGTACCTTATTGTATACCTTGATCTATAGGGAAAATCCATTTTATAACATTGAAGAAATCATGGAACGTGAATTAAGAATACCCTTTGTTATATCTGAAGGTAAAGATTCTCAAAAAAAAATAATAATCCATGATAAATGTTAACATGTTTGTATTTAGAATCTGTAGACCTTATACGTAAAATGTTGGATCGTAATGTTAACAAGCGAATTAATATTCATCAAGTATTAGAACATTCTTGGTTTCATGCAAACTAAGCTCTTTTTTTTTTCTTTTTTCTTTCTTAATTGTTTGTAATCTGTATTCTTCTCTCAATCGTTATTTATATTTATTATTGTAAACAAAATAGATATTAAAAAAAAAAGAAAAGAAAAGAAAAAGAAAAGAGAAAAATACCCTTCTTCCTCCCTCCCTCCCCCCCTTTTTTTTTTTCTTTTTTTGTTAATAATAGAAATAAAATAAGGGTCCATTCATCGTCATTGGAAAAAAAATAATGCATTATTGACGTGATATTTTGATCTCCGATCGAATAGTAGTGGAAGAATAGGAAAAAGACAGAAGAGACGGATTGTCGTTCCTTATAAATTGAATTTAAACCGGAGAAGATTTTAATTAGACGGATAATCATTTGGTAATTAAAGTTAAAATAATAGTTAGTAGTAGCCATGATTTATCGAATACTAAATAAATGAAATAGCTTATTTTAAAAGCTATTTTTGGAATATAATAATTATGTTTTTCTTCTTTTCCAAAGAAAGAAAAAAAAATGGAATAATTCATCATCTTTATTTAAAATAGCGATAATGGGAGTCTTTTTTTTTTTTCCTTTTTTTTTTTTTTTCTTTACTGCTATTTGTTATTTGTTGCAGTGGTGTAACTATTATATAAATATTAAATTGATTTGCTTTTCTTTTCTCTTTCTTTCTTCCTTTCTCTCTCTCTCTCTCTCTTCCTCCCCCTTTTTTTTTTTTGTAACTAAAAATGATGCTTCTTATAAATCGGTTTAAAATTCCCCTTTTAAAGAAAAGTTCCCGTGTAGCAAAAAATAAACCAATAAAACGATTGAGAAGAAGAAATAGCAATAAATCACTTCCTTATGAAATACAAGAACTCGTATGTCATTTTTTACTGGAAGATGACCCTACTAATTCAATTGCATTAATATGTATGCGAGTATGTAAATCTTGGGCTAGATTTATTTGTGAACGCTTATACAGGTAAATTAGACATTGATATACGGCCCTTTATCATAGAACGACCTTCCTACTTACTCTCCCATTTATTAGAGAGTTTCAATTTAAAAATTATATTCAATTTATTGGATTTGTCAATACCATCTCGCTTCATGATCCTTTATTCCCTTATGGTAGTTATGTACGCAATTTAGATCTTACGCCAGTCAACAAATACGGAGTAGATATGCGAGTGAGACGATTGATTAAACATTGCCCTAATATGGTCCGTATTAGGTTAGGTCCAACAACAAGTGTCAAGGCAGAGACACTTCAACTCATGGGTCGCTATTGTCATCATGTTCACACCCTTGAAATGGGAGGTCTTCAGAGCTTCCCCTTTATGTTCGATTGTGATTTCTCTGGCATGTTGGCTCTCAAACGACTTTCACTCATCACAACTCCCTTACAGGCTAATTCACTTGAAACGATACCTAACTCTATTCGTCATCTACAAATCACTCAGCTCGATGCGCTTTATCATGACGAATTCATTCAATTCTTAAAACATCATCCTCGTTTAGTTTCACTCTCTATTCATCGTTGTCGACATTTAAATACCGCAGATCTCTCCGCTTTCATTCCTTGTTTACCTCACCTGTCTGTACTTGAATTGACGGGTCCTGAAATAGGGGATGACAACGTAAAAGGCTTATTCAAGATACCAATCCAATTACACACACTAAAGTTATCTCATACTCAAATCAGTGATCAAACATTAGAGTCCTTAGCATTTGGTTCCTTGACGATACAGCATTTAGACATCTCACATAATGTCAATCTTACTTTACAAGGTCTTCAATTTTTACTGAAGAGAAAGAAATTTAAACAATTGATGACCAACTTGATATAATAATAAATTCGTTTGTTTGTTTATTTTATTTTATTTTATTTTATTTTACTTTGTTTTATTCAACTTCTATGCAGAGAATGAACCTAGTAACTCTATAGGATGATATTCACCTTTAGCAATTTGATCTGCTCTTTTTACAAGGTCATACGTTATTTTGGAGGTCACAATAGAATCTTGTTTATAATCAGGATGTTGTTGAACAAACTGTCTTAGATAAGTAGCACCTGTCATGAGCTCACCACTTGCTCTCTTACTGATTAAACTTAGATAACTTGATAATTTACACCGTGTCTCAATATCTATATTTGTACTATTCAAATAACTATGAATTAAAGGTACAAAGCCTGGGAATCCATTTTCCTAAGGAAAAAAAAAACATGCATCATAATTTAATTTCATCTCTCTATTGTATTCATCAAGTAACTTAACTTACTTTGCCATTAATAATCTCATCCATTGTCATCAATTCATATGCATCTTCGTCTTCATTCGTTAAACTAGAATGGTTGCCTTGTGTACTAAATACATTTTTACGGAAATAAAATCTGTCATTTAAAACTGCATTTCGTTTATGTGCAGTCTGCATGTTGGCATCAATTTTTGAAATGGGAATATAAAAGTTGAGACCAAAGCTGAGGATAACACGCGTTAATAGGACAATAAAGACCGAATAGGCTGCATTCTCAAAATCAGATAATTGGACTTCCATGCTTCTAAATTCGACACGCCAGCCAATAGAGGAATTGGGTGGTGGTGGTTTAAATCTCATTGTTTGCCAGTTTGTAGATTGAAGATTCTATTCATTAAAAAAGGAGTTAAATATATCATGGCATATGTTTACATACTTTCCTCTCTCTCTCTCTTTTTTTTTTTTACCTCAAAATGATCAGATGACAATTTATCATCAACATTTAAAAGTTCTTTGAAAATAACAAGTGGATCACGAATAAAGAGGTGAGAAATATGTTTTGCCAATTTTTCATCTACATCATTTTCTCTCAGTGTATTATAAATGTCTTGATCGTAAATCAAATTAATATCGTCGTATTTTGCTTTATAATTAGAATCGTTAGATAGATAAGAATCAATTGAATCGTAACGTGACTTGTTAATAATGAATCGATCATGTTGAAGAGGCTTTTTATATTAGAGAAATAAGTTAGAAAACATATATAAACTTTTGTGGAAGGAGAAAAGGTTACCTTTTCACCTCTTTCTTCTGGTGTTCTATCGTCTACACTAGAAGAAATGACGTTCCAACGAGCATCTACATTAGCCAAATAACCGCGATAAATAGGAGAATTAGCAGAGAGGGCCATCATTAATGGTGCTACAGGAGCTAATTGGTCATAGAGTCTTCTTGCTTCATCAATATTACAAGCTTGAAAAGTGATTTGTAAGCAACAGCAACCCATACCAAAAGCCATAGCATCCATATAAATATGATCAGCAAGAGCAGCTCCTTCTTTTGCTTCTTTATCATGATCAAATAATTGACGATCCCAAGGAATAGTAGGATCAATAAATGGTTTCAATGTATTCTTGTCATGAAAGATAGGCATATTGATCTTTACTTTAGAGCCTCGACGACGACGAATATTAGCAGTTAATGTACTAATAATGATAATGAATATACATGTAATAAAATAGAATGTACTTTATATCAACTTACGGGAATCTTGCGTGAGGATTAATGATTTCATCAGGTACAAATAAACTTTGACAAGCGGTACCATTAGGCTCATAATCAGGAACGGTCTCATGAGGACAACCTAAACGAGGATAATTGACGAGAGTGATGGCAGATTCATCAGGATGCATAGCTTCAATAGCTAATTGACGTCTCAACTTCATATTTTTTTCAACGGTTATTAAATCTCTAAAAGTTGAACCATAAGGTTGACCTGGTGTACCTTCGATCATGTAACGACCATATTCGGGTCTCCATAAAGCATCTGGTGCTTTTCTAAAGAAATCCTACAAAGTTAATTCTTAATCATATACATAACCTCTCTTACACACACACACACACATAAATAGGTTTCTCTCTTTTTTTGTTGACTTATTTACTTTGTTTTGCCTTCTATAAAATCATGTTCTGGCTGTTCTAGATTTTTAAGAATATCAAATGCTCGAAGTGATAATTTGGTGGTTTTTTCCTTGTCATCAAACTTTACAACAAGATATTCGATCTTTTTATTTTATTTTATTTTTTTTGATTATTAATATATATTTGTATAACTTAGATTATGTTGTTTTTCTTTTCTTTTTTTTTTTTTTTCATTGACATTACCTCATCACCCCAAAGCAAAGATTGTTTTTGCTTATTTTTTTGGCTATGATAAATATTAAGGAATTGTTCAATACCATGTTTACGAACGTGATCAGCGTATTCTTTAGCTTCAGACCAAGGAAGTGGTGTACCTAATGATAAGAGGCCCATCTTGAAGATTTTGTTGTAATGTCAACAAGAAAAAATTGAAAAACTGAAAAATTTAAAAAAAAAAAAAGAAAAACTTATTATAAATGTATTTATATATTTGTTGATATAAATGTTTATTATTTTTATGTGGCGGATAAAGTTTTGTAGTATAAAATCCTACACAATTTTGTTTTATGTGCTTGCTTTTTGCTGCTGTTTTATATGAAAACAAAGTCACAATTTACCATTGCACCATCATTAAATTTGTCAGCAATGCAATTCTAACCTTTGGAAATGTATACTCCGATTTTATTTCTTTTTCCTTCCTAAAAAAAAATTCTAATTATCCTACTAGCAATTAGTAATTAAATCCTTTTGTTGCTGTATAGATTCTATAATGCTATATTTTCTTTCTAATATTTATATAATTTATGACGATAGCTAATATAGACTATTCATACTTCATTATTGCTATATAAGACACTCTTTAATAAAGATGATATAAAGTATGATACCCATTACATTATATAATAATCTTTACTTGTCACATATTCGTTATAAGTTTTAATTTGGGAATATACGTCATGTATCATGCATAATAATCTCAATGAGCATAAGATATTATTGAATACTACTGCATTAAAATTGTTGCCCGAATTAGGTCGATACATTGGAAAAAGTGAAAACTAGAAACCTCTTTGAGAGCAAGAGGAAATATAAATAATGCGATACAAAACACACACCAGTTATGTTAGTGAGTATGGAACTAATACAAGTAGACTTTGTTAAGGATTGGGCAGATAGAAAAATATTCAGTTTATTATGTTGAAAGTAATCGAGTTCATACAGACAAAGACATGGGGTAATCAAATATGTTAAACAAGGTAGCTTACAAGAAAGATGTCTTAAACAGAAGTGATGACAAAGGATTATTTATTATAGAATCAGGAATTAGTAGTCATTTACAATGTATACAGTCGCATTATAATACTGGAATGAGGTAAATGTTATTGATAGCTAAGAAAAAAAAAACCCCCCCTCTTACTTTAATATTAAATGCGTATGCAGAAAAGTTTATTGAATCCTGTATAATTGACATCAATAAATGATAATCGAGTCATGGTAGCAATAGCTTTATGATTGACATTGATTACTATTAGTCCAGTTGAATGAAGCCTCCTCCAGAACGAATTGGTATACTAAAATAAGGGTTTGCTATATAAGAATTAAATACTTTTTCGGATTTAATATCAATAATAAGGATCATTCTTAAATCTATAGTAGCTCAATCATAATTATTATGATCAATAATAAGGACAGCATCACTGGTATATAACCAGGGAAATAAATTGAATAGATATGATGTATCCTTAGCAACAAAAAATTAGAAAAAAAAAAAGAACTCTAAATGATTAATCAAATACTGCCAATTCAAAGCTATTTTTTTTTAAGTCCAAGTTCTTTAACTCGGCCTTTTCTTGGCTTATTTGTTGGCCATCCATATGTTCTATCTTGCATGAAATGGATTATCCAACTCATTTCTCTGTTTCTCCTTTTCTCTTAATTGAGTGAGTTATCCCAGACTATCTCTGTGAAACCATTTCTTTTTCCTTTTTTTTTTTTTCTTTTTTCTTTTTTTTAACAGATTCTTTTTTCAAAATATGTCTGTTATAAAGATATATTTGTATTATCCTAATTTTAGCCTTTATTTTATTTTTTACCTTATTGCCTTGAAAGCGTTTTTATTTTCTATTCACCTTTTTTTTTTTTTTTTGAACTACTGACCTGGGCAAATCAGCTTTCATAGCTTCGTGCTCATTGGCAAAAAAAAAAAAAAAAAAAAAAAAAAAAAAAAAAAAAAAACATATTTGTATATTAAAACAGAGTTTTTAATAGTATACCAACTTATTTTTTTAAGGTGAAACCAATCAAATACTATTCTTTTATGAAAAAAAAAAAAAAAAATTTCTGCTGTTTACTTCTCCGCCTTATTGTGTATATCTTTGTTTTTTTTGTTTTTTTTTTCTTTTATAGTCATAAATAAGACAAGAAGAATGACGATGACTGAAGCCATTTCACCAACAAAAACTTATTTAAAGCCACAAAAGAAAAAAAAGACTTTAAGTGAACTATCATATTATCTTGCGCAAAGACAAATAGGTATTTCAATTAAAGTGAAGATTATATAAACTTTATGAATTATTAAAAAAAAAAAAATACGATTTTTTTTTTTTAATAAATAGAAATCCCTCTAAAAGTGATCTTGGTCATTCTTCTGGGATACTTTCTTCATTTACCAGGATTCAAGCATTTTATATTTATTAGTAATCAGAGAAAGGATGGTCGATATGAAAAGAGTCTTTGGGATATTACATTTTTATTTTTTTATATATGTGTCTTTACAGCGCTTCGAGCTTCAATTATGGATTATATTTTAATACCCTTTTCTAAATATGCTGGTGTTAGTATGAAAAAGCAACAAAGATTTGCAGAACAATCTTGGGCTTGTATGTATTATACATTTGCTTTTAGTTTCGGTATTGTAAGTATAAAATCCTTTTTTTTTTCCTTTCTACTTTTATGTTGGACAGATATATCAAATTATTTTTTTTTTTTTTTTTTGGTTAGTATGTCATGTATGATTCACCTTGGTGGTTTGATTCAACTTATTTTTGGCGTAATTATCCAGTTACAGATTATACAAAATCATTCAAATATTATTATTTAATTCAATTTGCTTTTTGGCTTCAACAAGTTTTTGTACTTCAGATCGAGGAACCAAGAAAGGATTATAAAGAATTGGTGATGCATCATATCAATACTTTATTATTAGTTAGTCTTAGTTATGGTTGTAATTTTACAAGTGTTGGTAATGCTGTATTTATTTGTATGGATTTACCCGATGCACTTTTAGCTGTAAGGTTACTTGTTTGTTGTTGTCTATTATTTTTTTTTTTTGAATCTAAAAGTTAAATTTTAATAGCTTGCAAAAACTTTAAATTACTGCCGTCCCGGACCTTTATGTAATACTGCATTTGCTATTATGGTCTGTTCTTGGATGTATACACGTGTTTATATTTATGGTCGTATTATTATCTCTACTTTGACAGAGCCCGAATTATATGTCCCTAGATTTAGACTGGACCCTTTAAATGGTGAATGGTTTCCTCATTTTGTTAAATATATTATTGCCGGTCTTATGATTGGTCTTTATCTGTTAATCCTCTTTTGGACAGTCATGATTTTCAAAGTAATCATTAGAATATTTACATCGCCCGAAGCAAAGGATGTTCGTTCTGACGATGAAGATGAATCCGATCCAGTTTCATTGGATAAAATTGAGGGGTAAATTATTTTAATAGGATAGTGTAGTATAATTCTTGATTTTAACTTGTATATTCTCTAGTGATCATTCTACACCTAAATTAACAGCAAAAAACATCAAGACAAAAGATCAATAATCGTAACTCTATTTAAACCTAATAATTTTTTTTTATATCATAAAATATAGAACAAAGCTTAATTTTAATATATCATGTATAAATAATAACAAATCAATATGAACAATTATTATTATTATAGACTGATTGAGCTACATTTTAAGCATGATCTTTTGGAATTGAATACGATACAATTGTCCCTATCCAAAACCTACTAAATATATAAGGGGGTATATTTCTTGACAAGGGAAAGAGACATACACTTTTTTATGTTTCTTATTGTAAGGATTAAGATAGATAATATTGCCTATTACGGTTATAGGGTGTACTTACTATTTATAGAATCATGATTACACAAAGAATTAATTTTAGTAGTCATGTTCAATGAAGAAGAAGAATAAAAAAAAATGTTGCATTCATGGTCATATTTTTTTTTTTTTTTTTTTTTTTTTACTATGACTATTTACAAGATGTATATAAAAGGGTATTATTGTTTTGATATCTATCTATATGTGTGGTATACTTTTTTTTTTTTTTCGAAATAAAATAAAATAAAAATAAAAGTAGGATATGTGATACATAATAGTTTATAGTCTACTTTTATTAATGATTAATATATTGAAAATAAAGTGGTATGCAGAGATGTTCTTTATAATCTTGTAAAAAAAAAAAAGGTGAAAGACAATATATCATACATATACAGAACTTGTAACATACAAACTCTTTATTTATTTATTTAGTCATTATAGCTATTCCAACAATAAGAACACTTGCAAAAGTCATCATGAATGGCTTGATATGACTTGCCCCACTAAAAGATTGCTCAGTAACTTGGTCATTCTGACCCAGCATCTCAATATGATTATTATTATTGGAGGTAGTGGTAGAATGGGTTTGTTCATTATTTTCGATATTAATAGTAGTAAGAGGGGTACTTGCTACAGCATGATTAAAGGGAGTAGTAGCAGCCTTTAATTCTGTAGTACTAGGAGTATTAGTGCTCTTGGCAGTAGTAGTAGTAGTAGTAGTAGTAGTCAATCTTGATGATGAATCAGATGTTACAGGTTTATTAGGAGTAGTAGATTTATTATTTCCATAAGGACCACTATAATCACCTGGAATAATATGAGCGCATCCTTTCTCAGATATACCACGATTACAAGTTCTATCATCATTCTGTTTAAACATACACACACACACACATACACATATTTAGCAAAATCGTATATTATGATCGAATCAATAACAAGAAAAAAAAAACTTACACAACAACGCATACAATATGTTCTTCCAGAAGGTTCAATCAAATTAACGTAATATTTCCAACCAGCACAAGATGAACCTTTAGGTGCTTTAATATCCATCTGTCCTCCTTCATCTGTCATATTTAATCTCGCCTTTGAAGGATCGATCTGACCTGTAACTTGTACATATTGATCTGTAGCAAGATAATGTGCTGACTGAATGAATCCTGATTTTAATGACCCCGCATTCTTTGCTAACGGTGCATCTCCAATACAGAAAGATTGTGCATTCCATTCAGTATCGGCAATATTCCTGTTGACTGAATCGTTCGGAGGTAAAAAGACACAAAAGTTTTCAGCATCAACAACTTGTGCAATTTGTCCATATGCATTTACATAGGATGAAAAAGCAACGAGGATAGATGCAGTAAATATACTAGCTGTATAAATGGCTACCATTATAATATATTCTATATATGTATATATTTATATAAATATTTATAAAGGATTGTTTGTTTTTTTTTATCGAAAAAAGACTGATATTCTTTATAGTTAAAGAAAAAAGATAAGATATTAAATTTATATAAAATTTAGTTGAATTATTATGCAATAATGTACAACTACTGGAGATATAATTCTACAATTGAAGAATAATTTATTATAAAAAAAAATAGTAGAAGAAAAAGAAAAGATAGAGTATACATTTAATGTATATAATGGAACAGGGATTTCCTTAACAGGAGTTGAATTTAATATGATAGGAGGACCAAACCAAATCTGGGAATGTTCACGATTTTTTTTTTTTTTTATTCATAGCGTTGTATGACAGAGAAAGAAAGAGAGAAGGAAAAAAAAAAGGTGTTTAGTAATACATTTAAAGAAATAAAATCCACTTTAAACAGCAAAAAGGATAATCTTAACGAGTCGATCCTTGTTCTTGTTAAACGGTGGCTACTACCATTTTTAGAGTTTTGAAAGACAACTTACTTAAATTACATACTAACATAATTATTATAGTTTAAGAATTACATAAATATATATACCTACTAAAAAAAAACACAATGTGTAATAAGCAACTATAGTACTACTTAATTATGTAAATAATAGACTTTAACTTTTACAAATTAATTTCTATTCAAATGATTTTTTTTTTTTAATTGTTCATATGTAAGATAAGGTTTATTTTTTTTTTCTTAAGGTAAGCTATATATTTTTGAGATTTGATCATGGATAAGAACATTGTCTGTAATAGCAAATTTGTATCAATTAGAAAATAAAATAAAATAAAATAAAAAGAACGGAATATGCTATAAACTTAGTTGAAATTAGGACTTTAGAAAGTTATTAATACAAGCCAGTACATTGTATTTATAAGCTCTGATAACTGAACTGTGTGCGTATACTATGATTGATACAGTCGAAGAAACTAGGTTGGGTCAATAAAAAAAATTTTTTTTGATGTATTAAATTCGTTGACGTCTAGTAGCAAGAGTTCTCCAGGCATTTGCTTTGTTTTTAATTGTTGATATATTTTGTTAAATACGCCATGACGGAGACCTTTGAACTTGATATGATCCTTGTTTTTTTTTAGTCCCTCACCAAAGATCACCAAAGGCATCTTACTGCTGTTTCCCTTTTCAAAACAAACTTTGTTGTTTCTGCTGTAAGTTACAGATATAATAGTTAGAGTTTACTGAAATAATAATAATAATAAAAAAAAGTGTATACCTTTTTGATTTTGGGATGGTGGTGAGTGCTCTTTCTTCTTGAGCAGTACGAGGCTTGTGAGTTTTCCTTTGTCTTCTTTCCCCTGCTTTTATTATACTTCTTTCCAGCATTTATTAAGATGTTGACACTCTCTTGGATGGCTTTTTGAGAACTAAGGTAGTTCAATCATTTAATTTTAGAAGTTTCAAAGCCGTAGAAATTAAGCAAAGTATTCATGTGCTGCAGCATGTAAGTTATGTACAAAACAAATTGTTCTACAGACACAGTTTTAGGCGAAGGAATGTTTGTTTCAATCTTTTCAATACCTAGTCTCTGTTTACGCTTCTGTTGCTCTTTCATTCGTCTTACACTTCCACCCATATTGTAATATTCGATTGAGGACAAGCGACGTATGTCAGTGCCACCGTGATAAGAGACAAAAGGATCCCGTCTTCCTGGGTCTACAGTACATGGACGGAAATGCTTATCCACTTCTTCGCTTGTAAAATCGTTCAACTCTAGACAGATAGTGTCTTCTGGTAATAACGGAAGCACTTTTCTAGCAAATAGAACTCTGTACGTGTAGCCATCAGTATACAATCCATTGAGAAACATCTTTCCTTTTCGTTCAGGCAGTGCTTGAAGCTTTTCACAACTATATTTTTTTTTCGTCAGTAATTTGATTTATAGATATATGTAATAGTAATGTATATCTTTGGATGCCCAGCTTCTTAAAGTCAAACATTTGATAGAAGTATCTTTGTTTATGATCGAAAGGAGATGATTCATTAGCTTGCTTTTTTTGTTTAGCATCTGGTAAAATTCCAGTTAGGTTCTGAGCATCCATCTTTATGAATCGCCAGTGCAATCCAAAATTCGGGAATAGACTAAAACGTCTTGGAAGTAGGGACTTGATCAAATCGCTTTTGTCATTTTGAGGAGTATGGGCCTTGTATATATCATCGTATTTTTTTTTTAAGGATATGCCCTTAATGCGGATAGAATTTTGAAGGGTTCATTGTTTAAGCTTTCTTTAGACACTGGAAGCTTGGACAGGCAATTGTTCACTTCTGAAATCAAAGGATTTAAGAAACTTGGAAGATTATTGGCCACATCCGGATCAAAAAAGGGCAAGAATATCATTAGGTATAGAGGATGACTAGGAATGTGTAAGCACTTGATCATATGCCAAGTTCTTGATACAGCCAATCTTCGCATTCTAGTTTATACAATTTTAGTATAAAAAATTTGAGAAACTGAACATGTATATTAAAGAGTTTGTTTTTATCTCTCGTTGCTTACCGGATACTTTGCCCTTAATGTATAGATAAAGTAGTTACATATAATGTTTTCAAAGTTTTCAACATAGTAGTTATTGTATGTTGTTGCGATAGTTTCACATGCAGTTGGCAGAAATTGTCCATAATTCTTTAATCTATTTTCTGGAACAAACAAGCTACCATTTAAAGTGGCGGATAGTTCAACAAAAGAACTTGTAAGTTGAACCATATCTAGATTCTGTTCTGCAGATATTTCCCTTTTCGTGTCTTTGTAATCCTGTAGAATTGGCCCTACATCATCTGAGCTGCCCCTAATCACTCTTGAAATAGTGTACCCAAAAATTTTGATAAAAAAAAAGTCATTTGTCAACTTGCTTGGGTGTTGCAGAATAAAAAAAGTTTATAAATAGTTGTGCTTTGAACATGACTTTACGGATAAAGCTTGATACAGCCTTGACCTTTTCCAAAGAACTGGCTTTGTTTGGGAGTATTCTTGCAGAAAGTTGCAAATGGAACAGAGAGAGTATATCTTTGATAAGTTGATTCCAAGTTTAATTTGTAAAAGTTCTGCTAGCTTTAGATTATAGTTTTTTTGCAGTGGGGACTTCTTGTAGAGTTATGCCCCTCCCCTTGGCAAGAACTACATTTGTTTTTACTTTTAGAGGATGACGCTGCTGAAGTATTAGTTTGGCGGCTTCTCTTTGCACTCCTTTTTGCTATTATTACAACAGGAGAGTCTTTCCTCTTGGTAGCTTTATGTACATTAGCTTGTGAGACCTTGTAAATGCATAAAGTGTGTGTGTGTGTGTTTTTTTACTTACATGTTCTCTTAGGGTTTTGAGTGGTTGAGTTGTCCTTCTTACTTTCAGAATTGACCTTTTCTAGCTTTGCACGTTTCTCGAGGAAAATTAAATGCTCCACTTCAGGGTAAATAGGTTTGCGTGACATTGATGAATTGAAAAAGAAGTAGAAAGAGTTCAAGACAACATTTGTCTGCTAACTAGAAAATATACTCAGTGTAAAAAGTGTCATATTGTAATGAAAGCTATGATATGAAGTCTTGTTATTATAGTTGAAGGGGAATATATCTTTTGATTATTTAAATTCATTTTTATAACTGAGCAGAATTACTTCAGCTATCATTTAAACAATAAAGGCCTTGTTGGTTAAGTAAAAAGTTATACACAAATGAATTTTGTTTTCGACTCTTAGATCATGAATTACTAGAATGATACGAGCGCTATAGAGGATGGCTGTTTTTTAGGGTTACAACCCTTAAATCAAAGCAAAAAAAAAAAAAAAAATCTTTAAATTTGTCCAGTATAGTCCCATATTATCTTATGTGTCCCATTTTTACACTGATTTCTCATTTTCATACTGATGTCCCATATTCCCTTCTGTGTACTATTTTCGTACCAATGTCCCATCCCAATTTTGCAACCCTGTCCCAATTTATTTTGGAGATGACCAAAAATTTTTTTTTATTGACCCAACCTAGTTTCTTCGACTGTAATGGATATCTTATTCTGTGACTCAAATCTAAGTTTATTTCAGAGATGTCGCTGTTTCAAATTATTTTTATTCAACAAAGAGTCATTCATGTAGATTCTGTCATTAAATCTATCTTTCATAAATAAGCAGATTTCTTCCTTTCTCTCTCTCTCTCTCTCTTTTCTTTCCCCTACTTCCCTGCCATTACATACATACATATATACTTACAAAAGATGGCTTTATTAAATAGGTATATATACATATATAACTATGAATAAAGGAGTAAGTGATTGATATATGTATATATATTTGTCTGTTCTTTAATAGCGATTGTCCAGAACTTAAGCTTATCGCTCGTGGTAAAGTTCGTGACTTGTACGAAGTAGATGAGAAGTCTCTTCTTTTTGTAGCTACTGATCGTATCAGTGCTTTTGATGTTATTATGAAAAATGTAAGTTTACAAAAAAAAGTCCTTTAAGAAATAAATCTACATTTGCAATTGCAGATTTTCAAAATTTGTAAATGAAATGAAATGAAAAAAAAAAAAAAAAAAAAAAAGAGAGAGAGAATGTATATATATATCTTAATACAATCTCATTCCGTAGGTTGTTCCTGGAAAAGGAAAAATTTTAACTGAAATATCATTATTTTGGTTTAATCTCTTAAAAGATGTATTGCCTAACCATTTAATAACTTCTAACTTTGATGAAATGCCAGAGAAAGTTCAAAAGTATCGTGATCAACTTGAAGGTCGCTCTATACTAGTGAAAAAACTGCGTGTTTTACCTATTGAAGCTATTGTACGTGGTTATATCACCGGCTCTGGTTGGGCTGAATATAAAAAGAAGGGTACCATCTGTGATATTCCTCTTCCTGAGGGTCTTGTTGAAAGTCAAAAATTACCAAAAGTACTTTTTACACCTAGTACAAAAGCTGAAAATGGACTCCATGGTAAAGTAAAATAAACAAAAAGAAAAAAAAAAGGATAAAAGAGAGACAGACAGATAAAGTTTATTTACGTATAAAATTAGATGAAAATATTCATCCTTCAAAGATGGTAGATATTTTAGGAGATGAGGAACTTGCAAATAAAATTACCAAATCGGCTATTGAACTTTATACAAAAGCAAGCGAATATGCAGCAAAAAAAGGCATCATTATTGCTGACACTAAATTTGAGTTTGGCTTGGATGAAAACAATAATTTAATCTTAGTGGATGAAGTTTTAACTCCTGGTAAAAAAAAAAAAAAAAAAAAAAAAAAAAAAAAAAAAAAAAAAAAGAGAGAGATAAATATGGACTTACTTGTTTACATTTTTTTAATAGATTCATCTCGATTTTGGCCTGCGAATAATTATGAAGCGGGTCGTACACAAGATAATTTCGATAAGCAATTTTTACGCAATTATCTTGAATCAATTCATTTTGATAAGCGTACTAGTATTGAAGTTCCATCTGATGTTATTGAGAAAACTTTAGCAAGATATAAGGAAGCTTTCTTACTCTTGACAGGAAAGGAAATTAAATTGTAAATTGTATAAAAAAAAAGTAAATATGTCTCTCTTCTTCTATATATAAAATAATTTATATACAGCATAAAACAGAAAAAATATGGTACATCATATTGCTTGATATTCATAGTTTATAATATATTAAATTATCTACAATTTGGCTTTTTTTTTTTATTTTCAAAATATACTTTATTGTATGGTTTATTCTATTTGTATATTATTTTGTTTCTGTATCTTACTACTTATTTATTTTTTTGTTTGTTTCTGCGAGTAGTCAAGTTAGCATCCCTTTCAACAAAAGAGACTTGAAAAAAAAAGAAATGAAGCTTTAGATGAAATAAATGGCTACTATGGAACAACTCTAGATAAAATTTAAAAAGAAAAAGCCGAGAACTACCTTTCCAGTCAACATTATTGCTGGTAGAGTTGAAAAAAGCTACTGAAACGGTTATATCTCAGAATTGCCAAAACTGGATATATCACTATCAAAGGCATTTTTTTTTCAAAGTGTCTTAACATGGAAAATTCATGAATAAAAGAATAATATAGCTTTCATAACTCTATGACGATCATACAAAGTTTAGATTGCTAAAACAACAAAATGTTACAGATTGGTCAATCACTAGGGTTTTTTTTTATTTTCAATCGCAAGACGCTATATTGTGTACGACACATGTGCCTGACAATCCTATTCCCTTTTCACTTATAGCCTCCCTACAAAAAATCCTTTTCCCCCTTTGGTTTATCCGTTGGGTCATCCATGAAATAGACTATCTGGTTCATTTCTCTATTTCTCCTCTCTCCAATAATGGCTCTCTTTCCTGATTGAGTGGTTATCTCGGCTTACCTCTTCATGAAACGACTTTTATTTTATTATTATTTTTTTTTTTTTTACATATACATATTTCCTCCTAACTTTAACCTTTATTTTTTTGTCTTGAAAGGATTCTTAGTTCCTGTTAACTTTTTTTTCTAAAAAAAAAATGAATAGGAAAAACTAGCTTTTATAGCTACATACTCATGGATCGCAAATATATGTGTGTATAATCTTAATAAAATATAATTTTATATCGTATAAAAATCTTAACTGTGACGCAAAGTTTTTATAAGACAAGCGACGTAATGCTTTTTTTTTTTTCTGGAGACGAGTGTGACAAAAAACCATCTGGGGGGAGGATGCGACAAGCTTCTTGCAACTTGACTGTAAAATAAAATAAAATAGTAATAATAATAAGGTACAAATTTTCATTTTTAATGAGAAAATGTGCCTTTTTTTTTATAAGTTGTCACTTTTATTATTTATGCTAATCTCCTTTTTATACACGGATAAATATAGGTCACTCACCTTTATTATTTTTTGACCAAGTAAAATGAAAACAATCAATTGTTGGAAAAAAAAAAAAAAAAGATAAATTTAACTAATTAATTTATTTTTATTTTTTCTTTCTTTCTTTCTTTATTTCCTCTCTCGCTTAATTTTATAATTTTAAAGGATGGAAGACTATCGAAGTAAATTAAGATCAGCAAAAAATCAGGCAAAGGAGTCAAGCAAACCAAATAAGACAGTTACAAAGAAAAAGGAAAGAACAACAAAATCAGAAAGAACCAAAGAAGAAGATGGTCTTGAAGATAAATGTAAAGAAAAGGGAAAACCTAAAACACAATTCATACAGACCAATTTAGAATCCTACTTTCCTCCTTCACCTTATGGTAAATCACGACAGGAAACTTATGGAGATCGATTTATACCTTCCAGAGATCGAGATATAGTAAGAGATTTCCAAATCATGGAGCCTTCGTTTTTAACCGGGCAATCAAGTTCTATTCATGCCTCTTCTTCGAACAAGACAGTAAAGCCAACAAGTCGAATCGATGCTTTCTTTCGTGCAGAGCTATTTGATGATTTATCTGCTGTAGATGAATATATCTCTCCAGATTCACCTTCTCGTACGCCTAGGAGAGTTTTCCACTATACGACTAATAAACCAAATACAATGAATCATGATTTTAATTCACTTTTATATGCAACTATACCCACACCACCCTCATTATCATCATCTACATCCTCATCAAGTCGTGCTGTTGTGCAGCCTACAGTGAATAGGAAAAAGAAACAAACTCGGTCTTCCTCATCCTCATCCTCATCATCTAATCAGTCCCATTTATCATCTTTACCATCGACCTTTATTCATTCTGCTGGGAACCACCAAAGACAAACTAGTTTTTTCATAGATTCTCCTAATAGTTCCTTATTTCAAACCACACCTATTAGTGAAGCGGGTCGACGTATCCTTTCAGTACCTGATCGACTGAATCGATCTATCAATTCAACACCTATCAAGATTCTGGATGCACCCGACCTCAAAGATGATTTTTATTTAAATCTAGTGGATTGGGGGACAAATGAGATGTTAGCAGTAGGCTTAGGCACGAGTGTCTATCTATGGAACGCGAATACAAGCCGAGTCACGAAACTATGTGATCTAGTAAGTGATTATGTAGCCTCCGTCAAATGGTCTCCAGCAGGTTCATTATTATGTGTAGGAAGTGAGAATGGTAAAGTGATACTTTATGATACAGAGACGTTAAGGAAGGTTAGAGTATGGAGAGCGCATCATGCCAGAGTAGGTACGCTGGCATGGAAGTCGAATGTGTTAAGCTCAGGAGGTCGAGACCATCTGATTTTTCATCATGATGTACGCTCTTCTTCATCTTATTTTCGAAAATTAACCCAACACTCTCATGAAATATGTGGATTAAAGTGGAATCCAGAGGGGACGATGCTTGCGTCAGGCGGTAATGATAACGATGTACTCATCTGGGATTCACATCATGATAGCCTTCTGCATCGATTCTCTCATCATAAGGCAGCAGTCAAGGCCATCTGTTGGAGTCCTCATAAACGAGGTGTACTGGCGAGTGGAGGAGGTTCGATGGATAAGACAATCAAATTTTGGAATGCTATCTCTGGTACACTTACTTCATCTTACGATACAGGTTCACAGGTATGTAACCTTATCTGGTCCAAGAGATCAGATGAAATCGTCTCCTCTCATGGTTATTCGAATACAGAGGCTAAATTATCCAATCAAGTCATTGTTTGGAAAGCAGATAAAATGCAAAAATTAGCCACCTTGACAGGTCATACCTCTCGTGTCTTATATATGACCATGAGTCATGATGGAAGTACGATTGTAACAGGCGCTGGTGATCAAACTTTACGATTTTGGGATCTATTTTCTTCAGTTGAAAGCATAAGACCTAATGCGCCAAAAGACAGACAAGCTTGTCTAAGATAATGTATGTATATATGTATATGTATGTGTATATGTACGTACACTCCATGATACATATTTTGTGTATATATATATAGTAATATACTTCTTTTCTATTTTTTTTTAATAATGCATCATCTTTCACGAAAATATAATAAAGTATGCCATACTTGATAAATTCTATACTTATAAATAATAATATGAAGGAAAAAAAAAAAGCAACTTCTTAAACAAGTTTCATGGTAGGAAATGGGAATTATCTATTTTTATTGAATGATAAAAAAAAAAGAAAAAGAAAGGCTATGATTAAGAATTACTCTATCAAATATTGATTACTAAATTTACTTATATCTCATATATACATGTATATGTATATTACTTTTTTTTTATATATATATAGTAGTTGCTGTAAAACTGGTTACAGTATATCTCTAATAAATATGAATGTATATTCATATATTTTATTATGGACAACAATCATGAGCTTCTTTGAATTTTCTCACAAGTATCTCATCACCAATTCGTGTTAGTCCAGTACTTGATAAATTAGTCAGCTATGCAACATTTATAAACGAGAAAAAAACCGTTTGATCTTTTAGTTTACTTTGACAAAATTGATGTGTATATATTTGCAAGTTATTCATTTTTTACACTTTCAGTAGATATCAGTATATTATCCTTTTACTGCCTTCCCCCCCCCTTTTTTTTTTTTTTTTTTTTTTTTTTTTTTTTTTTTTTTTTTTTTTTTTTTTTTACACAGTCTTAATTTAATTAACAGTCCATACGTTAATAACTATAATTCTCATTCATCATGTTTTGTTTGTTAATTACAACAATATGCAAGTATAATTGATAACTCAATACTGGCCCATTTATTTTACACAGAATTAATAAGCAAGTGCCTTTGACAGGTGATTTAACATGGGGCAGTATTGCATTCCTGGTAAAAAAAAAGGTTGTCAACACTTTTATTCGTTGAAATCGAGTTTAATAATGGGGACTAAGCAAACAAGAAGCAATAAAGTATGAATGGAGATGGCTAAAGTCAAAGAAGAAATGATAGATTCAAGTTGCCCCATATCAATTTTATAACAAGGTTATTAAGGTAAGATTGTTTACCACCATTATAAAAATAAAAAATATGTATCGTTCTCTATACGTTCTATTGAAGACAATCATTGATTTATAGAATAACATTTCATATGACTGCCTCAATTGTTGTTTATATGGACAACAGAAGCTTACAAAGAAGTAGCTGTTATTCTATAATTCAACACTTTAACATACATATGAGTCTACGAATACTGTTAACTTTCTCTATTTCTATCTATCTTAAATGTTTATGCTTCTTAAACAACTACTTTCATCAGTTGAATAATAAGCATTCTTAGAGACCTCACTAGGTAGTTGCTCAACAAGTGTTATATTAGATTGAACAGATATAACCGTGAGTCCCTCATATAGCACCATTATTCATATTGTTTGTGGATTTCTGCATTGGCTATAATCGTCCCCTTATGAAAAGAAAAAAAAACCATTTACTTTCTCTTTACCTTACCTTTACTGTCGTCCAGGAAGGGAGTGAGTTTTTATACTTTTATTCTATACTCTGAATTAGTTTTAGACAAAGTTAGTGGTTAAAACAGTTTAAAATACATTTTTATATAAATATATTTATATTTATCGGGAAAAAAGCAGACAAAGTAACCGTTTTAAATTATGTTTCAAAAAAAAAAAAAAAAAACTCCAATAACAAACAACAAATAAAATGACGATCATAATTAGTATTATTATTATTTTTGCTTAAATCTGCACAACAGTTGTACTTTGCAGTATGAGAGAAACGACATGCATTAATACTTGGCAGCTTCTCGAATATCAGCTCATATAAATTCATTTACTGCATTTAATATTATTTGATAATTGAGATCAAAATAATAACTTTTTTTTGTTATACAAACTAAAATTATAAAGTAGTAAGTGGTAGTTTTTTTTTTTTTTTGATCACTAAAGAACAAAATCTGTCAATAATTGATTTATTTCTAAATTAGGAGTCATGATGATCCCTTTGATAATAAAGCAACACAAAGAGATGAAATAGTTCTTTTTTTTTTTACCAGTCGTTGTCGTAAGAATACAAAGAAGTATAACAATAATAACGGAGACTAAAGATGTTTATTATTTCACGCGTATTAAAATAACATTTTGTTTCATGTGTATTTTCATGCATTCATCATTTCAATAATAAGAATGTTCCTAAAAAAATTGTCTTTTTTTTTCTCGGACTTGAATTGTTGGAAGCATTTTGTTACTATTTGATCCGGGTTCCCCGAGTTTAATAGCTGTAATAATAATAATAATAACAATAATAATCATAGTCTTTTTTTTTTGTTTAAATTCGATATATTTTATTTAGTTAGAAAAAGTTTTTTTTTTTTTTTTTAAGAAATAGTTGCGTAGTCTTCTATTTTATTCGTAACAAAAAAATTCTTTGATTAAATTAGGGACGTGGGTACTAGCAACTTCTTCTCACTATTTTGTGACCACTCTCCTTCCTCTCTTCCCCCCCCAAAAAAAAATATACACACACAAATATATTTTTATACAAATATGTATTTATTTTTTTTTTTGATTCAGAATTAAAAACACGTGACCCAGGATGTATTATTATTTTTATTATAAAAAGAAAAGACATTTATTATTATTATTTTTTATTATTATTTTGTCTTTTCTCTTTTATTTATCAGCTGGTTCTGTTCATTCTATTTAAAAGAGAATTTAGTTTGTTATCATGTCAATTGAACAGTTTAATAATAATGAATCCGACAAGTCATTAAAAGGTAGTGTGTATACATATTTTGTTTAGATTAAGGGAAAAAAAAACCAACAGGAATTACTTAGATAAAAATGACTTCAAAGTTGAAATCGATAACGCCTACCTTCAACAACAAAATGAACATTTAAATAAAGAGTTATCTTTTGCTAGATATACAATTAATGCATTAAAAGGAATAGTAAATCAAAGGGATACTGCTTTAAATGAAGCCAGGCAGGAACTGGAAAATGCGTTAAAACATATTCAATTCTTAACTTATACATTAAGACAACAAAGATATAGTAATGGCAGTCTATCTGGTATAGGCTTAGTCAATGATACTGACTTATCAGATGATCAAGAATTATCTGAAGAAGATGAGCTTGATGAACAACAACAACAAAGACGTCCTATGGATATTATGTCTAAACTACCTATTCGTCAGCCCCCCATGGTTAATCCAATCTTTACATCTGAATATCCCCTCGTTAATGACAATAATTCTATCTTAGATTATTAATAATAACTTATTTAATAAAGAGTTGATCTCTTTCTTTTTTTTAGCATATAAAAAAAGAAAGCTAAAAAAAAAAATTCTTGTGTATGTATAAAAAAAAAAAAAAAGTCTGGATTCTTGCAAGTACAAAGCTTCTGTCCTTTTCTCTCTCCGCCTGTTCCCTTTTCCCCCCTTTTTTTTTTCTTGATTTTTTAGAATGTTACCTTTTTGTCGTACATTTTTCTATTAACATAAATAACAATACTTATTTCTTTTTATTATAATACAGAATATCATACATGTATGTATACATACAAACGTATATTCATACATACATACATACATACACACATGCATACACACACATACATATGTACTACTATGATGACATCAGTGATAAAATTAAACCTATTCTGCATCTTTCTATGATAATAATACAAATTGACTTTTATAGCATGATAAAGTCATAGGGTTTGTAAGCTTTAAACTTCTAAAATAAGATTTACAGCAGTCAAACAATAAAGTAGTTGACTATTCTTTCCTCCTTATTTATCATAGTAAAGTTCTACTACAATACACTATACTATGAATACAAGATGTTGAATTTAACAAGACTAATAATGACTGTTCAACAAAGAGAAAGACTAGGCGTATTTTTTTTTAATTTTATTATTACATCACCTAGTCTTTATAACTAAAGTTGTTTGAATATGCGTATATAAATAGATTGTGGTCATCATCTATAAAGTGGCTATTACAATAGATAAAAAGTTAAAACAAATGCTACTACATCATTGTATATTATTGCACAATATTATCTTCATTAGCATCCATTCTTATATATGACTACACTCCAAAATATGATAAGCATGTATTAGTACTAGTGAACCTGATAATATACTTGTTCAAGGAACTAACACAAAATAATTAATCTTGCTTTTATGTTGCTGTTTGCATAATAAAGCAATATACGATTCATGTTAGGTGTATATATATAGCAAGATTTAACTTGTTTATATACATGAATGTTTGTAATCAGTAGCTATTTTGTTCATGCTTTCATATCAGAGGCCGTATTTTTCTTAACTATAGTAATCAACGTAACTAGATTTAATAAATTCAAATGTATTAGTCTCCAACAAGACAAGCAATCAATCAATCATGTCGTATTTTATTAATCTTGCTGTAGAAGTGTAGGCCAAAGTCATATAAGTTATAAATTAAGAAAAAAAAAAAGGTAATGATACAGTTCATTCAATCTGAAAAAAAATAAAGATACACACATATTATCAATTTAAACTTTTTATGAAAAAGAGAATCATTTGTATTAAATTCTTTCTTTTTAAACAATCAAAATGACTTTAAGGTATTCAATAAAGGTAGTTTTACAGGTATGTATAACGTTACAAAAAGTGACACATATGTCAATTCTATTTGATTTTAATTAGTTTGCTAGTATTTATATACTACTTTGATGCTACGTATTCAAAGTGATCTCTCTCTCTCTCTCTCTCTCTTCTTATTCATATTCATTCCTGTCTTCTTGATCTATAATAAGTAGACTCATATTTATATATAATTTGATATAAAAAGGATACAGCTAATAGGTAGACATTTCTACAAATGCTGCCTCTTTCATATACAAACAGCCATTAAGGTACACATCTTTATTCTATTCATTGAAAAAATAATAACAATGTATTCTTAATACATACCACATTACACGTGCAAAAAAAAAAATGGTTTATAGACAGTGATAAATACTATTTTAATCTATCTTCATATAAAATATCTTAAAATGATTATTATTAATAAAGACGAAATGACCCTATAAGAATAATATATACATTTATAGAATAATAAAAAATAGTCCTACAATAAATATAAAGAATACTAATAATCTTCTTAAACATTACAAAAGACACATATCTCAGGGCAGTTGATGAAATGAATCATAAAGTAGGCTTACGTAAATCAAATATTTGAATTAATATATGCGTAAATAATAATAAAAATAAACTTGCATGTATACCTGCATTTAAACTTGTTCAAGCAACCTACCTTGTTATGTCCTTTCCAATTTTTATTTTTTAACAGTAATAGCAGCAGTGAAAAAAAAAAAAAAAAAAAAAAGTACAGTAAAAGAAGAAAGCCAATTGCCGTTTATTGATTGAATTTTTTTATAAATTATCTGATTAAAAAAAAAAATATTTTCTTTATATATTTATCCTTCTTTTATTAAAATTATTTTTTCTTTTCTTTTCTCATTCATCCATCCACTCAATCATTCATTAATCCATATTTTTTTTTGTTTTTATTGAAAAAAAAAGGAAAAAAAAAAAGAAAGGAAAAAAAAAAAAGAAAGGAATTAAACAAATCTCAATTTGATTGTCAATCTTCACTTTATGTCACGAATATTGAAACAATCTTCAGCTATGGTACCAACAACTAAACATCATAATTCATCTAAACAAGATGAATCAAATCAAATAGGGCAACGTGTGACAATTCCAAGTCTTAACAATATGACTGGTGTACTTAAATATGTAGGTGAAACTGATTTTAGACCTGGTCTTTGGGCAGGTATTGAGCTAGATAAAAAAGGAGAAGGAAAAAATGACGGAAGTGTTCAGGGGTAAGACAGTATGCAATGAAAAAAAAAATGATAAGATACTTATAATTCCTTGACTAAATAGTAAACAATATTTCACCTGTTCACCTAATTCAGGGATTTTTATCAGTTTTAACAAGATCATTATACAACCTCCTTTGTCTATTAGTACAGAAAAGCCTTTATCATCAACACGCCGTTCAAACTTACCAATAACAAGACATAGAACTTCTTATAGGAACTTAAATTCGTTATCATCGTCATCATCATCATCTTCTTCTTCTACAACAACAATACCAAATACTAGAAAATCAAAAATTGTTGCGCCTCGTGCTACTGTTATTCCTAAATTACCTTCTACCATCAAATTATCTTCTTCACCTGCGACTCCTACCAATCTTAGCCATTCTATTATCAAAAAATCAACCATTACGCCTAATTCTAAAAGATCAACACCTATCTCACCATCTTCTACACCACCTCCACAATCTACACAACGTATCATGACTCCTATACAACGCCGTACCGTAACGCCTATAACTCAGACTACTAAAACACCTAAAACACCTACAACACCTACAACACCTATGGCACAGCCTACAAAGACACCTACACCACCACCACCACCGTCACAATCACCACCACCACCACCTTCATCATCATTATCATCACCACCACTACCACTACCACCACCAGTAGTGCCTACCATCTTTCATCAAGAGCATATAGAAACAACACATCAGCTTTATGATATGCTAGAAAAGACGCAACATGAAAGAGACAAACTTCTAAAAGAGATGGAGAATAAAGAAACAGCATGGGAACGACTTGTGTCATCTAAAGAAAGTCTTACATTACAAGTTCAGGACAGTGAGCTTCAAAGGCAACGACTTACAAAGGAGGTTGAACGAATGCAACAAGTGATACAAAAATTAGAGCAAAGTATAGCAGACCGTGATGCCTCGATCGCCAAGAATCAACGTGATGAGGTGCAACAAAATCAAGATCAACGACGCATTGAACGACTAGAACAATTAGTCAAGGATCTTCAATCACAGATTCAAATACAAAAGGAGGAACAGGACGAATTAAATCGAGTCCATGCGGGTACCTTGGATCAGGTACGTAGAGAAGCTGCAGCAAGTGAAGCAAACACGGCTTCACTTGAAAAGGAATGTGAGGAATTAAAACGAGCAGGATTAGAAGCGATTCATGCCTACGAATTACAAGTAATAAAGTTGAAGGAAATGCATTGTACAGAGCTAGAGCAACGTGATCAGCTTATCAAGCAACTGGAATATACGATTGCTGATCTGAAACATAAGCAGAGTACACTCTTTGATGATGATGAGCAAGACATCGATTGTCAATTAAGCGAAATGCACTTCAATCAGACTACAGAACAACAACAACAACAACAACAATCTCAGCATGAAAATCAGAGGCATCGATTAGAAGAGCAGTTGGAATTAGCTACTACTGAACTCGAACATGAACGACAGACGATTCAAATGATGGCTCGTGAAATAGAGCAACTCAAGTTAGATTTGAGACAAGCTCAACAACAAACATTATCAATGGAACAAAAATTTGAAGCAATACAGAATGATTTTGACAAAGAGATGAATGATAAGAAGCGATTAATTGAAGAGGCCGATAATGCATTTGAAGCTCAAGCTAAAGCTGAAGATGAACATTATCAGATGAAATTGTCCAAGATGGCACTTGAAAAGGAACATAATGAACTACTAGAGTCACATAAACAACTAGAGCGAGACTATAACAGTTTGTTGGATGAAATGTTAATGCTTGAAAAACAAGATTTGAAGGAGATCAATCCTAATGATAAAAGGAGAGACATAAGTAATGATCCAATCATGCTACAGCAAAAGATGAAAGAATTAGAAGAGGAAATCAAATCATATCAACAAACTATATTTACGGATAAGAAAGAAATTAAGCAACTGACGAAAGACCTGAACGAGTTAGAATCTCTTATTGAAAGTCGAGTATTTAGCGAAGCTGAACTTGAGGAGAAATTAGAAGATGAAAAAAGAAAAGTAAAAGCACTAGAAAAGGAGTTAAATATACTTCAAAATAGAATGAGTCATGGTAGTCAAAAAGGTCTTTTGATATCCCCTACAACAACAACTACTACCACATCGTCATCACCTATACCATCTCCACAATTTAATAATAAAAAATATGGAGAAAAAGAAGAAGAAGAAGAAGGAGGAGGAGGAGGAGAAATGTCGTCTGCTTATTGTGAATTATGTGAAGAATATGGACATGATATCTTACAATGTAAAGTTGATTTTTCAGTAATTGCAGGAACAGAAAAAAAGAAAGAGAAAAACTTGGTAAGTTTATTTATTGATTTTCTCATAGATAAAACTAATATTTTTTATTTTATTTTTTATTATATTATATTATATTATATTATATTATATTATATTATATTATATTTTATTTTATTTTATTTTATTTTATTTTATTTTATTTTATTTTATTTTATTTTATTTTTTTTTTTTTGTTACAGTTTTGTGATAACTGTGAAAGTTATGGAAATCATACAACAGAAAACTGTCCAAATCAAGATGAGACATTTTAAATAAATAAATACATATATAAATAAATAAATACATACATACATACATATATATATACATATGTATATATATTGTACATATAACAAACAATAAATAAAAGCTATATTTACTGTGTATAAAACTATTAGAATTAATAACTATAAATAATAACAAATGCCTATGTATGTATGCAGGCATTGAATGAAATTACCAACTAACGTAAAATAGGTTTCGCGTAAAGAACATCTAGTAAAGGTCTATATTTAAAAGGCGCATAGTTTATAAACTATTTTATTATGTAATTAACAAATCATACAAACAACAAGTTTTAATTATATAATTTAATTCTCTTTCTTATATCTATTTGCGACAAGTGTCATAATTTTCTACGAACCAATCAACTGATTCCTTGATAGCTACACATCATAGAGGATAAGGATTAACTATTGTTCTGTTTTTTTTTTAAACATATGATTTCTATTACTTACCAACATCAAAGGGTGTGAATTTGAAATCAGGAAGATATTTCATTAATTTGGCATTGCTAGCTGTCTTTTTATATTGTCCGTCTGCCTTGGTGGTATCAAACTAGATATGAATATACACATATATAATTTTTAGAAAAAAAAAAAAAAAAAAAGTAAAATAAGTCACGCTAAAAGAAGAAACAATGTATACATCTACATATAATAACTTACGGAATATTCTCCTTTGAAATCCATAGCCTTAACAATAGAATCAGCAACATCCTTGATAGAAACTTCATCTTCCTCACCAACTTTTTTATTTATATATATATATATACATGTATAAATATAAAGGAATTATTTAGATAATGTCTGTAGCTTTATAAATTAAATCTTACCAGATAAAATAATGGGATCAATTTCCTCATATTCTCTTAAAGTCCAAATAAAAAGTTTTGCCAAATCACGAGAATAGATAAATTGACGAAGAGGCTTACCACTACCCATAACAACGAATGGAGTATTATTCTCTATAAAAATAGATTTATAACTTAGAATTTCACGTTCATTTTCCTTTAAATTACACTCCCCCCCCTTTTACTTACTTTTTGCAAGATAACACTTGTGAGTTAAACCGGGTAAAACATGAGAGCCTTCAAGTTCATAGTTATCATGAGGACCAAAAATGTTGGTAGGAATAACAGAAGTGAAATGACATCCATATTGTTCATTATAAGCACTAAATAATAAAAATAAAAAACACGTACATTTATATCAATATATGCATGTTCTCTCTGCATCCCTCTCTCTCTCTCTTTTTTTTTTTTTTTTTTTTTTTTTTTTTTCAGTTTAAATATGATTTACTGGTTATAGACATCAATCATACGCTTTCCGTGGGCATAACCAAAGTTAGAGAAATGGGGAGGACCATTATGAACCATAGTTTCATCAATGGGATAAGTCGTCTTATCAGGGAAAATACATGTAGAGAGACAAGAAACAAGTTTTTTAACCTGTCAAACATGTATATGTATACACATATTGTCAATTTTCTAAAAAAAAAAAAAAAAAAATAATAACATTTATAATATATATATATATATACTATCTTACGTTATGCTCCTTTGATTGCCACAAGACATTATCATTAATGAGCATATTTTCACGTAAAAAGTCGAGCTTGTATTTCATATTCTTGAATAAACCACCGACCATGGCAGCCAAGTGAATGACATGAGTTGGCTTATACTTGTCAAAAATGGCCTTTACATCTGCTTCTTTTCTATTAAACAGTATTCAAGTTAAATACATATACATTTATTTTATTTTATTTTATTTTACCTCAAGTCACCATCTTTAGATGACAAGAAAATCCATTTTTCATTTTCCTTTTTACCAAAACGCTCATCAGTTTCGTGTTCAATAACGTACTTGATAGCTTCACCAACGAGGCCAGAACCACCAGTGACAAGAATGACGGACTCAGTTGACATTCTTTAAATAATGTGTATAATGATGTAAGAAAAAGATTTAAAAAACAAAAAACACTTTCCATAATAAAGAAAAGAAGGGGTTCTTAGCGGAGTTATTATATAATAATAGATTTATTATTTTTAAATAAAATTACGCTAATAAAATTAACGTATAACGTTGTTGCTGAATGTAATACGATCAGTAGTAATTTCTGCTTGAGACTTAAACAAAAAAAAAAAAAAGAAGTATATATTGTTTATGATGACGTATTATATATAAATATATATTTATATATTTGACATAAATAGCGTTATTAATAATAACTCTTCTTTCATTATTATTTGGGTGTGAATATGTATATTACATAATAAGTAATGATAGATCAATCTATGTGTCTATAAATAAACAAACAATATTTTTTATATATTATACATGTTTAATCTTTCTAATATTACTTTTATTATAGTAGACCTATTATAATTTGAACTGACATTAATAGTAGTATTATTAATTCTATTTATAATATAAGCTATTTTTTGTTTTTCTCTGAGTAATTCCTATCAAAGATAGAGCAAAGATACAAACTCATTATCGAAACTAGTAGTAGCTGTATAAATAAACCACCGAACTGGCACTTAAAAGAATAGTTAAAAACGAGCACATAGTACAAAGCATAAAGCCCCTAATGAAAAAAAAAGTATATTTTTATAAAAAAAAAAAAAAAAAAACGACAATCCCAATTTTGAGGCCTTTTTAAACGAAATGGAATTCTAAGTAGGTGAAGGAAATTAAACAATTTAATTAGAAAATAATAATACTTTACTACAGTTGAAAGAAAACCATCAAATAATAGCCCGTAGAGAGAGAGAGAGCTTTAATAAAATAAGTCACAAAAAAAATGAGTATTTCATTAAACAAAGTAGCATATATATATATAAATATATGGATATTGGGCTGAATTCTTCAGCAATAACTTTAATAGAATCTTAAAGGTAAACAGATATATTATCAACGAAAAAAGAATACTCAAATGGGAGAAGCCCCAACTAATACAGTAGAAGAACATGTTAAAGATGCCTTTATTGAATGATTGATTAGATCGTATACTGTATTTATTGTCTCAACTATAGGCAAATATATAACACCTGATATTTCTCAAATGTTTATTAGTACTTCTAGGAGAACATTATTTTCGACAGCTGACTGTATCACTAGTTATCATGTTCAATTGCTTAAATTCTGTATACATTTTGAATAGTAAAGAGTGACGATATTTCTCCAATTTTCCCTGAAAGATTCAATATAAATGCTATTCCTTTGAATAGGATCTGAGACTGGCATAACTCAAAAATTAATCTTATCACCAAAAGCTATATTATTTTTCGATAAATTCAATAAGTTAAAAAAACATAACTAACTTCAATCATTATTCAACTTATTTGATTTCAAGAGGTTACTTTAGAAAAGAATCCTATACATATTGTTCTATGGATCGGCAATATGATGCTTCCAATATGAAGCTATATCAACTCATAATTGTTGGTGATCGTAGTTTTGGCGTCTGCTAAAGTATAAAAGCATATTTCTGATATAGTGAGAGTTGGAAAGCAATGAAATACAAACTATATATTTTATATCTGCACTATTAACGAACATAATTGATTAGAAACTTATATTATCCATTTTAAAAAGATATCACAGCTTGTCAAGTTCTTAGATAAAGATGGAAACTAAACTATAAGAATGGTAAATGATGTTTTTTTTATTTATCGCAGCCGTAAGTCTGTTTCTGTTGAAACAAAGGCTTTCCATCGAAGAAAGGATTCGCTATTTTCCTCAATGATTAGAATTTCTGAGTTAGCTATTCTTTTATTTGCCTTCATTCTTCCCCTCTACTTTATCCTTAAAAACTTATATTTCAAAATATATACTAAAAAAAATAAATAAATAAAAAAATCATTTTTTCTATGATTTATTCTACTATTTTGGATAAATACTATTTTAGACTTGTAATCTCTATTTTTCATTATTTTATTTATTACTGTCATTGTTCATTAACCCCTCGGTATTCAGGGACATGAAACTGATTTTTTAAACTGTAACTCTATAAAATTGCATACATACCTCTGCATGCATATTATATAACAATCGATTAAATATAAAACAAGTCTTGTTTTTTCAATGTAATTATAGCATTTAATGAAAAATAAAAGTACACACATGAATCCTAATAATAATCATTGTATCCTAACATGTATTAAAAATAGATATTGAATTACTTTGTCTTTTACTTTTTATTTTATTGTTTACTAGTGAGACAATAAAAAAAAGTGCATTTTTTTTTTAACTTGGTTAATATCTAAATATTAATTGTTTCATGTTTTTTTTTGTCTGTGTGTTAATAGGCCTTATGATGAAATATAGGTTACTCAGTGTTTACATGCTTTTTTTTTTGGGGGGAAAGAGAAACAGAAGGAAGATCACGAGCCACGAGTATGTAAGTTTAGATTTTTCCCGATATAAGTAAGTGATAGATGTTGTTGATATATTATCTAGATAGAAGATGACCTTCTGGATAAGATTAGATCTCTTCTTCCAGTAAGGAATCAACGTGTACAAATTACTAGTTATTATTTGAAAACGTAACCTAGTAAAATTCACATCATACTTTGTTATATATGTAGTCAATATAGAACACTGTTTTTTTTTCTAAACTGTATACACATATATACAAAACAAGGTCATTCGTACCTTATTTAACCCCGTGATAAAGTAATAATTTTGAATAAATATATAGAGCATTTGTCGTAGATTTTAAAGTCTTTTTCTTTCTTTTCTTTTCTTTCCTCTATATTCCTTTTTGTTATATAATTAATCTCATGTTAAAACCTTCTTCACTTACAGCAGAAACAGTATCACATTATTTACCTTTGTCGGGGAATATTCCCGATATTCAGGGACGTATTATTAATGTAACACATCAAATTCCTTACAACATTTTACGTTCACATCCAAGCATTATCAGAGAGGATCAAATTCCAATATCTCCACCTATATCTCCTCGTAACAGCAATATGATTGTTCCTGAAAAAACAACATCTACATCATCTATCCTTTCGACCCTAACAATAGCAGAAGATGGTACTGCTACTGACCCTGTAGCAGCTGCTCCGATTTCTAAACTAGCTCGTCATCATAAACGCGGCGTTACTTTACGTATGAGGTTCCACGCAGCTGACTGGACTGTAGTTGAGCGTAGAGGTCATCAAGCTCTTTATGCTGGTCTACAACGGTTACGTAAAGATTACGAAACAATTCATATTGGTTGGTCTGGTCCCATTCGTAAGCAAGGCTCACGCAATATTATTGATAAATTGGCTTTGGAGGATAAGGTCAAGTTGAGATCACTTTTGTGGGAGACAGGTCAGATTGTTCCTATCTTTTTAGATAAAAAATCTCATGGGCATTATGAAGGTTATTGTAAACAAGGTAACATATATATGTATATATTAGTCAACAACAACAACAAAAATAAAATTTAAAAAAAAAAAAACCGTAAATAATAATATGATTTATAGTACTTTGGCCTGTATTTCATTATTTAGTAGAAACTTCGTCTCAAAGTAGTCGTTTGGAAAAACAGTATTGGGATGATTATGTAGCTGTTAATCGTATATTTGCAGATACTATTATAGAAAGATATCATCCTAATGATACCAGTAAAGTATAACATGTGTTATAATAGCTTGTACTTAACCTTCTTCATTTCTCACCCATTCTTTTTTTTTTTTTTTTTTTTTCATTAGTTTTCATTAATGACTATCATTTATTATTGGTACCTGAAATGATTCGCGAAAAGCTTCCTAATGCAGCCATCGGCCTTTTTATTCATGCAACCTTTCCTAGTTCTGAAATCTTTCGTTGTTTACAAAGTATATAAATATATATATGTATATATAATTCAAAAAAAAGTGACCATTATATACATATATATATGTATATATTAGCTCGAAACGAAATTCTTCAGGGTATGCTTGGAGCCAATTTAATTGGATTTCAGGTAAGGATATGTATACACACACACATATATATATATATATATATATGTATATATATAATTCGCCAGCTAATTCACTTTCTAGACTTATTCTTATGCAAGACATTTTATTTCTTCTTGTACACGTGTTCTTGGCTGTGAAACAACTCAAATAGGTGTCAATCATCATGGTACAATGATATCGGTAGGTGCCTTCCCGATCGGTGTCGATTGTAATCGTATCCTAAATCAGTTCTGTAAACAACCAGGTGTACAGCTTAAACTAGATGCAATTCGTACTATGTACACTGGTAAAAGAATTATTGTAGGTCGCGACAAACTAGATAATACAAAGGGGATTATTCAAAAGCTTCATGCCTTTGAACGGTTCCTTCGAGATTATCCTGAGTGGCGTCATCAGGTTGTTCTCATTCAAGTAGCTACTCCTACCTTTGGCGATCATATGAAATTAGAAAATAAGATTTCTGAACTTGTCAATCACATCAATTCAGAGTTTGGTACGATTCATCAAATTCCTATCCATTACTACTATCAAGATATTGATAGAGATGAGTATTATGCATTATTGACAGCAGCTGATTTGGGTCTCATTATACCCTGTCGCGATGGCATGAACACGACATCTTACGAATATATTCTATGCCAACATGAAAAGGAAGATCATGGACCCTTGATCCTTTCAGAGTTTGTCGGATCGGCGGGATCCCTTGGTGCTGCTTTGCTTGTCAACCCATATGATTACGGAGATATTGCTAGATGTATTCATTATGCTTTAACCATGTCTACAGAAGAAAAAAACACACGTCATGAGGTTTGTTATACATAAAAAAGTGTCAGAAGGGAGAGGGTGAGAGGGCAGGTGATGATGAAGAAGAAGAGGAGGAAGAGAGAGAGAGAGAAAAAAAAAAGTGCTTTTTTTTTTTTTTTTTTTTTTTTTTGTTAAGTGATACTAATAATTATGCTTATACAATAGAAACTTTATAATCATGTTACAAGCCATACAGCTGACTTTTGGGCTCATTCATTTATCAAACAATTGGTCAGTGTAAGTGAACAGCAAGACTTACAATCCCATGCAACACCTAAACTAGATCTTACAAAACTTTCCCAAGATTATAAAAATGCAAATAAACGAGTCATGTTCTTTGATTACGATGTAAATATAATACATCCAAAGGGATTACATATACTATTTTATATCAAACTTTTACATTAAATACATATATATATATATATAGGGTACTCTAACACCTATTGTTTCTGTACCATCTGATGCTAAACCGGGATCCGATATGTTAAAGGCGCTTCAAATACTTTGTAATGATCCTAAAAATATTGTTTGGGTAATATCTGGTCGAGATCAAGTCGTTCTTGATGAATGGTTAGGAGGTAATGTAAATCATCTCGGACTAAGTGCAGAGCATGGCTGTTATGTCAAGGGAGCTGATTCAATTACATGGACCAGTGTTGTAGATGGCATTGATATGAGTTGGAAGGCGGATGTTGAAGAGATATTTAATTATTATACAGAACGTACTCAAGGTAGCTTTGTTGAACAAAAAAAATCCTCAATTACTTGGCATTATAGATTAGCTGATGCAGAATATGGGTATGTGATAAGTTATATATATATTTATATATATATATGTATTTACTAAATACCTTGTTTAGCGCTTTTCAAGCAAAAGAATGTCAAAATCATTTAGAAAATGCCATTGTCTCCAAATATCCGGTTGAAATTTTAGTTGGTAAAAAGAATTTGGAAGTTAGACCTATATCTGTTAATAAGGGTGAGATTGTTAAACGTATTCTTTCAAAACATTTTGATGCAAATCTTGTTATCTGTGCTGGCGATGATAAGACAGATGAGGATATGTTTAGAACACTTAGTGCTGCTCATTATCAACAAAAACAACAGTTATCACCTACTTTAAAAAAAATGGCTAATAATCATAATAATCCCATCTCAATCTGGCCAGAACAAAATTCAAGTCTTTATTCAATTACAGTGGGTCCTTCTGAGAAGAAAACACATGCTAATTGGCATGTGAACACTCCTCAGCAAGTTATTCAAGTATTGGAGCTTTTAGCATCCATAGAATGAAAGAAACAATAAAGGTTATAAACTATTTTATCTTTGTATATATTGAAATATACACATATATATATATACATATACCTGTAGTGTTTTTCTTTATATTTAGCCAATAAAAACAAAAGAATCCCTTTTATTTAATTATGATAATTTGAAGATAATCTTGAAGCCAAAATTAGATAGTATTAATAACCAAAAAAAAAAAAAGATATTATTTTAAATTTTATAAATACTTGCTGCGTAAATTACAGTATTTAAACCAATTATGTTGATATATCCTTTTCCTTTCCTGCTAAACATATTATATCAAGTGGCGAGATGATATCAGTTGATTGACGGATTCACGAACAAATAAAGCTAAAGTATTTTACTATATCTTCTTCCTCCATTGTTTGTAGCTATTATTATTTGAATTAGCTAGGGCAATTTAAAATGTATGATGTAGTGCTTAATTGGTTATAAATTTTTATTTTATTTTTCTCTGAGATAGTTTGTATTATTATTATTATTTTTTTTTTAATCTTATTATTTTTTTTATTATTTCATTTTTGTTATTGCTTAATGTCAGATTATTCAAGATCTTCACCTTCAAGAAGACGTTCGCCATCTCCTAGAAGACGTTCACCATCTCCTAGAAGACGTTCGCCATCTCCTAGAAGACGCTCACCCTTATCACGAGATCGTAATTATTCACGAGAAAGAGATAATCATGGTAGAGATCGTTCACCGAGAAGATATCGTTCAAGATCAAGAGAAGCCAGATATCGTGATAGAAATAGGTCACCGGATAGATACAGACAGGATCAACGAATTATTGAAATAAATGGAATTCGAATTCGACCTGAAGAAAGTTATTCTGAATTGTAAAGTCTTTTTTTTTTTTTTTTTTTTTTTTTTTTTTTACCATTCTAAAAATCAATTTTATTTTTTTAAATGTTTATTTTAGCCGTATAAGAGTAAGAAATGAATCAACGCAAACAATTTGGGCACCATCCCCAGAACGTGCTCGATCTTTAACACCTGAAGAACCACGAAAATCAAAAAAACATACTAAACAAGATGATAGTGATGATAGTATTACTGATTCAGATTCAGAAGATGATAGACACCGCCGACATCGTCATCGTAAATCGAGCAGAAAGAGTAAAAAAAGCAGTAGACATAAAAGTAGTAGCAGACATAATAGTAGTAGAAGTAGTAGTCGAAAGCATCGACATCGTTCAAGCAGCCATCGAAGTAAAAAGAGAAGATATTCGTCTGATGAAAGTTCAAGTTCAACATCTGAAAGCGATTCTGAAAAAGATAAAAAAGCATCTGCTACAGACGACAAATCCATTATGGAAGTTGATCAATCTCATTTAGATCAAGTTAAAGATCTATGGGTAGAGAAACAAGGTATAATAATAGAAGACTTATAATTTCAATTTTTTTTTTTTTTGCTTATATAGCTATTATATTATAGTTAATATTCCTGAGGATTTAGCACCTGTTGGGCCTGTCCCATTAACTGAAAATGAGACTCGAGACGAAAGAGCTTATGGTAGTGCTTTACTTCCTGGTGAAGGTTCAGCTATGGCAGCTTACGTACAACAGGGCAAACGTATTCCTCGACGTGGTGAAATCGGTTTATCTGGTGATCAGATTGCTGAATTTGAAAAAGCTGGTTATGTTATGAGTGGTAGCAGGTAAGAAGGAAATGTAAAACGAAAAAACATATAATATACTGATTATTATTATTATTATTAGACATCATCGTATGAATGCTGTTCGTCTTCGTAAAGAAAACCAAGTTATTTCAGCAGAAGAAAAACGTCTTGTATTACAGCATGCACAAGAGCAAAAAATGAAACGTGAAAATGAAATCATTTCTGGTTTTAGAGAGATTCTTAGTGATAAGTTCAAGAAAGAAGATCATTAAATAAAGAAAAAAAAATAATCTTCCCAATTGTATCCAATAAGAATAAAGAAGCTGACATCAAAATAAAAATAAAAAGTGTATTTTTGCTATTGAGGCTAAAATTTTTTTAAGTGTTTCTGGTTTTTTTATTTTTTATTTTTTATTTTTTTCTATCTAGTCTATAATCTATAACATGCAACAAAATAGACTTACAAAAGAAGAATACCGTCAAGCTAAAGATCTAGATGCTGCACGTAAAGCTGGTACAGCGCCACCAGAAGTAGATGAAGAAGGCAATGAGATCAATCCTCATACCCCACAGTTCATGTTAAAGGCACCATGGTATGTTGATACCGGTAAAGTGTCTTTAAAACATCAACGAGCACCAGAAAAACGTAAAGGACCAAAATTTACTGCTGACGATAATTATTGGTATGCAAGAGGAAAGAGAGCTGTAAGTATTATGAATTTTTTATTTTTATTTTTTGCTTCTATACTTACTCTTTTTTTTTTTTTTTTTTTTTTTTAAAAAAAAGGGCCCCGCAGCTACAAAGTATCGTAAAGGAGCATGTGAGAATTGTGGAGCAATGACGCATAAAACAAAAGATTGTGTTGAACGCCCCCGTAAGAAAGGAGCTAAATGGACAGGAGAAAACATCAAGGCAGATGAAATCATTCAAGAAGTAGATTTAGATTGGGATGAAAAACGAGATCGATGGAATGGTTATGATCCAAGAGAACACGATAAAGTAATTGAAGAATATAATAGAGTCGAAGAAGCAAGAAGAAAAGCAAAGGCATCTGAATTGGATAAACAGGGTCCTACAACAACCTCAGAGGCGAAAAAGATTGCAGGCATTTCTGATGATGAAGATGAAGAAGATGATGATAAATATGCAGATGGAGCAGATATGCCAGGTCAGCATGTTAATCAAAAGACAAGAACAACGATTCGTAATTTGAGAATTCGAGAAGATACAGCCAAATATTTGTTAAATCTGGATACAGAATCAGCCTTTTATGATCCAAAGACACGTTCAATGCGTGAAAACCCACTAAAAGACGTACAAGATGATACTATTGGATACGCTGGTGATAACTTTGTTAGACATACAGGTGAAGCACCAGAATTGGCTAAAGTTCAATTATTCGCATGGCAAGCAGCAGAAAGAGGTAATGAGATACATCTTCAAGCTAATCCTACACAAGCTGCACTTTTGCATAAAGAATATGAATCCAAGAAAGATCAAGTAAGAGAGAGAACACAAAAGAGTATTTTAGAAAAATATGGAGGAGAGGAATACCTTGAAGCACCACCCAAAGAATTATTATTAGCTCAAAATGAAAATTATGTAGAATATTCAAGAACGGGTAGAGTTATTAAAGGACAGGAAAGAGCAAAAGCTAAATCTAAATATGAAGAAGATGGTAAGATAAGATATAAAAGAAGTTATAATATATTATATTCATGTACAATCTTTTTCTATATTAGTGCTTATTAATAATCATACTTCAGTTTGGGGATCTTACTGGTCAGAAGGACAATGGGGATATAAATGCTGTCGATCCAATATAAGAAATTCATATTGTACAGGACAAGCTGGTATTGAAGCACAAAAAGCATCTTTACTTCTTAAATAAATATGATCTATCAATTAGATAGTTTTTAATCTCTATGTATACACTGTATATTATTAGTTTGTGGGAGGGTAAAAAAAAAAAAAAGAGCTTATTATTGAGTACTATGATGTAATATCTATTATAATCAGGTACAAGATCATTCGATACATTATAAGAATGAATAACGATAAATAAATAGAAATAAACAAGTATTAATCCTCTTTTAACTGTGTGTGTATGAATGTATATATTAGACAATTTATAGTAGACTCCATAATTTTGAGTTATTTTAAGTCAGATTACATAATAAATATTCATTTATAAAAAAAAAAAAAAAAAAAAAAAATCACCCTATTCTTAATGAGTAAGTTTATTATGCAAAATGAAATAGAAATGACTATATACGCAAAATGATTGGCTAACATATTTAATGCTTACATTTTATGACTTACAGCCATCAAATAAGATAAAAATTCAACAAGTGAAAAAGAAACGATATCTACTATTGCTTACACATGCATATATTAAATTTATTATCATACATATACACATATAAATGTTAATTAGATAAGAGTTATGCTAATCCATGCAAACAAGTAGTAAAAAAATTATTCCCACTCATTTCTCCGCTTGAAAAAGCTATTTTTTTTTTTTTTTTTTTTTTTAAATGCTGCTGTTATAGCCCCCCAGTTGGCTAATAGCTTTGTATTTCAAATGTAATATGTTTTTTTTTTTTCATTCTTTTTTTTTCCTCTTTTTCTTTGATTATTTTTTTTTATTAAAATGGAAGATATAAACGATTACTGGAAAGTTTTGGATTATCCGCCTTTATTTACTACTGTTGATTGGAATGAAAATCAACCTTCTTCTACTCATAATACATTTATACCCATGGAAATTAATCAACAAAAGATAGCTCCACCGTTTCAAAGAAGACGCAGTTCTTCTGTTGATTTACCTGTAAATCCATTTTATTCAAGCAGATTTAATAATAATTTAACAATACAAGAAGAGGAAAAACCGATAATAAAGCAGGAAGAAATAGATGTAAAATATGCTTCTTTTTTTTTTGCAAATAGCTTTTTTTTTCTAATAATTATATATTTGTGTATGTTTTAGGCTCTTGATTTATCTACTTCAACCAATAATTTACATGTAGTTTCAAATACATCACCTTCTTTATCTACTTGCTCTTCAAATAATAAGGATGAACATATGACTTCAACTTCTTCTTTAAAAGATCATAATATGCAACAACCTCAAATTAAAATTCAATACCCTCCTAGTCCTCCTACTTCACAACAACAAAAGACACTAATTACTTCTACCTATTTTCCTGAATTACCTCGAACTTCTTTTCATGATTTAGGAAAACAACTAAGACAACATACAAAAAGAAGAAGATCTTCTTCTCTACCTCCTGCCTTTCATGCTACTAACAAGCATCAACAAAAACCACCTGCCCCCATCGTTTTTACTCAAATTCAAGTGACTGATCCTACTCCTATACAACATACTCAAAAGGCTGCTAAAGTAGAAGTCCCTCCTATTGCTATTGAACGTGTTCCAAAAAAGAAAGCACAGCAAATGAATGAATCCACTATACCTATTGATCCTATCTTGAAACAAAAAAATTGGACGAAAAATTAATCCGATTAAACTTTGATGATGTGACAGTAGCAGAATTAAAAGAAGTGCTAAAGGAACGTGGATTATGTACGATAGGTAAAAAAGCAATCTTAATTCATCGTCTAAAGGATGCTCGTAATCAACTGTTAACAAGGTTGAAACCGCCTACACCTCCTAGAGATCATTTAACGATATCAGCGTCACCTGCTATACAAGGATTAGCTGATATGACGATTCATTCACCTAATCTTTTTTCACCTATTATAGAAGATTCGACAAATTTATCGACTACTTCTTCTTCATCTTATAACACAGCAATAGATCATCAACTTCAAAATGGTTATGAAAATGACATGAATATTAATAGTAAATATTATATAAATATTCTATTTATTTAATTTTTTTTTTTTTTGTTAATAATAATCATGTTATAGATTTATTTGATTTCGATACAATTTTGGATAGCAACGCTATTTTATTTCCCCCATCACAGCAAGACCAGGAACAACGACAAGGCTGGTCCAATCACAACAATACAACTACTAATCCATCTACTACTGATTGGAATCAAGATACACTTGAACACTTTTTAGCTGATTTAGTTTAAATATACTTGATTTAATTGTATTGGCACTAATGGTTTACGAAATAAAGTCTCAAAACTTTTTACTAAATTAGGTATCACATCTTTAGGTGATAGATTTAAATTAGTTTCTTTTGATATAGACGTAGTTCCTTTATCTTCTAATCCACAAGGAATAATTTGTTTAAACCAATCAAGGTCCACATTACAATTAAGAGCAAATCCATGACTACTAACATAGCGTTGTAAATGTATACCCAAAGCAGCTATTTTATCATTTTCTCTTATCCAAACACCTGTATTTTCAGTTGTACTTGCTTTAATGCCATATTTAGCACAACAATCAATTACTGTTTTTTCTAAACTAGATACATAACATTTGACATTAAGCTTATTGGTGATGTTAGTTTTTTTTTTTTTTTTTTTTTTTTATTATTATTATTATTATTATTATTATTATTATATACATGTATAGATATACCTGATAATCTCGAATATCTAGAATGGGGTAAGCAATCAATTGCCCTGGTCCATGAAATGTAATTTGTCCTCCTCGCATTGTTTCATAATAATCAGCACCTAAACTCTTTAAACGCTCTATTTCCTCTTGTTTACTATCACGTATTCTTCTACCTGCAGTATAAGTTGGAGTATGTTCCAAGAAGCAAATCAAGTCTGCAGGCACTTTTGTTTTTAATTTTTTTTGTGTTATTTTATGACGTCTTGATACTAAATAAGACTGTAACTTTAAAGCCTCATCATACTTTACTAAACCTGGTAATACTAAGTAACCTATGGGTTCTTGATTTAAAGGTTTAGCTATAGGTAATTGTTGACATGTTGAATAGAATCTTTGTTGAATAACTGGAAAAAATCTCATGTTTCGTAAGATTTAAGAAAAAAAAAAAGGTAGCAAGGGTAGTAGTAATAACTTTTTTATTTAATTTTAAAATAATGGAGGAGAGGAAAAAAATGCGGTGTAATAATTCTAATTGGATGGTCAGCTATAATAATTATTACAGCAAAGTACAATGGGACATAAAGTGTATAAATCATTAAGCCTTATTGACTCCTTTTCTCTTATATAGATTATTATAATATATCTTTTTTTTTTTTTGTTTGAATTAGCTACTTCTAAGACGAAGGTATCCAAGCTATTGAGTAACGTTAAAATAGTCTATTTTTTTTCTATTACAATCTTTTCAAAACACTACACAACTAATTCAAGGTGTTACATTCTATGATTTATAACTATTAGATGACCATTATGCTTGTAACGACTATACCAACAAAAATGACAATCATCTATTCAATATTTCACACAAGTTGAAACATCTTTCTACTAATTTCATGTCAAAAGCTAAAGACAATGATTCATTATTTCCCTTGACAGAACATAAATTTGATGTTGTGTACATAAAAGACGAATGTTGAAAATGATCACCTCAAAAAGAAGAGTGGATGACTTTTCCAATTCCACAATGGATAATATGTATTTGGTTCTTCAGTGGGGATAGGTAGCAATTGTAACCGTCGCAATTTTAGCTCTTTTAAAAATATTTCTGTAAGTTACTTATATTCCTTATTGTGGTCGTCAGCATGATATCTGAGCTATGAAATAGACAAGATACAAAAATAAAAAAAAAAGTAAAAAGAACTAGAAAGTAATCAGATGCAAAAGTAAATTGATTTTTATTAAGTTCTAGAAGTACTTCTTTATAAATACTTTTTCAAAATAACTGACTTCGTAAAATAAGAAATATAAGTGTCACTTGAAATAGACATTCTTGATTTGGGTTGTTCTTTACAGCTATAATTATGTATATCTGATAATCGATCTATGATGTTATCAAACTATTATTATTGGTTTGATATAAATCTGATGTGTAAATATAATTAGTAATTTAGTCATCTAAAATAAGTATAAATAAGTGAGATTCAGAATCATACGTCTATAAGGCTGGATCACAACAGTCAGTATTCGACACTTACACTGTTTTTCATGGCATCACCCATCATAGTTTTTAATATACGTTTATAAGTATTTGGGGTCACTTGAAAATGGAACATAGACTACCAATACAGTGTATAAAGTAAGTTAACAGCAGCCTTATGAACTTTTTTATGAACGCATTGGGTTCCATTCAGCTACATCTGCAACTGTTAGAGCCTTACGAACACGTATAAGAACACATTGGGTCACTTGAAAACAAAGCATAGACTACCAATATAGTGTACAAAGTAAGTTAACAGCAACCTTATGAACTTTTTTATGAACGCATTGGGTTCCATTCAGCTACATCTGCCACTGCAAAAAGTTGGCGTACGACGTATAAAAGTACCATACGTCGTACGCCACAATTTAAGCTGCAATTTTTTTTTTAATTGTTTATTTTTACTAATTTTTAATATAAAACTTCCAAATAAAAAATATATATTATGTTTAATATACTATCATAGAATAAATATATCCAAAAAAAAGACATTTCTATTGCTAATATTCATTATTTTTTTAATGTTTAAATTTACAGCTATTTTGGCTGTGTTTTTTTTTACAGGGAGAGAAAAAAAAAGGGGGGGTAATCACACTATTTGCATTGTGAAATTACAAAAATGGATCTATAGATAATCATATGATCATAGGGAAAGTTAAGAAAATTACTATCTTTCCACATTCATTGTTATTTCTTTTTTATTCTTTTAGATTAATACTTATTTACTATTATTTTATTTTCTATAGATATTTATTATATTCAAGGTAGTATAAAGATTTAGAATATCCTTATTAACGAATTTATACTGACCAGTTTTATTTTTCTTTCTTAGCAAAAGAGTCTTGTTTATGTTGGTAGTAGCTTTTTCTACTTTTTATACAGAGCATTTTTCAGTGATATATTAAAGGTAAGATAACAACTATTGTTCATATTAACACATATACTGACTTGTCTATTATCATTAATCAAACACGTTTTAAACAGGTAAATAAATGTATATATAAAGGTAAAATAAAACATAACATTTATCTGTTAATTCCAAAAGTATACTTTCTTTGTCTAATATAAGATATACCAACCTTACCTTTTATTCGGTAAGCATTTTATTCTTTTGAATACCAATACTCTTTTTTATTTTTTTATTTACTAACTAATCAATTTTGTTTATTATAGATTGTTTATTTTTATTCTGTTTAACTGCTATAATTTAGCTTCCTAGACCCCTATCATTATTATCTCTGTCTTTTTCTCTTATTTATTTGTATCTATTTACTGCGTAATTGTACTATTTCTATTTAAAGATGCAAAGGTAAGTGCAATCGTATTTTCTATTATTAATTGCAAGAAATATCCTTTTGTTTATTATTATTTCAAAAGCAATTTATTCTGCAAAATACCAATGATGGTTCATGTTTTTCAAAGAAATAGCCAATCAAATGTAAAAAGTTATACGTTGTACGTATAGTACGCCGTATATATGTGGTACGTTCGTACTGCATATACCAGCGTACTATATTGCGTACGCGCGTACGCTGTTTAGTACTCCATACGTACGACGGACAAATTTTTTTATATATATAAAAAAAAAATTATAAATAGATCCAAATGGATTTATTCAGGGTTGACTGGAGTGATTTAATGATGCTAAGAAAAGCAGTAAGTCATATATAATAGTTTAGTATGTGCTTGTAAGAATTGAGCACTTTATATGTAGCTTATAGTTTTAAAAAGAAATAAAAAGAGAGTCGCAGAAGAAATGAATAAACATTCTGATTCTATTGGATCCACTATGGTAATGTGATGAACTCAATATATTCTCAAAAGATAGAAATCAACATCACTCTTTCTTTAGTCTCGCAGTCTTTCAAGCAAGGATGTTTTTGCATTTTCAACTGATACAAAAATTAGCAACATAATCTATAAGCAGGCCGTGGAAGCAGCAAGATGCAAGCTAACTTACACAAAGGACTTAAGCAAGCAGGAGTTAGTGTTTAAATAGTTTGAACTGAATAAGGCATTAACAGTTTTTTCCATAGTTTGTTGTACTTTCGTATCTTAGATTTTAGCCTGAAAAAAGAGGTCAACCCTTTACTTACTGTGTTTAATGAGACTGATTACAATAGGTTCAAAGCTGAATTTACTACAAAAATACCAATAAGTGCTTATGCTGGAAACACTTCCAAAAGATACTTGACTAGAGTTGAAGGAACAGAAAACAAGAAGCAGATGATAAAACTTATCAAAGAAGAAGTTATGACTATAAGTGATACTAAAAATAGCCAAAAGAAGCTTTGGGTGTTGAAGGTGATGAAACTGTTTTATGTCACTCTTACTTCTTCAGACTTTGCAAACGAAGATTCTTATCTGTATTTTGTCCTCTCTCCAATCTTTAAAAATTTGCTACTTAACCATCCTCGTAATTGCCTCATTTTTGGAGAAGTAAACTTGAAGGCTAAAGCTATTGAAGTTAATCGATACTTGGACGAAGACGAGAGAAGTTTTACTGGACCAAAGATTGACCTCATTATCAAAGACAAGAAGTACAACTTAGAAATTATGATAGTAGAAGTTTCCGGCCCGCCACAAAAAGTAAATCGAACACACTTTCTGGAAGATAGGAACAAGATAGCCAAAAACCTAAAAGCCATGTTCAAGCATATTGTTTCAAAAATGGAAGTTCTGTCTGTAACTCTTATCAGGAAACTTAAGCTGTACGGGCTTCAGTTCTACAACAACAAAGTATTTATCTACAGTTTATCTAAGCCATGTGTTTATAGCTATGTGTTTGTCAAGGACTTTGAATTCTCTACTCTGGGTGAATTTTCAATTTTAAAACAATCTATGCCAACATTCTTTAAGAACTTTTCTGCTATTAGCCATTTGATTGAAGCAACACATGACGTTCTCGACGAAATATTCTCTATTGACGAAAATCAGGAAGTTCTTGAAGAAAGTAGCGAAGATCCAAGCCCTCATGTGTCGCCCCGCAAAAAACAAAAAGCAAGAGCTGAAGAAAAGTAGGACCTGAAATATTTTTTTATTGTAGTCATATAGTGCCTCAATATACCCTAATAAAAACGATCTGTATATATTATGTTATAAAGCAGCTTCAATATCTTTACTTTTATAATCTCTATATGTTTTAATAAAGTGCTTGTCTTGAAAAAGTTGTATTGCAATTACGGAAATAATTCTAATAGAATTATTGGTGAAATACAATGTGTAAATAAAAAGAGTTGAGTAGTATAAATGATATTTATAGGGTGTAAACAATTGCATATCATCAACATTAAAATGTATTATCTATTTAGTTGGTGTTTCATCATTTGAAAACATTGGTAATAACAAATAAGAGTAAAAAAAAAAAAAAAAAAAAAAAGAGAGAGAGACAATACAGAAAATCTGTTATGATCTTTTATTGAGAATTAAAATCTGATAATTGAAAGGTTTTCTTTTTTTTTAAAAAAAAATAATCAGATCTTTTTATACCTTTTAACAAATATCTCTTATCGTTATCGTAATCTTATATTTATTAAAAATAGTTGGTCCAAAGAATAATCTAAGTTTGGTATCTAAGGTGTAACCTTAATTCAGCCAAATTAAACACCAGCGTACACTACTATTTGATACGGTTTGTTTCTTCAGGCACCATACCTTGACACAATTAGTTTAATTTCCTTCTTTCGCTAGAAGAATATACTGCCATATTATAAGACTAGTATGATAAAAATATTGAGAGAGAGAGAGTTGTTAGTAACATAATCTTGACGATGATGTTATTATTGGTCAAATATGATATATAACTATTCCAATTAACTATGCTTAATCGCGTGGTATTGTCTACTTGTCTTGAGCTTTGAATATTGCTTTATTTAAGCTTATTAATTGTGATATAAATTACAAATAATAAATAAACGATATCATTAACATAAAAAGATATATATTAGTAAGTTATCTTTATATTCTATAAGCTTCATATTGATTTTATTTTCCTGCATGATGTATCATAAGCTTACTTTAAATAATATTAAGTATAAAATGTAAACCATATATCTCATTGATAAACTTTCTTTTATAATAAAAGTATATGCTAAACAAAGATTATATCAAGCTTATATGGAATGTAACATATAATGTTTATTCAATCAAGTATTCAGAATATCATTTCTAATTCAACACTATCAAAAATCATTTCGCCTTTAAAAGCTTTTTTTTTGTCTTGGAATCTTGATTTGTTTGATTTTTTTTTTAAGATAGCCAATATCATTGATATAACTTTAGTAAAAGCAGTGTTTTCTCGAATAAAAATTGTCTGGTTTGACAGCCTCGTCAAACTCCTTATATGATATCTAACAAAGAATAGAAATGAAAAATACTGTACAACCTTTTTGATAATACCAGCAAAAGTAAACTTATTCAGCACACTTAATTTGGGTATATATATATAAATATATATCAACTTTAAAATATCGCTGTTATGATATTTGATATATGAATCTGTTTAGTTTTAGAGAATAAGACGAAAAGTAAGAAATGAGTCACATCAAGATCCTTTATGAATATAATGTAGCCACTGTATTCATTCTTTTTGACTACGATTTTGTTATTATCCCAAATATCCAACTCGACCAGTCACCCTTCTTTTTATTATTATTGTTATACCTGACTAAGTAATAGAAATCATAACACTATTATTACTTTCTTGGGCAGAAGAAGACGACAATTCTCGGAAGACCTCCCTCTCTCTCTCTCTCTCTCTCCACTACTATAAGCAGCAGTAGCGTTACAAAACAATATATATATATATTTGTATAGATTATTATACATTTCAACTAGCCAACAAAATAATACTACTCGTAATGATGAGAACTAATAAGCGAGTCATCAAAACATGATACAAGGGCTCAATTACCATGTTTCACTACTGTTTATTTTGGAACAAGTTCTCCTAGTATAACTGTATTGATATAAGAAAATCTTCATATTTGACCATCTCACTTACTATTGGCCTCCAAGACTTTGAAAAAATTTGCATTGTCTCTCTTTTCCTTTTTTTTTTTTTTTTTTTTTTTTTTTTTCAACTCACTCATTCCTCCACCAAATTTTATATATATATACATACATACATACATATATATATATATATATATGTATATACATTTTTAAACGAAAAAAATACTATATTATAAATATGTATGCATCTTTTTTTTATGATTTTGGTTTTTTTGTATTATTTAATGTATCTTCATCTTCCATACCACGCTTGTTATTATTGCTATGATCACTACTTAAATAAATAAACAAATAAATAAATAAATAAAAACAAGACATAATTTATACAATATACTTTACGATGCTTCAGGCTTCAAAGGAGACGGTTTATAATCGCGTTGCTGTGGTGGTACAGGTGGCCAATGAAATGCATGATTATTATTAATAGGTGTTGAAGAAAAATTTAAAGGACTTGGTAATTCATTTTGTTGATAAAATTCAGGATAAAATGTGGAAGGAGAAGGTAAATTTTGTGCAAACTGGGATGGCAAAGCTGAAGGTGGACCTGGTTCAGTTTGTCGGTAATAAGGTTGTTGTGGAGGTGGAGGAGGTGGTAAAGTAGACGGATCATCTTTATTCAATTCTTCTTTAATACTTGACGTAGTTGAAGATACAGAAGATACGGACAGTTGATGTCGATGCTTTGTTGTTGTTGTTGTTGTTGCTGTTGAACTATTATTGTTGTTGTTAGGGGACTCACTATTTGTGGAATCAGGGATTTGAACACGTAGTTTAGGTGGCTTTTTTGGTGTACCACTACTGACATTACTATGAGTTGACATAGCTGGGCTTGTGGGTGCACCAAGATTAGGAGAAGAAAGATTACTATTTTGATATTGTAAAGAAGCTTGTCTACTATGTAATGATGGCTGAGGTGATACAGAATAAGGTGGTTGATATTGAAGTGGAGCAATAGCATAAGATGGAATAGGTTGTTGCTGTTGTGGTTGACCACTCTATAAATATTATTATTAAGGAAAAAAAAAAAGATTCAAACTTACTTACCAAAATATACATTGGCTGGGGAGTTGGCTGCGGTTGTTGTTGTTGTTGCTGTTGTTGTTGTTGTTGTTGGTGGTGGTGGTGTTGTTGTTGTTGTTGTTGTAAATTATATATTTCATAACCTTGTGGAGGAGGTGGAGGAGGGCCACCACCACCAGCTGTCATATATCTTGATTGGGGATAATACATTTGTGAAGGTATGTTTGGCTGAGGCGACGATGAAGAATAATTCATGATCGGTGTTTTATTATGATTTGCTTGAGTTGGTACCGTTACAACTGTCGGTATAGATTTTCTATTTTCACTTATTTCTTCTTCATCTTCGTCATCTTTTATTAAATCATCTTGATCAGATGAATTAATAAAGTCTTGATTTGATTTACTTTCATGAGGTTCATTATACTTGTAAAATTTTAGTCAAGTAAATAAAAAAAAAAAAAAAAAAATACAATATTTGTAGAATAGATAGAAATCACTTACTTCCGTATATTTCATTAATATTTTATCAATGTCAGTACTTGCATACTGTACAAGTTTCCCGTTATTATTAAATATAATCAATGCAATTTCACAATCACACAAAACACTTAGTTCATATGCTTTCTTCATTAACCCATGTTTTCTTTTTAAAAATGTAACCTAAAAATAAAAATAAAGTATTAATTGTTTTTATTATTGTTTATTTTTCTCTTATCTTGAGTCTAACCTGTCTGTTACGATCATCTTTGATGGGCTGAATCTTGATCTTCTTGCGTCCCATTTTTTTTTTTTTGTCCTCTTTGTGTTATATAAGTATGATCAAATAAAAAGTAATAGTCTCTCAGGTAACGAGATTTGTATTTCTATGGCAACTTCTTTTTTTAGCCTTATTTTTATTCTTGTGTAAACTTTCCTTTCTTTTTTATGTTATTTTATTTTTATCTACGTTTTTTTTTTTTTAGTTGTCAATTATTTAAATAAAATAGAACTATTAAAAATAACAAAAAGGATATAAATAAATATATTTTAACTTTTCCAAAGAAATATATAGAAAAAAAAAGAATAAATAAGGGAAAAGTTTCTTTTTTAAGAGAAAAAGATATTTGTGTGAAAAAAAGAAGAAAAAAAAAGGGAAGGGGTAAAAATGAATGGCAATAATAAAAAAGGGAGAGGGACGAAAAACAAAAAAAAGAAAAAAGAAAAAATAAAAATCGGAGTATGTATCTATTTTTATCTTTTTTGCTGAGTTTAAAATATTATATATAAATATGTATATAAATAAATATACATATTCATTTTTTTAACCTAGCGTAGAGCGTTTCCCAATACCTTTATCACCTTCTCCTGAGGGTAATTCACCAGTTCTACCTGTAACAAATTCATTATAGATTTGACTTAATCTATGTGCTTCTTCAATAGTAATAGATGGTCTAGTTGATTTTAATGATTTGTCTAAATAATACTTTGTAATAATTGCCTCTTGATGCTCTTTGATAGTTACTAATTCATTCTTGGCTGTATTTTGATCGTAAACTCCTTTTTTGATCATGGCCAACTAGAGTTTTTTTTTTTTTAAAAAAAAAATTTTTTTTGTTTTACTTTATTATTTTTTGGGGGATGTATACTTACTCTTTGTGATATGTGTCCTTTTTCAGCTAATGTTAATGGAAGTTTCTTTGATCCATGATTTATAATAAAATCATTTTTTTCAATCTTTGATTTATCTATATTCTGAGCTTCTTTAAAACTGTCTATATCTATTGTACCATGAATGGCTTCAAGATGTGCATTATATAAGAACCCTTGAAGATCAGCTCCAGAGAACCCTTCTGTTTTTTTAGCATATTCTCTTAAATCTATAGTTGACTCTAATTTCATTTTGGATGAAAGTGCTTGAAGAATCTATTAAGGAAAATCGAAAGAAAGAGAGGGAAAAGATTATAGATATAAATTATAAACTTGATCTGTTTCTTTCTTACCTCCAATCTTTCTTCTAATGTTGGCATACCACACAATAGAGCCTTATCCAGACGTCCTGGTCGAAGTAAAGCTGGATCAATTAAATCGGGTCGACTACAAAATAAATAAGTAAGTAAATAAATAGATTTAAATAAAATAAAAAATAAAATAAGCTATGATAAAGATGAATAATGAACCTTGTTGCTGCTAATACATAAACTCCATCTAAACCTTCAGCTCCATCCATTTGAGTTAACATTTGATTCACTACGCGATCTGTTACACCTGTACTATCATGTCCTCTATAACCATAAACCTTTTTTATTTAGAATTATTTCTTTTCTTTTTTTTTTTTTTTATTTTATTTATTAGCGTACACTACTTTACCTTCGTGGTGCAATAGAATCAAACTCATCAAAAAACAAGACACAAGGTTTAGCTGCTTGAGCTCGTTCAAATAAATCACGCACTGATTTTTCACTTGCACCAATATACTTATTTAAAATTTCAGGTCCTTTTACACTAATAAAGTTTAATCCACATTCCTTGGCAACAGCAGATGCTAATAAAGTTTTACCACAGCCAGGATAACCATACAATAATAATCTGAAAGAAAGAGTATTTAAGATTTACACACTTGCAAAATTAAATCTTATTATAAATTTTACCCTGATCTTAATCTTAATGGGCACTGAGAAAAGACTGCTGCATATTTAGTTGGCCATTCTAATGTCTCTAATAAAGCTTTTCTTGTTTCATTTAAACCTATTTTAAATTAAAGTATTGTTTTTTTTAAAAAAAAATCAAATTACGTCAAAAAAAATAGATACAAATAGATACAAATTAACTTACCGCCTATGTCAGACCAATTTACACCTGAACTTTGTAATTTCACACCACGAAGGGATGAAGGTACAAATCCTTCTCGGGCTTTTGTAAAATCTTCTTGTATCAACGTCAATTCTTCTACTGATTCATCCTTTAAATTATTTTTGATATTTCGAATGGCTCCTTCATGAACTGTACGTTCAATAAAGGCTTTTATATCGGCAGCTAAGAATCCTTCCGTTTCAGAAGCAACTGAAACAAGATCAATATGTGATAAACTATTTCGTAATATACTTGGGCCATTGGACATGATAGCTTGCATGATCTATATAGATCTATTTAAAATAATCTCCTTTTTTTTCTTTTTTTTTTTTAAAAAAAAAAAACAAAAATAAAATAAAATAGTAAACTTACAAGCTTTCGTTCATCTCGATTAGGTGGTTGTAAATGTTTTAATTCACTAAAGATATGATGTATTATTAAAGCTGGATGTATAGATTGTTGTTGTTGTGCTGTGGCTATCAACATGATGGGGTATCTTTGACATGCTACAAGAGATGTACGTACAAAAAGTTCAGCTAAATGTCGACTACGGGTCGAATCTGCATGTTCTACTTCTGCAGGGATAAGTCGATCAAGGTCATCAAAGAAGATCAGAGTAGGACTGTGCCATGCTGCTTCATCAAACCATTTTTGAAGCATATCTTTAAAGACAGGAATCCGTTCTTCAGCAATTTCGGAACAATTGATTTCCATTGTATCTATTATTTTTGTTAAAAACAACAACAACAACAACATATAGAATCATAAAGTAAATAAACCATTTTATATAGTGTACTTACAAATCAAAGATAATTTGACTGATTTTAAAATTGTTTTGACAATACTTGTTTTGCCAGAACCATGAGAGCCAGTGATAAGCACGCCTCCTGATCCAGGTACAGATAAGGTATCTTTGATAGATTTCTCTGAAAGATTAGCCAAGGTATAGTGTTCAATCTTGTCTAATACTTTATCTACACCACCCAAGATAACTTGATTCTCTTGTTCTTCTTCATTATTTACTAAAACAGTTTGAATATCCTCTCCAAACTTAATTGACACAGTTTGCTTGGGTGACAGAATAGTATATTGTTCTACTACACTAGAGATAGCATTCGTTTGATTACTAGTGTCACCAAAAAATCCCTTTTTAACTCCTAATTGAATTAGAAAATGCTCCTTTTTGCCATCTATGATGAAATCAATTTTAGTCCCCTGACTTAGTGTGAATTCATCTTGCTGTTCAGATATCCATGTCTGTATAGCTTTTGTTGCTTCAGTTTCAAATTTTACTTTTTGTTTAGCTTGATATTGCACATTGTCTAATCCTAATTTGATGACAGAAGAAGAATTAATTAAAGAGAGTGGCACAAGTCGTCTTAAAATCAAAGACCCAATTGAAGTCTTTTTGTTGGAAGTTACTGAGACTCTATTATGAATATATGAGTATACAAGTGCACGTTTGTATATATATATGTGTGTGTGTTTTTTGTTGTTTATATGTATAACTTACTTGACAATATCAAAATCTTTAATTTCTAAAGTTAATTTTAAGATGGATCCCATCGCAATATGGTTTAAAGGGATAGACTTGGACAAAACAAGATTAGCAAAGAGGTGTTTCATATTTATCAAGTCATCTCTCTCTTCTTCTAATTGTACATCATCATCTTGTTTATTTTTATTACTTGTCATAAAGGCAGGCATGATTTTTGTCACTCGGACTCTTTCAGGTACACAATCGAAGAAAGACAGTAGGGAATCAGGATGGATCTGAACTGATAAATTAGGATGAGAACTAGGATAGACACGAAGACTAATCGTAGGTAGGTCCCTTTGTTGTGGTACAGCATTTGATATATCAGACACTTCTTCAGTAGTAGACTTGCGTACCTTGGGAGCAACAATGACTTCTGCTTTATTTGTTAACTTTAAAAATTCTTGTTTTGGATCTAATTCAGCGACCGTTAATCGAACCAACGTTTTGCCGTGGATCCAAACACATATGATCTGATTTACATAGACAACTCGAATTTGACTTAATAAATTTTCTTCAATATATCCTGCATGAAGTTCCTATTATCTGTGTTGACATTTTATTTTATTTTTATTTTTTATTTTTATTTTATTTATTTTTTGTTACCAGAATTTCCCAATCATCTTCAGTTAAAGGTTCAACATGAACTGTAGTACATTCAGTTACATTTCTACAAAATTCAACCATAATCTAATATATAAATGGGAGGGAGGAAGTAAGGTTATATAATGTAAAGTGTTGTTCCCTTTTCATTCAGTTCACTCTTTTTATTATTAAAATGACACTTTACTTTTTGTCCATCTTGTAAACCAATGTTCATACCCCATTGAGGGTCTATTTCTAAAACATCTAATTTACCATTAGCACCGTGAATAAATACAGAGTTAGGTTGTAAGGGCTTTGAGGCTTCACCAGACCAACCAGCGTAGATCTTTTTGGAAGGACCTGAATCACTTGTGATTTCTAAAATGACATTTTGAGGTAACTTTAAGCAATAAATAAATAAATAAATGCAGTAAAAATAGAATAACGGGGTCTCTTTTTTTTTTTTTTTCCTTTTACCTTTTTCTGATCTAATAAAGCATTCACCCATTTATGAGGTAAATTGACAAGACATGACCGAATAGGAGTAAATTGAACTATAAGCGGTTTTGGCATTTTTTTTTTTTTTTTTTTTTTTTTTGGAGAAGTAAAAAAAAAAAAAAAAAAAAAAAAAAAAAAGAATAATTTATTTTAGTTATTTAAAGTTTAACTGTTTTTTTTTCTGTTTAGTCATTGTATTTTTCACACGAATTGTAATATTTAATATATAAAAAAAGAAAAAGAAAGTAGGGGAATATAATATGGTTTTTTTTTTTGTGAGGAACATAATATAAAAGAATTTGATTAACAATCATAATAAGTTAAAAGGAATATACTACTTTAAAGAGAAAAAAAAATTCTAGCGAAGAAAAAGAAAAAAAAAACCCTGAAATTGCTTATATAATAAATTGTGGAATTAAAGGTAACAAAATTAAGTTAGCAAATTATGAAAAAAAAATATAGTATGTGTATACACATATAAAGAGTAATAAGATAAAAAACAAAAGGGAAAGGGACAAAAAAGCACGGAAATAGATAAATCAAGGTTACATACTGATTTGATACATTCTTTCAAGTGCTTGTTTTTGTAAAACAGAGTCTTGAAACTTCCTTAACTGTTCATTTTCTTTCATCATACGTTCTAATTCAGTTAATAAAGAAGATTGATTCTTTTTCAAATGTTGTAAATGCTGAACAGCTAGAAAAGAAAAAATAAATAAAAGCATACAATTTTTTTTTTCGTTCAATAAAACTTACTTCGATGTAATAGGGCTGCTTTACTCATTTTTTTATTAATACAACCAGGTAAATGTTGACGTAATTCTTCAAATCCATCTTTAATTTGAGCTCGACGCTTTTGTTCTGATTGTATATGGATTTGTCGACGAACTTCTTGAGCACTGATACCATCTTCATCTGAACTACGTTCTCCGTCATTTTCTTCCACTCTCTTTTGAGAGCGTCTACGCTTTTTCTTATTACTAGAAATACCATTTTCATAGGTTTCTTTTGAATATTGATGAAACTCTGGTAAAAAGGATTCAGGTAGTTTGTTCACATTTGCTATTTTCTCAGTAATAGTTGTTGTTGTAGTAGTAGCTTGACTTTCAGTAGTAGGAGATAACAAAGGTGTAGTGATGATAGGGGGTGAAAGTCGAGAAGAATAAGATTCAGGACTAGAGGAACCTTGCTGAGAATTGTTTGAAGAAGAAAGTTCTGTAGTAGATTGTGGAAGAGTGGTAGTAGATTGATAGATATTATATGAACCAGGAGCAGTGGACATGATAATGGGTGTTTGAGTTAAATGATCAAATCCATTACTATCGTTATAGTAACCAAAAGCTATAGAAAATAAATGAATAAATGACGTCAAATTAATTAAAAAACGTTTAGTTTATTTGCGCGTACCTGAAGGATATAATTGAGCGTCAAATGATTCCACTTTGTGCATAGTGGAAAAAGCAGCAGCAGCAGTAGTAGTTGGCATTATGTATTCGTCAAAACTGAATTCTGTTTCAATAGTATTCATTTTTTATTATTTAAAATTGAAAAGATAAAAGGAAAGTAAATATTGATTTTTAAAGGAAAGTATAAGAAAAGAAAAAAAAAAAGCTGGTTTTTTTAAAAGAGTGCTTAACCAACTAAAGATGAGTTTATTATGAAGAAAAAGAAAAGAAAGATAAAAAATAAAATAAAAAATAAAAAAATAAATAAATGAATAAAGATTGTTTTAATTTTTGACGTTGTACAAATATAATAATTCTTCTAAAGCTTTAAATAAGAAGTTTTATTATGACAAGTGAGAATTTTAGAATTTTTTATATTTATCAACTTGTTTTTCTTTTTTTTTAATAATATGAAATGCTTTTAACTCTTCTCCGTCATATAAAAAATAAAAAAGTGGTGCTATTTATCTGCTTCATGATTTTATGTGAATCTTTCTTTTATTTTATTTTTTTTCTTATATATTTTGAGTAACCCTTCTGATGCAAGAATAAGTTTAATTGGGCTCTAACGGGTTACACTCTCTCCTTTTCTTTTTTTCTTTCTTTGTTTCTCTCCTTATTGACTAGAATGTGTGTTGTTCTATGAGATAATTGAAGGTGAAGATGGCCTTGTATTATTATGTTATCTTTTATCTTCTACATATTCTCCTTAAGTTCCATTCACTTTCTTCTCCTGTAACCTCTTCTTCTCCTTACACCCATATATCCCCTTTTACACTATCTATTTGATCTAGATTATCATGAAGGCCTATGGTACTTTTATACATTCTGGTAAAGGATCTGTAATATCTCTTAGATTGCAGAAATTGTTTATATCATTTTGCTACATACTTGTGCATGCATCTTTTAGTAGTAAAAAAAAACGACTATACTTATTTGTCTTTGAAGATAGTTTACTCCCAGTTTCTATTATAAATCTAACATCATATAGTATTTTTCTTTTATAATGTAATGTCCATATATCTAACGCTTTATTTCATTTCTTCCTTTTTCCCTTAGTCTACTGTATTTATACAAGGGGAATAAAAAATATATATTTATATACATGTACATATATGAATTTTTTATTGTCACTCAACACAACATAAATGAAAAAAGTTTGTCTGTGTTTCTTCTAAACTGCCTTATCACCAGCCACCACTGCGCTGAATCAAAGAATACAATATTTAAACTTGAGATTCAGACAATATAAAATGAAATGATGGACAAATTTGAAAAGCAAATTCAGAAAAATTGAATGTCCATTTTAGCAAGAATAGAGTTAGTTTTTTTTTTTAGATAAATAAACAATTTATTTTTTTTAGATGACATGTTACAAAAACCTTTTTTTTTTTTTAAAAAAAAAAAAAAAGGTGTGTTACCATCCTTTATAACCAAATATTTTATCTCCCCTTCCAAGCATTATAGTTGGAACGAGTTTATATTTCCATCCATAGTATAATTTCCAGCTGTACTCATCTTGACTTTGACCACACGTTTTGGTTATTGTAATAATTTTTTTCCTACCCTTACGCCCACAACTATTGTTTTGATTGTCATAGCCAAAAGTTGGAAAGCTCACTTTTAGTTTATCTTTCATCAGCATTTTCATTTTTCTTATTTTTGACCCTTCAGAAGAAAAAAAAATTGATTTCAAATCTCACCCACATGCTGCTGAACAAGGAACTGATTCTGATCAATTTCCTGTTCTTGTAACAATTTAATAAAACCAAGCAACTTATTCTGGACTGTATTTTATCATTATTATGAGTGATGTTAAAATAATTTAATTATAAGACTAAAAGTAAATTCATACTATTATAACACTAAACATTGATTTTTTTTTTTCTTTTGAGTGAGTGTGTAACTCATGTCGCCAAAGGGCCTTTACAAATGTATTTATAAGACTTCATAATATTTAAGCTTGCCAACGCTGTGGAATATGATGACAAAGAGACATAAATATATCAAAAAATATCTTCAATATCTCTCAGGAAGAATTAGATAGATGTAGTCACCCTTTTGCTTTCTGCCGAGAAGAATAGTTTACATACATGTATACAAATATAAATATACATGTATGTGTGTATACATCACCGTATCGAATATGGTTTCCCTTTCTTTTTTGGTAAGAAGAATTTTGATTTTTTACAGGTAACATGTCATCTAAAAAAAAAAAAAAAAAAAAAAAAAAAAAAAAAAAAAAAAAAAAAAAAAAAAAACTAACTTTATTCTTGCTGAAATGGACATTCAATTTTTCTGAATTTGCTTTTCAAATTTGTCCATCATTTCATTTTACTTTATTCACAAATAAATTTAAAATTATCTGAAGCTCAAGTTTAAATATTGTAATTAAGACAAATCAAAATATATTTTTAATCTCCAGCATTACGTCACACTTATAATTAAAATGATTGGCCATGTTTTTTTGTCTGCAAAAAAAAAAAAAAAAAAAAAAAAATAATAACGAAGGGGATCTTTTTTTTTTCTTTTTTTTTTTATATACAGCGATTTGTTTGGCTCTCTAACTGTGATTATAAACGAAAAATAATAAAAATATTTTTATAAAAAAAAAAAAAAAGCCAACAATAACTAGAATTTTTAACAGGAAAAAAAAAAGAGAGTATTAACAAAAGTATTTTTTTTTTAAAAAAAAAAGAGTCAAAAACAATTATGGAAAATATAAAAAGTGAAGAACCTACTGTGACTTCTTCCAATAGTGAGACTGCCACTACTACTACTACAAACAATAATAATACCATTGCTGTGACTAGTAGTAGTCCCACAACAACTTCATCAGCCTTTCAACCATTTCAACAATTACATGAAGCAGTATTAGCTGCTGTCAATAGTCATACTGCTACCATCCCTAGTAATATTTTTTCCGCTGCTGTAGCTGCTGCTGCTGCGGGCAATAATGTAGCCATCCATCCTCCTCCTCCCCCTTCTTCTTCTCAATCATTCACTCAACAACCACAAACACAGCCACGTCGTACTGCTTTAAGTGAAATGGACGAAGCCAAAAAAGCAAGTATACGTGCTTCTAATAGGGAAAGAAAGAAGAAATGGCGTATTCATAATGAAGAAAGAAGTACGTTAATGGCAAAAGAAGAAAAAAAAATTTTTTTTAACTAATATTTTTTTTTTTTTTGATCAGATAAAGACAATGATTTAAGATGTAGAGTTAATAAAAGAGCTACTAAATTATATGGACCAGAAGATACACCAGAGAAACGACAATGGGTTAAAGAAGAATTTGAAAAGCGTCGTCAAAAACGTATGGATAAAGAACGTAGAAAACATATTGTAAATAATGTATTGTCTGTACCCGGAACAACAACAGATACTACTGCTACCACAACTGAAACCAATTCTAATGGACATAATCCTTCTACTAATAATGTTCAAATACCAAGTATTGTTGGCGCTAGTCAACTTCAAAACTATTACACGCCTTTACCTCAAATTGATACAGCTACTGCAGCTAAATTATTGGATTTCCCCTCTGATTTACAGCGTCAATTATTAGAGCAATTGAATAATAGTATGATGGTAAGCAAATAAATAAATAAATAAATAAAAACGGTATATAGTATGCACAGTTTAACTAATCAATATTATAAAAGGCTCTTACTGGCGCTAGTTTAAATCCTCCTCCTCCTCCTCCTACTACTACTACCACTACCACTACCACTACCGAAGAAACTCAAACTAATAATGAAAATACTACCACTACTACTACTAATACAGCTGATAACCAACAACATCAAATGGATACAAATTCATTTCATACTACTACAAACGACAATAATGCAACTACAACAGCTGTACAAGATGCACTCCAGCAAGTGATTGCACATGGACTCTCTACTACAACGAATAGTACCGTTAGTAGTGACCATAATTCGCCTATTCAATATAATACAACAGATCTAATGGAAAATAACAAAGAAAATGAATCAGGAGAAAAGAGTGATTCAATCATGAATGCTTCCACTGTAGATATTCCTCCTACCACCACCACCACCACCACCACCACTACCACCGACGCTGACAATGAGTCAATAAAGAAAGATAAAGCAAGTGAAGAAGCCAATTCAAAAAAAGAAGAGGAACAAACAAAAGATGAAAAGAAGCCAGAATATCCGATGGATGCTGTTCTTACTTTGATGCAATTGAATGCTGGTTGGAGACAATAACATGATAATAATAAAATTCTTTATAAATGTAATATGATTTACTTCGAGTGTGTATCTAAGTGTGCGTATATCCAAGTTTATTATTTCTATGAATAGTGTTGTAATCATATAATAAGTTTCTTTTTTCGTTTTTTTTTTTTCTTTTTTTTTTTATTATTGTTATTTCTTATCAAATGAATACTACTTTATTCGTTTCAGGGTTTCATGCCAAGACACGAGCAAAGAATCTCGCATATGAATTTGAAAGGTAAAATTGAGATGACAAGCATGTACTTTGTCTACATTTAATGACTGATGAATAAATAAATATTTATATATTTGTATATGTATTTATAGATATGGACGTCTTGTTCGTCTAGATATACCCGCACCAAAGAGTCTTAATTCAAAGCCGTAATAATAATAATAATAGAGAGAATATGCTGTATTTTTGTATAAAATATATTTAACCGGCTCTATCTACTGTTGTATATTAGTTATGCTTTTGTTCAGTTTGAAGAAAAACAAGACGCTGAAGATGCAATTGAAGAAATGAATGGTAGACATATGGATGGATATATATTACATATTGAAGTAACTTTATTTTATTTTATATTGCTTATTATCTAACTTTTTTATTATTATTATTATTAGTGGGCTAAAACACCTTTAGAGAATAGACGTCCATTTCATTATCAAAAACAGCGTAGTAATCGTAGCAGATCTCGGAGCCCATATCGTCGTGAACAATCCATATCACCTTCAAAATATAATAATGATGATTCAAATCTACCTCCTCCTAGACGACTACGTTCAAGATCTCGTTCTCCAATAAATTATCAAAGACGTCGTTCTTTATCACGCAGTCCATTTTAATAAAGATAAAATTATACAGAGAAACCTTTGTGCAATTTTATTTTTATTTTATATATTTATACATATTACAATTGTGAATAAATGAGTTAAAAAGAAAAAGAAAGAAAAAAGAGACAGAGAGACAGAGAGAAAGAAAAAAGAAAAAAGAAAAGCAAATATTGAATACAGGCTGTATACATTAATTGTATGTTGTTGCTGTCGTGTATTTACTATCATATCGATATATATATATATTTATATGCACATAGATTATAATTGTTTACTTAAACGTGCCAAGTGATAATTGATAGTATTTGCATGTTTTGTTCGTTGAACCTAGTCAAATTATGTTAGTTGAAGTTGAATATTTATGCTGGATTAAAAATACTTACAGGCTTGCCCATGCATGTTATTAATGAATTTGCAATCATCCCGCAACGTTTATCATCAGTACCATTGGCTGCCCAGCATTCAAATAGAGCACCCAATTCAGCTACACATGGAGTGACTTCAAGAATCTTCTTGGGTCTGACCTTAAGCTGCTTTAATTTCATCCTGTCCTGTCAATTACAAAAAAAAAAAAAAAAAAAAAAAAAAAAAAAAAAAATAGAAAAAAAAACAGAACTTAAAAATTAAAGGGGAGGGGGTGCGTGCAATAATCATGGACTTTTGATTTTTTCCCAAATTTAGTAATCTTTTTTTTTTTTTTTTCTACAGCTGAAGAAAAAAAAATGGGACACTAATTTTGAAAAGGGGACACTCATTTGAAAAGGGGACAATTAATAGAAAAATAGGACATTTATATGTTTAGTTATGGTCACACCTTTTTACTTTGTTTTCTTGGCATTACATTAAAACCTTTTTTTTTTTTTGGAGCTATTTTTTTTTTCTTTTTCTATAACATGAGCGATAACATTAATATGGATGGCCAAGTAGTGTCTGTTATTGTCCAATCTTACATGGATTGGGAAAGACATGCAGCAATAAACATTGAACAAAAAAAAAGATGAAAAAACAATGTAGTGCATCTTCCAAAGAAACTTTGACAACTGTTACAAAAATGCAAGGATCGTATATTTCAAAAAAGAAAAAAAAAACGAACCAAAGGTGGTAAACCTGATCAATTTAATGTGGGAATTTGAACACCTGTCCATTAGAGAAGCGGCTATCAAGGTAGGGCTTTCAAAGTCAACAGACACACGCAAGATCAAAGAATGGAACGAAAGGACAAACAATCCTGACCAAGAAAGTGTTCCTGATACCGTCAGCCCCAAGGAACACAAGGGTCGAGGATTGATACTTAAGGACGTGCATACTGTCTTTATTTTTGAAATGTTAGCCAATGAATCAACCTTGACAGTCGAAGCTGTCACAGATCAACTTTGCGAAAATTTTAAGGAAATTCAAATTACCCCAAGATCAGTAACAACTCATATGAAAAAAAAGGTATCGTCTCACTTATAAACGCATTGTCCCGCAATATTTCGTACGAGACAGTGAGGAAACTGTTGTTAAAAGATATGATACAGTAAACTTCTGGATTCATAAAAAAAAAATTATGAATGACTGTGTGTTTATTGATGAAGCTGGATTCAATAGAAACATACACCGTTCTTATGGTTGATGTGAAGTTGGAACACCTTGCGAAATTAAAGTTGAAACAAAGGGACCAAATGTTAGTATCCTAGGTGGCATTTCCAAAGATGGTCTTATTATTCTTTCAAGAAAGGAGATGATTACTACAGCAGCAGCAGGAAATCGACAACAAATTGATGATACGCCGGCTGTAAAAAGAAAAAGGCACAACTAGTAATGACTTCATAGAATTCATAGACCAAGTTCCCACTACAATTGATGCAGATGGTATGGTATGAATTACAAGTACTTGGTGCTTGATAACGCATCCATTCACAAGGCTAACCTTATTCGAGATTGGGTTGAACAACGAGGATATCAACTTCTCTTTTTACCACCATATTCTCCATTTTTAAATCCAATTGAGGAGTTCTGGTCCAAGTTAAAAAATGTTGTAAACAGTGATCCCGCCTCAGTCAGACAAAGCACGAAGATCAGCAAACGCATTCGCAATGCATCAGTATATATCAGCAAAGAAGACTGTGAAAGTTGGATACGACATTCATTATCGTTCTGGCAAAGGTGCATAGATTGAGAAAAAGGATTGTAAAAAAAAGAAGAAATCAAGATACTGTTAACTCAAAACACACACACACACACACACACACACAGCACATAATATACGTAAGTGATAAAAATAAAACTTTTCAAATTGCTGTCTTAAATGACCTATTTTTCTATTGGTTGTCCCATTTTCAAACGAGTGTTCCATTTTCAAAATTGGTGTCCCTTTTTTTTTGAAATGGGTCTTTTTGGGTCTTTTTTTTTTTGAAATGGAACAATTTTTTTTTGTGGGCCCAACCTATTTTCTTCAGCTGTAATATTAAGAATATTACATTGCCTAGGCTAGATCAAAGGAGATGTAGGAATTAAAATTTTCTTGTTAGTCAAAAAAGGAAAAAAGATCGATAGGGGAAAACGTATTCAATATACTAGATCAACTGTTGCAAATCCAAGTTACCAACTTGGCCAATACAAATTTCAATAATTAAATTCTGCTTCGCCACCCTGCCAAAAAAAGTAAGTATAAGTCACAAGTCTTCTACGTCATCTTTTCGGAATAATTAGTTATCGTTATAGTATACGTAATTGCAATGTTGTGTTTTTTTTTTTTTTTTTCCTTTTAATTATAACAAGGTGAAATATTTCAAATTGCCTTTATTAAATGCCTATTAGACAGTATGTCATTAGCCATCTGTGTATAGATTACTATTTGATTCACCTCTGTCATGGCCAGTTTTAAACAAGTACTCACTTGGACTGCTTCGTTAGCTACCATTATGCATTTTAAGTCTGTTGATTTAAAATGTATGAAGCTAAAGGACAGGTGACTAACGTTTAAGATTGTTATATATCTTGTTCAGCTACTAGTACTTGCCAGAAGCAACCAGGTGTTGCCTAGAGTTAACTAGTTGAGGTAGGGAAGATGGTACACCGGAACTTGATATGCCATAGCAGGAGCCAATTTTAAACAAGTACTCACTTGGACTGCTTCGCTAGCTACCATTATGCATTTTAAGTCTGTTGATTTAAAATGTATGAAGCTAAAGGACAGGTGACTAACGTTTAAGATTGTTATATATCTTGTTCAGCTACTAGTACTTGCCAGAAGCAACCAGGTGTTGCCTAGAGTTAACTAGTTGAGGTAGGGAAGATGGTACACCGGAACTTGATATGCTCTCTTGGGTAAATGAGGAAGGCACAGTCTAGCTTGTTTTAGACACCAAAAAGAGATACAAGATCTAAAGAAAATTGCTTGGCTGGAATTTGATAGTCAATGAAACAAAGCCTCTATTGGGAAACCTTTTCAAGTAAATGCAACATAACCCAAAAAGAAGTGTCTGACCTAAATATGGAATAAGTTGTAAGTTTGTTAGTACTATACTGTATTCAAAATACTCACATTGTTTAATAAGATGTCTGCTGTATACAGGCTTCAATTAGTAATAGATTCGTTAATGAACATAAATACTCCTCTACCTGATATAACTTTAATATCCCATATATCATTTGTATCTTCCATTTTAATAAAGATTATTCATATCTTAGGCAGTCAGATAATCAGAATATTCATCCTTTTTATTTTAATTGTTTATTCTGCTGTATCACATATCTACCTAACCTATGATTCAACACAGCTAAAATATGGGACCTAATGCGCACGCTCTGTTTCTAAAAAAGACAAAAAAGTTTAATATAAACCGCTCAAAAGTGAATGTGTATTTAGCTTGTCGTCTGCACGATGTAAAATTTACGTTTGAAGCAAAACTTTTCTCTGTTAGAGCGATAAGACTATCGAATTCTTTATCTAGCAATAGAATGAATTAAAATTATCTGAGTTACTCGATAGATCAACAAAAGTGGAGAATGATCTAATTATGTTTAATATAACTGTGTTTACTATATCATGATCTTGAATATCTTGGTGTCTTTCTCATGTTCAGCACCGCAACTCGTTATCCTGACGCAACAATTTAATTAACTGCAAACAATATGAGGCAATTGCTCTACTGGATTTGATATCTAAATAGCTACTGTTGATCACTGAGCCAAGTTGAGTTTAATTTAGAATAGTGTTAACCATCTTCGCGTAGATAAGGAAGGCTTCTTCAAAGATTACTAAGACTGCTTATAAAACTGTGATCAAGTACACGCTTAGTTGGAATCCCTAAAGAGCTATCATTAAGTAGAAGATCGTTATAACCAGACAGCTTTGAGCATTCACATAGCTTAATTATTACTTAATTAGTTATTGCTTTGAAGCAACATTTGGTTCTCAATAAAGATTGACCGCAATATTTTGGAGTACATACTAAAACCACATTATCTATATTTAAGTGAGCTTGTTAATTATCTACTCAAACAATACGGAGTAATCATATAGATTTCAGATAATAATTGTTAACATAGAGTCTTTATTAATTTTTTTTTTAATGGGACCATTTGTTGTGTACACTTTTTTTCAAGAAAGAAAGGTACTTATAATTCATAAGGGTTATAAGAGTAAGTCTTACCGGTCAACACATTCGTCCATTTTTCACCATTTTGGACAAAACCCAAAGCATCCGTTTCAGTGTCATGTACATGGGAAGTACTACCTGGAGAGCTACCCAATTCGCTTTCTGTAAATTCATCGAAATATATACCTTCAGGCATTCGTGAATTAGAACTATCTCTGTGAGGGGGAGTATGATAGATGGATGCACTTTCAAAAACAGTTGGAGTTGATGGTCTCGAAGCACCCAAATCTCCTTCATCCATGTCACTACGAGTTTTTAAAATAGCCGCTTTCATGCTATTTGCTGTAGCTTCCAATGAGTCTCGAAACATAAGAATATTTGATAATGATTTTAGGAACGATGGTAATTCGGAATATTCTTTGGGAAAGACGACCATAAACTGATGGACGCATACATGATACTGATTCTTGGTACCGTGGACAGTATAAAAGCTGCATGATGGACCTGAAATTTGGATCACCCAAGAATATATACTGCTATTTTGTATGACATTAAGGGCAGCAGTTTGCATGATTTTACCCTCACGTAATAGCTTTGACATGTCATGGTGAATTTTTGCCACGGGAACAACCGGGATGCATGCCTCAGCACAAGCAAGGTCAAACTCTTCAGTTTCAAAATCCAATAAAAAGCGTATGTCCACCTTAAAACCGACAATATTGCTGGAGCTTGTATAAATAGATGCTTTGGATTCTGTTGATTCTGATAGTACCGTTTCCCCAACTTTAATTCGAATGATTTCATCGTTAATATGAAATATTTTTTGGAAGATGGGTAACCAGAGCTGATACGTAAAATCTCTTTCTGATATTTTAGCTCTGTTTTCCTGGTTCAACATGAATCTTCTTGAGTCAACCAAGTAAATTACTTCCCTGAAAAGGTCAAGTATACGAAGCTGATATATGGTGATAGCCGGTGAAGATTCAAGCGTGCTAATATATTTTTTTCCCAACAAAGAATCCTTATTGATTATACATAAATCAGAAATTGTTTCCCATTTATCGTTAAAAGATTCGATGGAAGCTGGAAGAGAAAGGTTGAAACAATTGTACTTTCTAATGAGCTTATTCCATGTATCTGGTGAAAATAGGCTGCGTTGTGAATATTGCATATCCTCTTCGGATAAATTTAATATATTCGACAAACCACATTTCATTGTTTTCATTTGGGTAAAGTTCAGTTTAGAGCCAGCTTTGTATCGATGATGAAGCTCTTTACCAGCGTTAAATATAGTGCTTTGCACATTTTTTCTTCTGTTTAAAACATTAGCCACTGAAGTGGCCATGTCATCATCGATGAAAACAGTGTCTTCAGTAATAATGGCTTCTTCACTATCAATGGCTTCTTCACTATCAATGGCTTCTTCGGAGACAGTTGACGATTCACTATGGATGGCGCCCATGCTCTCTTTTACTAGCTTTATACGTTTATTCACCTCAGAGAGGCACTCTGTAGACTCCAAGGTCAACTCCGCGTGGCTGAGCAACTCGTTGGCATGATTGAGCCTTTTTTTCGATCTCTGTCTTTCTACTTTTTGCTGCTCGTCTTCGAATGTTTGATTGTACATTGCTCGAACATGATTGTTCTTCACATACTTTTTGACGCGAAAGGCATATTCTTGAACATATGGATGTCTTATTAATTTTTTACTTATTACGTCTAAGCTCTCTGAGTATTTTTTAAAAGAAGCAGAAGAGTTTGCTGCGACAATATTTGGAATAATGAGGTTGAAATCGCACCAGTTTTTTAAAACTACTGACGAAAAAACACCATGAATTTTATTTGTCTTGCAAAACTTTTTCTCAACAGTGAAATTCTCATATTTCTTGTTATTGCATTGGGGTGCTTCCATTTTAAATTCTTATTGTTGTTGTGAAAGAAAAACACTGAAGTTGCTGTGATGAAGGATGAAGAAGTGGTAATAGCTTTCTGAGCCACGCTTTATTTTCAGTATAGTAATAGAATAAAAAGTATTTCCCCTTTTTTTCCCCCAGATCTATAATTTGTTGTGACATTAAAAAAAAAGTCACCCCCCTTTTACCCCTAACTAAATTAGTATAAAAATATGGCCTTTTTCTTAGTCTTTAGACTAAAACATATCTTTTTTTGTGTCGTTCAGCTGGTACTTTTTTTTGTGTGTCTCAGCAATATTTATTAAATTTCTCTATTTTTTAAGACCCGTAACAAATTCATTTTTTTTTTTTTTTTTTTTTTTTTTTTGTGACCCGACCTATTTTCTTCAGCTGTATCAGAATGTTTATATGTTTATTTTGTTTTATTTATTTATTTATTTATTTTTCAAGCCTTCATCATTTGCACACCATGAGACATTAATAACTTTAAAACTTCCATGGCTGCAGACTGAACAATCTGTAACTTACATTGTTTAACCAATATAACTAGTTTCTTATCAATATTTTCTTTTACAAGGTTATCAATAACATCGCTGCCTTTATGTTGAATTAAGCATCTTATGACTTCAATACCTCGGTGCTGTACATCGGCCGTTTCATCTATTTCTAACCATCGCGATATTCTTTCATAGCATTTGTCAACTTTTAAAATCATCTCACATGTACTTGGACTGTTCGCTAAGATAGCTAATGCACCCGAAGCAGCTCTTCGAGTTGCTGGATCTTCATGATCTGAAAGAATCATTAACAAGCGGATTCGATTTTGTGACTTGTTGGGATCACTATAAAGTTCAAACACTGGCTCACAAAATGTCATGTTACAAATCATTTCAGTAGCTGCACGTTGTACCATATCATGATTAGATAATTGTAAATTTTCAAATATGGCTACACCGCCCGCATTTTCAATCATTAGACGAACACGGTCATCAACAGATGCTAGGTTAGTAAGCGCCATCAATCCTTCAAACTGTCGCAACTGACTATTGGCATCTTTACATAGATTTAAGAAAGGTCGAACGAGATCAAGGATGGTGTCTCCTTGAAAGGCTATGCGTGGGTCAGTGGTGATGGCTAACTTGGCCAATGCCTGTGAGGCTGTTATACCAGTCTCAGTAGTATCACGTGATAATGAGAGCAGACTCTTGACGATGCCTTGCTGTAACAACTGACCTCGTGTTGACTGAGGGGTTACGAGTTGAAGATAGGTTTTAGCAGCAACTAACCTAATATTCATACTCTTATTTTTTGATAACACCATTAAAGCAATTGCAACGCCATTAGCAATAGCCTTTTTAATACGTTCTTCAACAGCACTGTCATTTTCACGAGGATCTTCTTCATTCTCTTTTGTTGCTTTACGTTGCTTTGCATTCGCTAGATCTCTTAATTTTTTCATTTGTTTTTGCTGCTCATCCAATACAGGTCGATACATTGTTAAATTTGCAAAGATAGTACCAATACCAAACAAAAGTGGATTATTATTGGTTGTTTCTTCACGTGAAGCACTAATAGCTAAAGTGGATAGACTTTTCAAAAATTCCTCATCGTTTCCTAAAGAGGCTTTAACCTCTGGTTTTAAGGAAGAATAAGCTAGCCCTTCAACGGCATTCAATATTACATGAGTATCAGGTGACTTTGATTTAATAACTTGTTTTAATGAATCAATAAGACTATGATCGGTTATATTCATTTTGCGCATAGCTTCCTCTAAATGATGTGTCGTTTGTGTATTGCTAGCATCGTCTGATATCACATCTGACTGAGCTCTTAATTTAGTCAATGCTGTTCCTGCTGCTGACTTTAATTCAGGATCTACCTTCGTCTGACTTGCCATTTTCGCAAGCCAATCAGTAGCATACTTTAATATTTGTTTTTGACAGCTTTTGTCAGAGGAAGCGATAATCAATACCTCTGCAATTGCCTTTTGAACAGGTAATATTTCGAAATCAATCACATCCATAATTTCTTCTAGACAACCTTCTTGACACAAGATGGCGGATCCAACTGTCATATTGGTCTGAAAGATAGCATTTAAAGTATGATAGGCAAGTAGCTTGGTATCATTTTTACCCTTATCAATACAGTGCGAAAAACAGGCAGCACATTGTTCAATGATATACGTCATTGGATAATCAGTAGCATTAGAAGGATTAAGAAGTCGAGTTAAGATCATAAAAGCGAGACTTTTAACACGAGGTGGTGTATCAGGGGTACCACAAGCTGTTAAGACCTGTACAAAATCATTTGAACCCACAAAGGCTCGAATATGAGTTGTTGTATCCTTGAGAGTTTCAAGTTCTGTAAGATATTTTTGAAATGAGATGATGCGTGAATCCTTTTCAGTCTCATCCACTTTTGTAGATGTAGATTGTTGTCTAAGCATATTAAGTCGAATGAGCAATTCCTTGCCTTGTTGTTGTACACTTTCGTGTCGCTTAATAGCTATTTGCACATCTTCTATTGCCTTTTCAATTTGTTGTAACGATTCATAAGTCTGTGCTCTTTTTAATAAGATACTAGCTGTAACTTTGTCATCTTTATTGTTAGCTTCTAATTCTTTTGTCAAATCGCTGATTTGTTTTTCTAATATCTAAAAAAAAAAGCATCATGTCTAAATACTTGTTGAATAGTTTTTTTTTTTTTTCTTAATAAAAATAAAATCAAACCTCTTAAATAAAATAACAACGTAAGTACTTTTCTTTTTTGCAATTTAGTTATAAAGTGATGGTTATTTACCTTGATTCATTTTCCCTGTAAGCAAAAAAAAAAAAAAAAAAAAAAAAAAAAAAAAAAAAAAGACAATAATAATAATAATAATAATAATAATAACTTAATTGCGGTTTTTAAAGAGTAACTTTTTTTTTTTTTTTTTTTTTTTTGCACATGTCAAATAACATTGGAACAATACAAAGACGACTAGGTACAATAATTGAAGAGTTTAAGAGAGCAAGAAATACTTGGGAAGAAATCAACTCACATGCCTTTCCATACGCAAATGAATTAACTAATTCTGTCATTCAATCAAGGTATGATGAATAAAAAAAAAAAATGACACTAATTAAACTAATGTCATCTTTCTTTAGATACGTTGATGAACAACAATATTGGCATCCGTCTTTAACTTTGAATTTTCCAAATATTATAGAAAAGTTTGATCACAAAATGAACATTATAATTGAAACCCAAAATCAAAAGTTAATAGATCTAGTTGAGAAAATGGTAATTGGTGTACGTCTATATACTTGACATGAAAATTTTATTATTCTTTTATTTTATTTTTAGGCAAAGCAACATAATAAGATGCAAAACCAATTGAGGGATCTTTATACAGTATATGATAATGTCAAAAAGATGAATGGAGATCAGTTTGTCAATAGCCAACCTATATTTCAAACATGTCCATTAATCACCTACCGTAAGTTATGCATCATACATGAGTAATATACAGTGCTCTAATCATCTAAAATAGTCAATCGCATGCAAACCATCATTGACATGTATAAAAAAGAATTAAACACAAAAAACTCTTGTATATCATCCAAAGGATTTAAAAGTGTACTATCAAGAGAAGAAGGTGTTGTATTACTATCAGTGTGGATTAATCAGCCGCATCTAATTAAATCAACCATACAAGAATGGGATGATATTTGCAAAACAGAGATAGAATTATTACCATAGAATTTAGCATTTTTTTATTTTATTTTTTTATTCTATAATTGTATAATATATATAAACACATACATACATACATATTCCACTATGGTTTATGCAAATGTACGATGTGAAGAAGCTGTTTTCTTTCATCTTACATTTGTATCTAGCGGGAAATTAAAAAAAAACAATGGTTTGTACTGCATGGCCTGCAATTTAGGTCACTTTTTTTTTTTTTTCTTAATACCATGCTGTTAGCAATTCAAAAATGGACTTTAACTAAGCCTATTTTTTATAATTCAAAAAAAATAATATCATCTCATAAAAGTCTGTTAAATATAAATTACCAGCATATTTCAATATCACGACACTGGTCATCCACTATTTGGTTACCATGGGAGGATGAACTATTATCAAATTATGTAAAACACAATGGCAAAAAATGGAATGTGTTTGTTCAACATTGTTTGCCCACCAAGACACCGAAACAATGTCAAATGCGTTGGACTGATACCCTTGATCCTGATAAAAAGCGAGGACCGTTTAATGAAGTAGAGAAACAAATACTAATAGAAGCAGTCAACCAACGAGGGAAAGGTAACTGGAAAGTCATCAGTCAACATCACTTACCTCATCGCTCTCCAAGACGAATTGCAAATGAATGGAGTCGACTCAGTTCAACCTTGCAACACAAGGAATGGACTCAAGATGAAGACAATCTTATTCTCCAGGGTTTCAAGGAATTTGGTAGAGCTTGGTCCAAGATCGCCACTCATTACTTACCTTGGCGTACCAATTTACAAATCTTTAACAGATTTCAATCTAGACTCAATCCAGCCATGAAAATGGATAAGTGGACAGAAGAGGAATTAGATCTTTTATTAAGACGTACGATTATGTATGGGCAGGACTGGAAGAAGGTGGCGGCAGGGATCGAGGGTCGTACAGAAGCTCAATGTAGGACTCTTTGGCAGACCGAGTTGGATCCAAGTTTAAGAAAGGAACCCTGGTCTGATCAAGAGCTAAGGTTGTTTTGGATGCGTCTGTATGAGTTTAATGGTAGTCTTATAAAGGCTTCAGAGGGGATGCGAGGCAGAAGCCGGATCTTATGTTCTCGTAAATTTTGGGAAATAGTGTCGAACAAAGAATTCAATGTTCTGTATGGTGATAAGATTAGGCGTGATGATCCTACTCAAGATAAGAATGCTTGGAGAGCGAATGTGGCAAAATGGGTACTTGAATGGCTTGATATGCCTTTAAATGGATACAAGATGTCGAACAAATGCAACCGTACTCAACCATGGGAAGAAGATGAACTAAAGCGACTAGAAGCTTTAGTGAATAAACAAAAAATGGATCAGAAAACACTTTGCGAAAAAGATTGGGAAAGGATAGAAAAGGAATTTAAAGGAAGAGATAAAGATCAATGCAAATATCAATATGAAGAATATATATTAAAAAGGGATATAAAAAGGGGAACATGGACAAAGGAAGAAGATGAGATATTAATAAAGTTAGTAGAAGAATATGGAACTGACGGTTGGGATTCGATTATAAATCGTCAAATGCTTCAACGTACTAAGCAGCAATGCTCATATCGATGGCATAATCATTTAAAATTTAGAGACAATATATTAAAAGGAACACGATTGACAGATAATGAAAAGAGGTTAATTCAAGAAGGTGTTGATATGTTTGGACATAACTGGAAAACGATTCAGATGAGTTATTTACCTCATCGTACACCACGACAGATTAGTAATTGGTGGAAGTCTGAAGAGAAAAGAATTGAATTCTCCTCGTTAACTGGGCATATTCATAAACGATGTTCATGGTCAGAAGAAGAAGATGATATATTACGCTTTGCAGTTTCAAAATATAATGGAACTCAAATCTCTTGGGCTAAAGTAGCAAAACTGATTGAAGGAAGATCAGCAAATCAATGTGAAGATAGATGGAAATGTACATTACAACCAGATATAAAAAAGGGGAAATGGACATATGAAGAAGAAATGCAACTTATAGAAATAGTACAAAAATATAAATCACAAAAAAAGACATCATTATGGCAGTTAGTAGCTAAAGAATTAGCTACAGGTCGTACTGACAATTCATGTCGAGCCAAATATGGATCTATGAAACGAAAAGGACATCGCTTTATATTTTAAAATTATACAATTTCCATACGAGATTCTTTACAACCATAAGCAGAAGGAGTAACTTCTATAAGGCAAGAACGAGGAATAGAAATACTGGGAATTTCCTAATAGTACATATGATAAGGATGTAATCAAAATCACTGTATTTAAAAAAAAAAAAAAAAAAAAAAAAAAAAAAAAAAAAAACTTACTTTAGCAGGTCTATCAAATAAATAAGCATATAAACAGCGTAATACTGTTTCGTGGGCAATAATTAATACATCATTCTTTTCTCTCTCAAGCTCCATAATAACTGATTCTAGTCTGACAGCTAAATCATGATAAGACTATATATAAGATAAGTTGACAGTTAATTTATCAATTGCTATTGTCATTATATAAACATGTATATATATATATAATACCTCAGCACGAGGATATCGATGACGATAAGGGTTTTCAAGAAGTTTAGCGAACTCTTCAGGGAATTTCTTTTTTAATTCAGTAGGTGATAAACCATCTGATTCACCAGGATTTAACTGATTAAGTACAGATTGTTGCCTGACAGAAAGACCGGCATTTACAAAAGGAATAGCTGTTTCTAAAGCCTTCTTCTGTGTAGAAGTCCAAATCTAATAGGAAAATATAAATACCTTCGACAATTTATATATATATATATGTATTGCTTTACTTACAGTTAAGATACGTTGCTCATCTATTGGTCTATTAGTATCCTTTTGTTTATGATAAGATATCATAAACTCTTTTAGTTTTTCGGCATACTTTTCACCTTCCATGGATAAATTTGCATCTGCTTTATATGAATTGTCATTTAACGAAGTCCCACACTATAAATATACAGAATATTAATAACTGTGATTCCTTTGCATTTAGTAACATTCTTACTCTTGCAAAATAAATTGTTCGACGTTGAATATGAAGATTCATAAGATAATAGACAATACGTGACTAATATGTATATTATCACATTAGATTATGACTAAACGATGATGTAAACATGTCGTATACCTGAAGATAGCCAATAACATTATTTACAATAAATTGTTCTCCTGCATTCATATTCTTTACAAAGGGAAGTGTTGTATCTGTTATTGTTTCATAATATTCTTCATGTTGTTTAATACGGCGCTAAAAAAAAAAAAAAAAAAAAAAAAAAAAAAAAAAAAAGAAAAATATATGATTATGAAACTTTCTTTATAGAAAAAAAAAAGTTCTACCCTGTAATCTTTTACAGCCTCTTCTGGATCCCATCCAACATACTATTAGAATGCATAAGAATATTAGTAGTTAATCATTTTAGCATTTTATATTAATTACATCTGGTGAAGAAATCTTGACACTTCGAATATTTGCTAAAATGATATCTGGTTTATTGCAGATAAACTCTAAAAACAAAGGCTATAATAATGATGTTAGGAAAAAAAAAAAAAAGTGATTGCTGAATGTCAACTATTTACATGAATGTCATTACTTAAAAGTTTGTCATGTATATGCCTTCTTCTTGATTCTGTAACATTGTTGCCATCAAATATAGCAACTTGACCACCTCCTATTTGAAGCCAACTAATCAAATCGTCAAGACATTCCTCTGCAATATTTAATCGTTTTTCTATTGCCTTTGTATTTTCTATATATGTATATGTATGTATGTAAGTATTGTTCTCTACTTCCTGTTATCAACTAACACTTACGTGGATCAAACCACTCTTCAGAAAGTGATCCTAAGCGTTCTCTTCTATAGTTTCCAACACTAAATACTTTTGTAGCCACACCTAACCATCGCATGTATCGACATAAAGATCTTGAAGCATGCGTTTTACCTCGAGCAGGCAAGCTTTTTTTTTTTTTTTTTTTTTTGATAGAAGGTTAAACGTCAAAGCACACACATACATAGTACAAAGTATTTACCCCACTGTAATTACAGCTACTGCACCAGCATGAAATAAACGCCCACTTGTTGTTTCATATAATTGTGCTGCCATTTTTTTTTCTTCTAAATAAATAGTTAAAAAAAAGAAGGAGAGAATATTGAGATTTTAAGTTTTTACAAGGCTTTTTCCCTTAATTTACAACCTTTCTTAACATGAACTGTGTAACCATAATCGTTCAAATACTGGGTTTAAATTGTTTTCTCCTCTAGCATTTTTATTATAATCAACAACAAGATCTGTTTGCCCAAAATCAAGTTGAATAAATAAATAAATCTATTCAAAGTATAAGAGGTAAAAAGCTTATCAAAAAGAAAAGAAATGTATTACAAAAAAGTATTGAGAATTGAGATAGAAGGGATATACACGAAATTAGTTTAAATTTAATCCATAGTTGATTATCTAAGCATACGATTAAAAAAAAAAAAAAAAAAAAAAAAAAAAAAAAAAAAGTTACAATAGCTTATTCTTGATTTTAATATAGACAACGTAAAAAAGTATGATTTTGATTTTAATATTTATTACTAACAGGCTCTATTTGAATTAAGTAAATATTATTAAACTCATTTTTGTATACTCTTAATTACTATTCATTAAACTGGATTTTTGAGTAATAAATAGACAAACATATCACTACAAATACTTTAATATGTAAGTATGCTTATTAAAAAGACAGAGCTAACTAATTTATAGAATGGATTCAATGTACTGAATATCTTCCCTTCTCTACTATATCCTCTCCTTCCTTCTAGAAGAACTGTGTCATTATTCAAGGCATGGATATAATTTGCTGCGTTAATTAAAACAATTACTTTTAATTAATGTTTTTACACTTCAAATTCAGACAATGTTAGTTTTTTCCTGGACAAATCAGAATTTATTTACAGATACTTAGCTTACCTTTTTTGGAAGAAGCGAAAATGGAAATCAAACAAAGGAACTCGAGAAATTAAATTGAGACAAAATGTTGGATGAACTAAAATGCAACTGTAGGCTAACAGGTCGGCTATTTTTTTTTTTACCTCTTACATGGATGCTACTTGCGAATAATCTTAAGAAGGTTTAGCTAGCGCATTATAAGAAAAGTCCATCTTTTGGTGTTGATTTAACTATACAATGGGAAACCAATTTACGACTGAGAAAATATGGGGATTATGGGAGTGGAATTCTTAAAGATAGTCAGCTTCTCTAGCACTTGTACCACTATAACACTACACGAACGAAGAATGGAACTCAAAATTCATTCGTATATAACTTTTACTTGGCTAACAAAGTTTCTATTGTTTAATGAAAGCGGAAGCAATTCTGCTCAATTCTGAAAAAAAAGGGGAGATCAAAATGAACAGCGTATATAACAACCTATACATAGGAAAAACATTGTTCTTTTTTTTTTTCTTTAGAGTATGGTGACCTACAATCACGTTATCTATTGTGATATATATATATGCTGGAATAAATGTCGCTTGTAAAGGAAAGCTGTAATGAAATCAACCTAATTTAAATGATTGATCCACCTACAATAATAAAGTGAGGCAATACAATAATATTAAAGTATGAAAAGATCCAATACAAAAGACTATAGATACTGCCCTGTAACTGAATGTAAATATTGATGAATAATAAAAATAAAACACTTTGGGAGGCTAGCGTATAGACGTGATATATTGAATTGATATATTCGAGACTTGTGAAATACCAATTAGCAAGCCAATACTTTTGTATGCCTGGTTTGTCCACAAATCTTGATCTTTCTTTCTTTTTATTTTAAACAACATACATACACCCATTTATGCTAATGTTGAAGCTTTTATACAGGCTAAGAAACAGCACAAGTATGAAAGCGTACAAGCAAAAGCTGTTAATGATAACACAAACAAACAATTTATGAAAAGGGGTAATATAAACTATATTGTTTGATAAAACAAACTAACTCAAACTATTAAAAGGTGTCAAAAGAAAGGATATTTATAAAGAAAAGAAAGATAAAGCAAATGCAAAAAGGGCAAGAAGCTCTATTTCTTCAAGCAATCAAAACTTAACATGTAAATCTTGCAAGAATATGGGTCATTCTTCAGCAAGGACTAAAGAATGCCCAAACCATAACTTTACATTGAAAGAGCTACTAAACAGAAATCTTGGATTTAATTATCAAAGATACACTGTTTCTCTACCGCTGAAATCGTTTGTGTCCGCAGCAAATCAAAATGTCTACGTGCAAAATTTCCCGTAAGTGAGATTTTTTTTATCAAAGGGAGGTGAAGATATCCATTATAAAACATATAGTATTCAATATGTCTCAGATGCGGTGCTTTCTCATGAGATACAACCAGCTATGGATGGCAATATTGCTTTTTCATTAAATGAAAAAGCCCAAGACAACATCCGTGCCCTCTCAAAACCATTGATTTTGGAAATTAGAAACAGATTACCTTCGTTTCCGATGACAAAAATAAACTCTCAATAAAGCACATTTTGGTATAATACCAGCATTAAGGCATATTCTGGTTAAATACAAAGCCTTAATTGAGGAAAACCCACAAACACAGCCTGGTTTACTAGAACAGACAAATCCACCAAATAGAAAAAGACCAAAAAAGAAGAAGGTTAAGAAGAATAAAAAGACAAGCAAAGACGATGAAAAGAAGTTCGTTCCACCCAGGCTCTTTAGTTTGTTTCCAAAACCAAGTCTTCGTTGGCATTTTATAAAGATCGATAGCCAAAATTTAGGTGGCATATTTCCTGTGGCTTTTTTGGAGAAACAAGATGAAGAGATTCCTTTCCAACAGATACAAAGATGTTTCTTTGTCTACTTTGATTTTTCGAAATTAAACATTAACAGGCAAACGTTAACATTGTTTACGAGAAATAAGCACACTAATTTTAAATTTGAATAGTCTTGAAGGCTTAATAGACTTGCCTCATCGAAAAGGAAAGATGCTTTTTAAATAGCATATATACAGACGGATATATGTGCAGGATATCATTCTGTAGAAAAATACAGGCAACATTCTTATTAACGGCTCAAAAAAAATACAACAAAAAAAGAAGAGGAAAGACGAAAAGAAATAAGAGAAAAAGAAGACATAATCATGAATACAAAGTATTCATGTTACTCATCACCTTTTTTCAAAAAAAAAAAAAAAAAAAAAAAAAAAAAAAAAAGAAAAAGAAAAGAGAGAGCACACAAGGAGAAGTTTGAGGAGGGCGATGCCGTTAGTTGTATTTGGCAATGGACTTAAAAACAAAAGCCAGGTAAAATTTAAAGGGCTAAAGCATGGTATATCAGAAAAGATATGCAGGCAGCTGAAAATATGAGAAAAGCTTGGGGAATTGTTGCTTCTAGACATAGACGAATACAAAACATCCAAGGTAGAAAAATACATACATATGAATATAATAAGCGTACTAATACAATATATTACACCTGTATTGTATAAACATGCAATTCCTGTCTTGAAACCAAGCTTCAAAACCTCGTATATGGAAAGGGAGATGATGCACATAGAATCCATCAAATATTCATCTGCAAAAGTTGCTATATTTATTGGAATCGAGATGCGATGACTGCAAAGAATATGTTAACCATTGCTACATCAATCGGGAGCGGAAATGGTCGTCCCAATGTATTCCGTTTTTACATTAAGCTAGACGTTAGAAAATTAATTTTGATTCGTCCAGAAAAAAACTAACATCATCTGAATTTGAAGTGTAAAAACTGCAATGTTAAACCAAATAAAAATTCCGAAATGAATAATTACTTGATTCTTGTCAATTTAATTATTATTATTATGGTAATCATTTTTAAATCATCCTTTTTTTTTCATCTATCTACCTATCTACCTACCTATCTACATACATACGTACATACATACATACATACATAATATCATGTATATACATACCATAGTAAAAGACAATATCAACAATCAAGAACAGCAACTACAACAATCCTCTCTGAAATTGGTAAATAGAAGAAATACACATTATTTATCAATAAACGCGAATGCAATTGCTGGTATTGTCCTTTGTATTGTCGCATTTATATTATTACTTGCTTTCATATTATGGAAATTATATGTATTACGTGATAACATGCAAAAAAGAAGAAAAATAAAAAATCAACAACAAATGACGCATCATAAATCAATAAATTCCTGTAAAATAGTGAGTGTCGTAAAATATGTCTTTGTTTGAATAATAATAATTAATAAAAGAAAACTATTTAGGATAGAAAATCGATGCGTACTTATACACCAATAGATGAAAATGAGTCTATATTAAATTATTATAGAAACAATAATACTACTATTACTACTACTACTACTACTACAATATCATCTACTAAGCTTCCTTCACGTGTTAAATCAAATACTTATTTACCGTCTAATATGCAAAAACTTTGTTATTCAAGAACAAAAGGAAAGGTAGATTGTGAAAAGAACACAATTAGTATACCAACAATACTTGTTAGATCATCCTCGCTTACAAGTAAATCTGTACCGAGAAAAGATATATTATCCACTAATCCTCTTTTACTTCCAACAACTCGGAATCATTCTTTTAACGAGAAAAACGTTGAATTCAGATATAAAAACAATAGTAGTTTATCAGCAGTACAAAAAGATAAGAATGGAGTGTCGGTATCGGCAGATAGATGTGATAGTATATCTGTAAGTTCAATTCAATATGTTGGATTTAATAGTACAATGGATATGATTTATGAAAAAACCGAAAATTTATGTATAAAAAACGATCATCAAACAGCAGCTATTTACTATTAACATAGATGTTATCTGTAAATAAACGCCTATTATCTTTGTTTAGATATCATTGAATTTGTTATTCATGTTGCTCTTATTGAATAATAATAATAAGCAGATCATAACCTGAGATTGACACGACTACTCTATTTTATTTTTTTTTAAAGTAAATCGGTTTGACCAAATACATCTGCTATAATTGTAATAATAATGTTTAAACAAGATCTTTGATTTAAATGTTTAGTTCGTATCTTAATGCATTCTCTTGATAAGTCGCGTAATATTGATATATTACTATATGTCAATACAGGATCTAAATAAACTAATAATGCAAATATTCGCTGACACTATACAAGAATATTATACAAGTGAAATAGTGTATGTATACATATTTATATATACTAACCTTTTGTTCAATATCTTCTTCTTTTTTGATAGTGTTTAGCCATTGTATATGATATTCTAATATACGTAAAATAGTATGCTACAAAAAAAAAATGACTGTTTAATTTTTAAATAAATCATATATATCAAACTCCTTTCTTACTTGAGAAAAAGTTGGGATTGATTGGGTGAAAGGCTGATTAGTTGAATAAAGTAAATCATAGGCTTCTGTTCTTGATCTTATCTCTTTTGGTTTATGCAGTATTTCTTTATTTTCCTGTATATACTATATAACATGGTTAATTTATTTATTTACTTTGATAATGTTAAATTCTTACTTTTTGATAGGATTTAAATACAGTTGCAAATCCTTTTCTCCATACTTCTAATGTTTGATCATCAACGGAACTCGAACTATTAAAGAACTGAAAATGAGCAGGTAATTGTATTTTTTTTATTTCTTTCGGTGGTGGTGCTACAATAGTTTGCTTGTATTCTTTTGCTTGTTCTCTATTATATAATAAGATAGGTTAAAAAGAAAAAGAAACTTTTGTTTTCTCATTAATCATTTAATACCGAACAGTTAAAAGATAATCCTCTCCTGAATATGGAATACCATTGATTAAATCAGGCTTAGTTTTACTTAGTGGAATTGCAGCTTTAACATCGTTTTCATCTTTTTCTATAATCTGCGAAAATAAGCATTTTGACATTTTTTTTTCTTTTAACAAAGAAGAAAGTGCTGCTGCAATTAAAAACATGGCCTTTTTTTTTGATGCAAAGTCACTAGTATTACACAACATCTATTATCAGTTTTAATGGAGTTTTAAAATAAATCTACTACTACTACTGCTTGTTTTATTTTTATTTTACTTTCTCATTTTAGCATAATAGTATGGCAACAACGATAGAACAAACGATCGTCGTCCTCATTTCAGGTTCAGGCACTAACCTTCAAGCATTGATTGATGCTACACAAGAGGGTCGACTTAAAGCCAGAATTATTGGTGTCATATCCAATCGAAAAGCAGCCTTTGGACTTGAACGTGCAAAAAGGGCGGGCATCCCCACACAGACAGTATCTCTTAAGCAATTTAAAGATCAAGGCAAGACACGTGTCGATTTTGACATTCATGTTGCTAAACTCATTCAAGAAAATTATAAGCCTGATTTGGTCATCTTGGCAGGTTGGATGCACATCTTGTCTCCTGAATTTTTAAGTTACTTTCATGACAATGTCATCAACCTTCATCCTGCTTTACCAGGTCAATTTGATGGCGCTCATGCTATTGAACGGGCTTATGAGGCTTTTAAGAGAGGTGAAATTAAGCATACAGGTATTATGGTGCATAAAGTGATAGCTGATATTGATCGTGGAGAGGTTATTTTGCAGCGGGAAGTGCCTATTTTGGAAACCGATACACTTGAAGATCTTGAGGCACGTGTTCATTCATACGAACATAAACTTATTGTCGAAGGTGCTCAAGTGTTTTTAGATACTTTAAAGCATAAAATAAAATAAATAAGCAGAGTTTTATATATATTTATATTTATAGTTAATAAAATGCAAGCAGAATACAAAAAAAAAAATTTATTCATAATTTTATCTTCTTCCTTTTCCCTTTTTCTTTTTATTCTTTGAAGGCATTGAAGTTGAAATCTTTTCTTTGATAGGCTCAGGTATCTTTTTATTGCCTCCAATATTAGCACTACCTGTACCTCCAATTCCTCCACCCTCTAAAGAGACGCCCTGTGGCCCCTTATTTAATGCCTTTTTATTCTTTCCCTTCATACGGAATGTAGATCTTTCATACTTGGGAAGCCAACGTTCAGGATCAGGTTTGGTCTGAGGATCCATGTTCTTGGGATAAATAGGTGCTTTCTTCTTTTTCATTCTGGGCTTTGGAACATGAGGAGCATGAGGATCTTTTCGAATGTAACCTCGTTTAACACCAGGTACAATCGTCTCTAATGTTTCTATATCCAAATGACCAAGTGCAACAGAAGGTAATGCATTTCCATATTGCTCTGCCTTTTGAGGATCTACTTCTGCATAAGCAGCAATTAAACCAGCAATAGCCTGAGCATCGGAAGGATCAGCTTTAACCAACTGCTCATAATCTGCAACAGCTTCTTGGAAGCGCCCTGTCTTTAATTTGAAAACAGCTGCTTGCTTGATAGTAGATGTAGGTGCTGTTGTATTCTTAAACGAACTATCATTCTTCCAAACATCAGAAGCCTGATCCAATGTTTCTATAGCCTTTACAGACTGTCCTGTTTGTTCGTATAACCAAACTAACAACGCAATCAAGCCAGGTTGATAATATCTTTGCTTGTCTTCCTTTAATGTATCTAAATAAGATTGCAAGGTAACAAGTGCAGAAGCAGGTTGAGACTCGAGTAATTGTAATTGGATTGTAGCAAAACGAATAGCAACTGAACTAGGCTTTCTTTCAGCATATTTTTTAAGCTCCTCAATAGCCTTATCAGCCTTGTGTTGATGATAAGTTGCACTGGCCAAAATAAGATATAAACTATCGTTATCGGGATATTTTTCAATCAACTTTTGAGCTTGATCTCTACAGGCAGAATATTTTTGATTATAAAGCTGTAATAAAGTATCATTCATAGATATGATACGTTTTTGATAATTCTTAAGCTTGGCGTCAGCCTCTTTAGTTGTGGCAATTTTCAATTTCTTTGTGGCATCTTCCAAATCTTTATTCTGATCAATAGCAACCATATTATTGGATACAACAGCAGCAACGGTAACATCACTTGCATATATGTTAGTACAGGTTATGGTATGTAGTAAATATATTTACCTCGAATTTAAAAGTTGCTTATAGATTTTCATAGCATCATTAATACGGCCTTGTAATTGATAGGTGTAACCTAATTGTGTTGAAATCACAGCTAATTCCTCATCTTGTTCTTCTTTACTCATTCCTTGTGATCTATCACTACATTGTTCTATTATTGATTCACACATTAATTCGTATAAAAATAATCAGATTATTTATTACTTACTGTAAGCCAATTCAAGTTGCTCTTGAGCTTTTTTGATATCACCACGAGCCAAATAGACAGAAGCTGCATTGTAAGCAACTTCATAAAGATCAGCACTTTCTTGTACATTAAAATCATCTTTAACTACTTCCTTATTAGAAAATAGTAGACCAGCCTTTGCAGCCAATAGATTGACTTGAATCTCATCATGGAGATGATTATTCTTGCCGGTAGATTTTAAAAGTGATTCATAAACTTCAACAGCTTTTTCAAATTGGCCTTGAGAATAAAGCTATTTCAGAATGTTAAAAAAAAGAAAGAAAGAAAATTAAAGTATATATCTTTTTTATTTATTTTATTTTTACCAATTGAGCTTCGAGATAGGATAAAGAAGGATCCACATTTTTTTGTTTGGATTTGAGTTCATTCAAAAGCTCCATAGCAGGCATCAGTTGATTTGTACGATAATAACAATAGATTTTCTCGTAAGATAAATCAATATCACTGTTTTTAAATTGACGAGCAATTATTGTAAGAGCATCTTTGTACTTTTCGAGACGAATTAAACTAACGACTTTACATTGAAGTGCAAGTTGATCATTAGGATTTAATTTAATTAGCTTTTCACAAATTTCTAAACAAAGTTCGTCATTGTAATTATCAATAGCTTTATTTAGGTCTGTAAACAGAGCTTTTGTTTCTTGCTCTTTTGTCGTAGACGCCATATTTTTTTTTTTAGAAAAAAAAAAGAAAAAGAAAAGAAACGGTCTGTAAATTTGACGTCGCGTATTTTTTGTTGATAAAAAAAAAACTATTTTCGGTATTCGACTATTTTTTTTTTTTTTTTTTTTTTTTTTTGAGTTACCAGCAATTTATTAAATAAAAATCACTTTATTAAATCAAAGAAATACCTTGTATAAACAGTAATAAAATGATTCTACCAATAGTTACATTATTGTTGCTCGAAACAAATTGAGTATTTGATGACATCAATAGTGTTGCTTTGATAGTTTATATGTGTAATATGGTTCTTGATTTACAAGGACCTGAATAGATTTGACAAAAAACATTCATGCTAATATTTCAAGCTAATTTACTAGCTATAGTAGCTAAACAATAATAAATTCATTTGTAAACTTTGATAAATTATGTTAAGCTGTTATAGGCAAAAAATATGTATAAATATGAATATACATTAGATACTTTATTTGTAATACAACAGTAATATAGCTACAAATACTTTCATTAACACAGAAACCTTTAACTATGATAATGTTGCTTGACTTTCAAATATAAGTGTCATCTTCACTACAGTGTATCAAATTAAAAATAAATACAAGTGTTTATTATTTTTGGAATAATAATTCTACAAAATCGAGCCAATATTATGCATGAAAATCTCTATCACATTATAAGAAAAAAAAAAGCAGCTCTATATTCTTTGATTAAAATGATATATAGCATCTACAGATGGTCGAGGCTTAGTTTTTAAATAACTCAAAAGGATAGTTTTGTACAAGATATTATAGAGACATATTCAGTCTTACTCAGAATATCAGCAAATAAAGATAACTATTGCTACTATAATCTATAGCTATTTAGTGTAAAATAAATAAGTGATTTTTCTATGTACTAAAAAAGATTACTCAAACCATCAAGTTAACGAGGCAAAAATAAATAAATAAGAATATAATAAATAGAAGTGCAATCCTGTAACGTTATTGATATGCTGTTATTTCAGGCTAATAAAATCAGCAGCCAAGTATTTTGAGAAAACACTGTTTACCATTAATAATTATTGATTGAGAGAAGACTAACATAATAGATTATATGAAACAATTACAACTACAATGTTTACTAACATGTGTTGATGTTATGAATCAAGTAGAAAATGAGAAATATGTTTTATTAAAATCCATTATTATCACTACAAGCTGCACATTCATAAATACTTCAAGATAAAACAAGAGCATTTAAAATTATTTCAATTACTTCCTTCTCCTTTTTACTATGATATATTTGTTGATATTCTTCAATAAAGTTTGTGCTTTTTCCTTTTGGTGAAACCAAATCACATTGATAAGAATAAATAAACCGTTATGTGTATTAAGATTAGATATGTCAATAAAATTTGAATATAAAAACGTTGGCTTTTTTTTTTATTTTTATTTTCATATATTTTGAAAAAAAGAAAAAAAAAAAAGAGGATGTACATTATATGCAAATTACTCTATATAGCTATATTCTCTCTATTATCAGCAGCTCCACCTTATTTTTCACTATATTTTCATAATGTTCTTCAGTTTTCTTCGGATCAAATAGGCTTTATTCTTGCTATTGCGCCTTTTATTCAATCTATTGCATGTCCTATTTGGAGTTATATAGTAGATAAGCATTCTGCGTTACATGGTCCAATCATGGCTATCACTAGTCTCCTTGGTGGTTCCGGGATCATGTCTATCATGGTCATCGGACACTCTGTTTCATCTGAAGAAGTCATACCGCAAACATTTATAGGTTTACTTTCTTCTCTACAATTAAGTAAATCCATGTCGTTTACCTTAACATCATGTTTTACCTTGGCATTTGCATTTTTTACTTTACCTAATATTTCTTTGGTTGATAGTGCTGTCATGAAAATACTGGGTCCTAATAAAATTTTATATGGTATGAGAGATCTGTTTTTTTTTTTTTTATTACTACTGTAAACAAAAAAATGTTAATTATTTAGAATAGGTGAACAAAGATTATGGGGATCCATCTCTGCAGGTTTAACCATTCTAATTGTGGGGCAGTTATTATCTTTTACAAATAATTTTGATGTTCTTTTTTATGTATTTGGTGTTGGAACTATCTTTTTTATGATATTTTCATGTTATGTCAATGTGAATCAATACTACATGTCCTCTATACCTGAATCTTCATTACGTGAGTCATCTTTACTAGAAGCTGCCCCAAACCATCATACTCTTCATCACAGTAATGCACTAGCAAGAGATTCATCAGAGAAACCTTTATTAGGTGGTAACAATAGTCATATGTTACCCGCCAACACTTATAATAGTATTTCTTCTGATGTAAATAATGGTCATCAGTATGTTGAACTCTTCAAGTCAAGTAGCATTGCTTCCTCTGGACATAATACGATTCGAGAAGAGGCTGATAATACATTGGATGCGTTAGGTTATCCTGATCTTGGTCTCTCCATTTCTCGTATTGCATCTGTTGATCCTTCTATTGTTGATGGTCTTAAAAATATACACACAGAAGGTCTCCCGACTGCTAAGAATGCTATTCGATCCATTCGTGTCTTGACTTTTCTAACAACTGCTCTCTTTTTTGGCTTGGTGTTATCCATTATTGTTAACTTCTTATTCTTATTTCTTAGTCAAGATTTACATATGCCTGCTAGTTGGATTGGTTGGACAGGTTTAGTAACTGGTATAACTGAGCTACTTAGTTTTTGTTTTTCTAAACAGGTACAAACATATGTAACAAAGAAAAAACAAATAACATTATTTACATTTTTTTTTTTTTTTTTTTTTTTTTGCAAGTTGACTGAAAAATTTGGTGTAACAAAAATGATCTTTATAGCACATTTGGCTACAATTATACGTTGTCTAGCATATACTATTTTAAAACCTGACTCATATATTACAAATGTCTGTGCATTATCACTTCAGGCATTTCATGGTATTGGTTTTGGTATCTTTTGGGCTACAGCTGTGAATGAAGTAGATGGTTTTTTTCCTCCTGAACAAAGATCTGTTGCGCAAGGTATTTTGGGGGCTCTTCATTTTGGCCTCGGCGCAGGTTTAGGAGCGTTAGTAGGAGGTTATATGTATGAATATTTGGGCCCTGTATATATGTTTCAAATTGCAGCTGGTATGGCGGTACTAAATTTGGCTGTATTTTATATAGGTAGATTAGATAAATTTAAATAACATTATATAATAGACTGTATACTTCCATATATATCAATATATGTATATAGATATTTGTTATTTCTTAATCTAAATAAACTATCCATATGTAAATGTAAACTATATTCTTGGTATGATCTTTTATTATTGAAAATAGGGAATTAAACATACAATATATGAAAGGACTTCTACCTTATACTTAAGGATTTAAAAATTAGAAAGATATTTTAATATTTAGGATAGAATTTGGATTCAATATTATAAGCAAATTTATAATTTTCTGAATAACCTTTAGCCATCCTACTAATATGGCCATAAATACAAATAAAAGTATCATAATTAACAATATTATAGCTGAAGTCGTTGTTAATGAAGTCGATCTCGTACCTATCTGACTAACGTTTATCATTGTTTTTATTATGAACAGCATGTTGCAAATACATTTTTTTTTTTAATAGCTAATCTCAATAGTAGCCAAACCATCTTCTTTATGCATTTCCTTAATAAAAAAAGAATAGCATAATTGCAAGTGTTGTCCCAATTATCTTTTACATACTTGGAATTGAAGGAGATATCAATACTAAAATTTTCATCAACATATTTCAAAAAATAACAGAAGCCCTAGAATCTATTACTCATACGAATATCTTTACAAGGCCCCTATTAAATATTCCAATAAACTAGGAACAACAGCTTTAATATTGACACCAAAAAAATAGCAATTCCAGTATATACATGTGTATATATAAACCCCCTCCAATAATGGCCTTCTACGATATCACAGTCAAATGATTTACCAATACCTATATCACAATAATAATTTTTACCCTAAAGAGCCTCAGAAAATTTATGCTTAGGTTAGCTACAGCGTTTGTTAATCTGAGAGCTAAAAAGGCTACATCTTTGCTTGATACCAAACCAGGGTTTAGAATTAGCAAAGGCACTAATAGTTTTTTTCTTTTTCTTTTTCTTTTGCTGATTGTAGACTATAAACAAGCACAAAAATATGATAGGCGACAATATATTAATTAAGCGTGTTATGTAGATATGTTTGTAAAGAAAAATTATTTATTTTTTAAAAACAATATTTTTTTTTCTATGTTTCCTTCTTGATATTAAAATGCCATCTTTACTAGATTTATCTGGTATATTGATATTGTATGAATTTATGTCATTATCCTCTTCTTGATAAAGAAACTTATTTACAAAACTGATTGGTAAGTCATGAAGCTCTGGAATCCAATCTGCAGGTCTAGTAGTAATTATTTCGTTATCTAGTCTCATTAAATTTGCATGCTCATCTAAAACAAATAAGTAAGAGGAGATAATTAAAAAAAGGCATTATCATATTTACCTGTTATGCAATATAATGAATCAAAAGGAGCAGTATTCATTAAATTAACTGTCATGAACGAAATAAATATAAACCATACAAATGTCATTAACCAAATAGGTATAGCTAATGCCCAATATCTACTTGGATAATAAGTAATGCCTAGTCGGTGTAATATTTCATCAGGGACATAAGCCCAAATCAGATAAATACCTTTTAATGCAAATAAATGAGCAAGCAATATATGTACAATTTACTTTTTGTTTTTTACCAAAAGCTACAAAGGAAGACAAATACATGACAAATCCATAATATTCATATGCTGGTATTTTATTTGTAATAGCTACAGGTGGTGCTCGTTCAACTCGTGGTAAACTAGAGGACATTCTATTAAAAAAAACAAAATGTGTTTTTAATTATATATTATTGCTATAATTATAACGAATTTTACTCTGAATAAGATCTTGGTCTATATCTTTTTTTCTTCAAAACTGATTTCGCTGTTGGTCCATTTGTTCTAGCAGAATTCAAAAAGCTATTATCATCACTCATTATCTTTAATCTACTAGTTTTATCATTGTCCGTTTCGTCATCAATGTTTATTTTCTTTCTACATTTTACATCTAGAAAACTGCTAAACGAATGTCGTCTTTTGCAGACACTTGAATAAACATTAGTTTTAATGTTAATTCGATTATTTATTATTTACTTTTATATGAATTTCTTTTTTTTTTTTTTTTTTACTTTTTTTTTACATTGAATTTTTTGTTTTCTGTATTAGTTTATAATTAATATTATGCTCATTAGATCCATGACTCAAGGAGATCGATGTATTATTTATAATAGATAGATTTGACATAGTAGATGGTATCGCATAGTTCACTAAATTAGGTAATGATGGTGTTGACCGTGAAGAAGAGAATGAAGGAGGATTTGTTTTCGACAAATGAGTTTTAATTGAGGAAGAAACTTGATCTATTGACATCTCAATTTGTATTGAAAACTCATATCTATAGTTAAAAAAAAAAGGAAAACTTTGAAAGATATATTTGTCAATGCCTTTTTTTTAGCATTTAAAAGTCACGACAATAAATTACTCAAATGGACACAGGATATATGTAATGCATATAACTTATCCACGCTAATGTAAACAATATATTGCTTTTTATGGGGAACAACAAAATCATTGAGAAAAAAAATTCACAAAGGGAATGCTTAAGCTATATAAAAAAAAGCTATATGTCTGTTTGAATATTTACATATATTTATTTTTTGTAAGCTTAGTTTTTAATAAAAAAAAAAGGGTCTTAATGTAATAGTAATTATTCTTTGAAAGAAAAGATGTAACATTATGCATATATGTCATGTGATTATATCCAAAAATAATATATATAATATTACGCATAAAACGGACTTATTTAGTTCCATGTGTACAAATACAATAATTAACATAACATTCGTGTCTATAAGTATTTGGTCTGTTTGATTGATTCTACACTTATAGTTTACTAGAATTGCCGCCATTATTAATATATTTCCATTTTTGATTAACAATCGTAAATACATTATTAGCGTCATAAGGATCTATACCAACTTCTTTCTTAAACTTTTCATCATCAACCATCTCTACTCTCCCATCAAAATATAATTTAATAAGATGTAATCCCATGGCGCGTACGACTACAGCTATCAATTCCTCATTATTATATTCTCTATTTAGTGCCAAACTGGTAGCTTCTACTAACTCTATTGCTGTCCATGTTTGGCTAGTATCCTTCAACATTAAATCTAAAATTTGTTTTTCTTTTGCCATCCGTAGTGCCAAATATTGCTCTATTTTTTCCATGCCATTATTTACAACATCACCATGTCCAGGAAACAAACGTGAAGGATTTAAGGCTTGAATTTTATTTAAACTATGAACATACTCCGTTAAGTCTTCAAATGCAACACTTCCATGGCCTAAAATGCAATCTGCAGTAAACACTGTATCTTCTTCATCTAAATAAAATGCGCAGTGATCTTTGGCATGTCCTGGCGTATGAATAACCTGGATGTGAGTATTTTCATCTACTTTTATTAATTGATTATCTTTTAAATCATTTAAAGTGATGTTCTTTGGAAGCGATGTCTGTAATTCCTTATGAAAGTGCTTATAGATACCATTCATATCTTTCAGAGGATATTTATGTATTTTAATAAATTGATGTATATCTTTGTTTGTATCGGGAGACTTGTTTTGATTTAACTTAGACGACATAATATGTGGAAGCCCACCCCAATGGTCAGTATGGCAATGGCTGATGATAATATCAGATATATATGCTTCAGGGTGAATAGATCTAAGTGATTCAATCAATAGAGGAACATAGTCTGGTTGCCCATCTCCACAATCAATTAAAACTTTTCGGTTGCCCGCTCCAACAAGATAAGTGTTTGTACCTAAATCAATTGTTAAGCTTGATATTATATAAATATAGATGTGAATTAATCAATTACCTTGTAGCGTAAATTTTCCTGGATTTAGTCCCATTACTCTCCATACTCGCTTAGATAACTGGGAAAAATTGGGCAACTGAGGGAGGTCTAATCTTGGTGTAGATTCATACAATACCATTAATGTAAATAATTATAGGAAGAAAAAGAGCAACTAAAGCTTCTATGTATAAGGTAAGGTTATTTATATATCCAATATCATAGTAGTACGAGCAGTCGTAACTATGCTTAAAATATACATCTTTATTATTAATAAAATTTAAACCCAATGAGCACATTGATAAACTACGCACACTATTTTCGGGGGGGAGAGGATGTAGACAGAGGATATGGTAATTATAAATATATAGCAAATATATATAAGCTTACTACTAAAAAAATGATATATTTAAATTTTATTATTTATCATACAATATAATAAAGAAGAAGAAAAAAAAACTATAATGTTTCTTCTGTGTTTGCTTCAAGTTTAGGCGGTGTAGTAGAGAGTGGTAAACCTTTACGACCTTTTAGAATATTACTAATGAAGAATTCGCCTGCTTTATAACTTGATCTAACTAAAGGACCACTTGCGACATACTTGAATCCCATATCCATACCTTTTGTTTCCCAATATTTGAATTTTTCAGGAGTAACATATTCATGGACTTTCATATGTCGTTTTGTAGGTCTCATATATTGTCCAAGTGTCACACAATCAACATTGGCCTTTCTAAGCTCTTCAAGTGCATGTAATACTTCTTCATCTGTCTCACCACAACCCAGCATAATAGATGATTTTGTAATCAAGCTAGGTTGAATTTCCTTGGCATGTTGAAGCACATTAAGAGATTGACGGAAGCCTGCACGACGATCACGAACATACGGTGTTAGCGCCTCAACTGTCTCAATATTATGTGCATAGACATCTAATCCAGATAAAGCAACTGTCTCAACTCCCTTGAGATTACCACCAAAATCACCCGTTAAACATTCAACAAGAATTTGAGGTGCTTTTTGCTTGATCTTACGAATCGTTTCTGCAAAATGAGTAGATCCACCGTCTGGAAGATCATCACGATCAACACTAGTTAAGACAACATAATCTAGCCCCCAACGACTGATAGCTTCTGCAGTATGTTCAGGTTCATGAGGATCTAAAGGTTTAGGCGTTCTATTTGTTTTAACTGAGCAGAAACGACAACCTCGAGTACATTCATCACCCATCAGCATGATGGTAGCAGTGGCTGTCTGATGTTCACCTCCTCCCCAACAGTCTCCAACATTAGGACATCTAGCTTCTTCACAAACTGTATGGAGTTTTAAACCACGTAAGTCTCTTTTAATTTTACCGTAATTCTTTCCAGAAGGAATATCCGTTTTTAACCAATCTGGTAAGCGTGGCTGTTTTCTTTATATACGTACATAAGTAAGCTTATAAATCAATAGGAAAAAAAGGGGGGAATGATGGGATAAAATACGTACAATTTTGTAGTTTTTACTTTCTTGCCTTCAACAACTGTTTCTCTTAATTCTAGAGCTTCGATATGAGATATTTTCTTTTCAAAACCGGGGTTAACAAATTCATCCAGAGAGTCTGCAGCATCTTCATCCTGTAGTCTCTTTCGAAGCTCTTTAAGTCGAGATGGCTTTTCTTTATCTGGAATAACTGTAGCATGATGACGGATTTGTTGCTGTGTCTATAATAAAACTTTATTAATCATTGCCGTTTTATTATTACCATTATTTATTTCTTTATTATGAAGAATAGTTAAGAACCTACGGCTATAAATAAAGTACGAGGGTATGAATAAGCAACTCTTGTTGATATATGTTTTAAAAGAGACATAATATATATATATTATCTAATTATATTATTAACAGAAAGAAAGAAATATATAAATAATTAAGGAAATAATTAAGAAAAAGTATAAAAGATAAAAATGATGGGAGGGGTGGGGAGATCTAAAATGCGTGACTGCAAAGTTACCGAGTTATTTAAAAAAAAAAATAAAAACTTTAATAGTCGTTGCTCCTTTTTTGATCCTGTAAATTTGAAGATATTGAGGAAAAAGACAAAAACTAATAATTTTGAAGTATATTTAAATTAATTTTTAAGTTACTGCAACATATTGCCAAAGGCCTCATGTATCTTGATGATATAGAGAAAAGGATTGGGGTATTATCCGAAGTGCTGCTACGAAAATTGTTATTATTGACAGAAAAAGTAACTATCTTAAATAATAAATGACAGCTATTCATCATCTTGTGTCAATAATTTTAGACATGCGACTTTGAATTTATCATCAGTATTATTGTCTTGAAATGAATCAAATCATAGATATATACAATACATCATAAGGCTCACATTTGGATCCTTTCTCACTTTTGCAATAACGACAAATCATTCAAAAGCTATCTTCGTCAAAAATCATAACGCATTCCAGTTACGATACGGCTGTACTTAATAATGATATCAGAAAGATAATTAGGAAATTCAGTTTTGTATTCAGAATTATTCGATTGATTCTTTGCTATATAAAGTTTGACGGTATTTAGGATGAGAAAACAAAACAATTTAAGAATATATGATATCAAGACTGATGACATATAAAAAACTAAAATATATATAAAAATATATATATTTAAAAATATACGTATAATTTTTGATGGCAAGAAGAAAGGGTTTTATAGTGTGGAAACAATGCTTTAGAATGAGTATTTATTCGATCTAAATAAATAAAATAGAGTGAATAGTTATTTATTTAATCAGTATGAGCCTATCATAGAAAGTGAATATCAAGAGATCATGACTAATCATTCATAACTATGTACACCATTTAACCAATAACATTATTCTCGTCATTATAACGTTTCTATTATACTAGTTTCAGAATATTATACTAAATTTTAGTAAGGGAATTATAAATTATTAAATAAATTAACTGTGCCAAACAGCATTATACGCTGGAATTTAATGAAGCTCGATCAAAGCTAAACCTTAGGTGTTTGGTTTAGATTGATTACTGTCATATCCTATGAATCAAATATTTCTAATAAGTATAGAATCAAGATATCAATAAAAGATGCTTGTTAAAAAACTATAAAAGGAGTTAATTATTTTGAAAAGACTTTGAAGTTTAAACCTAGTTTTAAATAAATAAAAAAAAAAAAATATAAAACAGTTCCTTAGAGACTCTTATCTTTGTCTTTATAATTTTTTTTCTTTCTTCCTTTATTGATCCAACAGTCCTGTTTAGCTTATGTTGATGGTATAGTCTTGATATCGAAATCCTCTCCCTTACAAGCCTTACTAAACTTTTGTAAGGATTATAGCTACCAACTGGGATACAGATGCAATTCACAAATATATATTATACTTGTTCTTAATTCGTTAATGCAACCGCACACACTTCACAGCTATTATAGTGCCCGCATATATTTTTCCTTCTCGAGTATGCCTATTAGACCTAATGTTTTTCTATACTCTAATTCTTCGGTTCAAACCAACGTTACCAAAGCTTTACCCGCCATAAATTAAATAGCTTCTATTAATATTAAAATACACCATTGGACACAATTCAAAATTCGGTATTACATTTCTATCACTAAAAAAAATAAAAATAAAAATAAGCGAGCAAAATAAAAAACTACATACACTACCGAAAAGTAGGACGAAAAAAAATATGATTTCTGCCAGACTCGAACTGGCGACCGCCTGCGTGTTAAGCAGGCGTGATAACCAACTACACCAAGAAACCATTTGGTGATAAAAAAATCGCTAAGAAAATAATGTCAGCTTATTGTAAACAAAAGTCACGTGATCAATGACGTCACTAATCTGCTTGAGCATCAACTTTGTTTGTTTTAAACTATGTATGTTGTGTATATAATGATGTATTACATAATATCTTATAATATACAGATCAGAGTCATGAACAAACGAGATCTCATTATTTGGTTTCAAGGAAAATAGCCGAGCCGACTAGATCAAGCACGAATACAAATAATTTAATTCTCAATCTGGGCAAAGACTAGAGAGCTCAAATACAATAACTTTAATTATTTTATGGGAAATCTTCTTCTTTCATTCTGTTCCTGTCGCAAAGTAACCCTGTTCTTCACAAGATATAAAATAAGGATCCATTTTGCACTCATTTTGAGAAATTCAACTTTTATTTTTTTTTTATTATTTTTAATTCAGTTTTATTTTTATTCAATTGATAATAAAAGCCTTATACAAAGTTTCCACAGATTTATTCTGTCTTCTTTTTTTTAGCTCTACCTTATCAACAATTACATTCACTTTTTTTTTATTATAATGAAGCATATTGGATGCTTTAAGAGATTTTATTTATGGTCGTATCATTTTTAAAGCGAATATTATTGAATTGTTAATTAAAGAAATTGTACAATGAAGTTTTGATTAACTTTTTTTTCTTTACTTCATTATTTTATTTTGTTAATGTTTTATGTGATAATACCGTAGACGTATTACATATAATATTGGTTAATGTTAAAAATATAAAAAAAGGTACAAAGAGAAAGAAAACAATAGGAAAGTGTAGTTAAAAGCTTTTTATAATGGGAGTTGCCTTTATAAGTAAATCATACTAGATATAAACCATCCGTTACTACATAATAAGGAGACTATTTAAATAAAACTAGTGTATTACACTTTATGGCATATTGTATATTCTACATTTAGTTTTGATAATAATCATTGTTGGGCTATTCGAGCATTGCAATATTTATGTTAAAAACAGAAATATAGAAATACACAGAGGTAAAATATGTGAGATTTGTTAATACTTTTCTTGAAATAAAAAATAAAATATGATATTAGTCAGAACTAATTGAAGAGAAAGGAGCCTATCTATAACATATAAGATAAAATACTAGAACATGTTTACGTGTATTATATTAAAGATGCAAATAGTAGTCACTCGTGTAACATTTCATTATAAAACGGTATAAAAGGCACGAATGTTTGTTGTGGTTTAGGTAAGTTTAATTAATTAAATAAAAGAAATAAAGTAAAAGAAAATAAGACAGAAGAAGTACGTTGAGACTTGTCAATAAGTTTATTAAAAGTTAATTCAATACAAGTATTGTTATTAGTTGTAAGTTATGAGTTATAATGTAAGAGTATTTATATATTTTGTGGATAAGGATGATGAGTAATAAGAAGATAAAAATATAACAAATTGTATTTGATAATATAATTATAGAAGGATTACTAAGAGTTATAATTATAGATTCATGTCTTTAGTATATATTTATTTTTATAACTAATACGTGTATTCTGAGTAGAATCAATTATTACGCGTATTTGTATTATTCTTAGTTTACCCCAGTTTAACTTGTATAAAGTTATTTTTATAAATTTATATTCAGCAGAACAATAATAGAAGAAAGTATATTTTTAGATGTAGGACTTTTTATTAATTAATTATTTTTCTATACAAGGGTAAATATACTAAATATGTTTATAGACAGAATTATTATACAAATGCACTATATATTCTATTATGACTATTTATCTTATTGAATTAAGTTATAAATCTTACAACCATGACAATGTTTAATTTCCCTCTTTTTTTTTTTTTTTTTTTTTTTTTTTTTTTTTTTCAGAAATGTGAGGAGCCTGTTTTATGCCGGGCTATGAATAGCACTGAAAATCGCCCCGTCTGTATAGTGCCTCCCATGGCTGATGGAAGGTAACACAGACTCATAGAATAGTAATTTCATGTTTATTGATAATAAGAGTAATTATTAACTACAAACAATATTTAGCTCTTCATTTATAAAAATGTTAGACTTCTAAAGATTGTTTCGTAAAATAGTCCTTCTTATTACAATAGAACATTCAAGAGGTTAAAACGATATATGCTTTCATTTATAATAAAAGTGTGATATTACTTGTAAAATATAAAATAAAAAAAAAATATAAAGACAAAAGAAAGTCAACGAGAGCAAATAATAGATCTAAAGTCAATTATTTTATTTATGAATTTAAATTAATGAGGTATTTATAAGGATTGTTAAAGAGGTCTAAAATAAGATATGAATCAGAAAAGTGTTAGTTATGACTGAATAGCATATAGTATAGTATTGTTAATGAAATGCACAATGTCTTTAAATTCATGAAGGAGCATGCAAATAAGTTGAAATAATCCCTTCTCTTATATTATATGTCTAGGTACTTTAAAAGACTTGGAGGTTAAATAAAGGATAATTAAATCTGATTATACCTTGTTTTGATACTTATCATAACAATCCTCAGCAATAAATATAAAGACATGATAATTAATCAGATGATACTAACAAGTCAAAGATAGTCGAAAAAAAAAAAGTCTTTTAATTATCCTTTCGCTTTGTTATTAAAGAGTATTTATATATAATTTTCAAATATCATTATTTAAGGTGTAGTACTTTACTGAGTTACTACACTATGGAAGTTAGTTAGTAAAGAATACGACTATTGTATCCCATATAATAGATGTTTGTATACATTATTAATTCAAAAAATATAGCTTTGTTTCAGTTAAATATACTGTTTCGATAATTATTGTTCTTATATATTTTGAACCGGTATTATAGCTGTAAACATCTAGTGTGTGATGACACATTTAAAGAGAGCTATTATATTACATTCATTGACGTCTATATCTGAATTGTAGATCTTTACATGATGATCAGATATAAAATGAATTAATGTTTTTAAAGCTGTAATATAGCACTCAGTTTATTATTATTTATTTAGATTAAATTATAGACTATAACCATGACTGAACTTTAGTACTTTGCAAGGTAGTTTAATGTCATATATTAACTATATCACATACTAAAACTGTTTACCTCAAACAAGACCAGACCAGAATGCTTCTTTACATTTGTCATACTGATGAATTAAAATGACTGATACTACTACTACTACTGAAATCTATATATCTTATATTTATCTCCTTTAGATCAATAATCACTCATTATACCTTTACGATATCATTTTATTCTTTTATTTTCTTTTACCAGCAAACAATGATGCTATAAATATCATAATCATATTAATGATAAATTAACCAATAGAATAATAAGCTAAAGAAAAGAATATAAATGAATATGCGTACAATGATATACAATTTTCTTTTTAATAAAAAAAAGATAGGGTATTATTATTTAAAGAATAATGAAAGTGATTAACATAATAAATCCCGCATAGGCTCTTTTCCTTTATGTTTTGTTAAAAAGCGAGGAGGTGATAAAGATCTTAAAATTGCCTTTGTCTTGTATGATTCATTTTTAGAAGAAAGAATCACTTTCTTTTTAATAGGTAATTCTTCTTGATCTGATAACGAGGAGTGATGATCGTCATCCTTAGAGTAAATGACTTTGAATGGTGTTCTGTTATAATTCAGTTGTCGTGCCTTTTGCTCATAATTTGGTGGTGGTTTATTTTCAATGTTACTTTTATCATCATCATAATAGACTATCCTAATTTCTTCTTCCATATCGTCATCGCCTTCATAAACAGATAATAACCATTTTATAGTAGGATCATAATGTTCATCTTCCTCTTCATCAAAAATCGATTTCATTATCATTTCTTTATTATTCGGTAAAGGTGTTAAATACATTTCACTCTCCCTTGATAATGATTTTTGATCCATCATTTTATATGAATCAAAACTGAAACTGCCTTCTTCATCTGACCCTTCATCTTCTGAAAAAGGAAAATTAATTTGAATACCCTATATATATATATATATTAAGAAGAGAAGAGAGTTATTAATTCAAAGTAGTAGTAGTCAGTAGTCATAATCTATTTACTGTTGAATCATCATATATTTGATTGTTTTCACTTTCTTCTTGAGCTGCCTTCATTAACCTTTCGTTAAAGTTTGTTGCACGAAACTCAAAATGCATATCATTATCAGATTCAGAGTCAAGTGCCATACGAGAAAGACGAGTACATGGTGTTAACGAGAAATACGAATCTGATATGCTCGTTGTCATAGTTTTTTTTTTTTTTTTTTTGTTAAATGTATTAGAAAAGTGAAACAGTGCTTAGGTGCCTTGTATAATATGATTTGTGCAAATCAGATACTATATAAAAAAAAAAGGATGAAAGAAAAGAAAATAAAAAAGAGAAAGAAAGAATAGTATTCATTTTATGATGTCTAAATTTAAATCGCAGTATCCAATAAAAATACAATAATATGTATGTATTTTCTATATTAGGATACTAGTCTTTTCTTTAACGCGTTTTGCATAAAAAAAGAAAGTGAAATTATATAATAAGCTTGTTGCTATAAAATTCTATTTTAAATAAACTTTTTTAGTACCGTCCTTCTTTATTTATGTTGTATTTACTTTAAAGCAATAATGAAAGAGTCTTCATTGTAGCTATTATATGAAATAGTAATTTTTGATCGCTGTAATATTTGATTTTAAACTGAACGATATTGTATCTACAGTTTTCCGATCATCTCAACGCTCGACCGAAAGCAATTCTACACTCTTCGTGCTAAGTTTCTAGATGATCAATTTCAAACCCTTCGTCAAGACACTAACTCTATCCTATTGTCTTCCTCATGCCCTAAAAAAAAAAAAAAAAAAAAAAAAAAAAAAAAAAAAATCAAAATAATAATGATAATAAAACTCAGGATTTAATCGTAATACAAAAGAACCAAATAGGGGATTTTTAATTCTAGATGGGCTTGTACTCCAAACAATCGTTAAATTTCTTACAAGTAAATATACATACAACGATAATAGATTCCAAATACACCTACTTGATCATTGTAATGCGTTCATATTTTGCTCATAGTGCAAGTTGGGTCTTCTCAAGAAGTGGAAAGAAAGAAAAAAAGTTAAGAATCCTTGTTCCAAAAAAAAAGGGGTAAAAAAAAAAGCCCAAAGATTCTGTACCATAAATTTCTTGGATAATTGCTTTTATATATTTAATTAGCATTTAGTAAGTATACCATCAAAAATTGCTTGAATTTTGCTAAACATGGACTTTAAAACCGTGATCAGACTATTGATTTAAACTATCCACATGTCATGTCTCAATTGAGCTTTACAGACTCACGACCAAAGCGTTTTTTTTTTTTTTTTTTTTTTTTTTTTTTTTTTTTTTTGAAGACAGCTTTCTCTTCCTTTACCACAACGTTCGCCAAGAAAAGAAGAGAAGGTAACCACCAACAGTAACATAAGAAAAAAAATGAAGCGTCTTAGGTGATGAAAAAATATATTAAAACACTTATGGAGAGACAAAATACGCTATAATTTTGTTGGTTATTCATATATTAGTTGTATTTTCCATTCTCTCATAATATCATTTCAATGTAAGTATAGAATATATCTTAGTTATTAATATTCTTGTATTGATAAAGTCTTTTATGCGTTCTCTACTTTTGAACTATTTTCATCTACTTTGTCTGTTTGCAATTTGATATCACCTTTTGTATCCTTTTATTAACAACACCCTTTTCGTATAAATATCTTTTTTTTTGTATACAAATAGAAAGATGATGAGAAATATATTATTTCTTAAAGTTTGTTTAAAGCTTGGCCTTGGATAAAAGAGTAAAATTTCATTCACCATTTAAAATGAACAAATTGTGGCTTGTAAGAAATAACTATTCATTGAATTTTATTTTATTTCCAGCTATTTTTTTTTTCACTCTTCTTAAAAAAAGTAAAAAAAATCAAAAAAAAAAAACTTTATATCATTTACGATGGTCGATAAGATGGATATAGATCATCATGAGGCAGATTCCATTGAGCCTTTGACAAAGGAGTTTTATGAAGGAAAACATATAGCAGCTCCTGTTAAAGAAATTGAGGTATTTAATACATGTTTGAGTTTTGTGTATACATCTACTAAATTTATATTTGAACAGGATAAATGGAAATTATTACCTGCATTTTTAAAAGTTAAAGGTCTCGTTAAACAACACATTGATTCATTCAACTATTTTGTCAATGTTGATCTTCAAAAAATTATCAAAGCCAATGAAAAAGTGACTTCTGATGTTGATCCTCATTTTTATCTAAAGTAATATATATATGACTTTTGTAATTAGACTTACTCATTTATTACTATTTATAGATATACAGGCATTCGTGTTGGTATGCCAGAACGTACAGACGCCGATGTAGCCAATCGTAGTTATACACCTCACGAATGTCGTCTTCGTGATTTGACTTATTCAGCAAATATTTATGTCGACGTTGAATATACTCGTGGCCGTCAAATCGTCAAGAGAAAAAATGTTGTCATCGGCCGTTTGCCCATTATGTTACGATCTGCCCGTTGTGTTTTGACAGGCAAGAATGAAGCTGAATTAGCACGTATGAAAGAATGTCCTCTCGACCCTGGAGGATACTTTGTCGTAAAAGGCACTGAAAAGGTCATTTTAGTTCAAGAGCAGTTATCTAAGAATCGTATTATTGTTGATGTAGATAAAAAGGGAAACGTAGTTGCTAATGTTCAAAGGTAAATAAATAAATAAATAAATAAATATATATATATATATATATATATATATATACATATATATTTATATGTATATATCTCTCTGTAAAAATAAATCCATTGTACGCTAATCAATTCAATTATAGTTCAACTCATGAACGTAAATCAAAAACAGCTGTCTTTGTCAAAAATGGCAAAATTTATTTAAAGCACAACTCTATTTCAGAAGATATTCCTGTTGCTATTTTTATGAAAGCATTGGGTGTACAATCAGATCGAGAAATTGCACAACTTGTTTGTGGTAACGATCACGATTTGAATGACGCTTTTGCCATCAACATTGAAGAATCTTCTCGTTTACGTGTCTTTACTCAGTTACAAGCTTTGGATTATATTGGTGCAAAGGTGAAAGTAAATCGAAAATTATCTACTGTAAGAAAGACGTTAGCTGAAGAAGCATTAGAGGTACTTGCAACTGTTGTTTTAGCTCATGTACCAGTCGAAAATTTGAACTTTAGAGAAAAAAGTATTTATGCTGCTGTTATGATTCGTCGTGTGTTGATTGCCATGACAGATGAAGTGCAAGTCGATGATCGTGATTATGTTGGTAATAAACGTTTAGAATTGGCAGGTCAATTGCTTTCACTCTTATTTGAAGATTTATTCAAGAAGTTTAATTCGGATTTAAAGTTAAATGCAGATAAAGTGCTTAAGAAGCCTAATCGTACACAAGAATTTGATATATTTAACCAATTAGTCTTACATGGTGACCATATTACGAGTGGATTTATTCGCGCTATTTCAACTGGTAATTGGGTCTTGAAGCGTTTCAAAATGGATCGTGCTGGTATCACTCAAGTTTTATCACGTCTATCTTATATCTCTGCTTTGGGTATGATGACCCGTATTACGTCTCAGTTTGAAAAGACAAGAAAAGTATCTGGTCCAAGAGCATTACAACCATCACAATGGGGTATGTTATGTCCATCAGATACTCCAGAAGGTGAAGCTTGTGGTTTAGTAAAGAACTTGGCTTTAATGACCCATATTACAACTGATCAAGAGGAAGACCCTATTCGAAAGATTGCTTTTGCTTTAGGTATTGAAGACGTTAATCTTCTAACTGGTGCTGAATTATATCAACCCAACACCTTTATTGTCCTCTTGAATGGTGTTATCTTGGGTATTACTCGTCGTGTACAACAATTTGTAACTAGTTTCCGTCGTCTTCGTCGTGCAGGTCGTATCTCTGAATTTGTATCTGTCTTTGTGAATATACATCAAAGAACTGTCAATTTATCATCTGATGGTGGCCGTATTTGTAGACCTTTAATTATTGTAGAAAATGGACAGCCTGCTGTTAAGCAACATCATATTAATGTAAGTGCCTTCCCCCTCCCTCCCTTAGGCTTTATTATATTGACTTTATAATACTATTTTATTTATTTATTTATTTATTAGGACTTGATTGCGGATAAATTATGCTTTGATGACTTTTTAAAAATGGGTCTTGTCGAATATGTGGATGTTAACGAAGAAAGTGATGCGAATATTGCAGTATATGAAAAGGATATTATACCACAAACGACTCATTTGGAAATTGAACCTTTCACACTCCTTGGTGCAGTTGCAGGTCTTATTCCTTATCCTCATCATAATCAATCGCCTCGTAATACATATCAATGTGCTATGGGTAAACAAGCTATTGGTGCTATCGGTTATAATCAATTAAATCGTATTGAAACATTGATTTATTTGATGGTGTATCCTCAACAGCCTATGGTAAAGACAAAGACAATTGAATTGATTGGCTATGATAAATTACCTGCAGGTCAGAATGCAACAGTAGCTGTCATGAGTTATTCAGGTTATGATATTGAAGATGCTTTGGTATTAAATAAATCAGGTCTTGACCGTGGCTTTGGTCGTTGTCAGGTATTGAGAAAGTATGCCAGTTTAGTAAAACGTTATCCTAATGGTACACACGATCGTCTCGCTGATCCTCCAGCTCGTGATTCCGACTTTTGGAATGAAACTTATGATGCTATTGAACAAGATGGTATTGCAGGTGTAGGCGAACCATTAGAAGGTGGCTCTATCTTTATTAATAAACAAGTCCCTGTTAGTGGTGGTATTGATACTAATGTACCTGGTGCTTCACAAAGCGTAGCTTACAAGCCGGCTCCTCATCGTTACAAGTCACCACAAACGGGCTATGTTGATAAAGTCTTGTTTACAACTACTGAATCCGATCAAACATTAATTAAAGTCAATATTCGTCAAACACGTCGACCTGAGTTAGGTGATAAATTCTCTTCACGTCACGGACAAAAAGGTGTATGTGGTATTATTGTTCAACAGGAAGATATGCCATTTTCAGATTTGGGTGTATGTCCAGATATCATTATGAATCCTCATGGTTTCCCATCTCGTATGACAGTCGGTAAGATGATTGAATTATTAGCTGGTAAAGCAGGTGTTTTAGATGGTTCTTTACAATATGGTACTGCTTTTGGTGGTTCTAAAGTAGAAGACATGAGTCGTATCTTGATTCAACATGGTTTTAATTATTCTGGTAAAGATTACGTAACATCTGGTATTACAGGTGAACCACTCTCTGCTTATATCTTCTTTGGTCCCATTTATTATCAAAAATTGAAACACATGGTTATGGATAAAATGCATGCTCGAGCAAGGTAAGTACTTGAATGATTTACTATTAGAATTAATTATCTTTATTTATTTATTTATTTTTTTAACAGAGGTCCTCGTGCAACTTTAACACGTCAACCTACTGAAGGTCGTTCAAGAGATGGTGGTCTTCGTCTTGGTGAAATGGAGCGTGATTGTTTAATTGGCTATGGTGCTTCCATGTTATTATTGGAACGTTTAATGATTTCATCAGATGCCTTTGAAGTTCATGTTTGTGATAAATGTGGTTTAATTGGTTATGCTGGCTGGTGTCAATTCTGTAAGAGTTCAAAATACATGAAGACAATGGAGATACCCTATGCCGCTAAATTATTATTCCAAGAATTAATGGCAATGAATATTTCTCCTCGATTAATTCTAGAAGATGCTATTTAAACACGCTTCTCCCTTCCACCTTCCCCCCTTTTTTTATTTTCTTTCTCTTGTCTACTACCTACCAGTGTGTATGTGTATGTGTGTGTGTGTGTGTGTTTTTTGTTTTGTAAATATATATAATTTAGAAATAAACATATAACAATTGATGAAGTGTGCATGTATATATATAAAAAAAATTCCTTGTGTGTAATAGCTGCATTTGTGTGTCTAAACCAATCATATTATGGTTAAATCATACGATTTATTCTGATAAGCAACTTTATTTTTTTTTTTTTTCTTTTCTTTTCTTTTCTTTATATTCTACTTGTATATATATTTATAAAGAAAAAAAAATGTTACGCATTACAATAGTATTATGTTTATTCATTGCTCTCATCAGTGGTAAATAAATAAATAACATACATATATAAATGGACGATTAGAGAATATAATGATAATTCTTTGCATAATTACAGCTAGTGAAGTCAAGTACATTATGGCTTTGAAATCACCTGTTACTAAAGAATCATATAAACAAGCTAAAGTGGATGTTGAATCTATGGGAGGTAAAGTTGAACAAGAATTCCATGCTGCGTTTAAAGCAGTTCTTATCTCTTTACCAAGTGAACAAGCAAATGCACTTGAAGCAAAATCCTACGTTGATTTTATGGAACAAGATAAATCAGGTAAAAAATTTATCATTATGATATTATTATTAGACTGGATTATTATATTTATTTTGTGTGTGTGTATGTGTTTTTTTTTTATAGTTCACATTGCTTAAAATAGTTTAAAATAATAATAATAATAAAAAGAAAAAAAAAAAAAAAAAAAAACACTCTTTCTCTTATATATTATTTAGCTGCCAGCAGCATGTTATCTTTCATGATGAGTGAATTTGCTATACGTAGTGCTTCTTTAGCAGCATCGTCATCTGTTGGTATAATAGTGTTGTATACATTCTTACTAGCATTTAATTCATCTTCTTCTTCTTCTGATGATATAACATCACTACTACTACTACTATCATCCATTGCTATCTCTTCTTCTTCTTCTTCTCCTTCTTCATCGAGTAATAAAGTCGTATTGATTGAAGGATTTTCTTTTTTATTAATAAGCTCATATAAGAGCATATATGGATTCGATCTCATCACATCTTCTACAGAACATAATTCAACTTTTGTATCTGAAATTCTATACCAGGTATCGTTCTGACATTTCCAATTTTCTAAACCTTTATCACGATTACATTCACAACATTGACATTGATTTGTATAAATACGTCGTTTGAAGGCTACAAAGTGACCAAAACTATGACTACCATAATGGACTACTACACTCATTAACTTGTAGTATTGATGTTGCTCTGAAGGTACTGAGATAGGCATATTAGGCCTTGTATTAAGTGTACCATTTGTACAAAAGGGGGATAAATCCAAATATTCCGGAAATATTAGATGACATGAGTTTTTATAAACTGCACCAGTATGTAAAAAAGCAGATCGAGAGATATGCAGACAGAGTATCTTGGGCGGCTTTGCTAACATCACTTGCTTTGTACTCATACAACTTACAGACTTCAGTAATCGATCTTGATCATTTTCTTCTTCAATACGACCCATCTTCAATCTATTTTCAATCTCTTGCTTCACTTTTTCTAAGGAAACCAATTGAGTTAGTAACTCTCGTTTCTTCTTTTTGTTAGATTGCCTTTTGGATTGCTGCTTTAGTGTTTCTATTTCTGCAGTTAGAGCTTTAATGGTTGTTACAAATGAACATCTTCTACAACTTGCATCTTGAAGGTATTCAATAGATGTGAATTGTGATAGACATTCTTCGAGTGAGGTTGTATACTATGTAAAAGCCATTAATATCTCTTCTATTTTATTTATGTCTGTCTGTCTGTCTAATCTATCTTACTCTATTTGGTACATTGAGTTGAATATTATTAAATGAAAAATGACGAATTGCACTCTATAATATTAAATAGACAAGTAAATATAAGATAGATAAATATATAAGAGTAGAGAGAGTGCGTGTATGTGTGTGTGTGTGTGACTATAAAGAAGATAGATATTACCGTATAACCGCATTCCATGCAAGATAACCGATTAGCTAATAAACCTATAAATGGGTTTTCTAGAGTGTTCATGTGTTGATGTTTCTGTAACAAAACCCTTAACCCATTATCCAGTGACTTTACGACCTTTTGACCTTCTGTGTCGATTGCACTCGAAACTAATTGAAAGAACTCTTGTGCATCTTGTTGTTCACGATTAATGATTCGACGATTGGATGAAAGTGCAGTAATAATATCCAAAGGACGAAAAGATGTATAACGATAACGAGGCATTGTTAGAGCTCGAATAGTCTTTAGTAGTGAACGTGTTACTGGTAGTGAAGTATGATTGGATATATAACTTATATGTTTCAAATATATATGTAAATGAAGTAAAGAAGATAGGGCCTATATATATATAAAGGAACATGAATATTAATTAATTATAAAACTTATTTCTATAGTCTACCTGTAAAACAGAATTTAAAAAGCAGGTATTACCCATATTGACTAAACCAGAGATTAGGGCTGTTTCATCATCTGCTTCTATATTTGAATCTAAACAAATATCTGATTCCTTTGAATCATTCGCGAGCTCACTTTCTAAAGATGAGTTAGATCTAAATATTATTATTTTTTTTTGAAAAGAAACTCATACCTATAAGTTGTTTGGATAGATTATCATAATATTCTTGTGGTCTTACATAGATCATGAGCTGTGGAATGCCTAGTAAGATTAATATTTTATGTAAAAAAACTGTAATACAATTAGGTGTATAAAAGGATAGCTTTTGAAAAATAGGTAATAAAATTGCAATTAAGCCAAAGATAGCAAGAATGAATTGCGTTACATCTGACAGCTCAGTTAACATAAACTGAAATCTTTCTAATGTTAACTGCATATTATTGTCTGTTAATAAGGAAAAAAAAAAAAAAGAGAAAGAAAAGAAAAAGAAATAAAAAAAAAAAAAATACAGTTTTCTAACAAACGCCAGATATAAAGGATTTTAATTGGATTACAAGCTAGACTATGCATTTATAATCATACACGAATTTTTATTATTTATTTATTTAGTTTTATAAGAATTATATACAAATTGATAAATGTATTGTTCTAACACAAAAGTATATAATACATATAATTTTTGTTTGTATTGGATATTCAATTATGAACACTACAAGTCTACAGATGTTACTGTCAACTATATAAAATAGCTGCCTTATTTTGATAATCGCGACCTAATTATCATTGTAAAGCGCAACATTTATTGATATTAAGCTGCATGTGTCATTTATTTATTGCACATATATAGCAACTATTTTATTAATGAGGAGCATAGTCCAAGCTATTCTTTTTGTAGGAAGTCATTACAGATATTTATTAATAATCAGAGCATACTTATACACTCAAAATTGAATTTTTCAATAAATCATAGACGAAAATTTAGTCTGTACTATATATACCTCAACACTGACAAAGTCCCTATGAAACTTTTATTGAGAAATATGAGATTAGCAGAATTCACTTTTTGAGGGGGGAAGGAGTATATTCTTAATGCGGCAGATCCTAAATTTATACACTACAGAATGATACCTAGCCCTTCATTACTTGATGATCCAGCTGATAAGGGTGTAGTAATAATGATTGATAGGCCAGTTACAAAATGAGAGGGGAAAAGTAATTGATATTTACGTAAAGACAATAAGAAATAAATATGTATAATAAAAAAAAAAAAAAAAAAAAAAAAACTTGTCTGTTAAATAAAGTAATAACTAGACTTATGATGTCGGACAAGATTTTACCTATAGAATATGCATGAAATAATTTAAAGTTATTACCCAAAAAAGAAAAAAAAAAGAAAAAAAAAGTATAAAGAGTCGTAAAACTCTCGAACTTGAGTATTCTTCTTTCTCTCTTGTTATTTATAATAATATAGAAAATGGTAATAATATAAATACGTCTTGTATAAGTATAAAAGGACTAAGATATGCTATAGCACAATAAACTCAGTGAAAGTGAAATTGCTGAATATCACAATACATTTGCGTTATTTGACAAGAATAATGATGGTAAAATTGATATTACAGAACTTAAAAATGCTATACGCGCCTTGGGACAAAAGCCGAGTGATTCAGAATTAAATGATATGTTTAAAAATGTCGATACTAATAATAACGGGAATATTGATTTTGAAGAATTTTTAACACTTGTATCAAGGTATTGTATTGTATTGTATAGCATAACACTCATTTACTTATTATTTTATACACAGAGGGAATAATACGTCTGAAAATGATTCATCTGATGCTTTTAAAGTATTCGATAGAAATAATGATGGATATATTACTCAAGATGAACTTCGCTCTGTTATGAGCCAACTTGGTAAAGTATCTACACTATTTGTCTTCATTGATATACTAATAAATAATAAAGGGGAGAACTTATCTGACAAAGAACTTGAAGAAATGATTAAAGAGGCTGATACAGATGGTGATGGAAAGGTCAACTATAAAGAGTTTCTTAAAATGATGGTAGGTTATTATACACCAAGTATGAACAAATTTTATTTACCTTACCTATCTTCCATTTATTATAAAGTAAACAACGTTATGAAATAACGACTACGTCATCATTGCTTCTTAAATGAATATAGACAAGCAATAAAATAAATAAAAATATCATTATTTAACAAATTAGTAAAAGTCTGTCCTTTGCTATTCTCTAAAATAATAAATAATAATAAAGGAGCTATGTTGAATCAAAATTGAATGTCTACAGAATGAGTGCAAAATGAATCCTTATTTTATATCTTGTGGAGAACAGGGTTACTTTGCGACAGGAACAGAATGAAAGAAGAATATTTTCCATAAAATGATATCTGAGCCCTGATTGAGAATTAATCTCAGTTAACTCACTCTAATAAAAAATTAAATTATTCGTATTCGTGCTCGATCTAGTCGGCTCGGCTATTTTCCTTGAAACCAAATAATGAGATCTTGTTTGTTCATGACTCTGATCTGTATATTATAAGATATTATGTAATACATGATTATATACACAACAAGCTATTAAATAAATAACAACTTATATTTATAGCAATCATTCCCAATATTATAAGTGTATCCCTCTCAAACCTATATTGCTAGTATATACTGCGATATTCAGCAAGTATAAAATCAGCATGTACATGCAAATGAGTTCCAGACCTCAGGTACAAAGCCTATATATGAAAACCAAGTCATATCACTAAAGCATTAGCTTGCTTGCTTACTTATTTACATGTGCGTACATATTGTTTCTTATGTCACCTAAAAAAAAAGAAAAAAAAAAGAACTAGTTTTAATGTTGTTTTTCAAGAGTACAAAACCAAATTTGTATAAATTAAGCTTACAGTCATGTATATAATACCTTGTAAAGTATATTATAATATGTTCAATATTCACACATAAGATTATATAGTTTCCCCTAAGAGTATGTATTTCAATTGATAAATTAAGAGAAAAAGATATTTGAGTTATCATAATTTGACCTGTTTTGTTTATTTGTATGATAACGACTAAATTCAATATAATAGTAATACTTATAAATATACATCTATTTTAGCTTTTATTTTATTTTGTTTATATTATTTTATATCATTTTATTTTCTTACACACATGAAACATCCAACAGTAGCTATAATAGGCTCAGGGTAATATTAAAATGAAATTATATCCATTTTATTATATTTTCGTTATTAACAAGTAGGTGTGTATAAAGGTTTAGTGGTATGGCCACTGCCATTAAACTAAAAAAGGAGTTAAATATTGAAGCAGATATTTTTGAATCAACCAGTGAAATAGGTGGAACATGGAATTATAACACTTATCCTGGATGTGCTTGTGATATTCCTAGTCATCTTTATTCTTTTAGTTTTGAACTAAATCCTAGTAAATATGAAAGATATATCAAATGAAGCTTTTTATTAAGTTTTTTTTTAACAGATTGGAGTCAACAATATAGCAGTCAAAAAGAAATTCATCAATATATGCTTCAGGTAGCTAAAAAACATCGACTTAAGGAACAAACCCAATTCGAAACTCAAGTTGTTCGTGCCTCTTGGATTGAAAGTAAAAAGCAATGGAAACTTGAACTAAAATCTTTTCATAATGAAACTAATCAGATTAAATATTACGATATTGTGTAAGTAAAATAGGGGGGGGAATGTTTGTATGTATGCGTGTGTGTGTGTATTTCTTTAATTTTTCTTCTTTCATTGAGTAAGCTAACTATTATAGATTAGTTTTTCTGGTATTGGTTCTATTCGTGTCCCAAATATTCCAAAAGAATTTTCAACATTTGAGGGAAAGATCATTCATTCTTCTCATTGGGATTCTAGTTATGACTTTTCAAACAAAAAAGTGGCTGTTATAGGAAGCGGGACAAGGTATATTATAATAACATTAATAATAATATGAATTTACTTTATTTATTTACTTACTTATCTTTAGTTCTGTTCAAATTGTTCCTTCTTTACAAAAACAAGTGTCTCATCTTTACAATTATATACGTACACCTACATGGATCACACCTCGTAATCAGTTTTATTATCCTGATTATGTTAAATGGCTTTTTGGGGTCTTTCCCTTTCTTATGTATCTCTATCGGGCTTACCAATTCTTTATTCGTGAATTAAGATTTAGTATTTGGGGTAACGCTAACTCTCAATTAGCAAAACGTAATCGAGCACGTCTGGAGAAAGAGATGAGTCATATACTATTATCAAGGGGGAGACCTGATTTGATCTCTAAGCTTATACCCAATGTAGCCCCTGGATGCAAACGTTTTGGTGTCTCGGATAATTATTTACAATCCCTTTGTGAGGATAACGTAACTGTCCATTGCTCCTCTATTGAAAAGGTGGAAGGTAAAACGATTATAACGTCTGATGGATCTAGGGCAGAAGTAGATGTCCTGTGTCTTGCTACTGGATTTGATGTAAACGGATTCTTGGGCGATTTACAAGTATATGGACGGAATGGTATCTGTTTAAATAAATTATGGGAGGAAATGCCTTCAAAGACTTATAAAACAATAAATGTGCATGGATTTCCTAATCTTTTCCTCTTGCTTGGTCCTGGTTCTGGTCTAGGACATAATTCAGTTGTAACAATGATTGAATGGTAAGTAGGTTACCCATACATGTACAGTCTCTCTTATCTAATATAACTCTATTAGTCAAGTGGATTACAGCATTCGTATAATAAAACACATGATGAAAAATAACATCGTTAGCCTAGATCCTAAAAAGGAAGCTCAAGATCGATTTTATTCAAAGCTTCAACATGACTTTAAAGGCACTACATGGGTAACTGGATGTCAATCATGGTATATTGGCAGGACAGGAGATATCCAATTTCTTTGGCCAAAGACTGTAACTAGCTACTATTTAACTTTAAAAAAGAATGTATTTGATGATTATATCCAAACTTATTAATAAAAGGTTCCAATAGCTAATTAGATTTTGCTCTATGCTTTATTTATTTCTGATTTTATTCTTATTATTTTTTTGGTAAAGGTGGCATTTTTAATCCAGCTCTTACACTAGGTATTTTAAATGCTATATTTTGAGCAACACTGTACCATGCTGAAGTAAACCAATACAAACCCATAGCCGTAGGTATATTCGCTGCAATAGGAATAAATGCAATTGAAAGCACTCTAAATGAATTTGTCATTATCTTTTGTATTTTATTTTGGTTTCCTCTTGCATACCACGCATTCAGCTACAGTAATAAAGTAAATGTTTGCATTCTTTTTTTCGTTCTTTCTTTCTTTCTTTCCTTTCATTTACCTCAACATTAATTAAATTACCCGCTCCGATCAAGATAGGCAAAATCATTGTTGAATCCGTTGCTGTTAAATCTACAAACCAGGCCAACCCACCATCCAACATCCCATCGGCAGGTACATTCGTCGTTTTTCCGAACCAAGGTAACGGAAACGCTGTTATATGTCTTAATGTCAATGACATGGATACAAACAAAGGAATCTGAATCCAGGGCAATACCACTATTTTCCAACGTGAACATCCATAATGTGCATAAATAGAATTAACTTTTTTTCGGTACTGCTTTTGTAATTCAGATTGGTATCGTTGATAATTCCAGCCTTTAGCACTGGATTCTTTGGCCAGTTGTGTTTTGAATGTCTCTGCCCAGCTTTGAATAATGGGAGCTAAATTAATCATTTTACCCAAACTACGTTGTTGATAAATGGCGATGGGTAAAGTCATGGTCGATCGAAGTAGTAATGTACTGGCTATGATGGTAGCCCACCAAGGTAACCCAGCATCATGCACAGTATAAAGAAAAGATTCATTAGCTGCCAAGATAGCAGGTAAAGTAGTATCGCTAGTGTCTGTCAGTGTTACTGATTCTGTTGTGAGAGGCAAAACTGCCGATTGTAAAAATCGTTTATATTTGGTATCATCATGAACAGTTGAAAAAGGAACATTATAATTTAAAAGACAAAGGGATGATTTGTGTTTATACAAAAAAGAAGTTGGCAGTCGTTTTTTAATACTACATTGTAAAATGGATAAATTCATTTTTAATGAAAATGCCAAAACAACAATAACAGCAACAAAAGTATGTTGAATATATTTCAAACTCAAATATGAACGGGACCCTTTCTTGACAGCAATTTAATAGTAATGCAATAATAAACTGAAGATCCCTCTTTTTAAATGTAGACTTTAACAAAGAATGGCTGATTACATGAACATCATCTAATATTTAATCTACTTTTACTTATTCCTCAAAAGAAAAAAAAAATAAAACAGAGAGACTTTTCCTAAGTTTCCAACTTATAATTTTACTAACTTAATACTTGACTCTTCTCACTAAAACATAACTTGTATAAAAACATATATTTCAAGTTCAAGCAAACTAGAATGTTGAATGAAAATATTAAAGTCTTTAAAAGAAGGTTATAACATAATAAATATTTATCTCAAATCAATGTATTCTTTTGAAAGAATTATACAGCACACATCTATCAAATTGAGTGTTACAAAGGATGCTAGGTACACCTTGTTTAACCAATCCTTGTAACTATTTACACTATTTTCACAAATTATTCGTGCACCTTCAGGAAAAAAATCTGTGCAGTTTAAAAATAAAAATTGATTTAGGCTCAGGAATAAACTTCGGCCATTAAAAGGAAATAGTTTCGTGCAATTAAAGAAAAAAATTTCGCGCAGTATCAGGAGCCTTTCTTTCTCACTTTATATTCAATTCAGTATGGACTCTTTTATTCACGAAGACGGAAAAGGAAACATGTTAGATGACCAGGGAAATGAAGTTTTTACGATTGATATGGAAGTGGATGATGAAACTTATCCGCTTGAAAATGTAACGGATTTGAACCAGTACTTCGACGTAAAGCCACCTGAGAGAATGGAACATGAAAAAGAAGAGAAGCTGTCTGAGGAGTCCAATACTAATGACCAAACATCTGAAAAGGGCAAGAGAACCTACAGACGCTACAAACCTGAAGATAAGGAGCGATTTTTTTTTCTTATTTATGAGAAAAACATGGGCATAAGAGAAGCAGCTAGAGCCCTTAAAATGCCAGAGACCACTGCTCAAAGTTGGTACAAAAAAGAAAGCCAGAATCCAGAGGAAGTGATTGAAAGAAAAAAGGGTAGTGGCAGACCTGTGGGAAGACCACCTATCTTGAAAGAAGAGCATGAACAATTCTTGAAAGAGCTTATTGATGATAAGTCAAGTTTAGTTTTGGAGGAGATGATGGACAATTTGACAAGCAAGTTTGAGGACCTATCTATTTCAAAAACTGCTCTTTACAACTTTGTGACCAAAAAGTGCAGAATTAGTTTGAAGAAAGCACACTTCCACTCAGTAGAGCGAAACAGCCCTGAAAAAATTCAGGAGAGACATGATTGGGTAGTAAGATGGAATGAAACAGACCTTGATTTCACGAGTAACTGCGTCTTTATTGACGAGGCAGCTTTCCATATCAACATGAAGCGCTCTGTAGCATGGTCAAAAAAAGGAAGCCGTGCTGTTGTAGTTGTACCCAAGACAAAAGCCAAAACAACAACTATTTTGGGTGCTATCTCTCCTTATGGTGTAGTAAACATCAAAGTAAGAAGACCAAGAGCACCTGTCCCTTTGAAGAAGAGAAAGACAGCAGGTAGTACTCAGGCTACTGGAAATACCAAAGGCGGAACTGTCACTGGGCACTACTTCAATTTCATTACAAGTACCCTTGATATTTTGGATCAGCATGAGCAATTTAAGGACAATTACATTGTTATGGACAATGCTCCTATTCACAAGCATGCTGATATCAGAAAATACATTGAGCAACGCGGCTACGGCTGTGTTTATCTTCCAGCTTACTCCCCTGAGCTCAACCCAATTGAACAATTTTGGTCAGTATGTAAAAGCAAGCTTAAAAGAGAAGAGCTTTTGCAGGAAGAGACATTGTCGTCTAGAATTGGGGATGCATGCAACAGAATCCTTTTGAGTGATCTTCAAGGATTCTGCAGATACTCAGCTGCTAAATTCGAAGACTGTTTGAACTGTAAGCCAATGCAGTTTTCTTGTTTTTTTTTCGTGCACTTCATGCAATAATAAATCATGAATTTTTAAAATTAATTTGAATGAATTTTTTTTCTGAGCCTAAATCAATTTTTATTTTTAAACTACACAAATTTTTTTCCTGAAGGTGCACGAATAATTTGTGAAAATAGTGTATTTTCTTTTCTTTTCTTTTTTTTTAAGATATATTTATTTTAGTTTGATTTATTATCTGTAATGAAGATCTATACAAAGACAGGCGACAAAGGTAAAAAAAAAAAATCAATATATATTTGCATAAAGTAAATACTCTTCTTTAACATCATGAAGGAACTTCCGGACTATATAACGGTGAACGCAGAGATAAGGATGATGTTATTTTTGAAGCTTTAGGTTGGTAGTGATTTCTTTTAAAGTTGATAAAACAATTCTGACCCCATTCTTTATAGGCACAACAGATGAATTAACTTCTAACATTGGGTAAGAAGCACTTGTTAAACATTATAAAACATCTTTTAAATTCATAAATAGATTATCCACTGAATTTTTAATGGACTATACTTGGGGGCTTGATTTAATTAAGCAACTAACTACAGTACATATTTAAAACAATTAACGTGTCATATACATGTATATTTAATAATAACTATCCTATATTATACAGATTCAGTGTAATTTGCAAGATATAGGCTCAAATATTGCAACGCCTCGGGAACATTCTAATGCAGTTCGATTAGGTAAAATAAATTATTCTGCTCATTAACAATGTCTTTATATTAAAAATAATTATAAAAAGCACAAACTAGATTTGATCCTGATAAGGTTCATGTAACTCAATTAGAAAACTGGATTGATGAATATGATAAAAAATTACCGAAATTAACAAAATTCATTTTACCAGTAAGTGTATAATATATTATTAAATATTGAGATAATTGACTCGTGTTAATTAGTCTGGAGGTAAACCAAGTGCTAGTTTACATGTTACGCGTTCAGTATGTCGTCGAGCAGAAAGAAGAGTACAGCCATTAACTCGAGACGGCATGTGTGAAGAATCAGTTGGTGTATATTTAAATAGGTACTGACAAGAAAAAAAAAACCCCCCTCCCGATATTATTTTATTAACATTATTTCTATATAGATTAAGTGATTTCTTATTTGTTGCTGCTAGATGGGCTGCGCAATCTTTAGGAAGAGAAGAGAGAATTTACAAATAAGCTTAAAGAAATATTCTGCTATTATGTAAAGAAAAGTGAATCTTATTAAAAATATGAGTGATACGACTTGGCATTAAAAGAAAATCAATTGTCTGAGTTTTTTTGTCCAGTGATTTTTTTTTTTTTTTTTTTTTTTGCGACAAAACATGAAGTTGAACAGTGTTTGTTAAGGGCTTCCTCTCTCTTTTCGATATAAACGTCCGAAATGGTAAAATACATTATAAGCCAAATGACGAAATAAAGAAAGACATGAATCATAACAATGGATGGATGAAATTGAAATGGATGGATGGATAAATTATATCAAATTAATTAATTACAATTCCATATAATCATTCATTCTGTATTTTTTTTTTTTTATGAATTACACAAATTAGATTCAAAGTCTTTATTTTCATTGGCAAATGCAATTACATCTAACACTTGCTAACACTTATCATTTATTCTGTTTAGCCTCAGCAAATTAAGGATATCAAGCAATTCCTTGAAATTGCCCGCAGAAAGGATGCCAAGTCTGCTCGCATCAAGAAGAACCCTGATTCCGTCAAGTTCAAGGTTAGATGTTCTCGCTACCTTTACACTCTTGTTGTTAAGGACAAGTCTAAGGCTACCAAGCTTAAGCAATCTCTTCCCCCCTGTATGTTATAATAGATAATATATTTTGTATTTATGCTTTGTCACTCATCTTTTTTTTTATTTTTAGCTCTCGTTGTTGAGGAGATCTAAGTTTGATAATTGCTTGAAAGTAAATCAGTAACACTTAAAAACAATAAAAATTGAAAGGCCTATCCCATGCAGAGGCATTTTTTTTAAAAAAAAATAGAAACAGCTTATGAAAACGATAATAGAAACTACAACAATAAATATAGAGACAATGGAGTAAATAATATAATATATGAGCATGGAAATGTGTTTGTGTGAATATATAGCATTTAAGCTGATTGTATAGTGAAAAAAAAAATAGTGTCTATATTATAAATTATGAAATCCTTAATAATTATTACATTGGCACTTTTTCAGTATTTTCAGTTTCCTTTTGCTCTTGTGATGATTCTTTTCTTTTCTGATTGTCCAATTCTACTTGAGTAACTGTTTTTTGTCTCCATAATTTCTCTAGTGTTGTTTGTGAAGAGAAATTTTGAGATTCTTTATAAATAAAATGTTAGTTTTACCGTACTAAATCCTTTATACATCTATATATGTGTGTATACAATTATTTTTAATTTACCTAACAATACTTGGTTTATTTCGTCTGCTATAAGATTTCTACGTTCTTGGCTTAAAAGATCTCTCGTTTTGTCGTTTTCCAAGTTGGCATATGCGATCAATGTGGTCACACTATTTGTTAAATCAGCATAAATTTTGTTACAAGGTCGAAGATGAGTTTGAGCAAATTGAATAGCAGCTATATCGCCTAGAGTTCGTAAAGTTTCAATAAATTGTTGACAACGCAATTTATACAGAATATAATGTGCTTTAGGTAATGATTTATTTGGTGAAGATAACGATTCTATGCGATTGATAGTATTGTATAATCTTATCAAATTTGGAAAATGAGCTTCAATCAAATTGAAGGCTTTATCGATGTTGCCTTCTCTGACGGACTCGTAGATATCTGTTATCATGCATATAATATAAGAAAATAGTTATGTTTCTATTTATAGAATGTACCTTTTCTTGCTTTTATATAATCCCATTTGATTGAATTTTCTTCTAAACTTGAAAGGTTTGAAACATCTAGAATGATGTCATTTAAACATAATTAAAATAAAGATAGTAATAAACATAAAGGAAATAAAGAGAGACTTACCAAAAGATGTTGTATTATCAATTATATCTACTAAAGTAAGTATAATTAATATTCTTTATCAATGTATTTTATTAACTACTCTTTTTTTTTTTTTTTTTACATGTATAATGCTAAATTATGCGTGTATATTTACAAATGTATTAAAAGTTACCTAAATCGACATGAATGCCTGTTTCTTTCTGTATTAAATTTGTGCAACTATCTAACTGTTGCATTTCTTTTAAAAGTATTTTTACTGTATCTGTATAACAGTAATGAAGTAAATACTCCATAACTATTGCTCGACATTCATTGTTATATTCACTCATTGTTTACAATCGAAAAAAAAGAAAGATAACGACCACAGATTAAAAGAAGCTGACTTTTATTTTTCACAATTAGAATCTGTGTTTATATTAAAAAAAAAAATCGTATTATTAACTAGATTATTTTTTTTTGATCCAATGGTGCGAGTAGATAGTAGTATGGAATGTGTTATTCAGGCCAGTTCGATATAATAGATTCAGAGAGAAAAAGAAAAGGATATAGTATTCTTGGATGAAATTGAGAATTTTTTTTATACGAGATGAATATTAAGACTATTCTTTGCCTGGCCGTCTATGCTGATCAATTCCAGTTTCATGAATATCATCTAACTAGCTTGCTGACACTAAACAATGTTTAGCAATAACAGTCATGCATGCTCTTTAATATGGGGCGCACTTTTATTGTTGCCTTCTTAATGGGGAGGTTTTAACATACGCTGTCCAACTTGATACTCTTTTTCAAAAAAAAAAAAAAAAAAAAAAAAAAAAAAAAAAAAAACTCGTAAAAATAATATAACTACCTTTGACTATGTAATATGTAAAGGCTATCCTTAAAAATATACATGTATATAAATATAACTGATTTATGCAGAGCGTTCTCTTTTCTTTTCTTTTTTATAAAACTAGTAATAAAGTGTTAATACTTAGAGAAAAGATACGTTATATTGAGATGATAAAGAATACAGAAAATAATGGAAATGAATGTAGGTTCTTAGTTGTACTCTAATAATTGAACAGTAAAACTAATGTTCTATGTTAGCAGTCAAATATAAAGATTGTGAACAAAATGGATATTTTTTTTTTCAAACCGTAGTGAGAAGATAGAGTTTTCTTTATCTATTAAAAGCAAATAAACGTTGTATTGTATTCCTTTTTATCATACTAGCTCCTATCTTTATACTTTTTCTCCTCTTGTTAATTAATTCTAAAAGAACGCATGTATTTTGTAAATGATAAAGTACTCATCATGTAGTGGACAAATGGTTATGTATTGGATTATATCGAATTAATAAAGATGCTATCAAGTTCAAAGGTATCTGAATAGGAATTACTGATATACTACAACTTATAAACTCTGTACTAATATCCCCTATATTACCTTTCAATTTCATACAAAATATTATGAAAATATCCTTTTAAAAGAGACAAGTGAAAATGATCCTTATAATTTAAAGTGGGAAATAGTGTATACAATCTATATTTATTTATTAATTTTTATTATGCCTAATCATTATCGTCAAATACAATCTTCTTATTTGAAAGACCTTGTCCACTTAAAGCCTTTGACATAATTTCTTCTTGAATACGTTTAGCTTCCCAAGAAGGGTGAACTGGTTCATTAGGAATATTATCTTTCTTGTGTGGTAGAGTAGGTTTGGGTGCAGGCTTTGGTGTAGACTTCTTCTTTTTGGGCTTATAATCAGGATTTGCAAGACGTTTTTCTTCACGTTTTTTATATGCCGAGGCAATATGATTTGCTTCACGGCCATACATTTCTTCCCATTGCCTGATAAACTCCAGTCAATATATAATATAATACATATACTTACTTATATAATACTCACTTTCTTCTTTGTCTTTGACCAGGTCTATTAGGCTTCTTAGTACCTTCATAAATCTTTTTGAAATCTTCATCATCCTTTTCATCATATACTCCTCCTCCTCCTCCTAGTGACTCTATAAATTCTGAACTACCAGCTAATTTTGTACGTGTTCTTTTAGCATCCGATTTCTTTACCTCCTCTTCTTCTGCTTTTCGCTTTTTAGCTTCTTCAGCTTCCTTTTTTTTTAATACATCAGCCTTTCGTTTTTCAATTTTTTCAATGTTTCCTCGAATAATGTTTTGGAAAGCTTTTAAAAGCTCGTTCACTTCTACAAGAACAGGCTTGCTCGCAACTAATCGAGATTCTACATTCTGTGTTAATTGATCACTTGTTTTTTCAACTTTAAGAGAAGAATCAATCACTTCTTTAATAGCTTCCTCATCTTTAAGTGTTTCATGCTTTCGAAGTTTGCTTTTTAATGTCTTTTTAGCAAGTACATCTAAATCAACGTTCTAAAAACTTATAGTAAATAATCTTGATATGATTATAAATCTTTATATCTTTTGTACCTTTAATATTTCTAGTTCTTTTTCATAATATTCAAGGTCCTCCTTAGTTAATTTCTTTTTAGGTTTCTTTTCTTTTTTATCTCCTTCTGCTGCTTTTGACTCTTCGTCTTTTTCTTTCTCCTCTTTGGAACTATAAGGGAAAAAAAAAAAAAAAAAAAAAAGAGCTTTAGAATCATTACATATATTTATATACATATACATATATTACTTTTCTACCGATTCACGGGCTGTTTTGATTTTTCTGATTTGTTTAGGAATTTCTGCGACCTTTGCCTTCTTCAATGCACTCTTCAATTCCCTGAGAGCTTGATGCTAAAAAAAGGATGATTAATTGATAAAAGCAGTAAAAAAATTCGTTTCAATCGTACATACGAGTTTGGTTTCTAATTTTAATTTTCTTGCATTATAAAGATCTTGTTTTAAAGCCTCTGCCTCTTTTTCTAGATCTGTTCGTGCATTGTTATGCATCTTTTGATATTTTGCTCTTGAAGCAGCAATCAATGCAGTTTGAACATGTGTTCCTTCACCAACCTACATTGAATAGAAATTAGAAACTATATTTTTTTGTTCTCAAAGTGAACTTTTACTTGAGCGGCGAGATAATTGATTTTCCAATTTAAATTTTTTTTGGTAATTGTTTCTTTTCAATCGACTACATTATGAAAACGAATATTAAATAAGTTTTATTCAAGTCAAATTAATAAAGACTAACCATTAAATATTTGGGTTTATATAAATTATTTACAAAGGTTGATGTTATAATGAAAAGAATGAATGAAATACTTCAAAATTAAATAGCGATAAGCCACCAGAAAAAAAAAAAAAAAAAAGAGAAGTAGAGTATCGGACATGTAAAAATAATAAATCATAATTTATGCATTATTTTGATTCAAGTTATTTGACACAGAACTTTCACTATTGTCATTACTTACTTTGTTTTCTAAATCTTTCAAAGCTTCTGTTTCTTTATCGTTATTTTGACTAATTTCTATTGGATTTTCTTCTTGTAGAGGAGTTCTTTTTCTCTTTTGAGCGCCTCTCTTTTTTGTACTGCCCTTTTCTTTTTGTTTCTTCTCTTTCTCCTTTTTTCTATTTTCTTGTCCCTTCCCTTCTGTACCTTCCTGTTCTTTTCTTTTTTCCTCTTTTTCCTTTTCTTTAGCCTTCTTTCTTTCTTCTTTTTCCTTTTCTCTCGCTTTCCTTTTCTCTTCCGCTGCTTGCCTATTCATAATTGCTTTGTATTGTCTTAATAATGTATTATCTGTCCTTCCAGGCATATAACGAGCTATTAAAGACCATTTCTTTCCATATTGCTGTACCAGCTGAACAAGTTTATCTGATTCCTCTTGAGTCATCGGTCCCTTATTAATACCAGGATGTAGAACATTAGCCCATCTCTCACGACATTGCATGTCTGTTCTTCCTGCCACGAGTCGTTGTATCTTTGTCCAGTTCCCAACGCCATATAAATGGATTGCTCTTTGTAAAGCTTCGTCGTCTTCAACTGTCCATCTTTTTCGAACAATTCCAGGTTTTAATGTTTTACTCCATCGATGAAGGCACTGTTGTCCTGTACGTCCCTTTAAAATGGCTGCCACTTGCTGCCAATTACAATCACCAAATATCTTTACCGCTTCTGCTAACTTTTTATCTTCTTCAGCACTCCATTTTAAACTTCTAGCAGCTGTATTATTTTTTGTAGACATGTAGTGTGAAAAACATTGAGCTATGGTACGACTTGTGTTTAATTCATTTGCAATACGCTCCCATTGACCACTGAAAAGTCCAATTTCATCTACAAGCTTTGATAATCGCTCTGTTTCACTTTTTGTCCATGGTTTTTTATTGATAGAAGGGTGCTCTTGTGTTGTCCATTGGATTAAGCATTCAGTAGGTGTTCTGGTTTGAACCTAAAAAAAAAAAAAAAAAAAAAAAAAAAAAAAAAATTAGTCCTGTGATAAAAAAATAAAGAAAGATAAGTTACATGCAAATTACTAATACGATCCCAATCAATTCTCTCAACAGGAAATGACTCTAATTCTGTGTGTTTCATCTTATCCACATCCCATACACGCCAGGCCTCGTTTCTATTTATTTATTTAAATGCGTATGAAAAGTATTGCAATATAAGGTAAAACTTACCTTTTCATAAAGTCAATAGATATTAGTCGTTGAGCTTCTGATCGTATTGCTTCTGCTAACCTATTCCTTTCAAACAAGCTCCATGATTTTTTTTGTAATAATTGCTCATTATCTGCATGTTGGCTTTCATCATCATCATTATTATCCTCGTCTTCTTCTATATAATCCTGTTTCAGTTTTGAAAGATCAAGATTTATATTATATCGATTTTCAATATCATTTGGAGTATTCCTATCCGATGTGGAATCAAGTAATTCATCTTGATCAAAATAATTAACATCAGATTTATAATGTTTATGAATTATAACTGTAGTACTGCAACGATTTTCTTCAAGTGCTAATTGTTTTGCCTCTAACTAAAAGAAAAAAAAAAAGATTAATAAATTAAACATAAAATTTATAAAACAATCAAACCATTAATTCTTCGTTAATTGATAGTTGATCATCAATAATTTGGATTTGCCGCTCTACTTCTTTTTGAATTTTTGCATTTAGATTAATAGCCTTTATTATACTTTGTTGATTTATTGAAAATTGTTCATATTCATTCTTATTTTCTAATTCGTGGAGTTCAAGTAAGGCATTAAGAACATCATGTAAATCATCTTGTCGTTCGGTGGGGGTATAGTTAGAAAAAGTGGGGTATGAAAGATGATCTTCTATTTCTGAACCAAATAATACTGATGTAGCATCAATAACAGGTGTTTTCGTTGAATGATCAGGAGGATCTGTCATACTATACTAATCAAATCTATGCAAAAAAAAAAAAAAAAAAAAAAAAAAAAAAAAAAAATTATGGGAGAAATGGTATATATCCTAATAGAGTCACGTGACTTTTGCGATTTTTTATTGATTATTTAAATCTTATGCATCTTTTGCTAAAATGATGTTTATTTAGACACGAATGTAATTGCTTATTGAATATTGACAATTTTTTAAATATTATAGGAAAAAGTTTGAGCTATAATGTATATAATTGGTCCTCTAGGTAGGTGAAGAACGAAAGAGAAGGGATATTACCTTTCCTTTTCATATTCGGATATAAATAAATTTCGTTAACTTTATTAATCTTTTCATAATTTTATATTTACTTTTTATTTTATATTTTTTTTTTGTTTTAATAGAAGTATCACAAAAATTAATAAGAATATTGATATTTAAAAATACATACATATGTCGTTTTCTTTTTTTTATTTGGATTATTCTATTATATTTCTTTTCATGAATTCTATTGACAATTATCTTTATAGTTGTGTCATTTTCAAGCAAAAAATAAAATATAGTAAAATAATATCAAAGGTATAATATAAATCACCGAACAAGTCCGGAGAGTCACGTGACTTTTGATAGTAAATAAAACATATATATTTTTATTTTTTTTAATAATCGTAAGAAGCTGGTATAGTATAGTGGCAGTACATCACGTTGTGGCCGTGTCGACGCAGGTTCGATTCCTGCTACCAGCATTCGTTTTTTATTTTCTATTATCTTTTTTTTGCTGGTATGATCAACAAATTTAAATAGTATTTCTTTTTTTTTTATATGTGTATTATTTGTGATAATGTGCCATTGGTTTATTTGTTATAGTAGTCCTTATTTGTAAAGATTGAAATATCATTTTAATGTTTTTGTATTATTTATAACATTAGATATGGATAATATATTATGTCCTTACTACTTTAATTATATATAATTATAATGCCCTGATTTAACAACATAAATATATTTTGACATTATCTAATAATCCTTTCTTATTTATTTATAGTTAATGTTTCTAGGCTTTGTTTAAACCATTATTAAGTAAATGCAAAGAAGTACGAATAATAGAAATGCTCATCAATTTTATTTATTATTAACTCAATAACTTTATCTTAGATTATTTTTAAAATTATAAACTGTTGTATGAATATATTATAATATTTATTTATTTTATTGAATGTTTAGTCTTCATAAACAAACTTTCTTCCTTTGCTATATTAAATATATAAACTTCTTTATTTCTTGTTTGACTTTAATAAATATTTATGTGTATTTTAATCTGAAGATTCATTGGGAGAATAAATTATACGAAGAGTGTTCGTATTACCAAGACCACCTTTCCATCCCTGCACAGCAACCACAGGCTGACCATGTTTAAGTAAGCTATTTAAAATATAAATTTAGTATGAAGCATACCCATAATGACACAAAAAAAACCCTTTACCCATATTTCATAGCCTGTTCCATACCTATAAAAAATAAATAAATAAATAAAGTAGTTTGATTCAGTCTATGCTCATCTGTTAAAAAAAAAAAAAAAACTACTGTATAATTACCCCATTTAATTCTTGAATCAACATCTTCTTGCCAAGGAGCATTTTCAGGTGTACGTAAATGAGATGGGCTATGGGCTGCAGACAAATGTAATGAAGCAGAAGATGATGCTTTAGGATAATAGAAAGGAAAGCAGCCTCTATGAAAATGTATTTGACGTGCTGTTTGAGGATTACGTGTAACGACAATGATGGGTGAATGGGGCCTGTATTTGGCTATTAAGCGGGCAGACTTTCCTGAAGTTGTTAAGACAATAATACAACCTGCATTTTGTTCATGCGCCGCAGCAACTGCTGCACATGCAACAGTTTCAGTTGTCTCTGTGGGTAAGGCTGTTAATGATCGAAGTTCATTAAAGACTGCAGGATAGCAAACAACACTTTCTGCAAGTTGACAAATTTCATGCATTGTCTTAACAGCTTCAATAGGATAATTTCCCTTAGCTGTTTCTCCTGAAAGCATAACACAATCAGCACCATCTAATACAGCATTAGCCACATCAGAGACCTCAGCACGAGTAGGCCTGGGGTTGTACTACAAAGAGAAAAACAAAATATTACATCAAGTTGTTCCAATATATACGCATATAAAAATAAATAGATAAACTTACGGTCATAGATTCTAACATTTGAGTTGCACTGTAATCAAAGTATAATTTACATTTATTTCACTAAATAAAATATTGCCTTATGTACTCTATCACTTACCAGATAACTGGCTTACCAGCTAAATTACACTTCGTAATCATCATCTTCTGAGCAATAAAAACTCTCTCCAAAGGAATTTCAATACCCATATCCTATATTCATGTTAACATATTTTTTTTTCATCTACACATATATAATGTTTACTTACACCTCGAGCAACCATAATACCGTCTGTTTCCTGAAGTATATCATCAAAATTTTCAACTCCTTGATAGCTTTCAATCTTTGAAATGATCTTAATATTTTTACCATCTTCTCCTAAAACCTCACGGATTTCTTTTACATCCTGACCACGACGTACAAAGGATGCAAAAATAATATCTACTTTTTGCTCAACACCAAATCTTAAATCAGCAATGTCCTTCTCTGAAAGTGCGGGTAAATCAACATCAGTATTAGGTAAATTAACACCTTTGTGTGAACAAAGCTTTCCGCCATTTCTAGAAACAACACGAATACCGTCTTCAAGGATTTCAGTAACTTCAAATGAAAGGACACCATCATCAATATAGACTGTTTTGCCAACCTCAATCACTGTTGGTAGATTCTTGTAATCAATATATAAGATTTCATCTGTACATTGATCAGCATATTGTTCATCGACACTAAAAATCATTTCATGGCCAGGATCGATAGAGATCTATGTTTAAATATTAGAATATGTGGAGCCATTAATAAAAAATTTTCTTACTTCAATATCATCTTTCATAATGCCTGTACGAATCTCGGGGCCTTTATTATCAAGAGCTATAGCAACAGGACGACCAGGATAGACTATATGTATTGAATAGTATAAATGTTAAATTTACATAATTATTTAGTTATAATATATCACTTACGCTCTACGCTTTTACGTGTATTCTCAATTACAGACTTATGATACTATAGGATAAAATTTAAGTTTTTTATTTTTTTTTATTTTTTTTATTTTTTTTATTTTTTTTTATTTTTTAGAAAGTGGGTTTTGGTGTAGGTATACCTCATGAGTTCCATGAGAAAAGTTCATACGAACGACATTCAGACCAGAGTTACGAAGTTGAGTAATCATTTCTACACTATTAGTTTTTGGGCCTACAAAAATAGATACGTTTAGATTATCTTTTCTTTCCTCTTTTTTTTTTTTTTTTTTTTTTTTTTTTTTTTTTTTTTTTTTTTTTTAACTTAAAAAAAACTTTACCAATTGTACCGATAATGCTTGTTTTACGGCCAGCAGTTGATTCAACATCAACACTCATTTGAGATATCCATTGGATGTTTGAAGTAATTTCTGGTGTAAGAGGAGCCATGTTTATAAGTTAAGTAAGAAAAAAAAAGACAAACTCAAAATGGAATTGCAGCCTTTTTATATGTTTATGTACTTTTTTTTTTTTTTTTTAAAAAAAACATTATTATCGTTTTTCTCGCACGATAGTTTTTTTTTTTTTTTGGGGGGGGGTTAAGATGATATTTATGAGTTATCATAAAGGGAACACGTTACACTTTGTCCTATTAATAACTTTATTCAATCAATAAAATAAGATTCTTAAAGCATGAAGCTTGTTATTTGTTAGTGTTACAGATAATTAAAAGATCATGCTATGTAAAATCTACATTATCTAAAAAAAAGAGAAACCCGTCTGTACCTTTGATAGTTTATGACAACCATCAAAACCTATCATATGTAGGCTTTTATTTAAGTTTGCTAAAAAATCATTAATATGATCATAGACACTATTGTGCATATAAATTATTCAAATATCTTTACAAGTAGTCTTTAAATGTATAAAGTCATTTACAAGGCAAATCAAAATTATAATCCTAAGCCGTTCCTAATTAGACAATTATCGACACATATTCTCTCTAATTTCAAAACTTAAAATGCGTTTAAAGTATTAATATAGAATATGTGCATATAAAACAGCTACGGGATGTAACATGCAGCTTAACCATCTTGTTATTAAATCATTTTTATATACCAACACAAATTAGTTCTAACTTTGTAAATAGTAGAACTGATAAAAATGGACAGAAAGAAAAACTTATATGAGCAAATTTAGTCTTTTGAAGGCTTTAAATTGGATACATTGCTATATAAAAGAGAACAGTATAACTTCACTTAGTTTGATTGTTTTTATTTTAAACAGCTTAGACCTATAAAAATGATGTAATGATTACTTTAAATATTTATTAATAAAAAGTGATATTATAGGATACGGCTATTTTACATTTAAAGTATATGTTAGAATAAATGTATTGATAGACGCCCAGACAAGTGACAGCATTTTGATTTGTATATAAAGCACCCTGTTTTCAACGTCTCTTTAATGCCTAATATTATATCTATTCATGAGACAATAATATTAGCTTATCTAACAAAAGTATTTTATATCTATCTCAATGATTTACTATTACTATCAGTTGTTTAAATGATTATTCATTATTATGTGAGATTAAAGGTCGATGTATGCTAACAATGCAATACTTACATTGTAAATATCAATTATATATAAAAAAATGCTCTAGACATTATCCTAACTATGTATAAAATAATAATGACATAATAGTATCAATAAATAAATATTTAAGAATTTAACTTTAAAAAACTAGTAATTGATCTATATCTTCTATTCTTATCATTATTTATTTTTCTTATTTCTGAAATAGTTTAGAAATTTGAGCGGAAACATTATCTTCATTTCTCCTAAACTTTCTATGCTGTTATATTAATGGAGAATAAAGATAATAAAACTATATATAGAAGTACATACGACGAAATGCTATTTTATTTCTGTGTACTTTTTTTTCTTTTTTTATTTATAGCCAAAGGAAAATACCACCTTTAAAAAATTGAATCAGGAATTCTCTATCAGATTTTAACACTTGCAGAATTTGCTTCAAGGATGATGACAATGTGGTCTATTCAGTGATAGCCATATTAATGTATAGTATGTTATGATAGGCCTCAACAGATTTGGAAGTTCTTGAAACATGTTCTCTCAACGGAAGCTTCTTCAAAGAATCACAGCGGAAGATCATTGACTTGATAGAGGGTTGTAACCATTATGTAAGCCATCCGCGGTAATCGAGGAACTTCTTCAACAATTCAGAGACACAATTATCAAGGTTCGATTTATACTCGTAAACTCTCAGACCGTAAACCAAATTCAAAAAAGTCATTTGCTTGTTCAACAGAAACTACTGCATGATTGCATACAATATGATCGATGCTTTCCATCCAATGCATATAGCAACCTTTCAAATAACTTCTGGCTTCGTCGAGTTGACCAGCTGTTCCACACCCATCGTTGTTATTATTGACTACCTTTTGATTTAATTTTAGCAATAGGCTGAGTATATTTTTAGTCTATATGTTTTTTTTTTCCAATCTTTTGTTCATTCTTCTAATATGTATTTTAGTACAAATATGCAGCAGTGGTTAAATGAAAGTTGATACTTTTTATTTTATTTGTTTATATACATGTATTTTTATATACCGTACAGTACAAGTGAATAAATGATATAGTAAAGAAATAGAATGATTTGAAGGAATGTATAGTAATAAAGGAAGGTGTATACATTAATAGTATGGATGGTAAAACGGATCATCAAGGGTTCTATCCGTCGATTTTTCCATTATTGCCTTGATTACTTTTGGTTCTAATGTAGATCCAAAGCTATTATTGACTTTGATTGCATTACTGGTGTAACATAGACGATGAATTACTTCTACAACATTGTACAAACGGTCAAGGTAAGGGACAAGCTGCGGAAGTTCATTAAGCGACAAAGGGGGGGGACGCCATCCAGTTCTGAAACCACTAAGGCATCACCAATTGCCTCGCTAATATGAAATTGCACATTGCTCCCTAAAAAAAATAAAAGATTTAGTATACACGAAATTATTTTGATGATTGCAAACCTACCCACAGTCATGACTTGAAACGTATGCTTTGATTTATATGTAGCTGTACCAGCTTTGGAGAACGTGCACAATGGATGCAAATCAATATTAATTTTTTTGTGGTTTTTTTGCATGCTTGATTGGTTTGACTTCAAAATAGCCAATAACTTTATGATCGTTTTCAGCGCAACCATCTGGCTGGTTTTGATAGACATCAATGTCTGTATCAGTATAGCAACTGGCATTGAGCCACTTGAACATCATTTGATCGTCATCATGTTATGGTTATAAGTTTTATAACCTAATTCAATAAGATAAATAGTCATAATAGAAAATATAGTGCACTTGTATGATAATTCTGTCTATAGACATATTTAGTATATTTACCATTGCATAATAAAAGCCCTACATCTAAAAATATATATTTTTTATAAGTTAAACTAGGGTAAACCAAGAATAATGCAAGTACGCGAAATAATTGATTTCATTTAAAGTACACATATTCGTTATAAAAATAAATATATACAAAAGACATGGATCTATATCTATAATAACTCTTAGCAATCATTCTTTTTCTATAATTATATCATCAAATACAATTTGTTATATTTTTACTCATCATTCTTATCTACAAAATATATAAATACTCTTACATTATTAACCCTTATTTTGTATACTGGAATTGAATTAATTCATTTTTTATCTTTATCTCAATAAAATTTATTGACAAGTCCCAACGTACTTCTTCTGTCTATTTTCTTTTATTTCTCTTTTTATTCTTTTATTTTTATTTTTATTTATATTTTATTATATTCTTATCTATAAACCACAACACATCATAGTCAAATAATTTTTGGAAACATGGCTGCAAAAACCTTGCGCAAAATTCAAACTTCTTGATGTCCTTTTTTTTTTTGAGTTATGAAAGGTAGTGACTCTACCATAGATTTAATGCATTGTAATAATCTGATCATAACCTTAACCGTGCTGTTATTGATTAATGCTAATATCTTGCTTTCGGTACTTAATCTGGTCAACAAACAACAATTAATATACAACTTTGTCTATAAAAAAAAAAAAAAAAAAAAACAGTAACCCGTTTATTTCTAATGTCAATAGCCGTCAGATTTCTACAAGGCTTAGACTGACACAAAGGCCAGCAGGTCAGTTTGCCTACAACATTGTCACACCTATCAATTGACAGGTTTACTGAGTAAGTTAAAAAGAACCTACCTTTTATCTTACTAAAGTCTGCACAATTGAAGAAAGAGAAAAAAGAAAAAGAATTTTTTTCTTATGAAATAGACAAATTTCTATGGCTTACCCCTTAAATGTACAAATGGCCAATTTTGTCCAGTTATTTTGTACATTTAAGAGATAGTTCTGTGAAATTAAATGATGTCTTAATTGTTCCAAGAAGCCTTGCCATATAGAAAGTTGAATGCCACTAATCGAGAAATGAAAGAACACTATTTACTTTTCAAATATACCATTTGGTTTTTGCCTTCACAACTTAAATTACGGAAATGTTCTTCTCTAAATCATTATCAAAAGCTATCTTACATTTCAGAGCAGTATGAGACTTAACATAGGCTTCTTTCGTTGCTTATAATCGATCCCTAAAATATATGTTTTTTTTTTTTTTTTTTTTTTTTTTTTTTGCAGAGGTGTGCAAAATTTTTTTTAATAAAATGTCCCAAAATTTATTCCAAAAATGCACGAATACTTTCTGAAAAAGGTGTATATAAAATCATTTTAGTTATCAATTGAACACTTTAGAGATTATGCTCTAACTAAATTTTTGTAAGCTATATACACTACATCATTCGTTTAGTACCTTTTTTATTCAGGAACAAATCTAATTCATGATCCGACTAGATAACAATATATTTAAGTTAAAAAGTAATTTATGAATTTTATAATATAAAAAATAATTTTAGATATGTTTTTTTCCAAGTTAAAACATTAAGTTGCAGTTGTTGCTTTAAGTAGCTTTTTATAGTATTCCACAAGATATTAAGAGCTTAAGTTTTTTTTTTCTTTTAATAAGGTACCCTTATTAAAGTATTATAATATATCCTTATTAAGCAAAAAAAAAAAAAAGTATTATTTCTTCCTAGAGGAATAGAATGTTATATCCCTTATAAGGATAAAACATTAATATATTAGCACAAGGAGAAAGTTGGTAATTAGTTTATTTATAGAATACATCAAAAAGGATATTTTATGATTATCTAACGAGGATATCTTAGTTTAGTGCCATAAGAAGTTCGTAATCTATAGTATCATTGAGTATAAATGATAATTTAGATATAATAGGTAAAGAATGCTGTAGAATACTCAATATTTAACAGGGTTTATTATTCACTTTATAAAATAGTATGAATTAAAATAAAAAACTTGCAAGGGTAACAAAAAATATACAATAATGAGAGAAATGAATATAAGCACATTATATATGTTTAAGATTATATATATGTATATACAAGTAGATTAGTTATGAGATATTACTAGTTTATCCCATTACTTGATTTACTAGTGAAGGCACGGCAACCTGTAGCTTGTTCAAATAAAATATTTTCCATTAATTGTCCTTGCTCTTTTAAAGTCTGTTTATGTATACACACACACAAACAATGAGATTCTATTTTTTTTTTTTTTTTTTTTTTTTTTTTTTTTGATTTAAAAATATTACTTACATCACGCACTAATAGAGAGTTAGTTAACATAGTTTCCCTTCGTTCCAACTGCTTTTTAAGCACTTCATTTTCTTTAATTTGTTTTTGATATAAAGTTTCATATTCCTTATTCTTTTTCTTTTCTACTTCTAAACATTTTTCTAATTTTTCTAGCTCTTTTTTTAAAGGGATCTTCCTAGACTTATCAGTTTCATCATTATTTTTGTTCTATTGAAAACTAATTAGTTAAAACTGTATATAACATACATATATTACATTATCAATTTATACCTTTAATTCTTGGCTCATTTCTTTTAAAAATGCGCTTAGACGATCATTTCTTTCAATGACTCTAGCTAATTCAAGCTGTAAATTCTGATTTGTATTATTCTGACTATCCAATTTTTCATGATATTTCTTTAATTTAAGTTCAAGTAAATTAACCTTCTCTTGCCACTTTTTATTCTTCTCGATTAATTTTTCAGTCTAAGATATATTAAATGCATACATATTAGTACAGTTTCTAATACTTTATATTCATTTTTTGCTTTTTGGTTTACCTGAATAGTTTGTTTTTGGTTATCTACATTTTTTTTATCATTTAGTAAAACGGTTAACTCAGAGATATGGGATTCTTTTTCCTTTAATTGGCTATAAATAGTATGAATTTTATCTCTTAATTCTTCAATCTCCTCTTTTAATAATTTCTTTTCACGTTGCATAGTATCAGTCTGTGCTTCTATATCACCCTCTAAAGTTGCCATTCTTACTTCACGGTCACGAATTGTAACAGATAATTCATTGTATTGTTTCTCTAATGCTTCTTCAAGGTCCCTTTCTGTATTCTTTGAGTTCTCAATCCATTCTTCCAACTCTGCCATCAATTCTTTGTTTTCTTGATCTTTTTTAGTCAATTCTTCCTCAAGGATATGCATATTATGTTCATATTCTTCTGTTATTAAATCTATTTGATCCTTCAGTGCCTCAATTTCATCCTCCTTTTCGTTAATTACTTCTTTAAAATCGATTATTTGATTCTTAAATTCCTCCATACCATTTCCATTTTCAGTTCCTTTTTCTTCCAAATAAGATAATAATTTCTCTACTTCGGCTTCTAATGTTGCAGTTTCACGTTCACGGTTTTGTAATTCATTTGACAAGCGGGTATTGTTATCTTCAAGCTCGGACATTCTATTATACAATTCACTTATATTTACATCATTTAATCGAAGGTCTTCATTTTCTTGTAACAATTGTGTACATTGATTTGTCTTTTCTTGAAGTTGCTGTTCAGCATCATGTAGGGATCTTGAATATTCATCTAATTCAGTCTCTAAATGATGAATTTGATTTTCTCTCTTTTGTAGCTCCTATATACAAATATGTATGTATAAAAAAAAAAAAAAAAAAAAAAAGTCAGAAAAAAAAATAAATAATGAATAGTATGCAGTTTACATTTACAGTTTCAAATTGTTTCTTTACTAATGATATATCTCGGTCTATAAATAAAGAAATATTAATTAATATATGAGATTAATAAAATCTAATCATATTACCTTCATTATGATAATTTCTATTATTTGATAAATTTAATTGTTTAATAATTCTTTGTTGCTCTTCTTCTTTTAGTTTTGCTTGTCTTAATTTACGATAAAGATCGTAGTGCTCATCATTATGACATTCAATATTACGTTCTGTATTAGGCGTAGCTGGCATAGAATTACTAGAGATTGTAGTTGTACTCGTACTTGTATTTCTTGATCTAATTGTGGATCTTAATTTGTAGTTTTCTGCGGATAACTCTGCTACAATTTTACTTAGTTTATCGTTCTCTTCACGATATTCTTCTACTTCTGCTTTTATTTTATCAAAATCTTCTTTTTCTTGAAGTGTCATACCATGTGGCCTTTTACATTTTTTCTTTTCTAATATATCAACAGCTTGATTTAAATCCAATATCATCTTTTTATAAGTCTTCAATTCTGCTGTAAGCTTTTGAATAGTAACTTTAAGGGTTATATTCTTATATGTATATATATTTATATATATATGAACATTTCAGTGATAGAAAAAAAAAACTATTTTAATATATATTATTATTACTTCTTTTATAGCCTTATCAATATTCTCAGGCGACATATCATTTAATCGTTGTTCATAAAAGTATAAGCTAAGTCTTAAATCGAAGTTTTCTTTCTTTAAATTATCCAAAGTCTACATTTAATACAAATATATACATATATTAATAACTGAAAAAACTTAAATCGTTGGCTGATTATCTGATCATTTACACTTTCTTGATGTTTCAAAGCTAAAGAGCCTAACTTAGCATAATCTTTAGAATTAGACTTTGTTTCTGTCTCTTCGTTTTTCTGTATTTTGGCATTAGAACTAGGTAAAGGTGAAGTATTTATTTTTCGTGTCGAAATTTCTTCATCCATTAAAGAAACATTCGTCATTGACATTACATCATCAAATGCATTCATTTTGTTTTTTAATATATAAAAAAATTAAAAAACAACATTAAAAAAAAAAAATACATTCATATACACATGTATGTAATAACAAAAAATTTGAGGAGTTTCAAAATCTGTTTATTGTTTATTTAAGGAGGGATAATGAGCCCTTAACATTATTAAAATATTAGCTTTAGAAGGAAATTACAACTGCAACAGCTCGTTGAGGAATTCTGTCTTTCTCCTCTGCAGTCGTAGGAACACTAATTGTAAATAATAAGTCTGTTCTATCGGAGTTAAGATAAACAGGTAATTCAACTATAGTTTCATTATCTTGTTTTTGATCTGCTTTAATCCATCGAAGAGTGGTCTTGGGTAACTTATTAATAGGCTCTGAGGTTAAACGAATTTCTTTATCAACCCAGTTAGCACCTTCTATCTTTAATCCATTTACACAATAACCCTGTAAGTTTTGATTACTATTATTATCCCCAATATCAATATCCAACACAAGTTCTTCTAATGACCATTTATAACGTTGTGCTGTTGCTTGTCTTGTTGCCGTAATATAAGCTTCAGGTGCAAATAAGCTACCAATTGATATTTCAACTTGTTCAAAGTTTATTTCATTCGCAAGTGATTCTACTTGTTCAAGTCGCAATTTAAGATCAGCAAGCCAGGCATTTAATGAGATACTCTTAGGCACCTTGTATCGTCTCCAATGTTCGGGAATTAGACCTTTGTTCAACCAGTTCATTAATTGTCGTAAATGATTTGTTTGCTTCAATTCTCCTACACACACCTTCTGCAAAGATGTCAAATCTTCACGAATGATTGAAAGTAATTTACGTGCAATTTGATTTTCACGTTCAAAAAATCTAAAGAGAGGATCCATTACACCTGCACTATCACGTTGTGTGGCTTTAATTGTAGATGGTAGTAGAGCTAACCAATTAGAAATAGATGTATTCAGCGCACGCATCCAAGCAGGTTGAGTACTAGTGGTTGCCTGTTTGTTATTACTATCGTTTGTGTCTTGTGTATAAGCTGTTTCATCATCATCACTCAAACTCTTCATCCTGCGTACCTTGGATAACATATTATTACCCTTTAATGTCAATAAGACACGCTCAGCGTTTGAAGGCAAACCAAGCCATGTAGGGGGTTCTCGATCAGGAAGTTTATTAACCCAGTCCATAAATTGTTCCATCTTTATTCCATCAGGTACAATAATAGCCTTTTCATTTTCCCCATTACTCTTAACAAGTTCGAAATCAATATTATAGCATTCAGGAGTAAATAATGAGTCAACAAAAGAATCCAGAAGTCGTTGATCGTATTCATTATCAATACGTCCTCCATAGATAGATTGTTTCAAAAGTGAACGAATAGCATCCCAGGGAATTTTTTCTGGTGAGATATTAGCTCTACCTCCTGCTGCAGTATCAAGCCATTTGTCAATAGTATTAAATGCACAATCTTGATCAGAATCATTAAATTCATAAACTTTAGTCCAACCCAGAGGAACATAGCGAAGACGTTCCTGAACAATTGCATGTAACCAAGCCAGCATAAAGTAAAGACGAGCTCGCTCAGTAGGACCACGAGATAAACGAGAAAGAGGAATGCTGCGAAGTGATTCTTGAAGATTAGCCTTAATTCCTGGTGGTGGTTCAAACATCAAAATACGAGACATACGAAGGAGGTTGACAGGAACTTTAGGATTTGTTTCCATTGTCAAGAAGAGGCGGAAACTACGATGAGGCTTCATACTATGCAGTTTCTTTTCAAGTTGACCAAGCCAAGAGGGAGCTAAATGAACATTCTTTAACATAACCCAGTTACCAGTCTTGACAGCTGCGGCAATAGCTTGATCAGCTAAAGCAAAGCCTTCAGTAGAACCCATAGCAACTGACGTACAACGCATATTCATTTCGGAAACAAGATTATCAACACGATAACTAGCATCATAGCCTGGAACTGAACAAAGTGCTAAGGGAGTAGAACTGCCAACTTCCTCATTAACGATTTGCTGTAAGTTTAATTCACCAGTATTCATAAAATCAGCATTAAAGATTTCGGACGCAAAGATAGAGGTGGCAGGTAGAAGGCGATCAGGTCTGAAGCATTTGATGACCAACATTTTACGAAGAGAGTCCAGTGTATCTAAAGAAAAAAAAATTAATTTCTCATTTTCTCCTTAAATTATATATGTATTCAGCTTACGATTTATTCCTGCTCCTTCCCAACATAAAGGTATAATAGTTTCTGGCTGATTATGTTCCAAAAATTCTTTCCATTTATTCTCATTTGCAACAATATGATCCACTAACTTATTGAAGCAATTGAGTGTTGAGAATTCTTTAATACGCTGTGCAGTTTCATCAGAAATGAAGTCAGGCAAATTTAAATTAGCTGCGGTTAAAGTAGACCCAACAACGGCATCACCACCACTTAAAAGGAAATCGTACTCAGTCTCATCCATATTTTCTTGAGCACCACGAATACGAATTTGACATAGTAAAACTGCATACATAGTATGATCTTCATGTACTAAGGTACGGGAGACACGTTTGTAAGCAGCAGAAAATAAATCACGCGATAAAATCTCTAAACGCTCCGTAGGATCTGTCACACTCTTCAAATTTGGATTAGCATGAATAACATATTCAAAAATTTCATAGAAGAAATCGAGTGAGAATTGATAAAAGTGATTGATTAAATTTAGTTGCTCCATAACAAAGAAAATAGAACTACAAGCTTGTGCTAAAGGTGTATAAATAGCAGTTGTTTGCTCCACTTCTTGCATTATAGTGTTTGTTTCATCCACCTTATGAGTAATTTCAGCAGCTTCTTTCTTCAGCGTTTCCAGAGTATCAATAACTTTATCATCATCCAAGATATTACCTTTAGATTCGTTCAAGGCTTGTAGTAGCGATTTTTCAAGATGGCGTAATCTAAGCTGGAATTCTCCTTGCAATTTGATTAAGTCAGTACGCTTCTGATCAACATCCGGACGCTCAGCCTTCAGTACTTTATTCAAACATTGACTCTGCAAGCTACCACGAGTAACAGTAAAATTAACAAAAGTAACACGAGAACAAATATCAGGTCGGAAATTAACAGAAGGGTCTCGAGTAGAGAGGAATAATGTAAACGCAGGTGAGAAATCAATATCCTGATTACCTAAACGAATTAAGACACGGCCACCGGTACGACGAAGTTCTTTATTAAGAACAGGGTTCAAAATAGGATCCAAATGTTCGACATCTTGAATAAGAATAGGGTTACCGAAACGTAACGCACTTTCAAGGTTCTTAATGAAAGAATCATCCAAGAAACTAGTAACAGTAATCTTGCGATCTTTATATTCATTTATCAAGAAATTAGTGGCTTGACCAGAAGGATCAACAATTAAGGGATATCTGTTAAAACGCTTAAGCATAATAGCATTTTCAATACAAAGCTGATCTGCTGGTAGTGAATTGGCTTGCCATGAAAGACGGTCATCGGCTGTAGAAAGATATTCGGTCAAGGAAACTTCATGCTTGAATTGAATATTTGCTGATGAAAGATGATCCATCCATTTTTGAAGCAAAATATCACGGTACTGCTGATCAAAGTAACCACCATAGGCAATAAATGCAGCGGCAAGAAGAACATCACCCACAATAGTACCCATTTGGCTTTCAAATGCTTGACTTGCAGACTCCCAACGTGTTTTTTCAGATGATAATGAGCTAAGAAGGGTAATACTACGATCAACTTTAGATTTCACACGCTCCATTTCTGCCTTGATTAATTGTGTTTCGCCTACAAGAGCAGCATATTCTTCTTTATATCGAGAAATACTAGCTTCAAGTTCAACAATCATTTGTTCAATTTCAATTGCTTGATTCTTGGTGTCTTCAGAGCTTTTTTGTAATTGATTCAGTTCCTCACGAAGAGGACCAACTCGATCTAAAATTTCAGAAAAGTTAACTTGAGCAGTGACCCACTTAAAAAGTGGACCACAGGCCTTAGATGCACGATTAACGATGTCATACTCAAAATTAGGATTATTAAAGAAATTTTGGCGCATGAAATTACGTAACTGCTTAGTGATATGTTGTTCAGTATTATAATTGACAATACTAGAAATAAAGTCATCACGACGAATAATACTTTGAACAGTTTTCCAGCTGTCAATTTTATGTCCGAGTAAAGTGCATACAGACTCCATAGTAAGTTTAACAGCTTCAGGAGGATTACTCATAGAACGAACTTCAGTCAAATGCTGTCTTTTAATACTTCGTACACTTTGTTCAGCTTCTTTGACTGCAGGTTCAGCATTAGCTAAATCATTATCAACAACTGCACGACGTGCTTCAATTTCCTATATATTCGGTGTTAAAATAATATATATATACAATTTCTTTTTAATATACCTTATTTTGAATCTTCAAATTGGCTTTAATTTGAAGTGAGTCAGCTTTCTTTTGCTCAGCTATCTTTTCGTCAGCTAACATTTGTGAAATCTTCTCATTAGCTTGGTTTTGCTTCAATTGAAGTTGATTCTCTTTGATAGCCAAACTCTTTCTTAATTCTTCAACCTTGATGACAGTATCCTTCAATTTCTCTAAACCAACATTCAAATGACGTTGCTGCTCCTCTAAATCTTCACGTTTTTCATTGTAGAGACGAACATAGTGCGAAATGAAGTCAAGGAAATGACGAGGTGTAACGTAATTGTATCGACCTTGGCGTTTACTAAGCTTAGCATTAATTTCATATAGAGATTGATGAACATAAACAAGTGCATTAACAACTGTTTCACGATGGTTAGGAGGGATAGGCAAATTACGGTAGGCAATTGGGATATTGATAGGAGGTGTGTAGTTAGGAACGTCAAGATCCAATGTTTTAGTAAACTCCATACCAACTTGATAGAAAGCTTGGTCAGGCCAGTCACCAAACCAATCAAGAACACAACGATTAAACAAAGCAGGTGATGTGGCTGCACGGGAAGCAAGACCACCTTCAGGAGGATTCATAGTGAATACAACATGAAGATTTCTCATAACCTGTTGGGTGAACCATTTGTAAAGCTCTTCATTAGAGTCAAGCATTAAGCCGTCACGCTGAGCACCTTCCTTACAAGCGGTCATAAGAGAAGCATATTCATCTCCTTCAAATAAACCCGGAACTTCAGCATTGGCGAGAAGTGTATTCATACGTTCCAAGAAACCAGAGTCAAGAACATTAGATTCGTCCATGATGAAGCAAATCTTTTCTCCCTTACAACCTGCACGACGCAAAACAGTACGAAGATCATCATCAAAATCAGCACCAGTGTATTTATTATGTACTTTGATTTGGAAAACACTCAAACCATTCATCCAAGCAACAAAACGTGATAAGGTAGTCTTACCAGATCCACTAACACCAATCAATAATAAGTGCCCTTGAGGTTGTCTAAAGACACGGTCGATACGAAGAACATGCTCAAGCACATCATTAAAGAGTACAAGTGCAACATCCAATTCTTCTTCATAAAAGACTTTAAGACGGGCTCTGGCAAATTCACGTAATTGTTCGCGTTTAACAGGAACATAATACTTTGATAACCAATTAGAAAATAGAATAGGTCTTTCAAGTGCTTCTTCTTGATTGAGTGTAGGGAAGTGCTTGATAGCAATAGAATCAATCATCTCATCAGTCCATTTTCGTTCTTCCTCATCAACTAAGCGATCCTGGAAAAGACGTAAAGCTTCATGTGCCCAAATACGAATAAGTCCTTCTAATGTTAATGTTTCTAAAGGCTTAATGGCTTCATAAATACCACGTACCCAACGTGTCAATTCACGAGGAGAATAAATGTAATGAGCTTGAATATCAGGAGTAAATCGTTTTTGAGAAGCAAGGTAAAACTCTACCATAGCAGCTGTAAGAGGCTCAGCATAACCGCGTAAGTTAGGCACAACCTTAAGCATAGCACGAGTAAATGTACCATAGATTTGCATAAGAGATAATTGTCCGGCATAATCAACCATAACCAAAGGTGCATAACGTAAGAAACGATGTGAGAGAGGTACACGGCCAGGATCAGTGGGAGGATTACATGCACCTACAAACTGAATACGTTCAAGAGTTACCCATGATTTATCAGTTGTTCTCCAGAATCCATTGTATTCAACTAATTGCCTCAAGAAGGAAATAACGCGTTGTGTATTATATTTATCAGTAGCAGGCAAATTGATTTCATCACAAAACACAACAAGCCAACGACCAATCATAGTAGGTGATAAAATAACACCATTAGGTGTCTTTCTATATTCACAGTGTTGTTCAAAAGTCTTAAGAATTAATTCAGGAGTAGTAGCACTTGAGAAGTTAAGACCAACCACTTCCATATCAGGAAGTTTACGAAGTGCACTAAACAAAGTCATTGTCTTACCAGAACCAGGAGGACCACAAAGAATAAGAGGCTTATGCTCAGATAACCAAGAGTATAAAACTTCTTCATGACGAATGGTATCCACAGTAGGAATAATCATATCAGCATCAGAAACTTTATGTGTTTCAATTTCAACAACAGGAACTTTGGACTCCCATGGTACCCATTGTCCGGTATTGACGGCAATATCATAATCAATAATGTTTGTACCATTAGAGTTGGGTGGTAATTCATATGTTGTAACACTACGAATATAATCACCAAAGACAGCACGAAGGTCAAGCTTAGCATCACCAGAGAAACTCCATATAATGGAATAAATAACACGCTTGGTAATATAATTTTCTAAATGATCACTAGTCATTGGGAAGTCAGGGTGTTGAGAATTATACTCTAAAACGTTACGAACAGTTTTGTTAAGAAGAGAGAAAAAGGTTGACAATACACGCATTCGGGTAAAGTCCATAATATGTTCTAAAGTTGAAGCGTAATCAAGGCACTTGGCAACTAAACAATCTTCGTCAGAAAGATCAGGAGCCATAATAGCAGCAATTGCACGTTGCGTAGCGAGATTAGGTGAAATGGTTGTACCATCCTCAATCTTAGATGTTGATGTACTAGCACCATTAGATTCAACATTACGACGAGATAAAGTAAGCCCTTCTTCTTCAACTTCGTCCATAGGAATATTACGTAATGTTTCGAGATAGTTAGAGAAAATCATAGGTAAAGTGATAATATCTTCACTAAACCATACCATACCACAACGAGAAACTGTAGCCAAAGTAGCATACTTCAATGTTTCAACTTCAAACATGATACGTACATTTGGAGGTAAATTAAGACGTTCACCATTAGGTAAAGTCAGTAAACGATTATCATCAAGAACAGAATTCAAATTTTCAACCCATTCAGGATCAACGTCACCATCAAAAATAATCCAATGCCGTTTTTGACTTTCACCGCGGACATTATCAACAATCTTACGAAGGATATGCGTAAACAAACCATCGGTCCATTCACGTGTAGTAGAATCAAGAGTACCATAAAGTGCATCCTTAGGAATAGCTTTAGGATCGATGGTATATGCAATACCTTCTATACCTTCCACACGTTCAAGAGCAGTCAAGAGAGTCTTCCAGGCAGTGGATTTACCAGAACCAGAAGGACCAACCATCATCAAACCGTGATGAATATTTTGAATTTGATACAACTGAATTACCTTATCCATCCATGCATCACCGGCAACTAAGCGACGATCTTGACAAACCTTGCGTAGCTCTTCCTTAAGACGGTCCAAATTAACCGGTGCATAGTGAACACCGGGGAAAACATCAGCAAGTAAACTAGTTAAAAGAGGAATATCATCAGCGACCAACTTTGGTTCAACTGTCTCACGAATGCTGGAAATTAACAATTGTTGTTCAGGCACAGGCTCAGATATCGTTGTATATTCTGATTTATCAGCTTTACCATCCTCAATTGCTAAACGAAGAGATGCTAAACGATCACGTTTCAAATTACCGGCGCTAACTAAGACACTTTTAAGAGCACGCAAACCAAAATCGTAGTGAGATTGAGGTGAAAGTTGTTCAGCACACAAATTGAATAATGGAACAACCTTAGAGGCTAACATTTCAGCAGTACGAAAACCTTGAGAATAAAGCATGACTTGTGCAATAAGTTCACGATCAGGTTTAGTCATAGCCATACTTCTAAACAGTTTTTTCAAATTATCGGGTAAGTTAGAACGACCGGCATAACCAGGATTCATGGTAATAAAGATGCCTGTATCTTTATTAACACGTACATTACGGCCTACTAGTTCAATTTCATGATTAGGATTATGTGTAGCTTCTTTAAGACCTAATTGAATGGTTTGCACTTGTTGTGAAACAGCAGATAAGATACGCTCTTCTAAACGATTAAATTCATCAAAACAACCCCATGCGCCAACTTGACAAAGACCAATAAAGATACGACCCATAGCTTGGAAATCAAATGTTTCATCACAACAGAAAACAAGAACGAAACGACCTAGCTGTACACCTAGCGCCTTAACGGATTCGGTCTTACCTGTACCTGCAGGGCCAAATGGTGAGCCGCCAAGTCTTTGCTCCAGGGCTTGAGTCAAAGTCAAATAACAACGATCTGTCAATGGAGTTTGGACAAGACGATCGATAACACCAAGATATTCAAAGCCATAGAAGAACTGGGCATTCGCCATTTGAATTGTCAACCGTTCTAAAGGATCCTCAACTGCATGGTTGAAATAGAAACGCATCTGATATAACCAGTTAAAATCTTTTGGTGAAGCAATGTTATTAACTAGTAGGTGACGAGTAACATCACGTTGATGAACAAGTTCTGTAATAAGATGTTCACACTTTCGACGTTTAATAATTTGTAAATCTAACAAGACGGCATCAGCTAGGATGTTAAGGTTTCTTTCAATAAGGGAAACAGATTGCGAAAGAGGTGCTTGATCACCAATCACAGATGACTCACTCATTACAGTTAATGCTTTATCAACGGATTGTGTCCAAATAATTTGTGCAGCTAATACAACAAGTTGAGTGGGATAACGCTCAATCCATACCATAAAATCATCTGCGTTCATTTCATCAGCATTATAAATAGTATCAAGTTCCATAACAGCATCCTTTAAAAGTAAAGCCAAGGAAACACGCATCTCCTTTTCAAGAATAGTTAGCCAATCATTAATCTTAGGATTATCTTTAATAGATACTGGGGTTTTAAAGGTAACTTCTTCACCTTCCTTGGAAGCCATACCAACAATAGCTGTTTGATCTTCATTCAATAAAATAGTAGCAATACCAGCAAACATTTTCTTAAAATGTTTTTGAATGCGCAAAATATCCTTACTGTTACCAATAATTTCAAGCAAATCTTCATCACCAACAAAGTAGAAACGTGGGAATGAAGAACGCTCACGTTCTAAGTATTCACCAAGAGCTTTTTGAATTTTGCTTAATAATTCGGCAAGGCGTTCCAAAGATTTTTGAATATTAGGAATATTTAATACATCCAAAATGAATGGTGACTTATAGACCTTCTTCATAACAGTTAAGAATTCAGTATTAATGCTTTGGAAACGAGATGTTTCAACAGGGAGTAAATGTTTAATGTCTACACTACCGCTAAAAATGCCTTCTAAATACACCCATTGACGTTGAACATCAATCCAAACATCAAACAAGACATGAATTCGGTTCAGTTTATCTTCCCAAGCAGCAGCATCTTCTTCAAAAACCTTATAATAGGGTGACAGCTTCATAGCTGTAAGTGAATTAATATGTTCGCTGGTTTTGTTAAACAGATCATCCCAACCACGAATAAGTCTACAACGATTCTGATAATTAACGAGATCTAAGACATACCCCGTCCAGGTCTCTTTAACTTGTTTCAAAAACTCCTCTAGAGCCATTTCACCTTGCGCTTGCATAATTACATCCTTAATAACAGCTTCGTTACGCTTCAAATCAAGATCCCATAAATGACCAATAGTCATTTCAGAGAGTGTAAAACGGCCCTCAACGCGAAGCGATTTGAAAATTTGACGCCAATGACGTTCACGAAGTGCTTCTGATTTCAAATCACCTACAAGAGGATTGACACGTAGGAGTTGACGTAAAGTATCTTGCATATATTCATATGCAGCATATTGACGCATACGATTAGGCATTTCCTTTGTTGAATTAACAAGCTCATCAATATGCTGTCGAACTTTACGAGGCACAATAGAGGTCCAAGGTGTATCACGAATTTCGTACACAGCCTGCCAAACACGAGCAAGAGCAGTCCAGACAGATTTTAAATCACGAAGTTCTTCAAGCACAGGATCTAAACGGTCATTAGATGTTTGCTCCAAGTCAAGAGCCTCCTTGGCACGACAAACCATGTCGTATTCTTCCTTAAGACGAGTGACACGGCCCTCAAAAATGGATAAGGTGTTAGTAGCAATGTCGGGTTTAATCTCGCCTTGAACGGGTTTACTCTTTTCCCATTCTGCACAAATATCACGAATCTTTTGTTCTACCACTTTATCTTCAGCAACAATCTTCATTTGTAAGCCAGCAATCTGTTCCTGAATAGCATTATTTTTACGATTCAATATTTCATTAAATGCACTCCATTCACCATCGACTTGATCGACATAAACCCAATCATTGGGAAATTGGAAACGTTGACGCTCTAACGTCTTTTGTCCTTGTCGGAAAAGATCAACATCTTGACTCCATTTTGAGACCTTACGCTTTAAATCCTGTACGAATGTAATGAATGTAACTGCTTCACCTGTTGAATTGCTTTCAATGGATTGCTGTTCTAATTCATAACGAGCCTTAGAAACAGATGTATGAAAATTTCTCATAGAGGTTCCCAAAAGCGAACCAAATTTATTTAAAATTTCACGTTGCCATTGGTCATATTTTTGATTTACTTTACTTTGCACTTGTTCATAATCGATTACCAGAGGGCCAAATGACTGTTCAGTTTCAGAATTATCAAAAGTAGAGCGCGCTTTTTTAATTTCCAAGAGGATTTGCTGCCATTTATTAAGATCATCTTCTAAAATAGAAAAGACATGGCTTGATTCCAAGTCCCAAAGAGATTGATATTGCAACCAAATATGAACATAATCAGAAACTTGGCGTATCTTGTCTTCGACAATTTGATATGCATTTTCAAGAGAATTATCACCCATACGCGTAAGTAAACTAGCATATGTTTTTTCCATTGCTGGATTATCTTTAACACTCAAGCCTCCTTCATAACGGGAGCTTTGAATACGAGGCAAATGACAGACAATGGCTAACCATTCATGAAGTTGGAACCACCAGCTTCTACGGGCATGTTCGATAGGGGGATCTAGATACATAACTTGATTACGGATACGAATTTCATGTACAAGTACTTGAAGGGCAGGCTTAACGTCAAGTGCCTTTTGCTGTTGTTGAGATGCGCTTTCTTCCAGAGTCATAATTGTGCTATCACGACCTACTCTTCTCTTACGTCTGTTTTTTGATATACTAGTCTCAGGAACAATAACATCTTCATTTGCAACACCCATAAATGCATTTGTCCAAGTTTTGATTGCCTGTTGTAAACGTGAGATCAAAACAGACTCGATACGTTTGTCCAATCCAGCTACCCATTGATCAAGATTAGAATAATTTTCAAGATTTAAACGATCAATTAGCTTTTGAATACGGCCCAAGTTATCCTCAAATAATTCAACTTGATAAGAGCATATTTTCATTTCATCAACACTCTTTGTAATTTCATCATAATATCCAATTAGTGCATCTACCTTATCTTGGAAAACAGAGACAACATTTGCAAATTCCCGAACAAACATTACATGGCGATTTTCACGAGCATCCAAAGGAATACCAGTCATAAATGATAATGGACGATGGTGAGCATCATAAGTATTGACAAAGTAATCCCATCTTAAGTTGATACCTTTTGTAATCATATTGTGCACTTCATGACGGTAGCCAGCAACTAATGTCAAGATTTCAGGATTACGATTCACCTTATGTACAGTTTGAGAAAAGGTACGTACAGTTTCCATCAAGCTAACAGCAAAAGGATATACACGCTTGGCATCTTTAGCTACATTCGAAATTGTATGAGGGACTTGAAAGTTAAGCCAAAGCAGATTACGAACTTCCTTAAACAAAGTTATAATCTGTCCATCAAAATTAACATTTAGTTGGAGTGCATTCTTTTGAACTCGATTGCGAGAAATTTCAAAAATACGACCAGATACGGACAAATCTCGTTTAGTGATCTCCTGAAGCCAGTTCTCATAAATCAAACGCGTATCTAACTTTTTACGAAAACTACTACTTTCAATCTGAAGCTTTTGACCTTCAGCATAAAGTTCCCAACCTTTACCTAAAACATCTTCAACACGTTTCATATATAATGATAATTGACGATCAATTTGACGGGCCCATATAATAGCACCTGAAATGGGTGGTAAATCTCGCAATTGAGCCATATGATATGCTTCCGAATTTCTATATTGCATCTTGAATTTATCATGAAGTTTATTAATATCCTCCTTAACACTATCGATCAACTGTGTCTGGTATTCTTGAATGGCACCACGAATCTTGGGACGAACAAATAAAGCATTAAATTTACTAAAGACTCGAAACATTTCGTTTGCGCTCTTGGCAGTACCTAGTCGATCACGCAAACGAGCAATAATTTGGTTTTCGACTCGAGAAACTCGCTCATTGTAAGCTGTTTCTGCCTGAACCCAAATCTCTGTACCTTCAGGTGAGACATCAAGAACATCAATATTCTTTACACTCTCGTAAGCCAGTTTCACTTCTTCTACAGCATTAATATCACTAATACTGACACTTTCTTCTTCCTCCAACACGCTTTTTACTTGTCCATCTATAACTAAAGTTGCCTTTTTCGCACGAGGACTTGTCATTACACGTACAATTGTTTGATGAAGCTGTTCATGCTGTTTACGAAAAGCGCGTACAAAGGTGACTCGCTCTTGTAATTTAGCGTGAGCTGGGTTAATCTTGATGGGTAAAAACTTTTCAGATCGTTTACGAGTTACATCTCTAGCTACATTCGTGAATTCTTTGATCAAATCATCCCAGGTATGAAAAACAGATTCTGCACCAGCTGTTGTACGCTCAAAGTCATCATATTCCATATACATCATACGGCGACTACCCAATACTTTTAATAGTTGATCGTTTAAATCTTTTGAAATTGCTTCAACTAAAGGTAATGCACGACGAATTGGATAAGGCCTGATGAAAAAAAAAAAAGAAAAAGGTAATATGCAAACAATTAATATCAAATCAGTTAATATCCATAGTCAATACTCACGATAATTTAAGTTTCTTATTAAGATGACCAAAAATCAAATGTAAAGATTCTCTAATTTTATCCAAATCGGTTGCAGACAAAAGTTCGTTTAAAGGAAAGTCTTTCATTAATTGATTGTATTTATGGACTAAAAAATAAAATAAAAATGATTAAAACATAAACATCAAAATATGTATGCTTGCTTTTATTTTTCTCCTTACCAAGCTCCATTCCTTCTTTCAAACCTGTATCAGCAATAAAACTGACAGTAGCGTGAAAACGCTTAGCATGTTTTAAAATATCAAGTGTTAATGCTAAGATAAAACAGTTAAAATTAAATAATAAATGTATTTCTATCGACTTTACTTATTTGATCACTCTTTAATTGCTCATCAATTTTCTCCAAAGCTCTTTCCATACTAAGCCAGAAGTTAATTTCTTGAATAGCAGTACCACTGGCAGGATCACGAGACATTTTTGTTACTTTTTGAATTTCTTTAATCCAACCATTGACATCACTTTGAAGTTTATTAAGAAAAGAAGAATCTGAAAAAAGGCTTGGATCTACAGCTTCAACTGTGACCCGTTTATTTTGTTCACGACACTATATATACATATATAAAGTTGAGTAATTATATATATATGTGTGTGTGTGCCTATATTACCTTATCTACTGCCTTTTGAACAACTGGATGAATGTTGAGTGAAATTTCAGGAATTTCGACATTTTGTTGCAAGTGAAGTAAACTCAATTCGAGTTCGGCCATTTTCTTCTTGGCCATAGGAACCCCCATTTTATTATCTTCATTTTTACTTTTTATAGAGCTTATTTCATTTGTTTTACCATGACGAGCGTTAACATAGGCGTTAAAATAAGGACTGACAGCAAAATGAATATAGGAATGCAAAAATTCGTAAGCACTAATTTGACCAGGTTCGCCCGAGTTAGATGCACCGGGTAGATTAATCAATTGAAGTTGATTTTGAAGTGGCCTCGAAGGGTCTAAAGTTGGTAAACGCTTAATAATAGCTAAAGAACCTACATGAGTTGGAAGATAGGTGATTTCATGGGATGCCGAATAGGAATAAATTGGAGATGATGATACATCTTCTACAAAAAAAAAAAAAAAATATATATATGTACATATATAATTAAATAAATAAATAAGCGATTAAATTAAATGTAGCTACCTTCATCGTTACTGACTTCCTTTTCTTTAAGAATAAATATAACAGGCGTTTGTGGATCATTAGCAAAACGCTTGAGTTTTTCAATAGTATCAGGATAAGTAAAAAGAGTATTTTCGAGATCATCAACGTCGGCATCCAAAACTAAGGGCAACAATTGTTCAAGATAAACTTGAAGTTTACGATGATCAAAGGAAAGTATAGCTTCAGTTACCATTCCAGCAGGTGATGACGAATGAAGAGAGGTATCTTCGTCAAGCATCATTTGGAAAAATTGTTTAAATTACAAATAAAAAAAAAGGGAAATTAAACAGACAGATTGGTATAAAAAAAAACAATTTTTTTTTCACGCGTATAAGTGAAAATAAATAAATATGTGTTTAAGAAGCTTTTTCCAGCTGTACAAAGTTTAAATGTGAAAAATCTTATTTAACTTGTAAAATTAAGGGGCAAAGAAGAGATTATATTATTTGGAAAAGTATTGGATAATTTAAATGAAAAGAAATGTATTCAACTGCCGCTAATTAAGTTATTTTTTTTAATAAAAAAAGAGAACATACTGATTAATAATCGTACTAAATGAGAAAGCAACAGAAAAGATAGAGAAAGAAACGCCTAATAAAATAAACAGATTAGTAAAAAAAAAAAAAAATTGTTATATTACAAAAACGTTAGGACATAAGCATAATAATACGAAAGAAGATACAAATAAAAGACATGCGAAGGTTAGTGACATTGAAAAAATATAATGGAACAAATAACGCGATTATTATACATAAAAAAAAAATTGGCAAACATTGCTTGTAAGTTATAGCATCTAGATTATTACAAGTACTTTATTAAACCTAGAAGCATCTTTGTTTGAGTAGTTTAATTTCCTGTTTGAGGCTGATAATCTATTTAATTGACGAACTATGTAAATTATGAATAATCTAAATCTTTTACTTAATATTACTCAAATTATAAAGCTTGTAAGATATTTTTACAAAGAACTTTTAATGCAGATAAAATCATAAGCTCTGTTACTCTTACAAAGGAGTAGATACATATTTGGAATATTTATGCTTTATCATAGTATGTTTATTAAAAAAAATCAGAATATTTTTTATTAACATATATCTCATAAAGAGTATTTGCTTGTAGTAATTGTTTTACCTCAGATATTTTAATAAGTATTCATCAATCAATCAAATACTGTAGTCTTTAAAGACAATAAACGGTAGTAGCAATTTAGCTTTATTATAATAGTGTACGTTGTGCTTTAGGATTTACAGAAAGAACGGTAAATTTTGTCACTTTGAGAAAATTGAATGTCTGTAAACAAAAAATCAATGGCACTAAGCCAAAAGTGATTGTTCCTTTATGTCTAGAAACTTTGTCCTTTTTGAAATAAGAGAAATGTCACAAAAAGTTAAATCAAATTGACCTAAAAATGATATGTATTTTTTTTTTTTTTTTTTTTGACTTCAAAACGTTTAGAATGACTGGCAAAGTTGTATAGAGTTTCAGCAATTCTATCAAACAATTTTTTTTTCATTCAATAGTTTGTGGCGCTTCATTTTTCCTTTGACAAGAGCGTAAAGCTGCTCGATTGGGTTTAGCTCTGATGAGTAAGGAAATAAGTACATTACTCTACAATCTCTACTCTCAATTTTTCTTATTATTGAATGAGACTTATGAATAGTACGGTTATTATTCATTACAAGATAACTACCCGTATAACTCTCATTCATGTCCATGATATCAAGACGCTCATTCTAAATTTCACAAAATGGGCAGTAGTTGCACCCTTTGCTCCTGGAAAACTATTCCAATGCTTATATAATAGGCTAAGGAGACAAAACAACATCTCTGCTATTACTTAAGACAAAGAGACAGTAGAATGGCCGTTCAGATGATTCATGAACCAGCTTACTGAACACAAGCATCTCTTTTGTTGCTCAGCTTTGAAAACAAAATGAAAAAATTTTCCCATTACGATTAAACATATTATTTTTATAAATTAAAATTTATAAAGAGTATTGAAGTGCAACACTTGCAATATTTTTTGAAATCGTTATGTGATGGCATCCAAGAATATGTTTCTGATTGCTTCTTCAATTTGGAATGGGAACGATCGCCCTACTGTCTTCACACGACAAAGCGCCACATCCAATGTGGTTGCCACATCTCACTCTGGTGAGGTGCTGGCTTAAAGATTTTACAGGTAAGAAGTCTTTTCGAATCTCATCTAACGTTCTGTCTCCATTTAATTTCTCCTTTGTCTCATTTTTGCATCTGTATCTGTATTTCCTTTTTTATTCATCCAAAAAAAGTAAACAAACTATCTGAAAATTAATTTTAATTCGTCCAAATAAATACTAACATCGTCAGGAAATAATATATTGCTTTTTAAGATACATTTCTCAGCCGATTGCGCCATCATTCCAATTTTTCAGTTTTTTTTTTTTTTCTTTTTTTTTCCAGTGTTCCACTAAAAAAAGCATAAACAAAATAAAACATTGTACACTTTGAATTTTTATTTTTGAAGTAAAATGGATCAATTTATACATGAAGATGGAAAAGACAAATCATTCAACGAGGAAGGAAATGAAGTTAAAGTACTTCGGATGGAGGTCGACGATTCTGATTATCCTATTGCAGATGTTACAAGTTATGGGGAATATTTAGATTTAAAGCCTTCCGAGAAAACTCAAAAGGCTAACAAAGTTGTATCAAAAGAGAAAAAAAGGTTAGTAAAAGAAGAGTCTGACAACAACAAGAAAACGTATCGAAGCTACAGAAAGGAAGAAATGGACCATTTCTTCTTTCTCGTGGTTGAGAAGGGTATGTCCGTTCGTGGGGCAGCTAAACAAATAGGTGTTCCTGCTAGTACAGCTGCTTCATGGTACAAAAAAAGTCTTGAGGATCCAGATGAACTTGTCTACAAAAGGAAACTTGGAAGCGGAAGGCCTGTGGGAAGACCTCCTATCTTGAACGATACCCATCGCGAGTACCTTATCAATTTGGTTGATAAGGATGATTCAGGCATGACCCTGGATCAAATGAGGGATAGATTAACCAGGGACTTTGAAGGACTTGAGATAAAAAAATCTGCCTTCTATACTTTTGTAAAGGAAAAGTGCAGAATAAGCTGTAAGAAATCTTAATTTTATCCTGAAGATAGAAATAGCCCTGAAAAGATTGAGGAGAGATACAAGTGGGTTCAGTATCTGTTAGATAATACTGATATTGATTATCAATTCAACTGTATTTTTATTGACGAAGCAGGATTTCATATCGATATGAAACACTCTTTTTCTTGGTCTCGTGTCGGCAGTCGTGCTATTGTTAAGATGCCAAAAACCAAAACCAAAATGACGACTATTTTGGGCGCTATTTCCCCTTATGGAGTTGTAAACGTAAAGGTTAGAATACCAAAAGTAACAGCATCCAAAAAAAAGAAATCTTGGAAAGGGGAAAGAAGAAAAAAAAAACAGTTCAGTTGGCACAGTTACAGGCCATTACTTCAACTTTATCGCCGATACTATTGATATCTTGGATCAGTACGAGGAATTTAAAGGGAATTAACTTGTTATGGATAATGTCCCAATCCACAAGCACCAGGATATAAAAAGCTATATCGAAAGTCGCGGTTACTTTTGTTTGTATCTGCCCCCATACTCTCCTGAACTGAACCCAATTGAACAGTTTTGGTCCGTCTGTAAAAGCAAGCTCAAGAGAGAGCCGCTCTTGGAAAGCGAAACCCTTACCAGTCGCATAAGGGATGTATGTAATAGCTTACTTCTAAGTGATCTGAGAGGGTTCTGCAGGTATTCGATCCAGAAGTTTGATGATTGCTTGGAACGTAAACCACTTTAAAAACTTAACACATTTTGTACATTTGGTACAATGAAAAAATTCATCAATAAAAAAAAACATTATGCCTAAAATTTTATTTTGTCTGTGATTGATATTTTATTTTTTTACTGCTTGATTTTTTTATTTTTTTAGTGGACAAATAATTTCCAGAAAAGATGTATTTGAATTTAATAAAGTTCTTGATGTCACAAAAGCGACTGACCAACAATAGTGATAGCGAACCTGCCCATAGAAAGCAAATGGCTGTAGGAATGAACTAGAAAGTCGACAATCCTCAACACATCACGTATTGCATCGAAAATAAGGCCATCCTCACTTTTCCTGCTTTTTGTGAGAAATTTGATTTGTTCAGAAAGGACTATGCTTATTCGTGGTATAAGAACATTACATCCAGGTATCTACCGGATGATTGCGATAGGCTGACGAAGGAATTCGATTTATGGAAAAGTTCCTTTGCAAGCAAGCAGTTTTGGTTACAGAAAACGCGATTGATGACAGATCTTAACGCACATCTCAGCAGTGCCGAACACGTGCAAACAGTTATTCAATAATAAATTCAAGTCTTGCCTGATGTTAATTGCTCCACATTCGTTCGTGTTTCCAACCATGATACAACTCATCACTCGACATCACCATCAATCGATGATAATACCACTTCTATTACCTCGAATTCTGATAATCAAGAGACTAATGACTGGCAAGAGTCTGCGAATACGCCTGTACTGGCAGATTCTGTTTTAAATTCTAACTGCTTCGTTGCCACTGATAATGAGAATTCCACCGATGACTCGGCATCTGCGGATATGACAAGATATAATGACGCTGATCTCCTAAATTTGACTAAACATCAGACATCATCGACATTGCTTTCTCATGCAAATGCTTCAGCTGGATAGATGTTCAAATGCACAAACATCTCGACATTATTCATGATATTTTAACAAAAGGTAGTTGTCATCACAGCATCTGCTTTGCTTCATATGGAAACATCGATCCATGAAGCACTCGCTTTATCTCATGTATTGCTCCTAGCACCTCAACAACATAGTCAACTCATGATTGATGTTTTCACTGAAGAAATCTTGGATACTTTGACCGAAAATCTTGTACATGAATCATTGAAACTGAAACTCGATACTGGAGACGTTATCTGCAAAAAAGTATTTCGGATTATTGATTTGTTACAAATGCATCAACTAGATAATGATGAAGCCAATGTACAATTATTACAGCTTTGTGGACATGTAGTTATCCAGTCCTAAAAAAACGTGTTTTATTACAATCGACTAATATCGAATCGAACGCCAGTGGTGATAAAAGACCAGATGCAACCCTGACAAAGCTCACCTAACTCTCATATGGGCCAAGCCTGGGCTTTAGTGAAGCAAAAGTAACACAGCCCACTACAAACAACAACGTTTCTACAATCTCATTGATAGCAGCAAGGACAAAGGTAGAACTTGTGCCTTGCGTTTTGAGCAATATTTTTTTTTTTTCAATCTTCCATGACATAATAAAAAAGGCTTATTGTTTTCTGACTTTTACTTACCTGATTCTTCTGTACTATTGGTTTTAATAAAATTTGTTATATTTGAGGATAGTTCACATTTATAAAAGTAATAAATGTTTAATATAATAAAAGAAATAAGAAAGCTTCGTATAATGAATTGTCCAGTATTAAAATCAATTATATAAAAGTTGTTGCACAAGTTAATACTATTCAATTAGTTATATAACAATAAGCAGAACGCTAATTGTAATTAATTGATATAAACAAATAAAAAATGGAACATAAGAACGATTATCCGTTTGTAGTAATTATATGAATGAGAGTAGCTAACTTGTATAGGAACTGAACAGGTTATTATTAGAAGAGACGTTACTTCTGACATTTATATATAAAAGATTATTATGAATGGTTCATGAAATGGAAAGACTCAGATCTGGATTATACTAAGAACGGCGCCTTTATTGACAAGGCTGGATTTAACATCAACATGAGAAACATTTGGGCTAGGTCGGCTGTAGGAACATCTACCCAAGTAGAGATTGAAAAGACTTGTTCTCCCTCCCATCCCCATTATCGATGCTATACACTGTAGTATTGTTGTCCATGTTTTTATGAAAAAACCACCACCTAAAAAGCAAAGAGGCCCGAAAACTCAAACATCAAAGACGGCTAAATCTAAAAAAAAAAGAAAAAAAGGAAAGCTGGTAGGAGGCAAAGGGTAAAGGACTTACCATAGAGTACGTTGGTGTTGAGGAGAGGACCGCTGTCGAAAACAACAAGTCTGGAGCAAAGGGTACAACTACTGCCCATTTTGTGAAATTTAGAATGAGCGTCTTGATATCATGGACATGAATGAGAGTTATACGGGTAGTTATCTTGTAATGAATAATAACCGTACTATTCATAAGTCTCATTCAATAATAAGAAAAATTGAGAGTAGAGATTGTAGAGTAATGTACTTATTTCCTTACTCATCAGAGCTAAACCCAATCGAGCAGCTTTACGCTCTTGTCAAAGGAAAAATGAAGCGCCACAAACTATTGAATGAAAAAAAAATTGTTTGATAGAATTGCTGAAACTCTATACAACTTTGCCAGTCATTCTAAACGTTTTGAAGTCAAAAAAAAAAAAAAAAAAAATACATATCATTTTTAGGTCAATTTGATTTAACTTTTTGTGACATTTCTCTTATTTCAAAAAGGACAAAGTTTCTAGACATAAAGGAACAATCACTTTTGGCTTAGTGCCATTGATTTTTTGTTTACAGACATTCAATTTTCTCAAAGTGACAAAATTTACCGTTCTTACTGTACTACTGATATCATAGACAATAATAGTAATGGTCCCATGGCTGTTGTATACATTATCAGCTGGTATATCAATAAAATTAAAACAGACCAAATAGCACAATTGTTCCACTGGCAATTAGGTATTTTAATGAAAATAATGGTCAAACTTTACTTTTAAAGAAAAAAAAATATTACTTCATTCAGATTAGTTTGATCTAAAAAAAAAAAAAAAAAAAAAAAAAAAAAAAAAAAAAAAAGTATTTATTTGCTAATTTGTTTGAAAATAATTCAATAAAAAAGAAAATATATTGAATTGGCCGTTTTACTAGAATAGTTTTGGCTATGACATAACAAGCTATATACATATATATTCATTCTATTACGAAAAATGATAAAAGAGTCGTTTTAGACGAGAAAGGAAACGATGCAATAGATTAGGAGAGAAAATTTACATCGTTATGTTAGAGATTTTAATAAAGAAAAAACTACTACATTATTTCAAAATACAGTTTTTTAAATTTGTATCAGCTAAGATAATTGTCTATATCATCGAAAGCACAGATCAAAATTGATGAAAATGACTTGTGGAATATCATAAATGAATATTGACCAAACCAAAATCAACAAAGTGAATCAAAAGAAAGGATAGATGCAAGATGTACACATAAATTACCTTAATAATTTTTTTCTTATAATAAGTGTTCATAAGCAAAAATGATAGACTTATTTGACAGCTTCATAACATAAATGTCTGAAAAAAGCCAGCTCTTGGGTGAATATATTATATCAGTATAGACTGAATATTATGAAGGAGATAATTCATCCTACAACTAAAAGTATTAATAGAAGACTTGAAAAAAAAAGTTCAATTGATGAAAGTATGTATTCTTATATTAAACTAGGAAAGAGAAAACACATGCACTGTGTATCCTACTGTGTATTATTACTTCAATAGCAACTCGCATCAAGATCTTATCAATTAAGATACTAACATATTAAAGCAAAAGTAAGATCCCGTTATATTCTCATCAATGCTGTGAATCTGTCAATAATTAAATTCATTTAGTATAATGATCGAAAGGCCATTGACGAATTGAGGTTTATGCTGCAGAAGACGTATAAGTTATAATTATTCAGAAGATACAGTTTGTTTATAGATGATTGATAAAGTACTTGAAAGTGAATTAGCATTTATGGGAGTTACAAATGAAAAAAATAAATAAATAGATAAGTGGTCGTGTAAGCTTTTAGAATGCTGATGTGAACTTTGTTTCATGCTTGATATTTTTTGATTCTAACTATTAACCTACATGTTGAGAATAAAATCATTGATCGTTATTTACTGATTTTTATTATTGTAAATACACTTTTTTTAAGAACTTCTTTTTTTTTATTGTCCAAATCAGTGATAGATAAAGGTTCGTATGTATATGTTTCTTAATTTATATCAAGTATAAGATTGTCTAGTAGATTCCTTATTAAATCACTTTTACAAGTTGTTTATAGAATGTTGGATAATACTTCTAAGATAACAAATAGTAACCTCAAGCATTAGTAATCCTTTGTTTTTATCATTAAACCAGCTATGTTTAACTTTATATTTAATTATAGACCGAAATAACCTTACTGAATTGAGCCTAGGATAATAGAATAAACAATACATAGTTATCTGGCTTCTCATTACGACCATCTCTTCTACTCCCTAGAAGTAAGAATACATGAATTATCTATAATAAGATAAAAACCTTTCATTTTTGAAAATTTATCGAATTTATTCAACATTAATGAAGCAAGCATTAAATAGCGGCCAGAGATAAAAACTTTCAAAGTCGATTTATTTAATGCAATGCTTTTTTTTTATGACTCTCGGCAGCTCTTTTTTTTTTTTTTTGAAGTTAGAGGCAGTTTCAATTCTAATTCTACAAGTCCTATATTGGTCAATAATCGAAATACTATAGAGTATGAAGTATTTATAAAATATGCAGGTCGTTGGTCATGAGCACTTCTCTTGAGCTTACATGCTATCCTGAGCCACGATACTGCATATCGAAAAGGCTATTCTCATATATGTAATATGTATCTTGATATTGTTCAGATTTAAATATTTATGCAGTTGAAACAATTGGAAAGTTTAGTATTATTTCAAGTGTTTGATCGATTGTTTTTTTTATTCTAATTGTGTTATTTTTTTTGTTGATCCTTTTGTATGCTTTTACAAAAGATTTAAACAAGCTTAGGGTATCCTCCAACTATTATCGCTCCAGCAAGTCGTACTATAAAATTATATAGTCCTTGACGTTTCATAAGAGATAATTAGTAGTAATAGATTCTTATGAGAATAAATATTCTAATATATAATACAATAGATAGGGCTTGATAATCCCTATTAGGACCTAATGCCGCCATGTTAACAACTCTTATGCTGTAGTTTTCACTTTATTCTCATAATAATCAATACAATAATTAACAAGATAGAATACTGTTCATATTATTATCATTATGTAACAAATAGTAATTATATAACGATAGACATCATTAATATCTTGATCTTGAATTATGAAGATTATAATTCATTTCCGAGACATAGCCTATACTATATTATTTTAGTCTATCAAATTGATGTTTTTTGCCTTAATACTCTTTATTCTTTTCTCTCTTGTGTTTTCAACTAAATAAAATTCTTAATCAATGCTCATTGATAACTATTAACAATCATATAGATTCTTCAATATCGAAAAAAAATTCAGAATCGTGTTTTTATATGTCTGTATATAAGTTGTATTGTTTTATAGACCTTCCTGTCACCACTTTTTTTTTTCTATAAGATTTTCCAAATTTTTATTGTGTTAGACTTACTTTTAACTTAATAGCATGATTTTTTCCTCCTAATCTATTGCATCGTTTCCTTTCTCGCCTAAAACGACTCTTTTATCATTTTTCGTAATAGAAAGAATATATATGTATATAGCTTGTTATGTCATGGCCAAAACTATTCTAGCAAAACGACCAAATCAATGTATTTTTTTTATTGAATTATTTTCAAACAAATTAGCAAATAAATACCCCCCTTTTTTTTTAGATCAAACTAATCTGAAAGAAGTAATATTTTTTTTTCTTTAAAAGTAAAGTTTGACCATTATTTTCATTAAAATACCTAATTACCAGTGGAACAATTGTATTATTTGTTACAGCATTAAGTTTAGAACTATACATAGTATGCACTTTTCTACAACTCTTTTCTTTTCTTTTTTTTCTTTTTCTTTTTTTTTTTTTTTAGTATTTGTTTTGAGGCTAAGTAAATATTATACATGTAAAACTGAAACGGGAAACTTTGTTCTTGTCCTACATAGTGTGTATATGAATGACCTATAATTCTATATATTTTTTTTAAAAAATACAATGTATATTCTGCCCTCTTCTCTTTTCTCTATTTCCCTCTTTTTTTTTTCTTCAAAAAAAAAAAAAAAAAAAGAAATACAACAAAGTAGTCCGCAAAATTTTATAACATGAATGATAATCAACATCCTACAGCATATCATATTCAGATGAAATATCACACTAAAGGAGACACCACATTAGGCCATACTACAACATCGAATAGTTTATTCTACACTCAACATGATATGAGTAGTCCTCCTCACTTATCTGATGATCAACAAGATTATGCTAATAATACTAATGATAATTCAATAAGTAATTTCAATACTAGTCACCAATTTATTCCTGCTTTTAATAGAAAAATAACTTCTTTGTATCATCCTCGTCATTCTATTGAAAACGATTATAACAATAATAATGATAACGATACTAATAGTAACTTTTTTGACGATACAATTATAAAGCAAGAGCACATGGATTATAGTCAGCAGCATCATTCTCCTTCTACTATTCAAATGAAAAGATCTTCTACTGACAGTAATCATCATCATGTATTAGGTGGTATGATTAATTATCCTGAACAGCATTATTTTCCTTTCAATAGTAATCATTATAAGCAAATGGCAGGCAGTGCACCTTCAAATATGAATTTATATGGTTATAATGGCTCGGATGATATGATTTCAGTAGCAAACTCTCAACAATCACCTACTAGTTCTAATCTACTCATGTTTCCAGATAATAATAGTAACAACGAGCTTTTAGAGGAGAATAATAATAATAATAATACTGACGATTATACAGCACAAGCAAAGTAAGTGATATATGTGCACAACATATATACATGTATACTTATTATGTACTACTATAAATATAGTATGCAAGCTATAATGGAGAAACGACGTAGAAGAAGAGAATCACACAATGCAGGTAATATTACATTATAAGTATACATATACATACATATATACATGAATATGAACATATATTATAGTTGAAAGAAGAAGAAGAGATAATATCAATGAAAGAATTCAAGAATTAGGTACACTTTTACCTGAGAATGTTGATGATGGTATCAATCGAATGAACAAAGGAACTATACTGCGTAAAAGCGTAGAACAGATAAGGAAGTTACAAACTGATATAGTTCAATATCAAAATAGAATAAGAGAACTAGAAATTGTTTTACAACAAATTCGACAAAATAAGCAAACATTCCTTAGGAACTAAAGTATTATATACATGTATATGTATGCTGTATATCCACTTATTCATCACTCTTTTATCTGTATAGTTCTTTCTTTCTTTCTTTCTTTCTTTCTTTCTTTCTTTATATACTATTCTTTTTATCATTATAAATATATGCATAACATATAAAAAAAAAGATATATACATGTATAATATATGTAATATGTGTTTATTCCTATACTTTCTAAATATTTTATACCATTTCATAATAATAAAATTGTTTCTTTACCTTATTTTCGAGCTGAATTTCAAATACCAAACAAATTTAGTAGACGCGACAAAACGCACTACTTGACTCAATTTTTTTTTTTTTTTTTTTTTTTCACTGTCATTTAAATCTTAATTCTTAATCAATGACTACTAACCGATTTGAAAAACTATTACAAGATGCGAAAAAGCTCCCAAATATATCTTCAAAGTCTGAAACGCCTCAGCTTAATCGTGACATTCGATTAATTGCAAAAGAATCACAAATAATGGCTTCAAAAGTCAATGCTAATCAAGATCTTACACCCACAGGGTACATACAATCTAACATGTATATATATACATATATTTATATCAACATATAATCAACTAAATAAACTTTTTTTTGTAGTCATTACTTTTTGGCTCAAAGTGGTGCAAATACGCAAGAAGTTACATCAAATTTAAAGATGTTGGATACAAAATTTACTTTTGAACCTTCTCAAGTAGCCAAAAAGACAGATGTAGAGGTAGGAGAAAAGAAAAATAACTTTAAAGAATTAACTATATTCAATAGATTGATTGAAAATTGATATACTTTATATTACTTTTTGTCTTAGGCTTATTTAAATCAAGTTTATAAAGAATATGAAAAGCAAACGATTGAGAGATCGAAAAAGGATGTAAAGATCATTAGTAGTTATAAAGTTTAAGAACAGATTCACTTATTCTTTCTTACCTTTTAGAGAATTCAATCTTTTTTTGAAAGTATGGATGAAGGATTGCATTCTAATTGGCAAAAAGCAAAAACTCAAATCTTACAAAACTGGGAACTCGAGCAGGATAATAAGAAATTTGGACGACAAACTCAAGGAAAAGATCAAGTAAGTAAATAGTTTATCACATTTTTTTTTTTTTTACTTACTTGTATTTATTTTATAAAGAGTATTCAAAAGCTCAGAAAAAAGATTTTAGCTTATGCTTCTGTTGTAAAGGACATCAATTTGAACCGTTTACTGTTAAATAAGATTCCAGTCATGAATAAGTTCAAAGCACTTTCTAATTTAACTGAATGCACAAATATACAAAGAACATTTATGCTAGAGGCTTGGGATCTTGCTTCACATTTAGCAAATGAAAAGAGAGAAAGTGGAGAATGTATGGAAGGCGTTTATACAAGTCAAGACTATGACAAAGCAAGTATTGTTCAAATGAATCGTCGTTTAATTAATGCTTCAAGGACCTGGTTAGAAAAACAGTAAAGAACTAAAAGTCATTCATCAATAGAATTGTCATATTAAAAATATACATCTATATTAGATATTATTTATTAGCAGAAGATATTTTATTTAAGAATGCAAATATAGCTAGAGTAGGTGGATCACCTTCAGTTAGCCATCGACTGCGTGCATTTATGGACATCAGCTTTAAGACCATTAATAAATCTTGGTTTAATCCAAACCTTGAAATTTATAATGGTATACCTATCTGGCTATTTATCTTTATCTTACTTCGTAGTGGTTATCCGGATTTGGCCATTCGATTCATTGAAGACAACCAAACGTCATTTTCTTCTGCTCCCGAGTTTCCTCTCTATTTTAAAGAATATTTTTCGTCTCCTGATCATAGGTAAGCCTAAATCATCTATTATGTATGTTTGTGTATATTTATATACTAATAATAATTTAAGACTTTGTGAAGAAAGTCGTAAAAAGGTATCTACTCAATTTCGAATTATGAAGTATGGAAATGAGTCCGTAGATCCAGTAAAAATACTCCTGTATCAAATTTTGGGTCGTTGTGAGTTAAATAGCACTTATCCTTGTGAAGTTATTAGTACAATTGAGGATTATATTTGGCTTCGTTTGACTCTAGTCCGTGAATCACTGAATGAAGAACAAACTGAACATGAACGATATCATCTTAGTGATCTTCAACAAGTGATTGCTGAACATGACTTTAAGAAGAATGAACTTAATCCCTGGCTTTATTTCAAAATACTTTTGTTAACACTTCAATTTGAACGGGTAAGATATCTATGATAAACATGTATATGTATGTGTGTTTTTACCTAACAAATTGTAATATAACTAGGCCACACACTTTTTATACTCAAATGAGAACTTTAAAGTGGAAGCTGTACACTTTGGCATTGGATTTGTATATCATGGACTTATTCGTATTCCAAAGCAACCAAGAGATAATATAATTGACTTGTGTAAGTTTTATATGCGTATAAACATTGAAACTATATATATATAAATATATACACAATATGTATACATACATACATATACACACATATTAATATGAAATATTTGCATTTAGTGATTACAGAATCGGATGGAAATATGTGTTGCTTAAATTTTGTTCGTCTTATAAATCAATATATTCGATTGTTTATATTCAAATTGGCTGAGGATGCACTTCAATATATATACCTTATCACTCTTTATCGAACAGAAGATATGAAGATTCTTTGTCATGAACAATTAAGTAATTACATTATAGAAACAGAAGATGAAGAATATAAGCAGTTACTTGGACAAAGATCAGTAGATCATCAACAAGGAACAATTGATAAATTTAAACCATTATTAGGATTAGACATAAATAAGGCAGATGAATATAAAGAAATGACTCTTGATCGTATTGCAAAAGGATTTCAAGATGAAGGACGATTTAAAGATGCTGTCAATGTATATGAACTCAATAAAAATAGTATTGCAGCATTGCGTGTACTTATTCGACAACTAGACTATACACTGAATATGGGACCATCTGAACGCGCTAAACATAATCGACAATTAGATGAAGAACTTGTGGAATTCTGTATTCAAACAGTTAGGAATTACGAAAATAATGCATCTATTCAAGAAGATCATAAAGTTGTACAAAGATATCATATTTTACTCAAGTTCTTGCAAGCTACATTAAAATACGAAAATAAGGAATATGAAGAAACATTAGAGGTAATAATTCATAATTCATAATTTTTAATAATAACGTAACTTATCTTTTATATGGTGGGTACTATTAGTATATTAAATCGACCTTTTTGTTCCCATTTGATGGAGATTATACAAAGATATGTCAATATGCTGAACGATATGAAGACTTGGAAGATGATATTTGCAGTCATCTTCCAGATATGATTGTTATAACAATTGACACTTTATATGCATTATGGAAACAATACTCTGACCGTAATTTAACGAAGTTATTAAATGAAGAATATCGAAAGGTAATTTGAACAGAGAGAATGTAAATAAATAATTATAAATTATAACACGTGCTCTTTTTTTTTTCTTACTTTATAGCATTTGATTCAAACTTATGAGAATTATAGCAATTCTATTATGGTTTTCATTGGGTTAATTAGTTCAAAAATACCGTCTACTGTATTACAAAAGATTAACAAGAAAGTATCAGAAATCCATTATAATTTATAATTTGTATCAATCGGTAAATAGTTTATCCATGAGGTGGTTTCAGTCATAAAGCGGAAAATGTTCATATTGCAAATAACATTTACTATCTAATAATCTTATAATTAATAAAAAGCCTGGATTTTGTATAAATATAACAAGTGCGCATTTTTTTTTTTAAAAAAAAAACTTTTATTTTTAAAAAAAACTTTTATTTTTATTTTTTTTTCCAATAAACATATAATGACTTTAGTTAAAAGCAATTCTTCTACTACTATGCAATATAATCAGCCTATAGATTATTCATTCAACACACAGAAAGCACCTTATTTATTACATAATCAAAACAGTAGTAATGATGATCATTATTATTACCCTGACAATACGAATACTCTAAAATGGTTTTTCAAAACAGTATCTAGAACAATCGATGACAATACAAAAATGAAAACCACAAAATCAACAACAGAAAATCTTAACAAACTAGTATCTTTTTATCTTTTTTGAACCCCAAAAAGAAAAGAAAGAACTCATACCCATCATTTTTCTTACTTGACATGTAAATAAAACACATTTCAAATACTTGACTATCGTGTCATATTTTATTCTATTCCTGCTTATACGCGGACAATATCTTTAATTATTATTAGTGTTTATAAAGTTATAAATCATGACTTTTTTTTTTGCATTAATAATATGCTGATATTATTACAATAATTTAAATACTTTTGCCAAAGATCATCTAACTGGATAAAAATACTAATGTAGGCCAACAAGATACATTGTAACATCATTCGTCTTTTTTTTTTTTTTTTCACTTGGAGTTGAAAGTAGTAAATCAATACAAGTTTATTTATTTATTTATTTTTTTGGTACAATGATAAATATTTGTAATTATGAATCTCGTCAATATGGCCAATATACCTTCCAGATAGAAGAAGAAATACACATCATGTATGTATATATTGAGACAATAATACTAACTATCAACTTCTACTAAATCTAAGTTCATATTATACAATCTATAACCCTAAAATTTCTGGTTATTTTTTTTTTATGACGCATTCTATTTTTCTTTTTTTTTTTTTTCTATTCTTCATTAACTAAATAATTAATTGTACTCCCAGCTGCTCGCTGTCGACCTTGATATAGACGCAATCCTTCTTTTTGCTTCAAGTTTTCATAGTTGCTACATGTAAGGTTTTGTAGCAGCATAAATAAGAAATAAAAGATACTTCTTGGTTAAAGTTTAAAAAGCGTGTCTACATCATTGTTTGTGTATATATTGGCGAATGAAACACATGATTTTGTCAAGCATTCGTTATTTTCTTAAAGTGATGAATTACAGTATTGAGCTTTGAAGAAGACATCCTATACTACTCATAAATTGCTGGGTAATATGCTTTTTTTTTGTTTGTAGCTTATATCTTAATCAATCATTGACACTATCGTATACTAGTAACTATTCCGACTACTACAAATGCAATCTGTTGTATTTCTATTTGTAAAGAGCAAAAATAATATATGAGCTCAAAACATGATTTGTTAAGCGTTCTCTCACATGCAGAAATAATATTTAATATGAATACATATCAATAAGAGCTTCATACGTATCTATTTGGGGGAAAAAAACAAGACTTTTCTTATAAATGCGTAAATAGCTTCACCTGGGCTCTTTTAAATAGGTTCTCAAGCAATCTATAAATATCTAAATTCTCGCTTTTGATTCATGGTTACATTTTCTACTATTGCTTCAGTCAAAATAATATAGATATATGACTAGGTAGATGACAATCATACTAAATTAAATACTTCTGTGTTAATTCTCTCGTAAATAACATAAAGCACTGTAGTTGTAATAAGTTTCAACATACCTTTGTTTTATTGGTGTATTTACGTTTATTCACTTGGATATGAATCAATATATTTGTTAAAATACAAGTTCTAAACCACTTTTCTCATCTGTGACACACTGTTTTATTCTTTAGTTATTCATGTCCTCTGAAGATACATTAGTTGGCCACATAGTAGTAGAGGTATATTTATACTTTTATAAGTCCTATATCAGCTTCATGTGCTCAAATTTCACCCATTATTCTTAAATGTACTGCTACCTACAACTATTATTTATATTGGGGGGCTCTCAACCCTATCAACGCTCTTCTTTAGTTGTTTAGTTGTCTATTAGATGTGTATATATTTTCTAATGATATATATCGTTTAGAAGAATTTTAAATACTTGCACGTTTTTATTTATTTATTTATTTTTGAAACTAACTAATGCTATACTATATACTCTTTCAATAAAAATAAAAATACACTATATTCATCATCGTTCGGTAAACTCAATTACTTGATATATTATAAAGATCCGCTTCCCCCTCTTTCTGCCGTCATGATTCGGGCAAAAAAAAAAAAAAAAAAAAAAAAAAAAAAAAAAAAAAAAAACTATTTACTTATTTTTGTCCCCTTCTTCTCCTTCTCATCATAAGGTGGCTGTATGAATAATCAAATATTTATTTGTATGGCTCCCTTTCCTTAATTGTATATCTGTTGTCCCTTGATCTGAAAAGGATTTGTTTTTTTTTAGCTTCTTTCTATTCTTTTTGAATTGATTAGGGCAAATGCTCAATTCGGCCATTTAATTTCTAATAATAATAAACTTTGCTAAACCTGTTATGATAGTGAACCCTTATTATTAGCTCGTGATAGTAGCCCTTTACAATAATAAGATTTATGACCTATTTACAAAAATAGACTCAATAAAAAACAAGGGGAAGGTGTTTTTTTTTCAATAGTATCTCTTAGTGTTTGTGTACATTCTATTATTTTTACTAATATTATTCAACTTGCTTTGTTGTCTTGTTATTTACTGATTGAAATCCATATGAAACATAATAATAATAATAATAAAAGAGGAGGAGGAGAAAAGAACCTTTTGTATAAATAAAGACAGTATGTGTCTTATAGTATATTGCTTATATTGAAACTTAAACATATAATATTATTACATAATACAGGGTTCTTTTTTTTTGTGTAAGTGAATATTAGTACTTTTTTTTTTTTTGTAACAAACTAATTACTTCTAATCTTCCCCGGATCAACATTTGATAAGAAAGATAAAAAAGATAAAATAGATAATGAAAAAAAAAACAATGAAAATAGCTTGGAAAAAAAAAATTAAAGCACAGATACCAGACTATGCCTATTTTAATACTTTTCGTCAATAATATTATATCTTTCTTTGGTTAATACATAAGCCGATACTACGTATAGATATAAATGTTAGTTTATTATTAAAAATAAAATAGACACAAATATTGATGTCTTTATTAATAAAATAGTCTTAAACAAATTCGCTTTTTTTTTGGGGAGGAGAAGGGAAAGTAATAAAAAATTAATCTTTCATACTTTAGTAAAAAAGAAAAAGAATCGTTTTGCTATCTTACAGCTCTACTTACTTTCACAAATCGAAAAATACTCACCATTACTACAATTCATTTATCCGTCCAGTTATAACCCAATAAAATGTCATACCACTTTTTTTTCCGATATTTTCATTTCATGATAGTAACAGTAATTTGTGTATACAAAGAATTTTAAAAAAAAAAGGTAATTTTATTGTAAATAAATGCACATGTGTACATCTATTTTTTAATTATTGCTATGGTAACTGTTGACATCCAGAAAGGAAAAAAAAAATCCCCTTAAAGAAAGTCCTTTTTTTTTTGACAAGGGTAAATTATATAACTACGGATCAGATTTGAAAAACATAGCCAAAGAAGAACATTTATTGGATGAGATTCAACTAAATATTTATATTTATATATTTTTTTGGTAACTATTTTTTCCCCCCATTATTATTTTGAACCCGCCACCAACCACTGATATTATTCACACGTTCTTTTAAATAAATAGGAAAGAGGAAAAAAAAGTTTTACTTTTACCATGCTTATCGGCTTATCAGTCCTTCTTCTCCATTACCTCCACTCAATTAATAAAAAAAAGGGAGTTATTTAATATAATAAATTTATGCAAGTCAATTTTGGACAAAAAGTAAAATTTTCGTTATCGATAATAAAGTATCTTTTTTTCATTTAAAAAAAAAAAAGAAAAAAGTAATTGTAGTACATATTATGCGTGTTAAGGTCTGACAATTAAATATTCATTCTATTGTTATTTCTACTATCTTTCATTTTAATTGTTTTATTTTCATTTATTTTTATTTTATTTTTTTATTTTTATTTTTTTTTTGCTTGAAGAAAAAAAAAATGCCTTGATCCATCATTTTGGCTTTCCGTGTATTAAATCAAAAAAATATTTACAGTGAGTATATATATATTTTTTTTTGTAAATGTTTAGAAATAGGGATAAAACCGTCAGGCTTAATATTTTCTTTTGCGGAAATTAAATATGATATGTATTAGTGTATACTTCGGAGAATAAAATAACCAAACGGTATTTTAATGATAAAATCAATGTCTTTAACCAGAAACAATTCAAAAGAAAGATACATTATGCTATAATTCAAGTTATATATCTGTTAAGATAGAAATGGATAATATTATTATTTATATTTCAAATGATGGGTCAGTTTTGAAAAAAAGTCACATCTTTTTTTTATCATAAAATTTTTTAAAATTATGAAAAAAATAAATTTACTTTCAATATGCTACTACGCGAATAATCATATAGAATGAAGGATAGGACTATAGAAGAATTTAATAGATAAAAAAGATTACTTTAATGATTTAATAAGCGCAATGTTCGGAGCTATTCGTAGTTATTTTTTTTTTTCTATAGTCTTATATGTGTATATTTTTTAAAAAAAAAAAATGAGACATTATGTCGCCGGTTGGATTTCGATGATACGATAATCAACAAAAAATTTGACAAAAAAAAAAAGGTATATAAAGATACTCACTTTAATCAAACAAAAAAATTTTTTTTCTGTTATTAAGTTTATACTTAACTAATAAACAACATGCCTGCCATTACTATCGGTCAACATCTTATCAACCGTCTTAAGGAAGTTGGTATTGACACCATCTTCGGTGTTCCTGGTGATTTCAACATGGTAATTTATCTATTACATTTATTACTTTTATCATTAGAAGAGTTTTCTTTTTTTTCCTAATTTTTTTTTTCTTTTTGTGAATAGCCTTTGTTGGATATCATTGAAGAAGATAAGGAACTCACCTGGGGTAACAATGCTAACGAATTGAACGCCTCTTATGCTGCTGATGGTTATGCCCGTATTCGTGGTGCTGGTGCTGTTGTTACCACTTTCGGTGTCGGTGAACTTTCTGCTGTCAACGGTCTTGCTGGTGCTTACTCTGAAATGCTCCCTGTTATCCACATTGTTGGTACTCCCAACACCAAGTCTCAAGCTTCTGGTGCTATGCTCCACCACTCTCTTGGTGATGGTAACTTTGACGTTTTCCACCAAATGTCTGCCATGATCTCTTGTGCTTCTTCTCACTTGAAGAAGAACAACGCTATCACTGAAATTGATCGTGTTATCTCCACTGCCGTCCGCTCCAAGCGTACTGGTTACATTGGTCTCCCCATTGATCTTATCCACTACGAAGTCAACGTTCCCGAACTTCCTCCTCTTTCTCTTGAAATCCCCAAGAACCCCGTTCAAACTCAAGAACTCGCCCTCAAGGTCTGTCTTGAAGCCATCTCCAAGGCCAAGCACCCCGTCATCGTTGTTGATGGTTGTGTCCTCCGTCACCACGCTGAAAAGATCACTGAAGACTTCATCAAGCGTTCTGGTTTCCCTACCTACGTTGCCCCCATGGGTAAGGGTGCTGTTGATGAAACTCTCCCTCAATACCGTGGTTGTTACTCTGGTTGTGTCTCTCTTGATGCCATCAACGAAGAAATTGAAAAGGCTGATTTGTTCATTGAAATCGGTTCTATCAAGTCTGACTTCAACACTGGTAACTTCTCTTATGCTCTTGACCCCACCAAGACCATCACCCTTCACTCCTTCGCCACCATCGTCTTCTGTGCTGAATACCAAAAGGTCTCCATGTTGGAATTCCTTCCTCTCTTGACCGCTGCTCTCCCCAAGGAACCCCGTGTCTTCAACCTCGGTCCTCGTCACCAACCTCTTGCCATCCAAGAAGGTACTGAAATCACTCACAACTACCTCTGGAACAAGGTCCCCGAATTCATTGATGAAAACGCCATCATCTGTGGTGAAACTGGTACCTCCGAATTCGCCACCTTGAACTTGAACGGTCCTAAGGGTGCCTCTTACATCACTCAATTCCTCTGGGGTTCCATCGGTTTCTCCGTTGGTGCTGCTCTCGGTGCTGCTATCGCTGACCGTAAGCGTCGTCTCTACCTCTTCGTCGGTGATGGTTCCTTCCAACTCACTGCTCAAGAAATCTCTGTCATGCTCCACCACGGTCTTACCCCCGTTGTCTTCCTCTTGAATAACGATGGTTACACTATCGAAAAGCTCATTCACGGTCCTGATATGGCTTACAACAACTTCCAAATGTGGAACTACAACAAGGCCCTCGACTTCTTCGGTGCTCACCTCGAACGTAACACCAAGGCTGGTTGCTCCAAGGTCGGTTTCGAAGGTAAGGTCTCCACTCGTGCTGAATTCGAAGCTGTCATGAAGGATATCCAAGCCCAACCCGACAAGATGCACTTTGTCGAACTTGTCATGCCCCGTATGGATGCTCCTCGTGAACTCGTCCGTCTTGTTGAAAAGTCTGAAAACCGTTAAATTGGATTTTCTCCCTTTCTTTAAGAATTCATTTTCTTTATTTTTATTTTAATTTCTTTATGTTATAATACTTTTTTTTTGAGCATATTATTCCATTATTATCATTTTTATCATTTCTTTATAGATATACTCATTTTTCATATACGAAGAAAATTTTGTAATAAAATTACATAATTTGTTTTAATTCTAATATGTATGTGTATGTTTTTTTTTTTTTTAAGAAAAAAAATTTATTAAATATTTAATGAATTGCGATGAAAAAAAAGGTTATGATGGTGGTGATTCATGCTTTATAGTTTATAATAATAAAATGGGTTACTGACTGGACAATCTTGTATTACAAACTATATCTTCTAAAAATGTAGATTCATTTGAATCGCATCATTATTATGTAAAATAAACACACATCCCATATAGAAATGCTAAATAAATACAATTAATTATATTTTAGTAAATTTAAATTATTGAGTCTATATAGTCATTTATAAATTAGTTTTTTTTTTTTTTTTTTTTTTTTTTTCAATAATAATGAAAAAATAAAATGAAATTAAATAAAAATCAATAGATAACTATTTTAATTCTATTAGAAGAAATTAGTGAAGTTTCTTTTTTTTTTTTTTTTTTTTTAAAATAAAGTAGACTCAAAAATTATTGATATGAAACTTGTGTTATCAGTGATAATAAAGCTATTATTAATTGTATTATTAAAAACACGTTTTTCTTTCTGTCTCTCGGTTATTTTTTTTATTTTTTTAACAAGAAGAATCTCCTAATAATAAAGTGTTCGATTTCGCTTGCTACAGATGACTTCAATATAATCCTCGCCTTTTAACTCAGATGCGTACTAATATAACTATAAAAAAAAATGAATATGAAGACATGATTTGTTGTCAATATGTGTAACTACTACTACTATATGAATTAGTAGTGGTCCATTAGTTATGTATTCATTTTTGATCCAGTGTAATGACTTTATAAATATATTATGATTACACCCTTTAAATAGTTACACAATGACTGATTTTTGTTTATTTATTTACTCACGTTTCCTGAAGTACAAAGATTCTCGTTATCGTCTACAGATCCACAACAAGAAGTTGAATATGAATAGTCGTTATTAGTCAATAATAACACATGTTTTTGAAATGGCGAATTTGATTCTATCTATTTTGTCTGGTTTCATCATTAAATGATTGTTCCTTTTTTTTATTATTCGCTCCCTCCCCTTCCTTTCCCCCCCTTCCCTTCGGCCCCCCCTTTTTTATTTATAATTACTCTGAGCTATTTGTTTTTAAACTTTTTTTTTTTTTCTTTAGTTCTTTTTCCTTTTCTTTTTTTCTTTTTCTTTTCTTTTTTCTTTTTTTTTTTTTCTTAAAAAAAAATAATATAAATATTTATTTATATATAAAACTAAAGGAAATAATAAAAATACTCTTATGACAAGTGAACCGTTGTCTGAGATAAAAAAGACATCTTCAAGTCAACAAAATAGAATTAAAGAGAACTTGAAACATTCAAAGACTTTAAAACAACACGTATTAGATAAAGAACTAGGTAAAAAAAAAAAAAAAATCATAATACACACACACATAAATCCTTTATTAAATACTTGTTTTATATTAGAAATATCGGCTTTATTTACATTAGGTGTAATTATCGCATTTTATTTAGGATCTTCTTTCGCTAAGAAATGTTTAACGATATCATATAAAGTTGGGGAGAATCAATATGATAAAGGTTATGATGATATTTATTTCGTTGGATATTGGGTAATCGCTTTTACTTTTTTACGTGCGATGGCTATAAAATTCGTTTTCTATCCAATTGGAAAATATTTCCGTATTACATCTTTTTCCAAAAGACAAAGATTTACTGAACAAGCTTGGTCTTTTAGTTATTATGCCATATTCTGGTCAATCGGAATGGTAAGTAAGAAAAAAAGAAAAAAAAAAAGGGGAAGGGGCTGATGATTGAATGATGAATTATCTATCATAGCATATTATGTATCATAGTCCTCATTGGTTTAATACTTCACAATATTGGATTGATTATCCACATATTCTTATATCAAAAAAAATGAAAATGTATTATTTGATGCAGCTTGCATTTTGGATACAACAAGTCTATACTATTCATGTAGAGAAAAAAGAAAAGATCATTTGGCTATGATGGTTCATCATTTTATTACAATTGCTTTAATCGTGTCAAGCTATTATACTAATTTTACTCGTATTGGTAATGCTGTTCTTTGTTGTATGGATTTTGCTGATATTTTCCTGCCTGTAAATTTTTTTATTTTATTTTTTATTTTTATTTTATTAAGAAAAGGAAATTTTACTATTATTATTATTTATTATTAGCTTGCCAAGGCCCTGAAATATATTGGATTCACTTTTGTTTGTGATGTGACATTTGGTATATTTGCTTTATCATGGCCTATTACAAGACAGGTATTATTTACTATGATTATTTGGGCTACAGCAGGTAAAGTAATAAATTGAAAAAAAAAAAGATAAAAGAATGGAACAACTGGTTTATTTTATTTATATTATAGTTGAACCAAGCCAATATATTGATATGAAATGGGAACCTGAAAAAGGAAAATATTTTACGCCACTTACACAGAAAATATACATTACTTTGTTTGTACTTTTAAACATAATTATGGTTTATTGGTTTTTAATGATTGTTAACGTGATTATTCGCGTTTTGCGGGGCAAGAGCGCTGAAGATACCCGAAGTGATGATGAAGATGAAGATGACGAGACTATGTAAGTTTTTTTTTTATGCTTATTTTCAAGGAGATTTTTTTATTCACACGTAATTGAAATAGGAGTGATAAACAAATTGATTCTGAAAAGCACTAAATAGAGAAAAAGAGCAAAAATTTTTTATATATATATATGTATTTAAACCTATTTAATGTGTATTTATTTATTCCTCTTTATATAAAAAAATTTGTTTATGGAGAAAAAAAAATTTTTTTTTTATCACTGTCTGTCAAGAAAAAAAAAATAATAGATTATCAAATTCAAATATGATAATATAACAGTAAAAAGGACTGATATCGATTAGAATGAGTCTTGGCAATAAATATTTATGCTTATCTGCAAAAAAAAAAAAAAAAAAAAAAAAAAAAAAAAAAAAAAAGCTAATAATGGGACCAATCAAAAGCTTATAGTGGAACTTTGAATTTTGCTGCACAATAATAATATGTCAACAGCTTGTTAGGAGCAGATGCTCAATAGTATTATAATTTTTAGTGAAATAAAGGGGGAGAGGATGAAAAGTGCAGTTTTTTTTTTTCAGATCGCTTGACCACTAGGTAAATCGCTACCATAGAGTATGTTGGATTCTGTCATTATAAAGTATGAGCAACTAGAGAATATTGGAGAAGGGATCCATACTGAGATAATGGAGTTAGTAGTACTTTTGCAATGTTAGTGAAAACTGTTTTAATGTCACTACTTTTTTTTTGTTTCATTTAATAGTAATAGAGACAAAGAATTCATTATTACGTATTCTATAATATAGTTTTTTTTTAAGTCCCTTTACCTGGTCTATAGATAGAACAGAAGGAAGGACGTATGATAGTTGATATGAATCAATGAATCAACAGATTTACAGACGTTTTATAACATAAGATATGAATCTTTATCGGAAGGTGACAGCAGAATCTCTTCTGGTAATAAGCGATTTGTTATATAATGAATAGGATAGTTTCTGCTAAATAAAAAAGGGAGGTTTTTTCTTCTTCTTCTTCTTCGAATAGTTAGATCCAGTGCTTCCTCTTCTGGAATAGTCAGATCTAACATCTGTTAATTCTTTTCTTGAGTCTTCAAATGTAATTTTTTTTTCTTTACAAAGATGGTCTTGATGAACAAGGAAATGAGGCAACGGATTGGAAGGAAAATTTGATCCCTTCCTTGGATTAAAAAAAAAATTGAAAGAGAAGTCTGAATGGGATATATAATGAAAAGAAAACTATATAAAGTCAATCATTCCAAAAGTCAGCAAAAAAAAAAAAAAAAAAATATATATTATCTTATAAACTATTTTGATCAATAGCCTTCTGCCACAACAAAAGATGCAGTCGATGCTTTAACACAAGTCTTTGAAGGATTTAGCTTTAAAAAATCTACTGTTGTTGGAGAATTTATATCCAAGGAATGTAGTATATCTTGTTGTAAGAAATGATGAAACAAGATTTGAATGGATAAATACAGATATTGTATTTTTTTTTTATTGATGAAGCTGGTTTTAATATTGATATGAGGCCGCAAAACTGCTCATTCAGCTCGTGGTACTCCAGCTATGATTACTAAAAGCAGTATCCCATACAGTTCTCGGAGCAAATTTCTGTCATAACAGATATTGTAAATATCGAGTTGAAGATTCCTCAACTCCCAAAAAGAAAAAAGAAAGTCCTAAAACATGTCTAGTTTAAAATAAAGAGCAGTATACTATAGAGAATGAGCTGCTTCAAGGGAAAAAAAAACTATTGCATATTTATATGTAATATCTGTCTGCTGCATTATTTTATCACGTCTCCATTTTTTTTTTTTTTTTTTTAGACCTTCATAGGTGGAGTTAGATATCACCATTTTAATTCAAATTCCGTTTCACTCTATACATAAATTTATTTTGTTATTGCGTTGTTCTGCTTCTTTGTTAGAATTTATTACAAAGAGGAAAAAAAAAAATGTCTGATGGTATAAGACAAGCTCTTATTTCGAACCTATTTCCTCAAGGTAGCAATAAGAAAAAAAAAGGATATTCTCTCTTTTTTAGTTATTTATTGTTTGTTATCTCTTACTTTTCTCATGTTTTTCTCATCGTTAACATTAGGTTCCTCAGAAAAATTAATCATCCACATAAAAACATATAAAGACATTCAGTCCACCGAGAATAATAAAGATTTCAAAGGAACACCACGTTATTTATGTCTGACCCGTAAGTTGCATAGATATATCTTTATTTTATTTTTTATTTAATTATATTATATAGAAAAAAAGAATGCCATGCGGCTTTTAAAGGTGAAAAGAAATCAAAATGGAACTTTTAGTATTTCCAGAGCTTGGTCTCTTGATGACATTAAACAGATTCAAAATCTCGATGTAAGGCGTATTTTTTTTTTTTTTATTGCTTGTTTGATGCTTAGTTTTGGCATCTTGACTTTTATTCTAGAATTATCAATTTTCCATTATACTCAACAAAACATATTTATGGGCAGTTGAAAGAAACAGAGATAAAATGATATTCTTAGCTTTTCTAATTGACGTAAATATATATATATACATATTTATATGTATATATGATATAACATGAATTTTAATATTTACAATAGTCTTGTCGACGCTCAGCAACACGAATGCCAAAGTTAGTTAATATTGATGAAAGTCGAATTATTCGATGTGAGTCCACTTTTTTTTTTTTTTTTTTTTTTTTTTTTTTTTTTTTTTTAGCTTTATACTCATTATTAACTTCTTTTATACTGTTATTATCATTAGATTTGGCTGACCCTCATGCTCCTACTATGGGTTTAAATAATCTGAATGTATCCACTTTATCTGATAATAATATAGATCATAATGCACCACTCTCTTCCACAATCCATGATGTGCCCTCACCTTCTACAAGTACAGGCTATAATACAATAACACAAGCCTCTATACACTCTTCAAATACTATCTCTGAAAAATCTTCTCCAAAACCTACTTACACGCAACAATCGCTAAAGCCTAAAGCTCCACAACATCAACCTTCTGTTTCAAGAACATCGCCTACCCTTTCGCCACAATTATGTAAAAAAAAAAAAGAAAAAAAAAGGTTTTTTATAAAACTGTAAACTCGTATTCTAATTTTTTTTTTTTTTTTTTTTTTTTTTAGTATCTCGAGAAAATATCAGTCCTCAATATAGTAATAATACTGAAACTTATCAGCGTGATGAACGTAAAGAACGCGATCGTATTAGAGAAGCTAAAAAGGAACGAGAAAGATTGGAAAAAAAGGCACAAGAGGAAAAGGAACGACAAAAGAAAGAAGAGGAAAATCAAGTAAAGATGGCTGAACAGGTATCTTTGATGAATGTCGAAGAATTATTAACAGATTCTAATTGGAAAGCAAGTGGTAATGCTGCAGCGCTTGAAAAGAGATTATTAGGTGAATTGCATGCATTAGAAGCTGTAAGTTATATATATAAATATTTGTATATATTTGTGCACTTAAAAAAAATGCTTAATATATATATATATATATATATATATATATATGTGTGTGTGTAGGCTAATGTTCATGCTATTATTCAATCGGATGAACGAGTTCGATCAATTGTAGAGCATATCGATAAGTCTTTGGAAGAACTAGATAAGATGGAAAGTTGGCTATCGCTTTATGGTGCAGAGCTTAACGTAAGTGATGAGAAAACAGAAAAGATTTAACCTCTTTTAAAAAAAAGAAAGAGAGGGAAAACCATTTGTAATTTATCTATCCATTTTTACTTTTTCCTATTCTTGTATTATTTTTGTTATTTTGATCTTTTTGCAATTTTTTTTTGTTATATCTACATTTTCTACTTACTCCCTTTCTTTTGTAATGTAATCAAATTAAACCAATATATCTATTTTTTTTTCTTTTTATATTCTTTTTTCGTATCTTTATGACTATAGAGTATGGGTGATGATATTCGTGAAATAGAGACACAAAATAGAGCACTTCAAATTTTGAATTCAAATCAACATGCACTGATGGCTGAGTTAGACAACTTACTGGTAAAAAAAAAATCAACTCAAATGAAACAAACCTAGATATATCAACTAATATATATATATGTATGTATGTATATTAGACAGCTATTTCTATACCTAGAAGATGCTTAGATAGCTTGCAAAATGATCCTATGGAATCAGTAGATGATGTGATACGCATTCAAGAATCTGCAGAAATTTTACAAAAGGTGATCAAGACAAAATTAGAGGATGGTTTACAAGAGATGATAGCTGTTCAACAACGTCTTGAAACATATAATGTGCATGGGAATAAATTTAGTGAAAGAATATTCAAGTTTTTAAAAGAGCAATTTGAGCTTCAGGTAATCTATATATATACATACATATATACATTCAAGAAATTGAATGAATAGAATGTAAGCTCATACCTTTTATATAAGGCAAAAATATATTTAGATCAAAAGTCGAAATCAACTGCTGCTGGAAATAGAAAAATAGTTGCACAACCTCATGAACAAATTGAAAATCAATTGATCAAATATCAGGGATTTAATCTTTGGGAAAAAGAAATGGAGCCTAGAATGTATAATGAATTACAAAGAGTAAAATAGATAACAAAGTTCTTTTTTTGATCAATAGAGAGGAAAGGGGAAAAAAAAAAAGAGTACTCATATATATACATATATGTATTCATTTGGATATAGTATTATGCTCAAGCAATGGCACCTTTATATGAACGTGATATACGTGAGCTAATTGATGCGACACGATCCTATTATGCAGCTCTACGTAAGCGAGATATAGATGAGCTTGATTATGGTAAGTCATTCTTATTATCCATTCTTCTTTTCTAAAATGCAAATATATATTTAAATGTTATGTAGTCTTTAAACCTGAAGAATCTCGACCTGCAAGGGCATTAGCCTATGCACCTAATTTACGAAGTGACGACTCTAAACCTCATCGATATCGTCATATGCTTCGTGGCTCTGTAGAAGGAGTAATCGGAGGAAGTTTCAGTGGTAATCGTTCAAGTATAGATGAAGATGAAAAGGCGGCTGATGATGTAAAGTTAAATATAATTTGTGTGTGTGTGTGTGTGTTTAGGAGGGGCGGAAGATGATATTGAATATATATATATATAATTTTAATTCATTTATAGGCCTTTGCTCAAATGATAAGTCAAGCTGTCATGTTGGTTTGCAGGGAGCAGAATTATATGAGTGATTTATTTGAACTTCGACTTCCTAAATCATTTTTAGAAAGAGACATGGTTTATTCACAAGTACCTAATAAATCTGATTTATACAGTAGACGAGATAAAATTCGTGATGTTAAAATATCAAAGAAGATTTTGTAAGCTTTTTTTTTTTTTTTTTTCTGTGAAGAAAGAAGGAAATTAACGTATTTATTTTTCAAGATCTTGGATGGAAATTATTTTCGAGACTTTAGAACCAAATTTGGTAGGATTATTAGAATATGGTGTCAAAAGTGATCCAACGTAAAGCTTAAACTATCTTTTTTTCCCCCCCTAAAATTTGAAATGTAACTAATTAATAATGTAATACAATATAGTCAAGCAGTCAGTATGCTTGGTGCTGTTGAATTCCAACAAGAGAAATGGGATGGATCAGACCAAGAATTTGTTTTATCTTTATGCAAATCCATATTGCAAAGATTGACAAAAATGTTTCAAAATTTTATTGTAAGTCATATATATATATATGTATACATTCAATGATAAATAATGCGTATATGTTTGTTAGAATGAGCAAGTTCGTGTTATTGAAGAAACAAAGGTCAGTTCTAAAAAGCGTAGAGGTATTTTATCTTTCTTTAGGACATTTCCTATCTTTGCAATGCGATTAGAAATAGCAGCACTGAATGTTCAACCTGAATCTGAGACTCGGGTCACAGTTAATAATGCATATGAAAAGATCATTCAAGCTATGATGGGAAGTTTAGATAGTATTGCTCGAGAAGGCGATCAAGCTGGTGATGATAAAGAGCAATTAAATGCAACTATCATGTATATTGGTAAGTCAAAAAAAAAATCTTCAGATATAAAAAAACACAGTTCTCACATATCCCCTCCCCCCTTTTTTTTTCTTAAAAAAGAAAATATGCATCATATGTATCATACACTACGAACAAATAAACTTCATGTTTTAGAGAAATGGATAAAACATGCAAAAACACAATACGATAATAGTTTAAATGCTTATATCAAGGTCATCATCCGTCGTCCTCTTGGGAAACTTCTCGAATTCTTTGAAGGTGTTGAACAGATGACACATACAAATACACCTGAGGAAGTTTCGTTTCATATGAATTATAATAAGACTCAATTACGTAAAGTCATTATGTCTTATCCACCAAAGGAGATCAAGAAATCTCTTGAACAACTTTATAAACGTGTCGATAAACATTTTTCGGAAGAGGAAGGTTTGTTGCAAGTCGTTTGGCGTGGTATTCAAGAGGAATTCATTCGTCAACATGAAAAAATGGAAGACTTGATACGTAAATGCTATCCTGATGCAGGTGTTCAGCTTGAATTCACCATTCAAGACTTGCTGGGAATGATGAGTGAACTTGCACGAAAAGTAAATGTGTAGAGGAGAATGCAAACTATGTAATAATAATAAAAACAGAGTAAAAAAAGAACGGATACCAATATAATCTATATAAATGTACATATATATAAAAAAAAAAGAAAAAAAAAAGACTATATGTGGTGTTAAATAATTAATCTGCAAAGATGTTTCTTTGCAATAACAAAAAGAGCAACATTTTCTCTTTTATTTTTATTATGTAATAAAGATGGTTTTTTTTTTTTTTTTTTTTTTTTGTTTAGAGATCTTTCTTAAGAGTACCCATAAATTGATGCTTTTCGGCAGCAGTTTGGAAACGACCATGACCAAACTTGGAAGAGGTATCGATGAATTTAAGAGACACCTTTTCGAGAGCAGAACGCTTAGTGTGAACGGTAAGGGACTTACGAAGAGTGATAACACGTTTCTTGGCACCAGCACAACAACCCTTGATCATCACAAAGTCTTCATTTACAATACCATAATGAGGGAAGCCACCCATAGGAGTGATAGGCTTCTCAGTCAAGTCATATTCAGTAGTACCTGACTTGGCATCAGCACCATGAGCAATACGGTAAATCTTTTTATTAATTTCAGTACGACGGTGATAACCTCGTTGACCAGCACGAGCAACAGAGTACATTACTCTACTAGGATGCCAGGCACCAATACAAGCAACCTTACGCAAACCACGATGTGTCTTACGAGGTAACTTCTTAGTACCCCAACGATGTGTAACACCTTCAAAACCATGACCTTTAGTGGTTGCAATAATATCAATCATCTCATCTTGTTCAAACACTGAACCTACATTAACCTCCTTTTCAAAATGATCACGTGCCCATTCCACTTTATCTGCCACAGAACCACCATTTAATTGAATTTCCATAATGTGAGCCTTGCGTTGATGAAGTTTGGCTTTAGAGATTTGTGTATGAGCAATGACACGGACAACAGAACAGTATTTCTTGATACGTTCAGTTTCACGAGCAATGTCTTTAGCGCCTTCAGCATACTTTTGAGCATATTTAGTGAAGGCCTTCTTCTTGGAACGGTACCAGTTCTTATAGAATCGACGCTTAGCTTCTTCAGAGAGATGTTCAGCCCAAACGGTGGTTAACGAACGAAGACCACGAGGGGTTTCAACATAGCCAACCATACCAACAATGACCATAGGGGGAGATTCGATAACAGTAACGGCTTCAACAATTTCTTTCTTATGCATCTTGGATCCAGGACGTTCAAGATCACGAACAATATGTGTCATGCCAGCTTTGTAACCCATGAAGGCAGTCAAGTGAACAGGAAGCTTAGAGTTATCCTTGGGGTAAGCCTTAACACGACCACGATGAGATCTGGTTCTCTTACGAGGTCCAAAACCTAAATGACCATGACGAGGTGCTTCAAATTTTCTATCATAAGTTAATTAAATATTAGCTGAACTGAAGCATTTAACATTTGAATCTAATGATTGTGAAAAAAAAAACAAACCTATGAGACTAAATAAAAAAAAATGAAAAGAGCTACAGGTTAGATATCTCGTAATGACTCTATTAATAGATGTATAAATTATGATATTTACCATATTCTATTATGTTGGATGGATGGATTAAAAAAAAATAAAAGAATAGAAGCAGATAGCTAGTAGTAGTTATCTGATTATGCGGGAGGAGCAGCAAGGCAACAAGCGTATAATTATTATAAACTCCGCTTCAGAACCTGGTAGTATTGTTGCTATAGTAGTAATAGTGTTCGTTCTACTGGTTTTTTTTTCTCAGGTAAAACAACATCAGCATACTAAAAAATAAATAAGCCTTTCCCTATTAGCATTGTTAAATAGCATGTAAGAGAAGAGAAAAATAATAATAACAATCAAAAACGTAATAGCAACTATTACATAATAGTAGTGAATAATATTATGCAAATTACCCATTGTTTAGTAACATGCATATTTTTGAAACAATATATACAAATAATAATAATAAAAAATAGGCTTTATTTATATACCTATTTCTGCAATATATTTTAATATTAATAAGAGGATGTACGATGTAATGAAATACTATATTGATACAAATTTAAGGTTTTTTGATAAAGTTATTAGATTTGAGTGTAACATAAAAAAAAGGGGATCAATATTTATGCTGACATGAAAGAAATAGAAAAAAAAAAAAAAAAAAAAAAAAAAAAAAAAAAAAAAAAGCATAATATATTATCGGGAAACAAATAATTAGTAGTAGACAATAATCACTATTTTTTTTTTCTTTTAAAGGGATAAGATTAGAACTTTCTTTTTTTTTTCTTTTTCTTTTTTCTTTTTCTTTTTTATTTAAAAATATTAAAAAAAAAAGAGAGAGAAAATGGCAGAACGCCGCAATTCAATAAAGATAGAATGTCAAAAAGAACAATTAGCACATGATGAAAAGGACTTTTCAGATAAGCAGACAATTAATTTTATGAATGAATTTAAAGAAGATCATCTATCTATCGAATCAGGAACAGATAGACTTGAATTATTGCAACCGCCTGATGGCGGAAAAGCCTGGCTAGTTTTATTTGGCTGTTTCTGTGTAAATAAATAAATAAATAAAAAGATAATAATACATTTAAAATAATGTACTGACTTGATATATATATATATATGACAGGGTATATTTTGCACGTAAATATTATGATACATCTAAATAGGATATTTAAAGAAAAATATACATATGTATAACATGATTAATAGACAGGGTTACAATTATGTATGGGGCATTTTTTTGAATTACTATAACAAGTATATTTTTCCAGATCAAATGACAGCTTTATCATGGATTGGATCATTATGGCTAGCTTTAGCAAATATTGTGGGTCCGTTTTATAGTTGGTTTGCTGTAAAAGTAGGTTACAAATGGATGTTGATAACTGCAGTAGTGCTTTGGTCACTAGGAATTATGTTGGCCAGTATAGCAACACAGGTACCATATTTATCATAATTTTTGAAGAAAAAAAAAAAGACTTAATATATATGTATACATGTGTGTATTAGATTTGGCATTTATATTTAACACAAGGTGTATTAATGGGGATTGGAGCTTCTTTAGTTTGGTTTCCATGTGTTAGCGCTGCTCAGCAATGGTTTTCAAAACGTAGAGGATTAAGTGTAGGTATAGCAATTTCAGGCTCAGGCTTTGGTGGACTTATTCTTTCAAATGTGATACAAGCCATTATTGACAATCTGGGATATCAATGGGCACTTCGTATTGTTGGTTTTATATCTTTTGTGTTATTGTCTATCTCTGTTTTTACTGTACGACCTCTGAATCCACCTCAAAAAAGCGATATTAAGATCTTTAACCTTCAACCTTTCCGTAATATTCAATTCAACTTGCTATTTGCCATTCAATTCATTGGTAACTTTGCTTTTAATGTAAAGTGTAAAAAGGATATAAATATATATATATATATATATATATATAAGTGTGATAATGAAGGTACTAATGATATAAATACAATTTATTATTATTTCTATTACAATAGGTGCCATCTAGTTTCTTACCTGGTAAAATATATATATATATATATAATGAAGTTATACATTGATACTAACAATAAGCTTGTCTAAATATTTTTATTAAGCCTATGCTGATTATCTTGGATTAGATCCTTGGATTGGTACAAATATGTCTGCTATTATTTCAGGCGTTATGATCGTTGGTAAGATCTCGAGTGGTTTCATTAGCGATTTTGTAGGAAGAGCCAATATGACATTTATCACAACTACATTGACGGGTGTCATGTGTCTTGCTGTTTGGCTTGTAGTGACGACGCCAGCTGGTATCTGGGCTTTTGCTGCCATGTTTGGCTACTTTGGTGGTGGATACCTTGTGATGGTCCCTGCACTTTTAGGTCAAGTGATTGGAATGGATGATATTGAAGCTGCAAATGGTCTATTGTTCTTTGCTTGGTTCTTTGGTGGTCTCTTTGGTTCACCGATTTGTTCTGCTTTAATCAATGATGCTAGTGGTCATCCTACCTATAATTATGCCATCATCTTTGGTGGCGTTCTCATGGTGTTTGCTGGTCTATTGGCTTGGGTTGTGCGTGTGATAAGAGGGGGCTGGAACCCGTTTATCAAAGTCTAAATTATCATATTCCACATAGTATACATACAAATATATATATATATATTCTTGTATTTTTATTTTTATTTTTTTTATTAGAAATAAGGAAATATCTTTAATGTATTATACATATTGACAATTAAATAGGTTCTTCTTGAATTTTTTTTTTTTTTATATTATACATAAGAGATAATTTGTATTTATTATACTTATTTTTAGTTGAATTATATATCTTCTTCTAATATCATTTCATCATCATCATCATCATCATCATCCTTTTCTTCTTCTTCTTCTTCTTCTTCGAAATTCATTTTTTCATCTTCTAAAAATTCTAAATTCTCGGGATACAATTTCAAATACAAACGATTCAATGTATCCAAATCATTTTCAAGATCTAACATTTCATCATCCTTATATGAAAATCGATCCTCAACTGTTGGTAACTGAGCAACATCTATGGGTTTAGGCATCCATTCAAACATCTTATTTCGTTCCTCTTCAGATACATCATGATCATAAATGTAATTGTATTGAATAGGCTGGACTACATCCTTGACCAAAACTGGCGGCTTAGGCTTCTTGGGAGACATTGGAAACTTTTGTGGAGGATCAGGGGGTCCATCCACCAGACAAAAGAACTCCTGAGGATCAAATGTACCATAGGTTCGTTCACAAGTGGATACATGTCGATGATACGCCTGAGCTGTATCCTCAAGTGTTTCCAACGTTTGTAACTTACCCCAAAGATCCATGACTGGCAACTCCTCAAACATAGGTAATCCCCCTTGGGCAACTGACTCAAGATCGTATTACGCTGCATGAGTGGGACCATAAAGGTCCCAATGACAGATTGTCGTTTTTCAGATTTTACATGTGTGCCAAACTCAACATGATTAGTCGAAAAGGCTTCAAAGCCTTGGAAATTAGGGTAAAGCATGACATAAGCTCGCAAATAAACAAGTTCGATAAAGTATTTCTTCCATGATTTTTTCCATTTATCAGATCGACTCCCGGGGACACTGATGAGTCGTGTTCGATGACCTTTTGGTAGATTGAGATCTTCAAGACGTCGCACTAGATATGCATGGAATTCACGCCAGTGTTCGGGGAAATAGACAGCACCCCAACTACAAGGAATTTGGCTTGCATAAGGGATATGGTTTGGAAATCCTGCTGGTAGAAGAACTGAATTAGGATTGAAACTAACTCGGCCTGCTGGGATCAGTTCCAGGTTGCGAGGCGCATACAGACTAATGCCATACATTAAACGATATGCCTCTTGGTTACCACTATATCGATATTTAAGTATAGCATATTTAGACCATACATAAAAGAGAGGGGAGACTTCAATATCATCCTCAAGAAGGACAGCATATTCATGATTATGGCTAGGATACCATGACTCAACAATGGCAGGCATAAGCCCACCCTTACGAATACGATGTCGAAGCGTTTTTTTACCATATTTCCACACAAAACTATTTACAAGCATACGTGTTACTCTATCTGATGATTGTTCCATATTAATCATTAAATCAACTTGATCTCCTAGATAGATTGACTTTGAAGCAGATTGTAAAAGACGTGACAATGAATGAGGTCTTCTATCAGTAATCATGACTAATTTAATTTGAATTTTATTCCAATCTGCAAAAAGAGAAAAAAAAAGAAAGTTAAATTTATTTTACATGTATAAACTAATATATATATATATATATATATACTTTACTTGATAGGGCATCTAAAGAAAGATTAGGTATCCACAAAGCATGTACAATCTCATTCTCAGGTAAACCAATTTCTGTAATTTGATAGGTTTCTGCCACTAATTTTAACGAATAATAAAGAGGCATTGCACTAGGATCATTTATAGGCTTAACCTGAATCATGATATGAGGATGAATCATTTTTACAAGTTGACCCACTAGGATATCCTTAGAACGCTCCAACGTAAAATCATGAATTTCAATATTGCTCTGACAGTTTGTTTCATTCAATACATGTTGTACTCTTTCCTTATTAATATCATCACCCAATAGTGCTAAATGAACTGGATCTTTGAATCGACATATTAATGGGTAAAGAGAAATAAATTGCTTTGTCGATTTAATGATTAAAAGTACGTTGGGTTGATTAAAGAATCGATGTTGTAAAACAGTTGGAAATTGATTCTTAGTCATGTGAGTCTTCCAAGCTACATTAGTGTTCCAACTCTCTAAAGCTTGTTCACAAAGCTGCTTGTTAATTATAATCTGTGGTGAAGGTAAAAAGACAGTGGGGATATTAAGCTGATGATTAAGATTAAGACTGATATAGTAACCTAAAGGTAATTTAAGAGATTCCAAAGATATATCTATCATTATATAGGGTAGCCATGATTTACGAAGAAGCCAAGCACCTAATATCATATCTGCAGGCTGTGACAAATCAATAGGTAAATGTGTATCAACTGGTAAACAAAAATGGTTTGGAGTAGTAGATTGAGGATTGAAGACAAGAGCTCGAGTGCCGATCAAAGCATCTTTATAGTCATCATTCTGGTGAACTTTCATAAGATATTCCAGCTCGTTTAGAGATGATTCAGATAATGGCATATTCTCATCTAATACATATATATATTCTGTATTAATTTCATGCTGGTGAAGTGCCTGAAGCCAAACTGAAGCCCCCGCTGTACCAGCAGAGAAACCATCACTCTCGGTCACATCAGTATTCATGATTGAACGATCTATAGCAGTGACTTTTATTTTTATATTGTCTGACACTATCTTTTCATTAATAAGGGGTTTTAATTGAGACGAGCAAATAATAGATACTTCAAAGTTGACAGGTACTGAAGTCCAGCTAGAGATAAGGACATCTAATTTTGATAAAGTATTCTTTGAATAGATAGGTAAAATGATGGTAACATCTTGTAATTGTACTTGGTTATAAATAAGGGTATCATAATCATGGCCTTTTGTTGTATAAGACATAAGTCCTTTTAAAAAATTAATCTTTTGATTGGTTGGATTATAAACTGGATTAGATATCACCCAAGGATTATATTCTAATATCAATAATAAATTAAAATAAAGTGCATACATACGTTAAATGTATTTTACCATCATCCCATGTTGTATTCAATGTTGGCAATTTGACTTGATTAAAGGCTACATTTGATAATGTAGTGTCATTTGAATGAGTTATTTTTGTAATAGTAGTAGTAGTAGTAGTAGTAGAAAAGGTAGGATAAGGGCTTGGTAAAAGAAAGACTAAGGATAAACTTAGGGATAAAAATAAAAGAAGAAATTTGAATATTCTTTTAGGTGAATTAAGCCATGACATTACTTGTTAAAAGAAAGGAGAAAAACAATAAAATAAAATAAAATAAAGGAAAATAAAATAAGGAAAAAAGAAAGTCAATAAAAAGGGGTGGAGTTTTCATCTTCCGCCGAATTTTTTTTTTTTTTTTTTTTTCTTGTATATGTATATGACTATTAAGTTACACTATGTCGTCATTTTAATTATATATATATATATATATTTTAAGCTATTCCTTCAATAGTAGCAAGTTTATTATCTATTGTGGTTCTCTTTTTGTACCATAAAAATTGGCAAAAGATAGAGAAATCAAATATTAAAGTACCTGCACTACCTATTAAATAAGGTAATGACTCTAATAAAGAATCTAAAGTTTGACCAGGATGCGTTAAAATGCTTGTTGCATAAGTTAGATTACCACAGACAGCAAATATAAATAAAGAAGCTGATAAACCTTCTACTGATTGTCGACGACGATTTTTAAGCAATTGAGGTATACGTGACATTAAATAAAGAGATGTACAAGACCAAGCAAGTATTCTACCAAGCCATAAAAGACGATCTTGAGATATACTATTCATTATTATAGAGTCTTCTTGTTGTATATTAAATAATGTACCAAACAATAAGATAGCCATAAATCTATGTTGTTTATGATGCTTTATAGAAGTTACAATGATAGGTTGTTCATCCTTTGAAGAAGAGAGAGTATACCATTTAGAAGGTGAAGCAGAAGATGAAAATGGTGTTAATTCGTCTAAAACATTTGTATGACTGATATTTAAAGGAGTGTGTTGTAAAGCAGGATGTTGAAATAATGTATCTTCAGTATTAATATCAATTGCAGTAGAGGGTATAATAAGATAATCATCTTTTGTAGCTGTAGAAGAAGAAGGCTTTAATTTATTGTAGTAAATCCACTGGAATAGTAAACAAAGATCAATTGAAACAAAATAAATTCCCAAATATAATTGAAATGGTAATTGATGTGTTAATATAGCACCTAATAAATTAAATGTGTCTCCTATAAAAATATAACTATTAGCCTATCAATCTTTATCATCATTTAATACATTCATTCATTTTACCTGCTAACCAAATAGATAAGAAATTTAAACTTAAACAATCTGCTGAACCACTTTTATAATTCTGAATGACTTGTCTATATCAAAGAATAATCATGTCATGTTATGTTTTTTTAGTATATAAAAGAAATGACATGGTAATTTACGGTAATTGTGCATTTAACCAAAAGAAAATAGAAATATATCCTAATAATAAACTTAATGCATCCTGTGTGCCATATACGCAATCACCAAATATGATCTAAAAGGAAGAAGATGATAATTTATTTACTGTTATGATCTATATGAATTTAATTCTTTATTTACATTTATCCATTTGTTATATGGGATTCCATCTTCTGTAGGTAGACAAATTGTCATTATTATATATTATATATAAATAAAGGCTCTCTTAGGGTTAGGGTTAGGGCAGGGTATACTATATATAAAGAAGAAAAGAATAAAGAAAAGAATAAAAGAGGGAGGGATCATTTCATTCTTTATATATAAATTTTCTTTATCATTATAGATAGAAAACGGAAATCAAAAAAAAAGAGGGGGGACAAATTATACTTCTTTTTAAAGGGATAATTTCCCTTTTAATCATATTATGAGATTTTAGTCACGAGAACTATTCCGATGACTATAGTCTCCCTCTCTCTCTCTGTCTCTGTCTCTGTTTCTGTCTCTGTCTCTGTCTCTCTCCCTCTCCCTCTCTCTCTTTCGTATTTTGTCTTGCTCCTTATTATGTTATTAAATCCTGGAAAATAAAAGACAAGAGGAGGCGGTTACTCACTATTCTATTATGTATGATGACTCACATAGATACGGCGGCTATTGTTTTACTCCGCAATTTATTATTAAAAGAGTAGACTAAATTCCTTTTCAGCTGATATCTTTGAATCACTTGCATGAATTGCATTCTCTTGAATATTTGTACCATATAAAGCTCGAATAGATTTAGGAGCTAATTTTTGAGCCTTTTTAGGATCTGTTGGTCCTATCAAGTGTCGTAAAGATTCAATAGCCTCTGGTCGTTCAAGTTGGAGTACACGTATTTTATCCCTTGTCAAGTAAGCCTCTAAATCAGGATAATAGGGCTCATTTTGTTTATCTGCATACCATTCACGAACTTGAACTCGAGAAATATGCAATATCTTGTCACGAATAATCTTGAACCCATTATCTTGGATTATACTTAAAATTTCTTTTTGGTGTTTCATACCATCAGGCTTAATGACGGCTACTGTCCAATCATGTGGCTTATTATAATAATTAATGACAGGCATCTTTGAAACGAATTCGTAATGAAAGTCTTTCCATGTCAATTGAGTTAGACTCGTGTTCTCGGGTATTAATAATAAAAAGAAGAAGGGTAAATGAAAAAATAAAAATGTCAATGAAGCTTTAAAATAATGATGCATATTTGAAATAGAAGCTGAAAGAAAAAAAAGAAAAAAAAAAGAAAAAGAAAAACTGGGAAATAAAAAAAAAATTGGGGGATTATATCATTATCTTTGTTGCTTAAAATCATATACTTGTATGGAATGAATGACTTTTTTATTTATTATTTTATTTTATTTTATTTTATTCATGACGATAACTATTAGTTCTACGCTTTAAGAAAAATATTGGCAAGAAGTAATGTGACTATCAAAATAAGGCACATAGTCAACTATATGTTATTCATTATAAGTATGGAATAGAAAGATGAAATCAACATTAAAGGTCTTTGTTTTAATTGGCAAAAAGATAAAGAAAGAGAATATAAAAGCAAAAGACAAGTCTGTATAGTTTATCACTAAATATAACATATAATGATTTACCACACATATGTATCTGAGTTTATGAATGAGTTGTCCCTCGATCCGTACAAGTCTCGATTAAGAAATTGGCTAGCTTCTATTAGTAGACGGTGCCTGAGTGGTAGTAGTAGCACTACGAAGCTTGAAATTTTGGTTTAAATTTGTTCAAAACTTCTTGATGGTCATTTACTGAGGATGTGTCAAATAAACATCTTACAAGAATGACTCGCAAAAATCTTGTCATTGTATACAAGTTGCACTTGTTACTTTTTTATTTATTAAAATATTAAACCTCCTTTTATTCAATCCGAATGAATCATTCCCGGTTTAATTGCTACGTTGAGGTTACTGCTTCATCCATCTTTTTACAAGTAGGTCAACTTTGGTGGAAAATTGCAATAAAATCTGTTTTTTTTCTTTACTTTGAATGGAAATTTTTAATGCCGGTCTTTGAATCAACAATTGAAGAATGCAAATTCTTTATTTCCTGTTCCTTTTTTTTTTCTTTCTTTCTTTCTTTTTTTTCTTCTTTACTTCTTTATTTCTTTCTTTCTTTCCTTTTTTCTTTCCTTTCTTTCTCTACTGTCATTTTTTAGATAGATAGATATATACATATATATTAAACAATATGGGCTCAAAGCCAAGTAGTACGGCAGCAGTACACAATAATTCAGTTAAACGTAAAAGATCAAATACACAAGCATCTCATCGTAGCCAGTTAGAAATAAATAATAAGAAAGCAATACAACCACCAACAAGTCGTACTAGTAGCAAACCTATTGTTCAAATACAACAACATAATAAAAACAATATGAATATCACGTAAACAAACAAACAAAAAAAAAAAAAAAATTAAACTATCTATTCTTATTCATTATTTTTAATAACATACTTCTTTTTTTTTTGTTGCTTTCAACTATGTTAGTCCTAAAGTAAGTTGAACCTAAAGAATAAATAATCTGTTGAATAATATTAATTTATAAACTAGTTTAATAGTCAACAATGTGAACAATTGTTTAATCATTACGCTGACTCTGATTCACCAAATATGATTACACCTGATGGTACACGGCAATTCTTTGAAGATCTTGGATTATCTATAGAAGATGTAAAATAATAATAATAATAATAGAAACTGTCTATTTTATATTCATTTCAAATAATTTAGGTTTTAATATTTGCAATTGCATGGAAAATGCACACATCTACGATGGGTAATGTGTTATTATTTCATATTAGACTTGTGCCTTATTCTATCGATAGGTTTTATTTCAAGGGATGAATGGATGACAAGCATGAAAGAATTAGAGTACGAAAAGAATTTTTTTATTTTATTTTACAAGTATTAATATGTGTGTATTCTATTCTAATTTAGAACAGATTCTATTGAAAAGTTACAAGCAAAAAGATCTGACTTTGAAAAAGTATTTCATGACCCTAAACAATTTAATGAAATGTATAAATATACATTCAATTATGCAAAGAATAAAGATCAAAAATGTATGGAAGTCGAGGTAAATGAAATTACTTTAAAACAAGAGGAAAATCTACTCTCCCCCTTTTTTTTTTCTCTTTGTAATTAAATGCCATTTTTATTTCAGATAGCCATCGTTTTATGGTCTATGTTATTAGGGAATCAATTTCCTATTGTACATGATTTTATTCTATTTTTGCAAGAAAAGAAACCTGTTAGAGTGATAAATAGAGATCAATGGCAAAGCTTTATAGACTTTGTTTCTAGTGACATTTCTAATTATGATGAATCATCAGCCTGTAAGGAAAAAAAAAAAGGACGTATATTCATTATTTTAACGACAAAATATGCTTTTATTCAGGGCCTGTTTTATTTGATGAATTTATGGAATGGAAAAGAGAACAATGAAACCTCCTATTTTATATTACAAAAATATAATAAAAACAAAGACATCAGTCTAAGTGTATTATTTCTCACTGTATTTAGTATAGGTTAAATGACAGTAGTTGAATAGATAATTTGAATGATAAAAGAGAGCTAAGGTTTTACTCTTTTCCAGGTGGTCAACAGATACAAGGATTATTATCCGGACAATTTTAGAGGGAAGAGAGAGTAAACTCATATTAATAAATATCAAGATTAAAGATTTTAGTGAATTTTTCAATACACCGAGCAAAGTTCAAATTCTTTAGACTTGTTAAAATAAAGAATATTCACTTTTCTATTCAGTTAATAAATAACTTACACGAGTGTTATTATTACTAGCAAGCAAGCAAGCATTGTATTATATATATATTATATATATATATATATTGTTTATTATTTTTATTATAATGAAATGAAAAGAAAAGAAAAAAAAATGCAAAATAATTCTCTTTTTTTTTTTTTTTTTTTTTTCCTAGAAAGAATGAAGAACAAATAATGGAATAAAAGATTTATATGATATGTTGTATATACATATACAGTAATAATAATAATAATAAAGGAAAATAAAAACAAGAACAGGAACAAATAATTAATGGTTTTCTTCCTTCTTTTCTAGAGTCAACTTATTAAAAGCTTCAATGTCTCCTTCACTTAAAAGTTCTTGTTCTCTGGTTTGAACTTGATTCTTTTTACGAAGAGCGGGGAACAAAAAGTCTTCTTCCTCTTCATCATCATTAAACATGTTATTCACTTCCATTCGAATACGAGGTGAAGCTGGTGCAGATAATGGCTTTGGAATCTTGACGGGTGTATCGCCCAAGAGTTCTTCATCATCGTCATCAATGAAGCTGTCGGGATATGCACGACGGAGAGCCAATTGGCGTGCTTTGATATATTCAAGACCCATGCGCTTCCAATCTAAAAGATCTGAAAGTCTTTCTGTACGGTTACGTTGATTAATACGTTGACGACGTGTCTTTTGTGCAAATTGATACATTTGATCACATAATTGTTGTAATGAGTCCTCGACTGATTTCATACGACGATCAGTAATATAGATACCATAGTCGTCACAATTCTCGATATTCTCTTCCATAAAGCAACCAAAGCCAGAAAGATTGGTAGTAATAGAAGGAACACCCATGACGGTACATTCGGCAGGTGTATAACCCCAAGGTTCATAGTAGGAAGGGAAGACACCCAGATGACAACCACGAACAAATTCTTCATAATCCATACCGAGCAAAGGATTGTTGGCGTTCAAGAATTCAGGATGGAAGACGACCTTGACGCGATCATCCGAGTTATTAAAGAGATTAAGACGACGTAATTGATTCAAGACAGGATCATTACCATCATCTACTATATTATGAGTCACGATAGGAGGAAGGGTAGTACGCTTGAGTGCAAAGACACGACGTTTCAAGAGAACCTTGTCTGCATCAGAAAGGAAGCTAGCAGGGTTGATATCTTCAAGACGTAGGGCATTTTCATAAATAGCTTTACCAACACGATCTTGAATTTCACTCACTGTTGTACGTAATTGACGTGTTACCGCTTGTCCCTTTAAGGCCTCTACGTTGAAAGAATGGGTGGCAGTAGGCATGATGATGAAAGCAACAACGGTCATCTTGGAACCAGAGGATTTCAAACGGGCATTCAAACCTTAGATAATTAAAGTGGAGTTAAATTATTATTAGTTTTTTTTTTTTTTTTTTTTCAGCCTCATAAATGACTCAACAATAACAAAATGTTACTTACGACCAAGAGATTCTACAAACATATCGACACCCTTATTACGATATTCATAACGACCAGCAGTGAATATATAAATGGTATTATCAAGATCAAAATCATAATGACCGTAAAAGTGACCACGAACAAAATCATTAATCTTTTCTTTAGCTAACGCATGAAGATTTTGGAATTCGTGCATAGCAGAAAACTTAACGACATTTAACCCATTAGGTAAGACGCCATCTAAAAATAAATAAGAATTATTAATTATATCAAAGCCAAAAATAGGATAACGCATCTATTTAATGATGATTACATACCAGGTTTTCTCTTTAACAAGTGCTCTGACTCATAAGCAGTAATGTGTGAGACAGTAGTAAAGACATCAGAACAATGAGCAGCAGCACGTTCAATACAGTAACGATGATAGATACCACGCTTACCAGCCTCTTCATCAACATCAAAGTTAGAAAGATTATTATAAAAGTCAACAGAGCCAGCACACAAATAACGACCTAAAAGGGTAGCATGAGTTGTAAAGATGGTACAAACGTCAAGATGACGCTTCTTGATTAAAGGAACAGCTACACCAGCTAGCCATTCATGGAAGTGGCAGATAATAGCTGGGTCTCCAGCTTTATTGTACTACAATTTTTTTTTTTCGAAGAAAGAAAAAAAAAAAGGGTTAGTTCTCCACACTCCGAAATAAAGCAGAAAAGTTGTATCATATTTTATTGCTCCGCACTTTCCTTCCTCCTCCCCCTTGCCCTCTTTTTTTTTTTTTGTTTTCTTTAAAAAAAATTTACCTTAGGTGCTAATTCACCAATAAACCAAGTGATCAAATAACCAAAAAGAATAGCATCATTTGTTTCAGTATCATTTGGTGGAGATGGAATACCGGCGGAACGCCAAAGATCACCCTTCCATTCATTCAATTTATCAAACACGCTAAGGGTATCAAATAAGAGAACATAAGGAGAACCTTCGACTAACCAACGACCATAAAGGTACTTGACACCATAACGAGACATAGAATCTAGAACTTCTTTCACCTTTTCATTAGAAGGCTCACAAGCTTCAACCTCCATAGGGGCAGATTTATAAGACAAGGGACCAATTAAAGTATATCTATCCCCATATTCACGAACAGTAACAGGCACCTTGGTCTTAATCACGGTATAAATACCACCAACTATTAAAATGAAATAAAAAAAAATAAAAAAGGCGTAAATAATTTGGTTTATTTTGAGATCTATTTTTTCTTTCTTTTCTTTTTTTTTTTTTTACTTCATATTGTTTACCTTTGTTAGCGACTTCCCAGGCGATTTCAAAAAGAAGAGGATTATAAACGTCTCTCTGAATAACTGCCATTTTATGTATGTAAAAGAAAGGAAAGAGGGGAAAAGTATTTTACAAAAGATGAGAGGGAAAAAAAAAGAGAGAGAAAAAAGAAGAGAAAAAAGAAAGAAAATAAAATCAAATAAAGCAGCCTCATTTTATATCTTTTTTTTATTTATACACTTTATTATCTCCATGGCGTGATAAGGATTGGAAGTTTTATTTTTTATTTTTTTTCCTGTACACTGTCTTTAAACCGGAGAATATGAAGAGATGATGAAGTTGGGGAGGAAAAATTACTTGATTTGGATTATTTTCTTTCTTTCCATTATTCTTTTTTAAAATAAGAGAGATTTCCCTTACTTAATTTCCAGCATTTTTTTTTTCAGTTAAACCCCATACCATCTTTGATATTCTTGTATTATTTTACATCATTATTTCTTCGGTCAACAACGAGAGATTTCTCCTTCTTATTTCTATAAACGGTAAGTTTAAATAATAGACCTGTCAAGTATGACATATGTTTACACATAATATACTTGCATACTTCTTTTAATAAAAAAGAAAACATTTAATGTGTTTTTGAAACTCACTATTCAAGATAAAAATCAAGGGTTTCCAAACATGGAAATCGTTTTTCTTAACTTTTATCTACATCTTTTTTTTTTTTTTTTTGCATTGATAAAGAAACAAAATAAAAGAAGGGGAAAATAAATAGCAACAGCACATTATTTTTAGAAATAAAATAAGCAGCAATTGTTTATGTTATTTATTTATTTTAGTTGTACCAAAATATATGATATACAAGAAGACAAAACATTTTCCTTTTCTTTCTTTCTTTCTTTTGTTTAACCTAAGAATCTACCAACGATATGAAGACCAAATACAGATGCAATAAAAGTTAAAGAAAGCACCAAAACAACCACAGGATCACTTAAAAAAATAAAAATGAAGTTTTTTTTTTTTCGTTAATTACTCATATTTGTTTGCTTAGTATTTACTTACACGCGAAGTCCTGGAGAATCGTCAGAATAGATACGCATCATGCTAGAAGTGCTGCCACCGGGAATACCACCACGCATAGCATTAGTTTGATTGCTACGAGAGGTAACACGTTTTCTAATAATGATTAAATCAGCAATAAAAGAAATTTATTAGCATTGGCATCTTTTATAATCCATTTTTTTTTGCCCCTCTTTAATTTCTATAACTCAAATTATTTGGTATTTTTTTTTCCATCTATTTCTCTCTCAATTATTCCCATTATTTAAAGAACAGGTATAATATCACATAAAAAGTAATCTACTTTGTTATTTTTTGTACATCATCTGAATTATACCCATTGAACAATCTCTTAGTCCATAAATAAGAATATTTACCTAATAGTACCCTTAGGAGTTGATGAATCGGCCTAAGAGAGCAAAATAATAAAAAAATTAGCTCATTTTGTTGTAATTTATTTGAAAAAAAAAAAAAATAACTTACCATTACTGTTGATGTAAAAGAAACTACCAATAAAAGATAACCCAAAGCGCGATGGCTTTCTTATTTTTTTTTAACAAAAAAAAAAAAAAAAGAAAATAAGATGTGTCACATTAAATTACTGCTGGAGAAATATGATTGGTGGCATACAAAAATGTTGATGTCATATCCAATCATAATCGTTCAACGTAATGAGTCACGTGACTTTTGTTACGACTTATATGATATTATTTCCCCCAAAATCAACAACCGGCCTTAGCTCAGTTGGTAGAGCGGAAGACTGTAGTTCACTGTCATCTTTAGGTCGCTAGTTCGAATCTGGCAGGCCGGATATCCTTTTTTGTTTTTCCCGATATTTGTAGTGTCTGTAGTTTCCATTCTACATCTTTTTTTTTTGTTTATTATATATAGAGAAGAATATATGTAATCCTTTCTCACTTTTGTTTTCAGGTGATTATACTGATGAATGGCCTTAAAGGTTGATTACATAACACATTAATGTTATGGTAATGATGTCCTGTAATATGAATTAAATAACTTGGCTCCTGCATTTTTTCCTTTTTAGTGCAGAAAAATAATATACTGGCAAGGAAGGATAGGATTACTTTGACTTTTGATATATTTATTTAATTGTGATAATTATTGATAAGGGCTTCTATTAACACGAAACAATAAAAAGAAAGTCTCTATTTTGACATTGCTAATATTTTATTAGATAATACATCATATAATATTATAAAGTAATAGTAACAAAATCTATGCTATACACTAGTATAGTAAATCAGGTAGCCTCCTTTTATATATAAAAATATATTTTTGTTTTTCATTTTATTTTACCTATAATGATTGCTGTATTTGTATCTTCATTGACGGAAACAAAAAATGAAACAGCAGTTATTAATATTCATATTCAGTTACTGCTGCATAAATTCATAATCCCTGCACTTATATTTATTTCTATTTTATTTTACGTTATTTATTATTGAAAATAATAATAATGTATCTTTGTAAATAAATAATAATCTATGTTTGTTCAATCCTTTATCTATTTTTGTTGTTGCAGATAAGAGTTAAAAATAGTAGTAATTATTATTCACTTTTAATTATTATACTCCTTTTTTTTTTCTCTGTCATACAGGATTTATGGGGACTATTATTTACTAAAATATCCAAATATATAATGCATTTTAAATCTTTAAATAATGGCTTACTTCTTCATCTAAAAGGGAATTAGTTAACTATATAAGCGAAAGAAGTAATATAGAATTTAATCATTTACTAATAGTTGGCAATTACTAATAAAGCATACATGTCGTAAATAAAACAATAGTTATACTAGTATTTTACTTATTAATAAAATAAACATGATTTTTTTTATTATTATTATGGAAATAGTGTACAAAACAAGTAATTTTAATTAACATAAAGGTACATTGACTGCTAAACCGCCTTGACTTGTTTCTTTATATTTGGACATCATATCTGCACCTGTTTGTCGCATCGTTTCAATAACTTGGTCAAGTGTGACACGATGATCACCTTCTCCATTTAAGGCTAACTGAGCAGCTGCAATAGCTTTAACAGCAGCTAACGCATTACGTTCAATACATGGCACTTGAACGAGACCAGCAATAGGATCACATGTCAAACCTAAATTGTGTTCCATACCTATTTCTGCTGCATTTTCTACTTGATCTACTGTACCACCCATTACAGCTGTAAAACCTGCAGCTGCCATAGAACATGCTACACCTACTTCACCTTGACAGCCAACCTCAGCGGCTAATTGATAAATAAATAAATAAATAAATAAATAAATACAAGGTTTATTCTTTTTCTTTTTTTTTTTTTTTCTTCTTCTTCCATACCTGAAATACTTGCACCACGCTTAAATAACATACCAATAGCAGCCGTTGTTAATAAGAATTCCATAACATCTTTTTCAGGATTTTCTGAAATGAATTCTAAATAATATTTAAGGACTGCAGGGATGGTACCAGCCGCACCATTCGTGGGTGCCGTCACCACACGACCACCGCAAGCATTCTCCTCATTCACGGCGATAGCATAAACGGAGAGGTAATCAAGGGCAGGTAACACAAACCTCTTTCTAGACTTCTTTGGCAAAAATGTTAAAGCAAGAGGATACTGGGTATTGTTCATGGTGGTAGTAGAAGAGGAATCTAGAATGGATGAGGAGGAGGAGGAGGAGGAGGAGGGGAATGAGTGATCTAAGCTCCTATTACTACTTGATGGTATATGTGAATGATTGTATCCACCAGGCTGACTTAAAGGTGAACCATATAAGCCCTTTAAAAGTTTACTATATAATCGAGGAGCACGTCGACGAACACGAAGACTACCAGGTAAATAATCATCAGGTGATGCCATCACTCCATTACGAATACTATCATCCATTGTATTCCAAATACGTAATAATTTCTCTTTAATCTCTTCAGGTGTACTCCATTTTAACTCATTCTCAAAGACAACTTGTGCAATCGTCATATTTTCACGTTTACAAACAGCGAGCAATTCCTCTGAATTTCGAAAGGGTAATGATACTACAGCAATATCTTGTTTACGACGTTCAGCGACAACATTATCATTTTCATTTGTTTGTTTATAGTAAACATTTTCACCATGATCAAGTTGTGTTTCAGCATTCACTACAAAACCACCCCCAATACTAAAGTATTCATTTGTGGCAATCATATTAGCATCTTTATCATAAGCACAAAAGCGGAGGCCATTCGGATGTTGAGGTAATGTTTTAAAATAGTTAAATATCATATGCTTATCATAATCAAATGTGATACGATGTGTACCATCCAAACGGATTGATTTATTTGATCGTATGTCGTTCACTCTCGATTTAATAGTTGTTGTCTCGACTCTATCAGGGCTTTCACCTTCAATACCCATTAAAATTGCTTCGGGTGTACCATGTCCCACACCTGTTAAAGCAAGGGATCCAAATAAATCTATAAACCAAAAAAAAAAAAAAAAAAAAAAACATTAGATTTTTTCCGTTCTTTTGTTATCGTTATTGCTGCATATGTGATATGTATTCCTCACGGAGGAGAAAGAGGGAGAAAAAAAAAGAAAAAAAAAATTGACTATAAATAGCTGATAAGCTATATAGATATAGATATAGATATATATGTATATATATATATATATATATATAGTCAAGGTATATTCACATAAGCAGTAATAAAAAACTGACAATATATACATTACCTACACGAAGGGTAGCTACTTTATCTAAAACCCTGTGTTTCTTTAAATCAGTGATAAAAATGTTGGCAGCACGCATGGGACCGACTGTATGTGAGGAAGAGGGCCCAACACCAATAGAGAATAAATCAAAAGTGGACACAACAGCATGATGATCATTTGTGTCTTCTGCTGCAGCAACATTATTATTTTCTTCTTCAACTGTGTTGGATGTGCTTGAGATGAAGCTTTTAAGTAATAGTTGTGATTGTGGTAGAGTACGAGTTAATAATGGATAACCATGACAACGAATTGGTGGTTGTCGAGCAACATTTTTACTTAGACAGGTTGTTAATCTTCTTAAAGAAAACATATTAATTTAAAATAAATAAATAAATAATTAGCTAACAAAAAAAAAAAAAGTATTATTGAAAATAAAGAGTAAAAAAAAGAAAGGTTTTCTTCTTTTCCTTTTTTTTATATGGATCAAATATACGATAAAAAAACAAAAAAAAAGTATTCCAAACAGTCACTTTACCCACGGTTTTATCCAATTAGAACTATTTATTTTATTAAGTTGACACTGTGATGATCCTTTACCAAGATTATTTTTTTATCCAAAATTTATATATATTTTATTCTTAACATGTGTTTTTACAATTTTTCTTTAATACGGTTCAAAGTCTTCTTCAAATCTTCTGCAGTAAACTTTTGTTGAGGCCAACCAATGATAAGACCTTGTTCAGGATTAGGCTTAGGGATAATATGGAAATGAACATGGAAAACCTCCTATTAAATAAAATAAAGTTTAATATTTATGCTGTTTTTTTTGGGGGGGATTATCATCTATTTCATGTTATAACCTGATGAGCCATGCGACCATTATTCTATTAAAAAAAACATGTATAGAACATTAGAAATAGTGTTGCTTTTTTTATTTTACTTCCAAGTTACCTGCAACAAATTGTATTGACCATTATCTAAACCAATAGCAAGTGCAACCTTTTTAGCTAAAGGCAACATATCAGCGAGAACATCATCAGGGAGTTGATGGAAAAACTCTGAATGATCTATTCACAAAGTTTGTAAAAATACATAAAATGGTCATACTTTTAGCTGAAGGACTTACATTTAGGAATAATAAGCTTTATCCAATAAATAAAAAATAAATAAATATTCTTCACTTTTTGTTATTGTTAGTACTATATCACTTACAGCATGTCCTTCACTTAAGGGATTAATGTCAAGGAAAGCATAGCTAAATAAAAGACATAAGTATTGAATAAGTCTTTTATTTCATTTTATATTTTTTCACCTCTTTTCAGTTTCTGCAATTTTGTTTGAAGGAATTTCACCCCTAATTTGATTGTTAGCAGTTTTTTTTTTTCTTTTTTAAAGAATCTACACATTGAATTATATATAACATTACTTGATGATTTTACAGAAAATACAATTGTCAGACAAATGTTCGTTAGCCATCTCGTAGAAAATAAGCAATAGAAAAAAAAAAAAAAAAAAAAAAAAAAAAAAAAAAAAAAAAAAAAAAAAAAAAAAAAAAAAAAAAAAAAAAAAAAAACGCGATAATTCTATGTTAATTTTTTTATACTCATTACACAAAATTACATATTTGTAATAATAAACATTGTTGAAACCAGATTATCATCGCTAATTCAATTATGAAGGCACATCAATGAAATGTTTAAACGACACAGTAGTCAGCTAGGATCATAAGTGAAAACCAAAAAAAAAAAAAAAGTTATAGACTAGTGCATCATGCTATCTCCTTTATAGTTAATACTACTAATATAAAACATTCCTTGTTGCTGTAGTCATCATTTAACAGTAGTTGCTGCGTTGTTTCATAATAATTGATAAAACAAGTATATTATATTTTATTTTATCTGATTCTTTATAATATTAATTGATCAGGCTATTAACAATATTCGGTAAATAAACATTTAATTGTATTTATTTATTATTCACTTACGGTAGAGATAGGACAGGGAACATAAAGTGATTGATAACTAATAGATGATACACTTATACCTGCAATTTTCATAGTTGAAATCAAGTCGTACTCAACATATAAATCTTCTTTTTTCAACTCATTTAATAAGCCGCATTTAGTAGCAATATCAGTCAATATAATAAATCCTTCATCTTTTAGTGGATCATAGTTTATTGAACAGGGAAAATTAAAGTAGACTGTCCCAAATGATTTTACGTGCAAGTCGAATATAAGACCTGCTCCTATTATTGATCTTTTAGAATCTATAGGGTAATAAACCTATAATATATAAATGAGTTACTTTTATAATTATAATAATACGCTTACAATAGCTCTAATGGATTCAAAAGTAATGCTTTCTAGATTATCATTGATGATACTCATATTAAGACCTAAATGAATATTAAATGCAAGAGAATGATTCGATTTTTCAAACTGAGAATAACCATTAGGACGCCTTATAGTCCCATTAAATTTGATTTGAGGTATTTTAAACATAGTTATTAATATACCAACTATGATGGACGCTATGATAATCAATAAGAATATGATATAACAACTATATCTTGTACATATTGGAAGAAAGGAACAGGTGACATAATATCTAAGAGGCTTTCTAGTAAATTTTTCTTTTTCAAAAAGATAAGTAGTTATAAAAAACTTGACTAAGATTAAAGTTTACCATTAAATAATGTCTTTCCGTTTTGATCTGTCTTTTGTGTTGATGGACTAGAACTATTATTAAATAAAACAGATAATGGCTGTTGTTTGTAATAAGATAGAGCTGAAGTAGGATTGATAGCTTGCAGCATTAAAGAAATGATGAAGGAAAAAAAAAAAAGAGAATATAAACAATGATCTTCAAGTTTAGGCTATTTAGCAAGAAAATCAGGGATAATAGGAGCAAAAAAAAAAAAAAAAAGTTTATTTCACTACCTACAAAAAGTATCATTTACTCTGACATTATTGCTAATACTAACAAATCCTTTTTTTTTTCCTTCTTTAGATCATCATAGGCAAGGCTTATTGACTGGTTATCAAGACAACTGTAGTTGAATTTTTTTTTATTTTTTTTTTTTTTTTTAGAAAAATTTTCTTGGAAACAACAAGCAAACCACGCCCTTCTTCTTCTTTTCTCTTTTCATATAAATAATTTATTGTAAATATATTATTCCCCCTTTTCTCTCTTTTTTTTTTTATATATTTATAACGTAAGCAATATCATTATTCTTCTATCTTTGCTTTTTCAAATTTATATGTCAAAAAGTGAATATATAAATTGAGCAAACTTGCTGGAAAACAAAAATATATACATATATTTATTATCTTTAACAAATGACTACTTTACAAGTATATGCTCATAGGTTAGGCGATCCTAATTTAGGTATACGCGCATTTTGACTCATTCTCTTTCTATCATTATATAAAGATCTTGAGAACTCATGTTCTTTTTATAGCCACCAATCTAAAGGTCACTATTGCTAATGAATTAAGAGATCAAGTAGAGGTTTTTCAAACAGCTGAATATCCTAAATTTCTTTCTACACTTATACCTGTATTTCTTGACATTTTACAAAATGAACAACCTGTATTTGTCAGTAATGCTCCCGAACAAGTAAGCAATGTGAATTGAATATACACATATATATAAGGATTCATTGAAACTTAAAAATAATTATTAGAAATTGAGAAACATTATATTAGAAATCATTTATCGATTACCTCAGACCGAAGCATTAAAAGAATATGTGCCCGAGTTATGCAGAGCATTAATGAAGATTTTACGCGTTGAAAATGAAGATAACGCTGTTGTGTGTGTAAAAATTATTATTGACTTGCATAGATCATTTCGACCCATGTTAGAAGATCAAGTTCAACCATTTCTAGATATTGTTCAAGAAATATTTCAAAATATGGAGCAGACAGTTAAAGATGCATTTGATGATCCTGATCAAATATCAACTGTAATATGAATTTGAGGATATTCGGTTTAAAGCTGTATTAACCCTATCTCTCTCTCTTTTTTTTTTTTTTATCATATACATATAGCCATTATCCGCAGTTTCTCCAAGACCAATGTCACCAGCAGCGGATACACCTGAAGTTCCAACAAAAGCATTACCAAAAAGCATGTTTAGTTTTAAAGTATTAACTGAATGCCCAATCATTGTCGTTTTACTTTTTCAATCTTATAGACGAGCTGCTGCTGATAATATTATGAAGTTTGTTCCACTTATTTTTCAGGTATAGTCGAAATGAATATAAAAGAGAAAATATAACACTATTTTATTTATTTGTTGAAAATCTTAAAAAAAAACAACAACGCATAATAGACTTTAAGCTTGCAGGCCAAACCTCAAATAGAAGCAGCTAATATAGCAAATGCAAAGGGAGAAGTTTTTATAGGTGTCAGTCCTGCTATTAAACAAAGAACTCTTTATAATGAATTTATTGTAGCTCAAGTAAAAACAATGTCATTTCTAGCTTATATCTTAAGAAGCTATACGACACTATTACGACCTTACCAACATCAAATTCCTGATTTTGTTTTACGATTATTAAGAGAATGTCCAGCTGAATCATCTGCAACTCGAAAAGAATTATTAGTAGCAACTCGCCATATTCTATCAACAGATTTTCGATTATCTTTTGTACCAAAAATCGATCTTCTATTAAATGAAAAAGTATTAATTGGAACAGGTGTCACTGCTCACGATACATTAAGGTAATAAGACTTATTACACTATTATTGCATATTATTAACTATCAGTTTTTTTTTTTTTTTTTTTTTTTTTTTTTTTTTTTTTTTGAAGACCTTTAGCTTATAGTATGCTTGCAGATCTTGTTCATCATATTAGGGCAGAATTAACACCAGCACAACTCTCACGAACAATTTATATTTATTCACGTAATTTACATGATGCGACATTAGCTCCCAGTATTCAAACAATGTGCGGAAAGTTGTTACTAAATTTAATTGATTGTATTATGAAAATCCCTGACAAATCAGAAGGAAGAGAACTGCTAATGCGTATATTGGAAGCATTTGCTAACAAATTTGAGGCCTTAAATATTCAATTTGATATATGTGTAAAACAATATAAAAAGAAGAAACAGTCTAATGATGAAAACTCGATCGATGCTTCAAGTAGCAACATATATTCAGATATCACAATAAATAAAAATGATATCAGCAACTTTGATTTTGATCGATCACGGTCTATTCACACAGCAACATTTACTCCTGAATCAGGTAATGATGGTATAAAAGACGGTAGATTCTTATTTAGAAATTTGGCTGTTGGTCTTAAACCATTATTTATTGGCCTTCGACATTGTAATCCACCACCATCGTTATCCCCACCACCTGTACAAGAAATGAATCCACAACTTTACGCCCAATTTGCTCGCGGCTTTTCCCAGGACGATGTACAATTATTTATTCGATTATTTAGAGAAGGATTAAAATGCTTTGAATATTATAATATTGATAATTATGGACCAGATGGATCTCCACCTAATTATCCCCCCTCTGAAGTAGAATTGACAAAAGATAATTGGACTATTGGATCAACAGAATCTTGTTTAAAACTTAATGTTCAACAAAATGGTGAAAAAGAAGTACTGGAAACTTTTCCTATTATTTTCACTTTATTGGATCCAGCTATCTTTCAAGAATTATTTGCATCACAAATTGGATTCTTTTATGAACGTATGCTTATCAATACTTCACTCCTTCATTTATCTCAGTATTTTTTAGTCAACGAAATTACGACTCAAGGTTTTGCTGGTATCTTATTCAAATTTTTAGTAGATAGGATTGAACAGTTGGGTGAAGGTAACCTTCACAACTCAGCTGTGATGCTGCATTTATTCCGTTTAGCATTTATGGCTGTCAACCTTTTCCCCGATGCAAATGAGAGTATTTTACAACCTTATTTGGCCAACATGGTTATGTCTTGCTTCAAATTAGCTGCAAAAGCAAAGGAGCCTGCAAACTATTTTTTGCTCCTAAGGGCTTTATTTAAAAGTATTGGTGGTGGACGATTTGAGTTGCTCTATAAAGAAGTTTCACCTCTGCTTGAAGTCATCCTTGAGAACCTGAATGCCCTTATCTCTCTTGCCCACAAAACAGATATGCGTAATTTATTTGTAGAGTTATGTTTAGCTGTTCCTGTGCGTCTAAGTACACTTTTACCTTATTTACCCTATCTAATGCGCCCATTGGTCATTGCCCTTCAAGCAGATCAAGATTTGGTTTCCCAAGGTTTACGTACAATGGAGCTATGTAATGATAATTTGAACCCTGAGTTCTTGGATCATATCATGGCTCCCGTCATGACTGAATTAATGGATGCCTTATGGAAACATTTGAAGCCTCTGCCATACAATCAACAACATAGTCATGCAGCAATGCGGATTTTAGGTAAATTAGGAGGTCGTAATCGTCGTATGCTCAAAAGTCCTCCTAAACTTGGCTTTAATGCACGTATCGAAAGTGGTGTTTCGCTTGAAGTCATATTTGATCCTAGTCCTACACCTCATACATTGCCATTAGATAAATGTTTAGAAATTGCTATTCATGCGCTTAAAACATCTGAAACTGATATTTTTTATAAGCGACATGCGTATAATTTCTTGAAAACACATTTAATTCTTATGCTGGAGTTAGATGAAGGTCCAGAGAATCTCGCTAGCTCATTATATAAAAGAATTAAATCTCAATTTATTAACCCTAGTGAAGATAACAGTAAAATCATACAAGAAGATGACTCTAATGATACCAAATCCAACAATGATAATGATGCCATGGACACTACAGATGATACAATAGCGGAAGTTCAAAAGTCAAAAAATGAGGCAGCAACAACTTTAATTGCACAAAATATAGGTCGCATTACTGTTGATGAAGAAAATTCAGTTGTAGGAAATACATTGACTGAATCAGGAATGAAACCAAAGAGACTTGCGGGAAATGGATATACAAAATATGTATCAAAAAGAGTAGCTCAAGAGGAAGCATTACATTCTATTTTAGTTTCTATTATGACCGCTTCTATTATTCCAGAACTAAGCGAGGATGCATGGACCTTTTTCCTCGATATTTGTTGTCATTTCACATTACTTCATATCGGTGAAGCCATTGAAGCTAAAGAAAAGGGACGCAAGCCTTTAGCGAGCATGATGGAAGAGCGTCTGATGGTACAACATTTGAATACAATGACTTTAGTTGAAGCCATTGTAGAAATTATGACATCTTCTCAAATACAACTTCGCAAACGTGGTGAAGAGGCTTTACGTAAATGTTATAATGTGGCTGTCAGCATTTTCGGATCAAAAGAATATGTAGCTCAGTTACCTATTTTCCGAGTATTTGCATCGCAATTCTCCGCATGTTGTTATAAATCTGAATGGTTTAAAAAGAGAGGTGGTTGTCTTGGTATCTCAATTATGAGCTCTCAATTAGATATGGGCACAAAATGGATGCGTGAACATGAACTTGATTTTATCCGATCGTTGCTATTTGTCTTGAAGGATGCATCGCCTGAAATGGCTAATGTAAATACAGAAGAAGCTAGACAAACGCTATCTCATGTTCTTAAGGTTTGCAATGGTCCTGAAGACGGTGAATCTACGGATGCACAACAAAAATTCCAAAATCTTATCACGTTATTACTTGGTGAATTATCTAATTCAAATAGTGTAGTTCGAGAGACAATTCAGTCATCGTTTCAGTTACTTGCGGATTTAACAGGAAATGAAGTGACAGAGCTTCTAGCCCCTGTCCGTGAACGACTTGTAGCACCAATATTTGCAAAACCTTTACGAGCTTTACCATTTGCCATGCAAATTGGTCATATCGATGCTATAACTTATTGTTTGACATTACGACCACCCTTTTTAGAATTCAATGATGAGCTAACCCGCTTATTACACGAAGCGCTTGCTTTAGCAGACGCTGAAGATCAAGCTTTAGCAAGTCGTAATTCTCAATATAAAAACACAACATCTTTAATGAACTTGCGTATTGTCTGTATCAAGCTTTTATCTGCTGCGCTTGCATGTTCTGATTTTTCCAGTCCACGACAAATTCATACTCGCGCACGTATTATTCAAGTATTTTTCAAATCACTGTATTCTAAATCGATTGAAGTTGTTGAAGCTGCTCATCGTGGATTGAAACAGGTTTTGGCTCAACCCCACAAATTACCAAAGGAATTACTTCAGCAAGGTCTTCGTCCTATTCTCACTACATTATCTAATCATAAAACACTTAGTGTTGCTGGTCTAGAAGGATTAGCACGACTGTTAGAGCTTTTGACTCATTATTTCAAAGTCGAGATTGGTAAAAAATTACTAGATCATCTGAAGTTATGGGCTGAGCCTGCTACATTACAAGAGATTGCAGGAAAGCCCCTGAGTGAAAACCATGAAATCAAGATTATTGTTGCTATCCTGAATATTTTCTATCTACTTCCTGCAGCCGCTCATATTTTCTTGGATGAATTGGTCACATCTGTGTTAGAAATGGAGAGCCATTTGCGACGTGCTATCTCTAGTCCATTCAGACCCAACTTGCTTAAATATTTAAACCGATATCCTACAGAAACCATCACATATTTTTATGAAAGGCTAGATAATCCCCAATGCTGTCAACTGTTTATTGATCTTTTAAATATGGAGAGTGCAGGTCGATTACGTGATCAAGTTGCTAATACTTCTGAGGGACTTGTTAATAAAATTTTTAAGGCATCAGAATTAGCAGATCAACCTTTAAACACTCCTATTCATATTCACCATTACCGTGGTATCATGATTGTACACGCCTTATTTAAATACAACCCAGCTTATCTTAATCAGCATCCAGAGGTATTGGAATGCTTAATCAAGCTATGGCGTAAACGACAAGAGGTACCAGATAGTCCACAGCAATGCGAAGAGCAACAACGTAGTTTATTAATTACTCGTGAATTGATCTTATTAGCCAAGATATTTGTTGACTACTTGAAAAAAAACCCTGAAGAGATTGATATTATTTTCGATTTAATTGCCCTCTTTTCACAAAAGTCTGTTGTTGATCTTACGTTCTTGCATAGATTCTTTTTAGAAGACATTGCACTAAAAGCACCAGCAAAATTAAAACGCATGATTTTTGAAAAGTTTTTGGATATCTTTTCAAATAATTCTATTACGTCCTATTTTAAAATGATGGCGTTAAGACAAGTTATTAATCCTGCAATATTAGTTGCACTTGTTAGAAAAGATGATGGATATCATGAAATTCTGGACACTAATATAATGGAGCAATTAGATGAAAAGGTCTGGGCTAATTTGATGATGGAGACATCTGAAGATAATCAATATACTGAAGACTCATTCCGTATTGAGCTTTTACAATTAACTGCCATGATTGTTCAATATGCTCCACATTTGCTTGCTGATCGTAGAAAGGAGGTCATCAAGTTTGGATGGAATTATTTACGACTTGAGGATGCAACTAGCAAACAAGCAGCCTATGTTTTAATTTCTCATTTCATTGCTGCTTATGATACTCCTAGTAAGATAGCCATTCAAATTTATGCCGCCTTACTTCGTGCTCATTCATCAGAGGCCCGTTTACTTGTTAAACAAGGCTTAGATATTCTTGCTCCAGTGTTACCTCTTCGTATTACTTCACAGACTAATGAACGTGTTCCCACTTGGGTAAGGTTGACAAGAAAGGTAGTCGTGGAAGATACACATAGTATTTCACAGATGGTTAATGTATGTCAGATGCTAATCCGACACTCTGAACTTTTCTTTGAATACCGTGAGCACTTCCTCCCTCAAATTGTTAATACGCTCCCTAAACTTGGTCTTTTACAAAATGCTACCCCTGAACACAAACTACTAACGGTAGAGTTGGCTGAATTAATCATTAAATGGGAAAGAAAACGTTTAGAGATTCAGAATGAAGAAGAATTAGAGAACACTCCTAATTCACCGTATAAACGTAAAATGGAAGACGTACAGCCCATGGAAATTGAAGAAAACGAAATAGAAGAAAGTCCAAGTAAAAAAACTCAAGTGCAGACGAGCTCAGGCGAAGTAAAAGCTATGGCCTCATCTTTTGCTTCTTCTCCTTCTTCTTTATCCAATAATGAAGCCAAGTCTTTTCCAAATAAAGAATACTCTCCCAGCCTCACTTTACGAGAAAACGTAGTAGGTTACCTTATCCGTCTCTCTTGTATGATTTATAACCCAGCTGATTTAATACATAAACGTCTTATTCAAAGAACAATTGAACTTGTCAAATCATTCTTAAAACCTGATCTTTGGTCTGATGTTCATGTGCGTTTTAACCATTTAGAGCGTTCACTTATCTTCAAAGAGGTAAATGAGATGATCACCACAAGTGTTTGTAGTGCATTAGAGATTCTGAATGCATATATGACGTATCGTGATACAGATTGGTTTATACAAAACATGAATCAGCTTTATCGTCTTCTTGAATCAAGTATTAAATCAGAAAGCTCACGTATTCAAACTGCACTCTATCCTGTGTTATCACATGTTATTGGTGCTGTTAATAAACATAAAGCTACTTTGTCTGCATCTATGGAGACACATACTACTTCCAATGTAAATCCTTCTCACGATGATGCTTCTGGTTCCCCCACAAACACTGATACTCCCATGGATATAAAGCCATCCACAACTACGACACCTGTCTTACCTAACGCATCTGCTGCTACATCACCCGTTGATACCACTACAGCCATGGAAGTAGATACTACAGTTAAAGCAGAACAAAGTAGCCATACTACTGAATTACTTAGTGATATGTCATCATCTCAACAACCAATTCATACTGAACAACCTCCTGAAGTAACCGCTATTATGTCATTGATTGAAAGCACTATTAATGAAGGATTATCTAGCATGACTAATATCTATAGTGTACTTAAACTATTACAGGCTGCTAGTGATAATGACAGTGCCTATTTAGATCGCTATGTTCCAGATATTGTTAAATTGCTTCAACTCCTGACCAAAGAGCATACTTTACCTTCCCTCTCAACACCCAGTATGTCTTATGAATCCCAAGTAAGTCTCTTAGGACTCACTCTTTCGTTGCTCAAGAAACGAAGCGCTCATTTAGGAGACCAACGCCGATGGTTCTTAACTTGCTTAATCCAATTAATTGAGAAATCGCCTGATATTCCACTTTTGCACGACATTTTAGGCATGTTAAGCGATTGGGTTCTCAACAAAGTAGAGCCTACTCCAACTATAAAAGAAAAAGCCGGTCTACTAGGAAAAATGATTACGATTGAAACAAGACATGATGCTAAATTGACAGAGGATTTTCTGAAACTTGTACTTGAGATTTACAGTAATTCATCATTTACTCACTCGGAATTAACTGTACGTTTGGAGCAGGCATTTTTATTGGGTGCTCGAAATGAAAAGCCCGAAATACGTACCTCCTTCATGAAGATTTTAAACGAGAGTATTGGTAATTCTTTGTTTACTCGTCTCAATTATATTTTGGGTGTGCAAAACTGGGAATCTTTGGCTAATTTCTTTTGGATACATCAAGCTTTGGATGTTTTGATTGGCTCTGTAAAGATTGATACACAGGTATCTGCTCCTTATACTTTGAAAGTTAAACCCATTAGTATTTTTAATACACATTTGGATGATGATGCTGATAATGATATCGATGTACCGAGCAATATAGCACAGGTCGTACACAGTCATAGGAACTTTTTAAAGAGTCTGCAAGATATATCCATTCAAGATTCATTGGCTGATATTAGACAGTTACAATATTTAGATGACAATGTAGCATTTAAACTTTGGATTGACTTGTTTCCTATTTGCTGGTCTGCTCTTTCAAGTATTGAACGTCATGACATATCCAAAGTGTTAATTACCTTACTTTCCAAAGATTATCATTCAAAACAGTCTGAATGTAGACCTAATGTGGTACAAGCCTTATTGACAGGTATCTCAGATACAGTGACTCCAGTTCCTATTCCTGTTCACTTAATAAAGTATTTGGGAAAAACTTATAACTGCTGGCATACAGCAATTGAAGTGTTACAGAGACAAGCTGTAACAGGTCGATTAATAGACGTTTCAAAAGAAGAACAAGTTAACCAACAACGTGTTTTAGATTCACTGGGAGAATTATACAATACCCTCAATGAAGATGATATGTTTTATGGATTATGGCGTCGTCGTAGCGTCTATTCTGAAACCAATATGACTGTATCTTGTGAACAGAGCGGTATGTGGCAACAAGCACAACAAATGTATGAAAATATTCAACTGAAAACTCGTGGGAATATCCTGCCTAACGCTGAATCTGAAAATATGCTTTGGGAGGACCATTGGATTTTATGTACTCAAAAACTACAACAATGGGATGTTTTATCTGACTTGGCCAAACATGATAACAATTCTAGTTTGTCACTTGAATGTGCTTGGCGATTATCTGATTGGACTGCAGAGCGTGAATCACTTGAACAATCATTACAACAAATTTCAGATCTTCCTATTCCACGTCAAAAGGTATTTGAAGGGTTTTTAGCATTGATCAAGTCCCAAACGAATGAAGACAAGTTACCCGAATTTATGCGTATTTGTGAAGAAGGTGTGCAATTGGCTCTGCGTAAATGGCATTCATTACCCGTTGTAGTGACTCAAAGTCATTTACCATTATTGCAGACGTTCCAGCAATATTTAGAGCTTTCAGAAGCAAGCCAAATCTTTAGTAGTTTATCAAATACGGATGCCCAAAATCTAGATCAACGATCAGCGGAACTTCGTAGTATTTTAGGTACTTGGCGTGAACGTTTACCTAATATGTGGGATGATATTAATGTTTGGAGTGATCTTGTTGCCTGGCGTCAACATATATTCAGTGCTATCAACCGTACATACTTGCCATTAATCCCTTTGCTTCAATCGGCATCAGGACAAAGTAATAATAGTAGTGGTCATTCATATGCTTATCGTGGATATCATGAGACAGCTTGGATTATTAACCGATTTGCTCATGTTGCTCGTAAACATCAGCTTTATGATGTATGTATTAACCATTTGACCAAGATTTATACACTTCCCAATATTGAAATTCAGGAAGCATTCTTGAAATTACGTGAACAAGCAAAGTGCTATTATCAGAATTCAAATGAGCTTACTGCTGGATTGGATGTGATTAACAATACTAATTTAATGTATTTCACCCACCAACAAAAGGCTGAATTCTTTACACTTAAAGGTATGTTTTTAGCCAAGTTGCAACACTATAATGAAGCGAATGAAGCCTTTGTAAATGCTGTTCAAATCGATATGACTTTACCTCGTGCATGGGCAGAATGGGGACGATATAATGATCGTCGCTTTAAAGAAAATCCTAAGGATCTTTCATGGGCAAACAGCGCAGTTAGTTGTTATTTACAAGCCTCTGGACTTTACAAGAGTGCTAAGGCACGTAAGCATCTACTACGTATATTATGGTTATTAAGTTTAGATGATCAAAGCGGTATTATTTCTCGTGCTGTTGAAAACTATAAAGGTGAATGGCCTGTCTGGTATTGGATTACATTTATTCCCCAATTGTTAGCAGCTATTCAGCATCGTGAGGGCAGACATGCTCGTGCTATTCTGATTCGTATTGCTAAACAGTTTCCTCAAGCTCTTCATTTTCAATTAAGAACTGCTAAAGAAGATATGATGAAGCGTGCAAGTGTTTTACAAGCAAGCTTAGCTGCTGAAGCTGCTCAACAGCAACAACGTCAGAATAATGCTGCATCTGCCTCTAATGCTGTTACAAGTACCAACACTACTACTACAAACGGATCACAGACATCATCATCAGCCCCTACTGCTGTTAAAACTGAGAATGTAACGGCAAAAGAAAATGCTGTAGAAAGTATGGATGTAGATAATAGTACGACAGAGATTAAATCCGAAGAAAAGAAAGATAATACAACAAATGAAAAGTCAGAGTCAACAGGAGAATTAAATAATAATATACAAGGAGAGGCCGAAAAAGTAAGTGTAAAAGTAGAGGACTCTAACAAAAATTCCGTAACACAACAGCAACAACAAAATGAAACATCTTCTTCTTCTTCTTCTGTTCAAACTTCACAGGCTACTCATATTAACCCACAATCAGCAGTTTCTCAACAGCAGCCTTCCGTTGCAAATTCATCAAATACAACTATGGGTACTACTCCAGCTCCACATATTACAATTCCTGGTGCAAGAGGACCATTACCTACTCAAATTAATCCAGCTATTGCAGCAGCTAGTCCATTTGATGAAATTATGTCCATGTTGAAAACTGGATATCCTTTATTAGCATTGACTATGGAAACTATGGTTGATCAAATTCAGTTGAAATTTAAGCCTCAACCAGATGAAGATATGTATCGATTAGTAGTTGCTTTATATAATGAGGCCATACAGGTAACATGTTTTATACTTTATAATATATATAATTTGCTAATATTTGTTTTATATATATATATAGCAATTGTTATCCCGATTAATAAATCCTAATGATACTTTACAGTTGACGCATACAACTGTAGCCAATATTCATCGATTTGCCGAAAGCCTTTATCCTGGACTTTTGAAGACAGCATTTGTAAATGATTTTGCAAAAAACAGATTAAATTTAGAAGAATATGTAGCAAAATTGAGAGTTTGGCGTGATAAATTTGAAGCTATGTTGGATGCTAGACCTCGTAAACAAAAATTGGAAGCAGTTAGTCATTATCTTGTCGAGTTTCAACATCAGAAGTTTGACGATATTGAAATCCCTGGGCAATATTTAATGGTAAATTAAAAATAGGAATAAGCTTGACCTTAATATTAGTAATCTAATTCTCCCTCTCTTTTATATATACAGCTCAAAGATAATGCAAATGACTTTTTACGTATTGATCGTTTCTTACCAGAGGTTGAAGTCATTCGAAGCTATGGTAATTGTTACCGTCGTTTAATTATTCGAGGAAATAATGGTACATTACATCCTTTTATTATTCAAAACCCTGTGGCCCGCCAGTTCCGTCGTGAAGAACGTTTAATGCAACTTTTCCGTATGTTAAATTATATTCTTGAACGTCGCAAAGAGAGTCGTGTACGTAACTTGGCTTTCCATCTACCTGCCATTATACCTCTTGCGCCAAACGTAAGAATGGTGCAAGATGATCCATCGTATACTTCTTTATACGACATTTATGAAGATCATTGTGATAGTATTCATATGCATAAGGATGATCCACTAGTTTACTTTGTAGAGAAATTCAAGAGTAATAATAATCCTCAAGGAGATGTAAGTTCATATATAAGGAAATAATAACAATAATAATACTTAAATGTAATATTTTAGGTGGTAAATCAAAAGACAGAGTTGCTTAATTTACGTATGGAAATCAATGATTATATCTCGACAAATATGGTGCCATCTAATATATTAAGCAAAGTAAGATATATAATGTGAATTTATAAGAGTATATATTTATCTGACTAACTAACTAACTATCTATCTATATATAAATAGTATTTATTCAAGACCATGAGCTCATACACAGACTATTGGATGCTACGTAAGCGCTTCACTGCACAATATGCCACTGCAACCTTTATGGTTTATATCTTTAGTGTTGGACATCGTATGCCTCATAAAATCATGATTTCCCGAAATACAGGAGATGTTTGGATGACAGAAATATTACCAGGTAATTTCCCCTCTCCCTCCCCCCTTTTTTCTTTAACACAAAACTGACTTATTTCTTTTAATTAGGTTGGAATCCAGCAAATCCCTTATTTGGTAATGGTGAAGCAGTTCCTTTCCGTTTTACTCCTAATATCCAAGAATTCATTACGCCTATTGGTATTGAAGGTTTATTTACGTCCTGTTTAATGGCTACGGCCCGTTGCTTGACAGAACCTGAATTCCAATTAGATCAATATTTATGCTTATTCGTACGTGATGAACTTGCTACCTGGCACTTGGCTAATCATCGCTCTGTCAATGATACACAATTCCGAGAAAGAATTAATACCAATATTCTTCAAGTACAAACAAAAGCTCAGTTTTTATCTTGTAAGGCAGATTGTGAAAAGACATTAAGCGCAGGAAAACCCATCAATCAAAATGTGATTGATTTAATATCTCAAGCTAGTAACCCTCAAAAGATGGCTCAAATGGACTGTACTTGGATGCCATGGTTATAAAGCTATTCTAATTTATAGATAAACACACACACACACACCATTGTATATATACATAACAAAAAAAAAAAAAAGGAAATGAAAAAGAAAAGGGGTCTTTTTTATTTTATTTTTATATTCTTTTTTTTTAAATAAATACTAATAATCATGTTTTAAAGAGGAAAATGTTCATAATATATTACGTACAGAGAGAGAAGGATGCAAAAAAATGATGACATTGAGTACTAAGGCTTTATATGTAAATGTCTTATTAGTTAATATTAGCGTTTTGATTAATATAATTATTGTTCGTAGTAGTGCTTAAGAGACCACTACCCAAGAGACCCGTAAGCTTTTTTTTTTTTAAAAAAAAGAAAGAAGGATGAGTTATATAGAATGTTCATAATATATACTTTTGAAAAATATATACTTACAAGTCCACTGTTACCATGACGACCATTTCCAACAGCACCGACGGATTGAACAATTTCCTTATTTGCGTTTTTACTATTATCTTCATGATTACTATTTACACAAGGAGCAGCAGAAACCAAAGTAATGGCAGCGAGTAAAGCAACGATGGTAAAGAACTTCATAGTAAAGAATATATGTATAGATTTATAAGAAAAATAAAATAAATAAATAGGTATGTGAATTCTATAATATTAAATTAAAATGACTTGGACTTTTTTTTTTTTTGACAGGTATTTATAATAATTTCTTTCTTGCTTTAACTTTTCTTTCTCCTTATTATAATTTGATTATTCGTTTAAAGGAGTTGTCTTTTCCCCTCTCTTTCTCTCTCTCTCTCTCTTTTTTTTTTTTTTTTTTTATTATTATTATTTTTGAAAAAATTCATAACTGTTTAGTGGACATGAGGTTAAATTAAAAGGAGGTAAAAAAAAAAAAAAAAAAAAAAAAAGAGGAGAACGTGAATGATATTAATTATACATTTTTATACAATAAAAATATGTCAAAACTACTTTGGGCTATAAAAGAAAAAATACATACTCCCTATATTCATGGGCAATTTGTACAACCTTTCAAAGAACATCAACAACAAAGACTAAAAAAGTTAATTAACCCTGCCAATAAATCACCATTTGCTACTGTTCAAGAAGCATCGATGGATCAAGTTAACGATGCTTTAATGAGTGCAAAAGAAGCTAGTAGTGTCAATAGCGAATGGCAGAGTAATCCTAAATTACGTCGAGATTGTTTATTTGCATTAGCTAATGAACTTGAAAAGTATGATCATGACATGGCACAAGTTGAATCCTTACAGACAGGCAAACCTCTTAATGATTCACTCTATGAGGTTAGAGATGTTATCGATTGTCTTCGTTATTTCGCAGGATATTGTGATAAAATATATGGACAATCTCAACAACTAGGATATACACATCTATTTACGATTCGAGAACCTTTCGGGATAGTTTCATTAATTACCTCCTTTAATTATCCCCTCCTGCTAACGAGCTGGAAGTTAGCGCCTGCATTAGCTTCAGGAAATTGTGCTATATTAAAACCAGCACCTCAAACACCCCTGTCTTCTTTAATGTTAGCTCATTTGGCCACAGATTTGTTACCGCCTGGTGTCTTTAACGTATTACCCGGTAGTGCAGATGTAAGTCAGTATTTGATAGATAAAACAGACAAGACAAGTTTCACCGGTTCCACTCGAGTAGGCCAAGATATCATGCGTCGTACAGCCGATTATTTAATGCCCTTAACATTAGAATGTGGTGGAAAGAATGCGGTTATCGTCTGTGAAGATGCTGATATGACAAAAGCTGTACAACATATCGCTATGGGAGCATTTTCTAATGCAGGACAAAATTGTTGTGCTATTTCACGAGTTTTAGTTGAACATAGCATCTATGATAGATTCCTTCATGAGCTTAAAGAGAACATTCAAAACTCCTGGAAAGCGACATTAGATGTCAAAAAGGGAGAAGAAGATAAATATAATTTATATGGTCCCCTAATCGATGAACAACAGTATACAAATGTCTTGAATAGTATTCAAAGCTATTTATCATCCCCTTTTATAGTAGGTGAAATCAAGTCAAAGACAGTGACTAGTGGTTATTTCATTCCACCTACCATTTATGCTCATGTTCCCGATAATACCCCTATAGCAGTTGAAGAAATCTTTGGTCCAGTCTTGTGTATTTTAAAGCCCTTTTATAGTTTAAATGAAGCAATCGCAAGGGTGAATCAGTCACGTTATGGACTTGCCTCAGCTATCTTTTCTAAAGATATAAAAAAGGTACATAAAGCCATATCTGGTATTAAAGCAGGTTATGTGTGGGCAAATACATATAATATTATGCCACCATCATTACCATTTGGTGGTAGAAAGTTATCAGGAATAGGTAAAGACTTGGGACTCTCTGCCTTGAACGAATTTTCATTTGAAAAGAGTGTAATGATGGACTTTTCTTAATATTTAAATTTAACTCCTTTATTTGTTATTAAAAATAGAATCTAATAATAATAAAAAGGCTTATTGTCTATTTCTTTCTGGTAATTTCTTTCGGATTTAAAAATATGCCTTTAAGCTTTAATTTAATTTCCTAATTAGGATAACTCGTATACTGACTTCCACTATTTGTTTCTGAGTAACAATTATAGTCATTTATATTCTTGTTTATTAGATTAGATAAAAAAGTATCCTAGAAAAAAAAAAAAAAAGAAGGATGGAAGATAAAAAAGCAGTGAAGAAATAAAGAATATTTAACTTGCTCTATTTTAGTAGTTTAACATTATTCATCAGTTTATCAAAGCGAATAAATATGAATATACGGGAACTGAGTCCTAAAAGTTGAGATACGATTTATGCAACTAATTTGACAACATTATTATCCCAATTATCCTTTATATAATATAATAGTAGTCACTTCATTATGAACAAATATTTGTAGTAAATATATTATACACAAATTTGTAAATCATCAATATATTATTTAAACGAGCCCTGAAGAGACATAGCCATTGATTAATATGTGCTGATTCATCATTGGCTATGTATTTAACACATACACACACACACACCCCTTTCATTACCCCTCTCCCCCCAATAAAATATGAATAATTGGCTTACATTTTTTACGCGTTTTTTTTTTTGAAAGATAGTCACGTGTACTCTCTCACTCTTTTTTTTTTCTTTTTTTTTTTTGGGTTAAAGGTTATTAGATAAAATTTGCTTGATTTTAATTTTCTATGCTTTTCTTTTTTTTTCCCTTTTATTATTAAAAAAAAAAATGAATTTTGAAGATATTGTAGATATGGAATGGGTAGATAGTCATACTACTACTGAAGAGTATAGTTTTGGTCATCAAAATGGCTTTTTATTAGACACATCTATTACACCAACACAAATAATAGGACCTGAAATAAAGATGGAACCGATTACATCTATACCTACAACAGAACAGATTAAACAACTTATTGAAATTGCAAAAAAACAATTAGCTTTAAGAGAACAATTACAACAATTACAACAACAATCAATACAAATTTCTCATCAACCTTTATTTCATGCTTTAACAAATACTCAAGTAGAAGTGCAAACTGCTGCGCCATCAACTATCTTTGCCCCTCCTCCTCCTATTCCTCCTCCTTCTTCTTCCACTACTACCACTACTGCTGCTAATATGACCACTAACACTAACACTACTATCACTACTACGCCTAACTCTAATTCTGATTCTAATCTAACAACAACAACTTCTGTAACTTCCCCAAGTTTTATTACATCTACAGATATGACTTTAACACCAATTAAACTTGAAACTATTTCGGAAGAAACAGCAATCAACAAAGAAAAGAAAATAAATAATAATAATAATAATAGAAAGGAATCATTTGCTTCAATGTCAGAAGAATCAATATCTTTAGAGGCTTATGCAGAAGCAGATGGTATTGATCTTAAGAAATTAACACCAAAAGAACGTCGTCAGTTACGAAATAAAATATCAGCAAGAAACTTTAGAGTACGAAGAAAAGGTATTTATTACATTCATTGTATTACAAGAAAATGAAATGTCTAATTTTATTTTAAAAATAGAATATATTTCTACTTTAGAAGGACAAGTCAATGAACATAAAATACAAGCAGAAGCATTAAAAGAGAAATTAACAAAAGTAGAAGATGAAAATAAAAAACTACGTAAAGAAATGGATTATTTAAAAAAACAAAACCAAATCCTTCAACAACAATTACAACAACAACAATCAATTGAACAACAACAATCAAAAAATCCTGTATCATCAACATCATCATCTTCTTCGCCACGTATTTCATCTCCTTTACCAAAGCCTAATTTAAATAAAGATATTAGCATTTTAGGCACAAAAGCAACTGAATCATATCGACAACAAGACAATTGTATTCTTGTATCAAATGCAGTTATGCCTGTTTGGGACTACAACGCCATCCTTAATAAGCCACTTGTACCAGATTATATCCAACAGATTGTAGCCCAATTCTTATTATCTATGATACAATTAACAACAAAGACAACTATGTCTTGTGAAACAACATGCATTCAACAAGAAAATGAATATAAACTACCCTTAATGCCTGATGAACGAGATTTTGGCTCACCAAAAGAAAAAAAGAGTTCGCCTGATATGGAAGATTTATACGATGTTTTGATAGAATCTTCCTTGATTAATAGTAATTCTGTATCTGATAAATTATTTTTATGGTGGGATAATAAAACTATGTAATTATTATTTGTTTATTTTACAAAATAAATACATCATTTTTTTTTTTTTTTTTTTTATAAATATTTGTGTAACTATTTTTATTATACGACATAATTAAATTACACTAAATCAAAATTGATGATATTTATTAAATCGTAATTTCTTTAAACATTGAATTCTTATGACACAAATGAGTGGGGACAGATAAGTCCTTTTTTTTTTTCTTTTAACGACATGATATTTGCATTCTCCAAGATAATATTACCAGACGATTTTTTAAAGTCTATGCATATTAAAAGAAAAAGAGACTTGGTGTGATCCCTTCTTCTTTGATATTGTTTAGGGGTGACAATTAACTCTGATTACTTTTTCATATAATAATATATGCATATATTATAGTTATTTTATGACCATATTGTGACAGTCGTGATCGTTACGCGGAGAGGGTGGAATGTAGACAGAAGTAGGTGTTTCTAGTTAGTTTAGAGGTGCTTAAACTCCTTCCTTAGAGTTCGTTTTCAGTCATGTCATCGCAGTTCTTTGATATCATTTACAAACATTTCTTCTAATGTAACAAAATACCAAGATTATTGTTTCAATTGTGTAATATTAGAGTATTTATATTTTCTGAGAATGATGATAGGGATATAAAATAGAATAAATGAATTTTAATAATAGATTATGACTTGCTACTAGTTTTATAGACATTATTGATCATTAGGATTCCAGAAGAAATACTTTCCTTTGTAATCTCGGGACTGTGGTGTTAAATAAGATCGTATCTGTACTCTTTATTCATACTCATAGCACTTAATTGAGTGTATTATTGTAACTGCTACCTATAAGACCAACTCTTGCAAAAAAAAAAAAAAAAAAAAAAAAAAAAAATCTTGCTTAAGTTTGTTATTAATAGGATTGTGTATGGTAGAGGGGGGAATCACCGTCAATTAAGTACCATGCTCATTTACTAGATGTTAGATATCCAAAGAGAAAGAAGGGGATTATTTATAAGTCTTTCGCTAGTTGAGTAATATTGTCTAGAACTCTTCTAGCAATGATAACCTGCCTAGTGTCTTTGTCGCCGATAGCAACCAGACTTTCTATCATTGTTTGAACATAGTTTTCTTCGTGTTTAAGATTTTATTATATTTCACACATATCATACGTAGTATCATCCTTTTTGTGTATGTATACACATATATATGTATATGTGTGTGTGTGTTATATCACAGAAATTAGTCTCCTTTATATGCAAAAGCAAGAACAAAAATAGAAAAATAATGGCTTTAATGACGTACCTGAATCAATTATTGCACGCTGAATTTCTCTTTTATATATGTGTATGTATATGCGTTATCACATACCAGGAAAAGTAACTAATGGGATAACGAATATTCAATGAAAATAGTGACTTTACTACCAACTTTGGCTAAAATATTATATTTACTTGTCTTTGTGAAAAAAAATAAAAAGAAGGTTCAGTTGAGAGTAGATGCATTGTACCTTTATAAACCTCCTTTTTATTATTATTACTATGTCTCCTTTTTTTTTCCTTTTTCTTTATTCATTTAATCGAGAATATATCAAGTTTATTAAAATTTTGACTTTAATAAAGGTGGAGCATTGGAAGGAATTAGATGATTACTTTTCAAAATACTATAAATTTCAAATAAAACACTTTCATCTTCAATTGTAGCAGGCATATTGACTTGTTTACCATCGACCATTTCTCGAATGCTTTTACGTAATACTTTACCACTTCTTGTTTTAGGTAATCTCGGTATGACAATTGATTTTTCATAACAAGCAATAGCACCTAAATCGCGACGAATAGCTTGTATTAATTCTTGATAAAGTATTTCATTATTAAAAGTTGTGTCAACATGTTTTAATACGAGTAAGCCAAACGGGATATGACCCTTAAGTTTATCAGGTAAAGGGATAACACAGCATTCTGCAACTAATGGATGAGCGATAAGAATTTCTTCAATTGAACCTGTAGAGAGTCGATGGCCTGCAACATTAATGATATCATCTGTTCTGGACATAACATGAACAAATCCTTCTTCATCTATCATGCCTGCATCTCCCGTATCATAATATCCTGGGTATTTTTCAAAATAACTTGATTTATAACCTTTTTCGTTTTTCCATAAACAAGGAAATGCTGCAGGCGGTAAAGGTAATTTTAATACAATATTACCAAATACATTGGGTGTCTTGGCTTCCTCTAAGCTATCTTCTTTTAATATACAAATACGAGATCCAGGTACTTGTTTACCTGCAGATCCCCATTTAACCGCCTTACGTGCATCCTTTTCTATCCCTGCGCAAGTTGCTGTTACCGGAGAACCTACTATTATGTATATAAGAAAAAAAAAGTTATTTGATTGTTACTTACTCATATATATATATATATATACTTTACACTCAGTACTCCAATAGTTATCAATGACTGTACAGTCCTTATGAACTAAATTCTGACACCATTTTAATGTTTCAGGATCACTTCTCTCACCTGCTAAAAATAAAGAAGTTAAGCTAGACAAATCATAGTTCTTGGCTAGTAGACCCTTTGGATCTTCACGTGCAATAGCTCGAACGGCAGTAGGTGCAGTAAACATTGTCTTGACTTTATATTCAGATACAAGTCGCCAAAAGGCGCCTGCATCCGGTGTACCAACTGGTTTACCTTCATATAATATAGTCGTAGCACCAATCAGCATAGGACCATATATAGTATAACTATGGCTTACAGCCCATCTACAATTACAAATTTCATCAACATTAAAATATTATATTTATATATATATAATAAAAAACTGAGACGTTATAAATAATTACCCTATATCACTGGCAGTAAATATGGTATCTCCTTTCCTTATATTAAAGATATAGTCAATAGACCACCGAAGTACAACTGCATGACCTCCATTAGATCGAACTACACCCTATATTTGAATATTACCTCATTATTCTATATCCCTCAATACTACTATTATTACTAGAAAGAAAAATTTTTTTATTACCTTAGGTTGACCTGTTGTACCACTTGTATAAAGAATATATAATGGATCATCGCTATCTACAGGGACACATCCTTTAAAAAGTTTATTTTGTATCCTAATTCTTTCCATTTCCAATTCATAATCACGGTCTCCCTGAGCATAATTAATAGATGCTCTCTCTTGATTAGGTCTTTGATATATAATACGAATAGGTACATGATGTTTCGATAATTCAAGTGCCTTTTCAAGGAGAGCTAGTATATATAAATTCAGTAACTATAATATATATTCATATCTATTTTGTATCTATCTATCTATCCATCCATCTATTTAAACTTAACTATAGACTTACGTTTATAGGGAATGATACGCTTTGGTTCAATACCACAACTTGCAGTTAAGACAATTTTGGGCTGACAATCATCGATACGTTTTGCTAATTCCTTGGGAGCAAACCCACCAAACACAACACTATGAATGATACCTAATCGAGCACAAGCTAAAAAGGCAAAGACAGCTTCAGGCACCATTGGCATATAGATCAAGATCGTATCTCCCTTTGTTAAACCATAGGAGTGAAGGACACCAGCCAAAGTTTGAACTTGTTCCAAGACTTGACGGTAACTATATTTTATTTTTGTCTTGGTCACAGCAGAATCCCAGATGAGACAACATCTTTGATCATCTGTTTCTGTGGATTGGATATGTCTATCAAGACAATTGTAACATGTATTTAGTTTACCATTTGGGAACCAAGTATACGGATTTGGATTTCCAGGTTGATGTCCTAATATAGACGTGGGAGGTTGAATCCAATCAATCTCTTGAGACGCGCTTTCCCATAATTTCTTATCAATCAGTTCTTCTTCTTTCATCAAAAAATAAATAAATAAATAAAAGAAAAAATAAAAAATAAAATAAAATATATTTTTCTTATGCATATTTTTCTACGCGTGTGAGAAAAAAAAAATTCAAATAGATTCACACATGTATTAGAGTGTAACATGTATTTAAAATAATAGTGACTGGGCTCATCTACAACAATAATATAACAGTTGAAACTGTCATAAAGAAAAAGAAACGTGTATTAATATTGTTCATATCTGAATATTTCAAATGCATACGAAAAAAAAAAAAGGACGGAGGTTCGATAGTAATCAAAGCTTTTTATACATTTATTTACAAGAATCAAATATGTATATATTTATAATATACATTTCAAGTATTCAATTTCAAGATAATAAGACTATATATCTACTGCAGACTACTGATGAATTCAAATATGTATACGTGTATATACTCTTCTATTTGTGTAATAAATGAATAATTTCACGATTTACTAAATAGGTTAAACAGCGTAATAATTGTTTACAGGAATAAGGTTCCCACTACTTTTTAAAGCAACTTATTTTAATGCGTGTTATGTAAAAATGTAACTAATTAAAGAACTTTATGTAATCTATAAACCCACACACGCACACGCACATAAATACATATGGATTATATTTATTAATGAAATCTTAAATTAAGCAAATGATCATCTATTTTATAAACATGAAATACTAGTTATCTAGAAACTCTATCAATTTAAAGGCTTTAGGCTTGGATACGTATTTAAAAGGAAAGGCTTTAAAAAAAATTATTGAAGAGGAAGTCCTTTATAGTGTAGAGGTGGATTAGATTCTGTTCTTGTTTGCTTCTACTACAGCCGTGTTACTCCCAGGAATTCTCTCAATGCTGCGGGCTTTCCTCTCTTGCATGGTAGGAAATTTCCCCGCGATTTAACAACATCTTTTTATCGACCTCCATTTGAAGGCCTGGTGTTGAACATTGGATCCTGGAAGGTAGCATGTTATCATTAAAGCTCAGAACTAACCCCGATTTTATTATTTAATCACTCCCATCTACAGCTAACAAAGTTCATCTCTCCATGATCGCCGCTTGGCCAACAGAAAGGCGCTGCCCTTTCCGATCAAGTTGTTTTATTTACCTCAATTTTTTTCTTTATAAACCCAAGATTTTAGGTATAGTTGCCAAATTGTGGTATTCAAAAAAAAAATAAAAATAAAAAATATTTCCCTTTTATGCATGCATATGCTATAATCTTATATCATCAAACAATTTTTTTTTAATAAGAATTCAACGATCATTGAAATAAATAGGTGTAGTCAGAGTCATTTACTCTTCCTTTATTAAATGTTATACTTAAAGTACCTGGACAAATAGTATAAAGGAATGCGGCTTCAACTTATTTATGTATTATACTTCTTCATGTTTTATAAACTTAAGGAGGTTGGTACACTCTACTGACAATACTAAATAGGATTATTCTGTCGTAATTAATACTTTTCTAATGCCTCCCTGATCTTAGATATTCTTATATGAATACCTAACTGTTAAAATTATAGATAAAACTATAGTATTACTTGTAAAATATCAAATAAAAATAATATAAAGACAAAAGAAAGTCAAGAGTCAATAATTTTTATTTAAGTATTTATAAGAACTGTTAAAGAAGTCTGACATAAGATGTGAATCAGAAAAGTGTTAATTACGACCGAATAAGATATGTTGTAGATAATGAAGTGTTGGAAGTTTTTAATATTATTTGATAAAATGGATCAAGGGAATTTCAGGAGAATTTAGACAGAAATCCTTGAATAATCTTCTGATCCAAGGAACATGACATTATAAGTCAGCTCATTATATCAAGTCTTGAAAAAGCCCGTCAACTAGGCAAACAAACAATGTGGTTAAGTGTTTGGGAGCATAATCCTTCAGTTTTTAACTTTTATGCACGTTAAGGTTTCTATAAAGTGGGAAGCCATATATTTAAATTAGGTTCACAAGAAGATACAGATTATATCATGATCAAGAAACTTTAGATTTGCTGTAATATAATTATTATTATTAACGTACATTAAAATGGATCTGTTCTATTCCAATGATTACAATGGCTGTAAAGAACTCTTATAAAGACTAAAAGGAAGATAAGTAGAATGATATATAACATGTTATTATATACCAAATATAAAAGAGGAAATGCATTTTTACAACAAACAAAAATTTCAAATCTATACTGTTGCTACATTTTAGCTCAGGAATAGTATAAATATCTCTTTTTGTAATGAAGATATTAATTAGAATAATAAATTCTGATGATGCCTATTTTTTCCTCAAAAAATAATAATAATCCATAGCAATAATGTTCATATTACTGCTGTCTTCCCTGTATAATTTACGGCTTTTGAAATATAATTCTTGACCTCTTTTGACCTTCAAGTTTGTAGGCATTGACAAGCATTTGACAATATACTACACAGAACAAAGGATTCATTAGGTAATCCATTTGAATCTTTTTTTTTTTTTAATATCTTAACCAATCGACCTTATCTGGTTTTTTTTTTTTTTTTTTTTTTTGATGAGGCAAAATATTAACTTTAAATGTAAAATTAGATAAAGGAAGAGTTAAGATTATTCATTTTATTTATACAATATCTAGATAACGTTTCAATAAAATAATAAAGGAAAAAAAAATGTTGAATATTCTCAGAAAAGAAATATCCTTGCATTTATTACTGTTACAGTGACAGAATTGTTATATTTATCAATATCTTCTTTTTTTGAAGTAATCAAGAACACTCTTCTTTAAACTAGTTTATAGAGAGATATTGATTGTTATTACAATATTTTTTGGTAGAGCTTTTTTTTTATGGTCATTGTTCCAAAGTAAGCCATAACATAATGTATATTATTAGCTAGAGAAGCTTGCTGATCAATTAAAAGAGTCTGTTTATTACGTTTACTTATGATTATTTCCTGAGATGTTGATTATGATCAAACATAGCAACTATATATTTGTATCTGTATAAGCTTAAAATAAGGCTTTTTAGACACTCTATTATCCTTCTATAGCTTGAGGACCATAATAATACCAAGGTACATAATATACATTCATATAATATATATAAAAGGGAGGTGAGCGTTTAAAGATTGTTGCTTCTGATATACGATCTGACTATAATAGTATCACGTAATAAGAATAACACTGTTCTTCCTGTATCTACTACCATTGCTTGGTAGAATATAACCATAACATATCATTATTCATGTTGCTGCTGCTACTGCTACTGTAAAAAGAAAAAAAAAGGAGTCGCTGGTGTAGTACAAAAAACAAGAATAATTAAAAAAATTAAGGGTTCATTTGATTTGGTGGGGAACCCTTGAAGTGATTCGATTCCACAGCCTAGGCTTGGGCTAAATATGCTGCGAATTCTAGTCACTCTCCAAACACCCGTGTTACTTTTATCAGAAATAGAGGATACACATAGGGCTATGTTTACTATAAACACACCACTTATACCACCACCGCCATTTATACCTACAACTACAATACTACTACCAACACATCCTTACTAATATTAATAATCACTACACAATACCAGTATTATCTACTACCACTACTACTACTACTACTACTACTACTACTTTAATTTGCTTTTATTTTTTTTTGTAGTCCATATCGTTGGATTATGGAATAGTCTATAATATATATGTATGAACAGGAAAAAAAAAAAAAAAAAAAAAAAAAAAAAAAAAAAACTACTTTTTTTATTATTAACACTTATTATTATTATTATTATAAATAAGCTATATTGGAACATCAAATGATATACTTTGTTATATCGGTTGGGTTATAGTATATATGAACCTTTTTACGATATTTGTTATAGAACAAGCTCTGGATATAAGCACAAGCAATACTAGAAAAGATGAATTACATAATACAGGATAAACTATAAGCCTGAATATGAAATAAAACTCTGTATATAACATCTGGTAAATAACATTAAACTTAGTGATATCCAGTCATCTAAATGTGTCAACTATATAAGATATCCTATCATATCTGAATATTTATTTTTATAACCTTGATAAAGGATTTAAGTCGTCTTTGATCTAATAAAATAAAAATATAAAAGATATCAGGAACCAAACAATATTTTTATTTATTTATTTATTTGAAACCTTAATCAGATTATTATAACACCCAAGAGATAATCCATAGATATCAGACTTTTGAATCAACAAGACGTATATATTTGAATACTAACATTATTTCTTTACTCTTGTTCTTTTATAGTTATTTTTATTTTATTTTTTGATTCAGGATTCATTCGTATAAATACAAGCAGCTGTATAGACACAAAATAGTCTTTATATCGTTCTTTTTACATCGAATAAACAGTCTCAAACTATACTTCTTTTTGCTTTCCTTCTTTTTTTTTTCTTTATAAATATGTATATAAATATATATAAACCATACCATTACAAGATTCATTGTACATGTGTAAATACTAATAATTACTATTGTTACACTGAAAATCCGGGGTAGAAGGGAACACAAACTTTCTAATAAAGGACTCATTTATTAACAATGGGTATATAAAGGGAAGGAAAGACAATGTGCCGATATGAGATGATTAAAGCAGTTACTTATTTAATCACATAAAGGTGTTAATCCATTACAAAAGTCAAGAACCATAATTCGCTTGTCTTTTCCACAACTGTAGAATATAAAATGAGTCATGTATAAATAAATATATGTGTGTATGTATTAAATTTACCTAACAATATGGGTTCCACTTGCTAATACATTAAAGATCCAATTAGTGTGTCCACTTTGAAAACTTAAAATGCAAGCACCTGTCTTTGCATCCCAGACTTTGAGTGTACGATCATAACTACCTGTAATAATTTTATCCTATGCATATTTATAATATATATATATACATATATATGTTTAAGAAATGTATGTATGTAATAAGCTAATAAATACAAAAAAAAAATTACCTCTACATAATCAATAGATCGAATCATATTAACATGTCCAACCAAAGTCTTTACACATTCACCGTTCTCAATATCCCATACTTTAACTTTCCCTTCAAGTCCTCCAGTATATAAATAGGTTCCATTAAATCGAACAGAGGCTAATCCTAGTTTGTTATCTTTTATCGTTCTTAAACATTCGCCTGTTTCAATATCCCATAATTTGAGACTAGCATCCCCTGAAGCAGAAACGATACGATGTTGATCTATAGGTTCAATTGAATTGACAGAGGCTTGATGTCCCAATAACTGTCGCACTTGTTCCCCTGTATCCTTTTGCCAAACTTGTATGGTATGATCTCTTGAAGAAGAAACGATATAATCACCTACAAAGCAGATATCAAGTACATTATGACCATGTCCTCGAAGTCTCCTTTGAGGTATTAAATCAGGTAAGGACCAGATAACAGATGTTGCATCCGAGGAGCCTGTTAATAAGATGGTATTTTCTTTATTAACGCTCATACACAGGATGCTACCTTCATGAACATCCTTGATCGTACGTAAACATTTGCCTCGAATGACATCCCATACTTTTAAACTTTGGTCACGACTACCACTCACCAATATATTCTTATCTATCCAAGCTAAACAATAAATACTGCTTTCATGTCCTTGTAAGAATCGGGTCGTTACTTTTCCCGTTAACCATCTACGACCTAATTTAAGGTGATTTTGATAAAGTTTTAAGTTTGTCGGAAGCCCCGTCATGACATTATTCTTTTTTTTTCGCACGACTAATGCCATTGTTGTAAGGGGAGGTGGGACAGACCGGAAATCAGCATATAATAATTGGCGCCATAATTCATTATCATGACAAATTGAATATAGACTACGACATGTACGAGATAATTTTTGAACTGAAATATAATCCAAATAAAATAAAATCCTAAAAAGGATTTCATAAGGTAAATTTGATAATGACATTGGTTCTTCTAATTCATAATAGAAAAAAAAGAGTAAATATGAATAATTTGCTCCAAAAAAATAAAATAAAAATAAAAATAAAATAAATAACACATACTTTGTCTTTTTCTAGTATGACAGCTAGAATAAGAACGAAATGAAGAAGAAAAATGACAATGATAAGATGAACTATGAACTCGAAGTTTCGGTAAAATAGAGGATATATTAGAAGAGGATGCCTTTATTTTTCTCTTTAAAGGAGTTAATTTTGATGTTTGAGGATTTAAGCATTTTGTTTTTGCAGTTACACCATCTTTTCTAGGTGAAATGGTGATATAAGTTGGAATCATGTTTTGCTCTTCTTTAAAGATGTGTCCTTTATATCCCGATGATGTAGAAAAGAATGAGATATTTGTCATAGTATTCAAATGATAACAAATACGAATATGAAAAGAAGAGAAGAGAATATTTAAAGTTAATTGAAAAGTTAGCTTTATTTAAAAAAAAAAAAAAAAAAAAAAAAAAAAAAAAAAAATTCCCCACATAAAAAGTGAATTATTATACAAGCATAATTTTATTTGTCGGAGAATTTTGTAAATTCTTTCTTTTTTTTTTTTGTCTTATTCCGTAACTTTTTCTTTGTTCCTTCCTTATTATATTTTGCTTGTACTAGTAATGAGTCAAGTGTAACGCTGAATAAATAAAATAATAATTTTTTATCCATTGAAAAAAACTAAGAAAAAAAGGAGGTATTTTGGTAAGCAGCTTTTTTTGTTTTGTTTTTTTTCTGTTTTTGTTTCAATTTTCTATAGAATTAAGGACAATGGCTATATATATTTTTTTTTCTGCTTGTTTTAGACATGTTTTTTGATAAAATCTATCTTATCAAGTATAAAAAAGGAAAGTTTGTTAATTTCCTGGAACAAAAGAAGATAGATTTTCTTTTATATCCTCTTCCTCCCCTTGTCGTTATTTTCTTTTTATTAATAAAAGAAAGAAAGAAAGAAAGATGCATATCCTTGTTTGGAAAGAATAGAGAAAAAAAAATTATTAGAGTCCATTTTTATTTAGAAACATGTAAATATTTGGGACTTTTTTTTTTTATTAATAAGATTACATAATGGTCTTCCTTTTATATGATGAAACTAAAAATAACGTTCTTTATGAAAATGAGGTACTACAGTTAATAAATCATTATTATGATGTATTCGGCAAGGTATAACACCTGAGTTTTCTAGATCTTTATAGACAGAGTAATAACTTATTAGAATAATAAAAAGCTGTGGCTTTAATAATATACACTGGATTGGTAGGTGAAGGTCCTTCTAAACTATGTATCTGAGCCACACCATAACGATATAAAGACTTTTATATATCTTGAACTAACCATGTCTTGTTATTAAACTAATTAAATCAAATTTATGCTTACATTTTTAACAAGATAGTCTATCCGTTCTCTATTAGGATGAATACCCTTTTTCCCTTTTTCTTTTCTATATTTAAATTGTATATCAAACTTATTGTAATGAATCAAACATTGACTCATATCAGAGTATCCTTGTATGTGTTTCTTTTTTTTTTTTTTTCTTCCTTGATATCGTAAATATCCCTCAAAGAATCTAATTGAAAATGAGAATTGGGGGCTATAAAAATATCCAATGGGTCGAGTATAGTATAGATAAGTGTTGTTTTGAATGCTCGTATTGCTGAACTCAAGATATACATCATGTATATTTACTTTAAGATGCTGTGATTTATAATTAAGTTTATTATGTAATAACGTTATTTAATTTAAAAAGGCAGGAAAATTGTCTGAAACTGAAACTAAAATTAAAAAACAAAAAAAAAAGCCAGTAACCTTGTCATTTTATTATTTTACATGTATACATGTCAAACATGATTCTTTCATTTAAAGTAAAAGAAAGAAAAAAAGAGGGGGGGGCAAATGAATAGGATTTGAAAGGCTTACTTTATTTATTTTTGTGTATGTGTGTGTGTGTTAGAGGACTTTGACTACACAAGCAGTTAAAAAGCCATGTAGGGTTTTTTCTGGCATTCAACCAACAGGCACACCTCATTTAGGCAATTACCTTGGTGCATTAGCTAATTGGGTTCGACTACAAAAGCCTGATCCAGTAACAGGTCAGGTGCCCCTTAATTATTATAGTATTGTTGATCTTCATGCTATCACCATGCCTCAGGATCCAGCTACATTACGACAAGCCAAATTAGACGTCACTGCTACTTTACTTGCTTGTGGGGTAGACCCGAAACAATCTATTTTATTTGAACAAAGTCGAGTCAGATCGCATGCTGAATTAGCATGGATCTTTAATTGCATCACACCTGTAGGTTGGTTAGGTCGTATGACTCAGTGGAAGAGTAAACTGGAAAAAGTGAATGGCAGCCATGCTCACTCACTTTCTGAAGAGACCCTTAACACGGGGCTCAAAATGGGCTTGTTTGATTACCCTGTTCTACAGGCTGCTGATATTTTACTCTATAAGGCTACACATGTTCCTGTAGGGGAAGATCAAATACAACATTTGGAATTAACTCGCGATATTACAGATATATTTAACAAGAGGTTTGGCAATGTGTTTCCAAAGCCTAATGCCATTCTACCTCCATCTGCCAAACGTATCATGTCTTTACGTGACCCTACTCAAAAGATGTCCAAATCGGATCCTGCTGATTATTCGCGACTGAATCTTGTTGATCTACCAGAACTCATTCGATCCAAGATTGCAAAGGCCACAACGGATAATATTCGAGGTGTGTCATATGATCCAGTAGAGAGACCAGGAGTTTCAAACTTGCTTAGTATCTATGCCGCTATGCGTGATATCGAAGTAGAGGAAGCAGTGAAAGAATGTGCTGATATCACGAGTACAAAGGCCTTTAAGGATAGAGTGTCAGATGCTATTATCGAAAGATTAAGTCCTATTCAATCAGAGTTAGTGCGATTACAAGCAGATAAGGGTTATATAAATAAAATTTTAGACGAAGGTGCTGTCAAAGCGAATGAAATTGCAAATAATACAATGGAAGAAGTTTTTAAGGCTGTTGGTTTAAAATAAATTACATTTATTGTATTTTTTTTAACTAAAAAAGGATAAGAATGTACATATTATAACTTAATATCATCCTTTTTTTTTTTTTTTGTACAGTCTATTTTGTTATATAAAGTCTAGCACTTAGTCCATAATGATCTATAATTTAAATAAATATATAAAAATGAGATGTATTGTTTTTCTTTAAAAAAAAAACTTGTCAATATATTTTCATTATATATGATACCTGATAACTGAGTGAAAGGTAAGCTTGTTCCATTTTTTTGATCAACAAAAAAATGTTCTACAGTAATATTATCCAATGTCATATTTATTTGATTTTTATCATTACGAGTAGCCCATAGGATACGATCAATACTCTGGACAGTTAGTAATTGATTATGACTAGTCAAGATAACTTCGTTCGGTATTAATGTTCCATTTTCTAATCGTTTAACATCACCGAACGTAACAGGATGGTATCCAAAGGTCTTGTAGGCCATATCTGTCAAATCATCAAGGCGCCATAAAGTACGGTATATAGTCGATTCGTTTATGGCGGCATTTGTTTGTGTTGCTGATGGTGTTGTATTATTTATAGCGTCATTCATTAACTTGAGATTCGTTCCTTTACCCTTCAGAACATCCATCATCATTGTATAGGCTAATGAACTACCATAGGAAGGTATATCAAGTGAAGTTTTATTATCATGAATGGCTGCATCTACATTAAGATCACCCATTAATAAGATTGGATATGTATCCTCTTTAGATGTCTCTTCTATAAATTGATGCACGAGGGCAAACTGACTTAGTCTAACTTTAGTATCATCCATATTGAGCTCACCATGGTTATCATAGGAAGCTTGTGTATGTGTAGTATAAATATGAATTAAGTGAGTAGGATTTATTTTGATTAAAGCATGAAGTGCCCCTTTGTAAGATAACCTGAAAAAAAAAGAATAGGGTTAAATGAGGAGAAAGCTTATCAATAATTCATAATACAACATTATTATTATTATTATTGCGATTACCAATCTGAATGAATACCTCGAGGAAATTCAATTTGATTTGCTTTTATAATAGGATACCTTGATAATAAAAGTAATCCTCCATCACCTCCCAAATCCCAAGGATAATGTCTTGAAGAAGCTACATGATAAACAAAGCCAAGTTCATAAGCAGCTTTTAATAAATGATCAATACGTCTATTAGCATAAGCAAATGCTTCTTGAAAAGTAATAATATCATATAAAGGTAGAACATGCCGTATAATATAATTTAGTCGTTCAGTTTTGTAATCATTCTCATTGTTCTTAATCCCAGGTGGTCTCATGAATAGATTAAAGGTCAATAAATGTGGAGAAGGAAGAGAAGACGACGACGATGATGATGATGATGAAAGAACTGTCATTGTTGTTGGTTCTGGTAAAGAGATAGGAGAAAAGTAAATAGTACAGAAAATAACAAATGAAACAAGAGGTAAAAATAAAACTATAAGGCATGTAAGAGTATATACTTTTTTACTAGGGAAACAGTTCTTTGGGGAATGTGTCGATCCTTTTTTAAAACAACGTGGTTGTCTATCATTATTACTTTTAAAATAAAAACAAGTAGGGATTAATAGTTGATATTCTCTTTGCTTATGACGGGTAATGAACGGTGGTGATGCTAATTGAACCACTTCTTCGCTATCATCATTTCTCGTAGATATTCGCCCAAGTAATAATGGTCTAAATTCTTGATGATACTTGTCATATTGATTTGTGCTATAATGTGACAGCATTATCTCGTTATGATTTAAACTTTCATTTTCTTCGTCTATATTAGAAATTATTGACAAATCTTCATTATCAAATCCATCTTCCCTTCTGTGAGTTAGACTCATTGCTAACAAGTAGAAAAGCAATGAAGTTAACTAATGTAGAGGGAAAAAAATAAAAGACAGGGGATAACTTGGTCTTTTTTATTTATTTATTATTACAACTAAACGTCGGGTAATCACTCGGTTGTTTAAGTTTATCCTTTTTTTTTTTTTTTTTTTTTTAGTTTCTCTCTTCACCTAACCAGGTTAACAATTCAGGTGTAAAATAAGTCAAGATAAGTGTAGCACCAGCTCTAAGGAAGCCGGTCATAGACTCCATTACAATTGTCTTTAAATCAAATACACCTGCCTTTGCAGAATGATAAAGCATAGAATATTCGCCAGAGACTTGATAGACAGAAATGGGATAATCTGTAGCAATTTCACTAGCCTCTCTTACAATATCAAGATAAGGCATACCTGGTTTAACCATAATACAATCAGCACCTTCTTCCATATCACGTTTGATTGCGCGACGAGCTAAACGACGACCATTAGCAGGAAGTTGATAACAGCGACGGTCACCAAAGGCAGGAGCCGAATTGGCTGCATCACGGAAGGGTCCATACCAACTACCAGCAAATTTAGCAGAATAAGAGATTAGCATAACTTTGTGAGCAAGTCCTGCTTCCATCAATCCCTCTTTAATGGCACGAATACGGCCATCCATCATGTCAGAGGGAGCAACAGATTGAGCACCCGCTTTTGCATAGTTGACAGCAACTTCAGCAATACGCTTAATAGATAAATCATTATTGAGTGTACCATCTTCACGCAAGATACCACAATGTCCATGTGAAGTATACTCACAGAGACAGACATCACAAGCTACAAAGAGTTCAGGAAATTCCTTGCGTAATAATTTAACAGCTAATATTGTAGGACCTTCGGGATCATCTGCACGTGAACCTGTTGCATCCTTGACATTTTCTTTCAAAGGGACACCAAATAGAATGACAGACTTGAGCCCCTTTTTGACCAAGGGTTCAATAAAGTTATGAAGTTTGTTAATGCCAATACGGTATTGTCCTGGAAGGGAATCAATAGAATCAAGTGCTTCAGGGTCATCAGTAATGAAGATGGGATACATGAGCATATCTTTTGTAAGTGTACGTTCTGATTGCCATGAACGAGAGAGTGGATGGTGGTAACCTCCATGAAGAATGGAATTAGGACTTGTCATTTTTTTTTAACCTTAAAAAAAAAAAAAAAAAAAAAAAAAAAAAAAAAGGAGTTTATTAGTAATAAAAAAAAATGATGAACGCATAGTGTGTGACTTAGTGTAAATCTGTAATTATTATTATATTTTAACTCCTTTGTTACCAATTATGCGACGATATTAGATGGGGCACTTATAAAATACAGAAGCTAACCTCGTTATTCTATTAAAATAATACTCATATTTATTTTATTAGACACATAAAGGATAAAACAATGAAGGCAAGTCTTTTATGATCATTTCGCATAAAAATGTACAGAGTCGGCTTGTAAATAAAAAAGCAAACATAATCTTCGTAGCAACAATTTATTTTACGTTGAATAGAGTCCGCTCATCATCAAATATGTCTTTTTTTTTTTTTTTTCTTTTTTTTTATTAATATTTATTTTCTTTTCTTTTATTTATTTTTGATCTTATACAAATAAAAATGTCAGGTCATGTCGTTTATGCTTGTCACTGTCTCAATATAACAATTCATCTTGCAACCAAATATACTCTAGATTCACTCGACAAAATAAAAAATGATACCATTGTTAAAGAGCCATTTCCTGGCTGGGAATTTGATCTAGGCATGGGAGGGATTGTCATAGTAAGAAAATAAATAATTGAAATTATATTATATGTTTCAACCTGTCTAATAAATAGGAATTCAATACACTCATTCAATCATCAACTTCTCAATCTCATTGGAATACAGTAAAATGTCTTAACTGTAATAGTGGTAATATCTATTCTGTAACTAAAGCAAATAATGTTATAATTCATCCAGATGCTATAGTAAGTTAATACTGCTTTTTTATTTCTTTTGCTAAACAGTTTTTCTTTCTTAATAAAGTGCGGTAAAGCATATGAGGACCTAAAGAAAAAAACAAATTATTCAAAGACATTTTCTATAAATTTGGATGATAGCATGATGGAGGATATTATTCCTATGCCAAGCCCTAAAGAAGGTAACATAATGTGGAAATTTTTCTAAATGAAAAATGCTTATTGTTTGATTATTATTGTCATTGTTTAGATATACCATCAGCGCTAGTTTCTACACATAAAAAAATACAATCCATATTGGATCAATCAATAAAGCAGATGCGTATAGAATCAAAAGTAAGAATAGAACAGTTTAAGAAACAAGAAGAAAAAAGACTTGAAGCATCTATTGCGTATGCCATGGATGAAAATAATAGACTATGGACTAAAATTGTTAAAGTAACATCAAAAGTCGACAAGACCGAAGTTAAGCATCAGACAACAAAAAGAAAGGAAGAAAAAGAGAAAAATACAACGAATGTCAATCATGTTTGTTTTGCTCCTGAATTGAATAATCATCAATCAGAAGAGCAACAGCATCCAAAATCTCTAAGACGAACGAGTTTTAATTTAGATGAAGCCACGATTGGTAAACTCTGTAATGTAAATCTTGATAAGCAGATGCCACTTCTAAATAAGGACCTTGATAATATTCAAGAAGAAAATGATGGTAAAACAAAAGAATGATAATTATATTTTAGTGAAATCTATAGAAATTTAATTACTGTTATATATGTAAAAAGACAATAATGAGGAAGAAGAGGATATATTCAATTTAGATGAAGAATTCTCGGAAGAAGAAGAAAATGAAGCTACAGATAATGAAGAAGAAGAAGAAGAATTAAATAAGGAAGAAGTAGGAGAGAATCATCTTCCATTATCCACTTCTTTAAAGAAATCAATTTCACAGATTGATAAAAAATTTTCATGGATTAAGAAGAAGAGAAATACAAATAAATACCTTCCTCAAGACTTTGATATCAAGAATAATTCAAAAAAAGAAACTTCAAATGATAATGAACGTAAGCTATAAAAATCGGTTTAAACCAACTATTTTATTTATTTATTTTTTTAGCTGTAACAATTTATGCTACTTCTGTACCCGTTGCAATTCATTATCCTTTAAATAATGATAAAGAAGAGGGGAATGACACGACCAATACTAGTATGAACGAAACAAAAAGAGGAAATGATATACTGGCCTTTAGTTTTGCAAATTATAATAATGCCTCTTTTTCAGACAAATTACTATCTGATCAATTTACTGTTGCTCCTCGTAGGAGGAAAAGCTTAATGGCATCATCCTCTATGATTCGACCGCAATTAGATACTGTAGTCGGTAAATCTCTGGATACAAGAGGACTTTTGAAAAAGAAAGCCACTGTGATTGAATCTAATTATACCAGTGATGATGATTTTGACTCTAAATTACCTCCTCATATTTGGGCCTTAATTGATAAAGATGAAGAGTGATATCTTCTTTCTGTATAAAAACCTTATAAATACCCCTTGAATGTGAATCATTATTTTTAAACATCGACTATCAGCGGACCTTTTTATTATTATTATTATTACCCCCAGTTTTTTTCTTTTTTTTTTTAAGAAAATAAATTTATACACATATACTTTACCTACCTGCAAAATTCATAAAATGGTAGAAGCTGTTAAAGAATGTCCTGTTGATCATACTAAATTAAATTTGACAGAAAAGTCATTTCAGTCATCTGTAGATAGCAACGGAATAAAAGAACAAAGGCAGAAATGTCCAATAGACGATAATCAACTGAAACAAGAAGAATCAAAATGCCCTGTCGATCATAATAAAATAAACAAAGAACAACAGAAATATTCCAAAGATCCTAGTCTGTACAAACACTTTATTCCTCCTACAACAAATAAAGAGGAACCACAAACATGTCCCGTCGATCCCTCCACATATAAAAACTTTTTACCATCTCCAAAAGAAGGCTGTGATTCGGAATCACTCGATCGCGCTAATAACATGCCTAAACTTTCACAACAATCTCAGCCTGATCAAAAGATTCCTCTTAGTGTAGAAAGAGAAATTTCTACCATTCCTCGAGCTAATTCAGAAGAAAGATTATGGATTTATCCTTCAGAACAAATGTTTTTTAATGCTATGAGAAGAAAGAATTGGAATCCAGACGAAAGAGATATGGCAGCCATCGTTCCTATTCATAATGCAGTTAATGAAATGGCCTGGCAAAAAATTCTAGAATGGGAAAAAATGCATACGACGTAAGTATAGAGAAAGAAAGAAAGAAAAGGACAAATAAAACGGGGGAATAAACAAGCAATTATAAATAGAGAATGTAAACAGCCCATGTTGGAAAGATTTGAAGGTAGACCGAAGGATGTTACTCCAAAAGCAAGAATTAGATCATGGTTTGGGTAAGATTTAAAAGAATTATCCGTTCCTTTTCTTTTTTTTTTTTTTCTATTAGTCAATTTATCGTATTTTAGATATGCACTCCCATTTGATCGTCATGATTGGGTTGTAGATAGATGTGGAGAAAAAGTGACATATGTAATTGATTTTTATACTGGAAAACAGGATCCAAACAAGCCTATGTCTCTTAGTTTTTATTTGGATGTACGTCCTGCTGTTACAGTGTCTGGATTATGGGATAGATTAAAAATGTCTTTTAAGAAAGGAGAATTTATATAATCATTATTTATAATTTTTGTACTATATCCATTTATATGGAAAACCAGTAACATATAATGGTAATAAATAACCATAGTAATTAATAAAAAACTAGATTTCGAAAATAATAATTCCTATGTCAAAGTCTAAACATAAAGATCTTTTGTATTGGAAGAAAAGCATGATAATGTTCTGATATACAATATCAAAAACGCAATTCCCCATATTACTCGTACGAGTATTTTTATTATTGATAATAATTAACATTTTCTGTTTTAGTGTTATCATTAAATCACAATACATTATTAATAATTAAATATGAATTATATTTATGTAGATTAAAACTCTTGTTTTACTCTTGTTACTTAAATTAAGGTAAAGATATAAATAATAAGACTAGTTGCTGCTATTAATAATAATTTATTTATTTATTTTTTTTGTAACTCAATAACCCCGTTCTTTCCATTGTTATCTGAATAATAATCTTCCTTATTGATGCTTCAATTATAATGAATAAATAAACAAATTAACAAATATATAATATATAATATACAGTTACGAAAATGAAAGGGTTAGGTTTAATTTCTGAAAAAGAAGTGTAGCAAAAAAGGAAAAAAAATAGAAAATAGCCGGAGCTTACCGGACAGTCACGTGACTTATCATTTACTTTTGAAACTAATTATATATTAGATAAATCCTAAAAAGTCACGTTAGGGGTTGATGGTGAAGTGGTATCATTCTCGCTTTGGGTGCGAGAGGCCCCGGGTTCAAACCCCGGTCGACCCCTCCTTTTTCGTTTTTTTTCTAAAAAAACATTTGATTACGTAACATACATATATATTATTATTATTGATACTAATAAAGGGGTAGGGTCATTTACTGTCTTTTTTAATTTAAGATTAGGAAAATTGAGACATAGAATATATATAAATGATCTTAGTAAGAAATTGAGGTAATATTATTGTATAATATATAAGTATCTTTTGAATAATATAAATCTCAGGAATGAGATTATTTAATCATCTTGTTAAAGGTATTACAAGGTATTGTCATACGTCGTCATCATCGTCATCATGCCGATATCTTTAAATTCTTATTTTTATATTCATAATGAAAGCTAATAGTTGCGTTATAGATATAATAAATTAAATGATACAGTTATAAAGGAGCATTTACTCAGATCAAGTAATAAAAGAAACATGCTATTGTTTTATTTAAATATCTTACATAATTATATAACATCTGCCAGACAACCCACGACTAAGTATCTTAATCACTAGTATTGTTTTATCTTTTTTTTTTAAAAAATATCCTTTAATTCAGGATCCTCTCGTATGAATAGGTTGCATTGTTATTATGCTGTACTTTTAAATTGACTTTATCCTTAGTTTTATCATATCTTCATTTTACTTTAAACTAAATAAGTAATCCTAGGCTTTAATGTATTTATTATTCCTTATTCCTTTTAAATACAATATGATGATTGACTCTAGAAAAATACGCATAAACTTATAAATTTACTTTTTTTTTTTATTATTATTATTATTATTGCATAAGATAGCTTTCATAAATTATATTTATAAAAAAAAATGTAAAGTACCAGCTGTAGTTAAATTTAGGGAAAATAAGCATTAATTATGTTATCAAGCATTAGTAACAGTATTGTTGATATTTTTGTCATTATCTACGCCTACGGTATTTCGAGAATTTTGAACTAATTCTTCTTGTTGCGATGATTCAGTTATACTCTTAGTAAACAAGTAAATAATTGCAGCAAATATACCACCGATTAAGGGACCAAACCAAAAAATCCAGTGATTTGCCCACTTGCCAGTAACAACAGAAGCAGCGAAAGAACGAGCAGGGTTAACTGAAGTACCATCAATAGGAGAACCAATAATATGGCATATAAAGATCGCCAGACCAACAACAAATGGCGCAAAATTAGCTAACATCTGTTTATCAACAATAATAAACAATACAGTCAAACAAAGGACACAAGTTAAAAGACACTCAGCGAAAAAGCCTTGTGCATAGTTAAATCCAGGATTTAATAAGTTAACACCTTGTAATTCATGAGCAGTAACAAAGTTGCTAAAGTAAGCACCAAGGATACCTCCAGCGATTTCAGCAATAAAATATAAACAACCTCGAAGCCAGTTGATATTACCAATTAGCATAAGACTCAATAAAACTGCAGGATTCAAGATACCACCAGAAATATGACCACAAATGAATAAAGCAACTGTAATACCGACACCAAAACTGAATGCAATACTCTGAATTTGACTATATAATATGATAGGAAAAAAAAAGAAGAAGTTATTTTTGAATCGTGTACACTTGCTATAATTTTTGATCTATAACTTACGTTGCTGTAGGACCCATTGCTGTACCAACTTTTTGAAAGCTAGGTGCTTCCAAATCACCTTGCACACCAGATAATGCTAAGAAAAGAAAGATAGTCATACCAATAAACTCACCAAACGCAGCTTTGAGATCTGCTCTAAAATTTGGTGAAGAACCCTTATTGCATTTATAAATATCAGTGAGAGGTCTCATTTTGATTTTCTAGAAATAAAATAAAATAAAATAAAATAAATAAATATTTATTTATTTACTTATTTACAAGAAAAAAAGAAAAATTGATAACATATTGCTTCTATTATATATATTTAAAAAAAATTGACGCAGAAACATGACTGAAAGTGAACGTAAACAATAGTAAATATATTTAAGTTTCAAAAATTAAAAAAATAAAAAAATAAACACACCTATTTCGACAATGCGGAGCCCCAAGTATTATGTCAAAAAAGCAGTAATAAGCTTTTTTTTTTTTTTTTTTTAATATAGCAATGTGTATGATAATGGTAGTATACATTTATTTATAAATATTTATAAATTTAACTGTTTTTATTATTATTGTTGATATATCAATTGTGACAAATAGCTTTTATATATAATAAATGATAATGAATACTACTTTAAACATATTTGAGAATGGCTGAAAGATTCTTGTAATTATTAGATGCTATTCACTTTGTGCAATTGCAGAAGTGTTTTTCTTTTCCTTTTTTATGGCGCATACACATTTACTTCATACCATGCCTTATATTAACTCTATTTATTGAATAAATTCTCTATGAGATCATTTTAAGATCTTCCTTCTGACAAATAAAAACTATGTCCCAATTAAAGAAAATATGTTTCATAATAGTGAAATAAAGTAGTATTATACCTTTACAATATAGCATGGGACATTATTACAGTAAACTCTAGCTTATTTTTCTTTTGTTAAAATAACAATAGAAAACTATCAAAAAAAAAAAAAAAAAAAAAAAAAAAAAAAAAAAAAGAAAGAGAGAGAGAATAATTGGTTCTCTTTTAAGTATGCAATGCATTTTTTTATTCAATACCTATCAAATGGAAACTAAATAACAGCATACAATATATTATATAATAATAGTAAATAATGTATCGATTGAATATTTTAATTACTATTGTACTGTCTTTAAGTCAATGTGGTGTATCACTTTAACTTTGTAGTTCATAAATCATCAATATAATATAATGATCTTAAAAAAAAAAGTTATTATTTCTAACTGGATTATTTATTATAAAGCCATTATTAGCACAGTTATAGACATTTCAAATATAGACATTTACATGCTTGATATTTTATACGTAGATATGAAGTTTTTATTTTCATTCAAAAAAATAAATAAATCACAATTAATAGAGATATTATATCGATGATATATTGAATCATTATTCTTCATTGAACGAAATAAATAGAATGCAACCTATTTTTTTCTGTGCCAGTAGCTTTCTATAGATCAGTGTTTAAAGAACAAAGTGGAGATTTGTTGCAGTCGATCAAAGTCACTCATCTATTTGTTCAAATGAACTTATTATGGAGTATTTTTTTATACAAATAAGGGTCTATTGTATTACTTACACTAAATTATGCCACTTTTGTGATAATAAAATTAATTTTAATCGATATTATATAATCATTGGTATATTTTTGACCCCAGGTTTCAACGCAACATTCAATATTATCCAGATTCATTCCATATAAAGCTATAAAGGACATAGATGAGACAGGACTTCATGATAATTTATACTATGATGCCCTTTTTATTTATTTGGTCAAAACTCGTGGCTTATTGTAATAATATTATAGATAGCTAGCAATCCGAGATGATTTCTAACGTAACTAGAGTATACATAGTCATCATTACATCTTTTTATTTCTCATTATTTATGATTAGGAATAAAAGTAATAATATTCACGACTTTATTTCTAATTCAATGGTATGTATCTTCTTCCTTTTTTTTTAGATAGGTTGAGAACAGAGTTTTATAAATATTCAATATATCTACAAGACTTCTTTTCTTCAATTTGTATTTTTTTTTTTTTTTTTTTTTTTTAATTTTACCGAACCATGTTCTGTCTTTTAATTCTGTCAACTTGCATTGATTATTTGGAGAGATTCCTTATTTAAATGCTTATATAAAATCATAAATTCAATTCTATATGAAACTTTTAATAGCATTTCATCATAACATAATAACTCAATAACTTTAAAGCTTAAATCTTTTTTCATTGTTAAATTTTATTGCATTATCTAACTTTTCACTTGGCAAAAAATTAAAATTGCTCTATAAGATTTAGTTTGGCAGATTAGAGAAGAAGATGTGTATACTTCTTGCATCCTCTCTCTTTTTTTTTTATCATTATTATTATCTTCAAAATCATGGGCAATTGTAATTTGGTCAACAATTGCATACAAGATATCTATACTCTTGAAATAATTCTATAAAGCAACTCTTTAGTGTTGGATTTAGCTATAGTTACACTTCTTTTTTTTTTAAAAAAAAAGAAAATATTTATGTACATGTATATATTTTGTATGAATATCTATGATTGATCTTCTGTTACATCTATTTCCTGATTTAAAGTAACCTTAGCATGTCTTTGTTACTATAGACTGCTGATCCATATATATATATCAATTATTTTAGTCCTTTTACTATGATCCATAACTACTTTCTTTATTCTAGTTTATTTTTTTGTATAGTTGCGGCTATTTTAACAGTTTTAAGATAGTTAATTTCCCTTAATCACTTTGTCTATTAGTTATTTTTTACATATATTATCTTTAGCAAAGTTATTGGGCCGGTTAATATATGCCATTATACACAATTAAATACATATATATTTTTCTATAAAGTATGTTTTCCGTATTTCCATCACACTGCTCCTTTAGCTGTTTAAGAATAATATCTTTATTCTCATTGTAAACTTCTTTTTTATCGTTATTTTAGTTGATAATGGCTTTGAAGATATATATATATGTTCACAAAAGTAATTTTTTTTTTGCCTTATAGTAATTATTAGCCAAGACAAACAAATTCTAGCTTTATTTATTTTATAAAAAAAAAAAAAAAAAAAAAAAAAAAAAAAAAAGTTAAGTCAAATATTTATAGATCCAAAAATAATTGTAAGGAATCAACAATAAAATTTAACAAAGAACATATAATGATGGAATATAGTATTCTGATTACTTTATAGAAGATACAAATAATCATAAATATATAAATATCGTAATATTCACAATTTAAGGCTCAAATATTTCATTTAGCTTATTCTCTGCTTGATTCATATTGCTTTTACACAAAGCATTATTGTAACAAATTAATATTTTTGTATCATAAAAGGCTCCTAGAATAGATGTAAAATTTATCTTTTCTAGAACAAGAAGAATATATACGTACAATATTTTACTTTTGTTTTACAAAAAAAAAAGAGATATTTTATATGTATATAGAATTGAAAATTTTTATAGTATAGGCTGTTTATTTAATGATTGGATTAAGTCACAACTATATTCACAGAATATTGCATTACTAAACCGCAATAATACCAATAAAGCTGTGCCTAATTGTTCCTTATCTCGACGTTTTAAATATGAATATTATCTTAAACAGTATTAGTCCGGTGATTAGAAAGAATGTGTAGTTATAACAGGATAGTATTTGTTGTTAATGAAGCATGTTAAACATTCTATTTAAAGAATTTTTTTTCTATTATATACTTAAAAAAAGAAAGGCATAGAATCTCTAGGAATCTAACAAATGTCGATAAAGTGCATTGTTAACCTATACTATGATAAAGATAAAAGATAAAGAAAAGAAGTATAGGTTGGGACTGTCTATTCAATATAAAAAGAAAAATTAAAAAATAAAGATTATTTCGTGTTCAAGCAACTACTTGTATTTTTAACTAATAAATACTGAATCAAAGAAATAATAATAAAAGACTACGAAAGAACGTGAATCATAAAGCAATGTTAGTATTCAAATATATACAATCTTGTTGATTTAAGATACTAACCTATATGGATTATCTATTGAGCGTTATAATTATATGATGACTTTACTTATGTTTTAAATTGTTTGATCTGAGTATAAGTTACTGATGTCTTTTATATTTTTATTTTACTGGATCAAAGACGACCTGAATCTTTTACCAAGATTATAAAAATAAATACTTGGAACTGATATGATATCTTATTTAGTTGGTACGTCTAAATGATTGGATGTCAATAAGTTTTATATTATTTATAAAATGTTATATGCAGTATGATATGATGATGTTTCACTTTATGTTCAGGTTTATAGTTTATCCTGTATTATTCAATTTATCTTTTATAGTATTACTTGCGCTTATATCCAGAACTTGTTCCTATAACAGCAATTTGACGAACCATGTTCACAAATGCGGTTCGCTTATAAGTCGGTTCATTTATTAATAGCTATGTTTACTAAAATAAAGACAGTTCACTAACGCGGTTTAGGTTCTTCATCTCCAATCTGTTTTATTGACTTAAAGTCAGCACTATCAGTATATCAAAAAGGAGTTTATTTACGTACTACTCTCTTGGTTGGCCGAAAAAAAAAATAAAGAAAGAGAATAAAACAAAAGACAGGTCTTTGAAAACTCCGTGTAGATTATTAAATAAAACTATTACAAAAATTGTACAAGGAAAAAATATCATGAAAAAATGTCAAGCAAATACTGGCATAATAAAGCTTTTACGCGCAAATAGTGTCTCCGGATAATTTTGCGTGCAATAAGATATATTTTATGTATTTTTTTTTCCTGAGCTATCGCTGTTACTAAAAAAATAAAAAATAAAAAATAAAAAATAAAAAAATAAAAAATAAAAAATAAAAAATGAAAAATGAAAAAATAAATAAATAAATAATACAATAAATCATTATTTCTTAAGTAATAGATATATCTGTCAATATTAATTCACAGTGAATATTCCAGCTATAACAATAATACCAATTATTTATGTACCACTATTATCATTATCATCATCTGAAATATTATTATATAACAATATTCAACATTATAGATGTATATGTAATATATATCACTTATATAAATAATTATGTAATTGAAAATAATAGTTGTAATTCTATTAAATTCCTATTATTATATGATACAATGCATGTAATTAATATTAATGCTCAGATGCCCTAACAATGACTATTATTAAAATTGAGTGTAGAATGAATATTATGCTGTAAAGTAAAATATACTAGTTTTATTTGAATAACCTCTTCATTATTTAGTAAATGAAGGTTTGTTGTCATTAACTTAGTTATAAAGACAACCACAACCATAACAGGTACAAATAGGCCCATCAAAACCTAAAGGTTAATCCTAGTCCCATCTAAGAAAAATAACTTTTTTCCAGTCTTCAACCGTCCAACGATCATGTTCGTTTACCCAGAGATAGCGCTTTCTCATATGAGTAAACTTTTTGAAGTTGAGCATAAAGCCCCAGTTGCTTCATTATAGTTAATTGTACCACTGTAGCTGATTGAATAATGCCATTTATGTGCAGTAGACAAGCAATCATTTTTGGCTTTTAATCGAAGCATTTCCTTCATAACTGCAGATAAAAGAGGTGGTCTTTCAAAGCAGAGCCTAAACACTTTAAATTTTTTTTTCTGTTTTATACGATTAACAGTCGACTTTGACACTGATACTAGTTTTTCTATTCTTCTAGATAATAGATCAGATTTAAGAAGTGAAATAATATCAGTACGTTTTTGTTCTGAAAGTTTATAAAATATTTAATAATACCAAAAGTAAGTAAAAGTGAGATTGTAAGGATGGAATAACATGACGAAATAGAGAGCCCATTTTATATTTATTGAAAAAAGTACACCTATCATGGTATGACATGTTAAATAAGGGATAATATCATTCGGAATATTAATGAAAAATATTTAATGATTTAATAAACTGATGTTATTTTACTGAAACTGAATTAACATATTAACCAGGTAATTTCACAATTACGACATTATAATATTTATGAAATATAAAACATGATTACACGCTGACGACTACACAACATGTAATTTACTTTCTAAACTTAGCTCAACTATCACGAATATTTGTTGTCTAATTTACGAACATAAAGAAGACGGAATAAATTGTGAGACACAGACACAAGTGAGAATAATTTTATTCAAAGAAAATTATCTGGCTATTTATACTTTTTTCTTATGGCTATAGATGATATTTTTAGATACTATTTTGTTGGTGTTGCATTGGATACTGATCTTTTCATGATATTATCAACAGTCATGATACAAATCATGATTAAGTGTGATATTTGACAGATCGCTGATTCAATAAGAGTTTCATTTGAAGGTTTTACATTTAATAATCACTGTTAATAAGGTAGAGAAAAAAAAGAAGACAGCAGAATAAATCTGTGAAAACTTTGTATAAAACTTTTATTATAAAATAGAAAGTAAAATATATTCAAATTAAATTATAAAAATGAGTGAAAAATGGGTCCCTATTTATATCTTGTAGAGAACGGGTTACTTCGCGACAGGAACAGAATGAAGATATCTTGAAAGAAGAATATTTTCCCATAGAATGATTAAAGTTATTTTGTTTGAGCTATAGTCTTTGCCCTGACTGAGAATTAATCTCAGTTAACTCACTCACTCTAATACAAATTAAGCTATTCGTGCTCGATCTAGCCGGTTATTTTTTTTTTGAAACCAAATAATGAGATCTCGTTTGTTCACGATTCTGATCTGTATTTTATAAAATATTATGTAATACGTCATTATATACACAACATATGCAATGGATATTTAATATTTATATGTTTTGTTATATCTTTATGTTATGTACAAATGCAACTGTTGATTAAGAAGAAAAATAATATAAAAGAAAAATATAAGAAACAATAAAAGTCTGTGAAAACTTTGTTTAAATCTTTTATTTCAAAAAAGCTGTCTTTTTAAAATTATACAAAATGGATCCTTATTTATATCTTCTGGAAACGGGTAAAACTTCTTGATAAAACTATAGACATATCCAATAGATAATTATGAATCTTGTTTAACCTTGATAATGAAGAACCTGACTGATCAATTAGTCTCAGCTGTCAGTTATGTTTCAAATGCTAATCTGATTCAAATAATTAGTTACCAATGGTATCTCAAATTAAACTAAATAAAATTTTTTTTTAGAACTTCAGAATGATCTCGAATTGATACAATATTGTTTCTTTATTGAAACATATATCTCTATCATCTTCTAATCAACTCCTCAAGTTTCTATTCTATAACTCTTTAGAGATTGTTTATAATTGTGCATAACCATACTGAAGATAGTGCTTCTTATAGGTAATTAATTTTCAATACTAAGTATTTTATATATTGATTAGCAACTATTCTTCTTTCATGTTTAAGACATCTATTACATAACATCTCTGTAATTTCATAGTTTCATTCTAACACAAGTGTGTCTCATATACTAAAGTAGATTAGTATCGTGTACATGAAGTGCACCACTAATATATGATAACATCATCCCACTTTGATAATGATTGAATATCTATACTATATTTTGTAACACATCATCATATATACAACAGCAACAATGATAGTATGATTTTAATTTTTGTGAGTCGCTTTTTGTAACTACTGTTAATAGAAAAAAAATTTGTAACTAGAATGCGATATTTCTTTGAAGAAGAATGAGAAGCCTGCGATATAGTGGAGTGTCTTTAGGAGTTTACGATTATCTGATTGGTGGCGGTGTTTGAATTTTATTAAATATACGCTATAATTAATATTTATTGTTTCATTTTCAACAAGGGTTGATGGTGAAGTGGTATCATTCTCGCTTTGGGTGCGAGAGGCCCCGGGTTCAAACCCCGGTCGACCCCTCTTTTTTATTTTTTTTTGGAAAATATCAACTTCGATTTATTTTCTAGAATGAGCTGATATAATATTATTTATTTTGTTAGATAAAACAGATGTTATATGTCTTTCTCAATTATTGATTATATTAGAGATACTGATTTAGCATACTGTTGTTGTTGTTGTTATTTAATTCACCAAGTATTATTTAAAAGAGAAAATGACTATTACTTTTTATTATTACTATTATACAATTTAATTTATCGAAACTGTTGTGAAAAAAAAAAAAAAAAAACGTATTACATATTACAGACAATAATAATAGTAAATACTACAACAGTGAAATAGCTTCAAGAAATATTAAAAGTAATACATCATCTTTTTCTTTTTTTTCCCCCAAGTAATTCTATATAGACGAACACCTGTATGTTCTAATAATAATCTATCATCATTTCCTATTACTGTTATTATAGAAGACTTATTCCTTTTCTGAATAAATTCATGACTAAAAGATTCTACATCTAATCTCTCTATTTCTAATAATTTTTCACACGTATCAAAGAATAAATTCTCTTCATGTTGACTTAATCCTCGAGGTTTATATCCCATTAAAATAATCGCATTTCTATTTTTCTCAAGTAGTTGATAGAAGGTATCGATTAAAATAGGAAAATCTTTAGTATCATAAAGTACATCTGATACAAGAATATAATTGAAATATTTTTGTTTAACAACGATATCTTCAATATCTGATGTTGATCCCCATTTTAATCGTTCAATTGACACATGAGAAGTTGAAATTTGATTTAAGTGTTGATTTGTTCTTATTAATTGTAATGCTTCTTCTACATCTGTTAAAACGATCTTTGGTGGATTTATAGTCTGATATAAATTGCAATTCTTTGCAATAGATAAACCGATACATCCAACTCTAAATAATAAGAATATTTTTTTCTTTTTTTTTTAAAAAAAAGGGCTGATAAACTTACTTGACTTTATTTATATTACCCTGCACTTAGATCAAGTATTGTTGATCCAGAAAGATAATTTTTATCCACTTGAAACAATCTATTTAACACATAATTCATGACTAAAGCTGAATCCCAAAGTTTGCCTGGTGTTCCATGATCCCATACCTCTTGAAGCATCATGTATTGATTTTGTTTAACTAGTGGAAGTAGTCTATAAGTATTGACAACATTTTTTGGTAGATGATCCCATAAAATGACAGTCTTTGATAATGGTTCGACATCTTTTCCATCTTTTAATTGAAATGGTCCTAAACATAAAGAAAGGGGACTTTGTTGCTGTTGTTGTTGTTGTTGTTGTTGTGGCTGAAAATGAATAAAAAATTCACTCTTTTTAGTTGTTATATTTTTAGGTATAATTCTGTACTGTAAATCAATCTTGCAGCAAGCAAAGGAGAGTAGATCATTATCTTGTTGTTTCCAAGTATCTTGTTCTTCATAGATACGATATTCTATATCCAAGTCATTTGAGACTGAATAGGAACCCATATTATTGCCATCTTTTTGTTCTTTCCATTCAAATAATTGACAAATAACGGGAAGACGACGATTATAGATAGTAGAAGAAGGTAATATATGAACAGGTAAACCCATTTCAGTAACGAGTTTTAAGTTTACGATATACCAGGTATTTAATTTTAAGTTGGATTCCCTTATATTATCACTTAATATGATTCTGTGTACCTTACTATTTCTATAAAGGGCTTTCTTAAAATGCCCGCTATTATCAGAAGAAGAAGTACTATTTTTACCACAAAACGATGATGTAAGTTCGATAGTAGTATGAGGTGATGTAATTAGCATTATGATATAAAGTAGAAGTAAAAGTAAAAGAAAGAGTAAAAGGAAACGAAAAAAAAAAAAGTAAAAGTAAGTAATGTTATGTTATATTTTTGGTTGTATTTGAAATATGCATAAATAGTAAGTAATGTTGATATATACATTGAACCAATCAAATAAGTGTTATTTTTCCCAACCCTCAATTAAACCTATTTCTAAGCGTAACTTGGGTGATTGCATTTGTGAGTTCATATGCCACTTTTGATTTTGATCATAAATAATCCTTGCTTGTTGTTTTAAGCCTATAGTTTGATCTGTTAAATAGATATTAGAATATCCGATAAAGAAATCTTCTTTCCAATTGGCATATTGAATAACTAAGAATATATCAACTGTGGTTTGTTCTTCTGCTAACCATATTTTTATATCAGATAATTCACCTACAAAGAATAGTTGATGCTTGTAATCCATCGCTTTCCATTCATTTTCATTATATTGAACTGGACACTTAAATATTTGATTGCCAATCTTATATTGAAAATAGGCATCTTTAATATCTGTAAATGATCTTGTAATATCGGACAAGTGAATAGCTTCAAGTAATCGAAATATGAAACTGTATTGTTCCATTCCTTCTCCAACTTTAATAACTTCTGTTTCTTCTGCTTCTGATTCACTATTATTCGATATATCTTCTTCTAATTCACTAGATGATATATTGCTTTCTTCCTCTATCTCTAATGGATCATTTTTAAATAATTCGCTTGTATCTGAACAAATTTCTAAGCCCATTTCATCGTTTACTTTTCCAAATAAAACAGTATTATTATTATTATTATAGTAATGGCTATTATTAGATGATCTTGAAGGTGCTTCGATAGGTCTGCCAACTGTATTATTAGCAGGTACCTTTGCATTATTTGGCATTTCAACAATAAATAAGCCTGCTTGGATTTGTCCCTTCATGTGTTCATTGCCAACAGGTAACCATTGTCCTTTATCAATCACAAAGTTTTCGATTGTTTTAATATCGCTATTTTCTTCTAATATCCTCACCATTTTAGCATCCTCCATCTTGAATTCAATGGTCCCTAATTGATTTTCTGCACTAGTCACAGATATACTAACAAATTCTAATATGATGCTTGATTGTGTCTTTTTTAGTCTTTTGAGAAGTTGACTAGAAACAAAATAGACGAGTGTTGTCCTAATTCTAAATGATTCATGTAACGTAGTTGGTTTAGTAGATAAACGTGTATTAGGAGGTATTAAATCCTGTAACTGAGATGGTAAAATTAAGTTAAGTTGTGATCTAACGCAAAAGTCTTTATCTTCTTCTGCTTTAAACTCTTGACCTATTTGGAAAAAAATAAATATATTTAAAAGAAAAAAAAAAAAACTTTCATGTTTTATGAACTAGGTCATTTACCATCACCAATGGCAACGATTATAGCATAATGACAGTTTCTTGTAATTAAAAGAGACATTTCTTTAGAGAATATTAATAATGATCATATATTTTATATATAAAATAAAATAAAATAAAATCAAGTAAAATAAAATATTCATGGTCAATTTATCTATTTTATTTAATATATTATTTTTTAACACCTTTCACGTAAATGCAACCTGGATTAGGCATGTCATATAACCAACCTTCTTTTTTAAGAATCTTTAAGGTAGTTGGTAATAACTTAGCTTCACCATATTGTGAATGTTTACCTGCACCAGTAATGATCTTTAAAGGCTTGAATTCACGACGAGCTATTATTATATATGAAAGATGTATCAAAAATTCACATACTTTACATAAATGTGTAACCTATTTGTTTTCTTTACCTATCTGCATTTGACTTCGTGAATACCATTGGTTAAGGCCTTCTCTAACTACAACTTGTGCTTCTGCTACAGTTAATCCATGTAAATCTAATAAATGATCATCCTTTTGTTTTAATCGATGTTCGCGTACTGTCGCTCTTGCTGCTTTCATATTCCAATCTCTTGCTCTACTGTCAAGTTGTCTTGCTGTATCAGAATAATAAAATGCGATACCTCCTTCTCCAGGCCCTTTATTCTTGGCTTGACGATAAGCAGCAGCAGCTTTTCTAAATAACTCATTTCTTTCCATAATTAATTCCATTGCGATATTTCTACACTCTTCAGGATCGTCTTCTTCAAAGTTACCTTCATTATTGATTAATAAATAGTCGGGTATCACTGGTATCTCTTTCTTTTTAGCTTTAGCCCTGATCATTTCCGTTTCTTCTGCCATCTTTTTTAACCTCGCTTCAAGTTCTAATTGGCTCACATCAAAGGTTAAAAAGTGTTCAATACCCGTTTGAACAAGCTGATCCATCGTTTTCTTTTCTTGTTGCTGTTCTGGTAACTGTAACTTGTCAATAATAACACCTAAAGCAACACGTGAGACTTCATCAGCTGTACGATCGACCATAATAGCTTCTAATTCTTGTTTCAATTGTTCCCATTCTTTTGTAATTGTCCAAGTCATTTCATGTTGTGGCTTCTCATTAGGAAATTTTTCCATCAATGTCTTGACTGAAGCTATTATATTACCACGACAATGTTGTACACAGGTAGCAATGTTAACCTGAGGTACATGTTTAAAATAAGGTTGTAATCGATGGATCTTGTCATCATATTGATGCCAGAAATTGAATGGCACAGTAGCCATACCTTCATACTCTTCCATTGCTTTCATTTCTTCTTCTTTCTTCATGATTCTTTGCATATTATTGGAGATAGCTCCTGGATTAGCAGTATGGCCCTGTGTTGCACTAATCGTAGGCAGTTGACCTGAACTCCACAATTTTTTTTTATCACCGTTGTTTTTCTTTTTCCTTTTGCTATTTAATTTTGATTTTGTATAATCGAGAACAATACCTCCATCACGTTCTATTTGATCCAGGTATTCTCTATTTAATAATACATCAGTAGCTTTTTCAACATCATTATTCTGTGACTGAAGAGCATCTACAAGATTTTGTAAAGGTATAGTAGGAAAACAGGTCATTAGGAAATTAAAATTGTCTTTCTCACTTTCAGTGATATTTGTCGTTGTTATGGAAGAATTATCCAAGTCAAGATGTTCCAACGAAGCGGCAAGATCTTGTTGATCTAACTTCTTGTCTGCTTCTTTGGCTAATTCTGTTAAAATGTCAAATGAAGCATTAAAGTCAAAAGAATCATTCCAAATAGCCTGAATAAGCGAAGGATCTAAGGGTGGACAAAATGCAGCCTAAAGCAAAGAATAATAATAATAATAAATTATTGCTAATTTAAACACGAGTATGGATCTATATTTATATTCATATTTATATATTTTTTTTTCCTTTACTTGTAATTTGGCTTCATCCTTTGATCTATCTTTTTTAACAGGGGTTTCTTTCTTCTTTTTCTTGAAGGATGGCTGAAAGGACGTGTACTGATTGTCTTGTAATCTCCCCATCACTTAGACTATATTGCATTATTTTGTTGATATTGTCGAAACAGGAAAATAAAAAAATAAAAAAAAACCAACAATAGTTCAATTCAATCATAACTGAGTTTTTTTTTTTTTTTTTTTTTTTTTTTTTTTTTTTTTTTTTTAAATAGTATGAATATCCATGTATTATGATAAAAATGGTCCTAAGACAGTATGGTTTCATTTGATTACTGTAAACAATTTAAAATTACATAATATAAATACTTATAATTCATGGTTTATCGAGTAAAACTGATCATTAATTATTTATAAAATATATCGAGGAGAGAGGGTTTACTACAGTTGCCTCAAATCCTTAATTGTCCATAAAAAATATTACATATTTTTTTTTTAGTCAGAAAAAAAAAGGTCGGCATACAATAATGCTTAATGAACTTCACATTCGAGATAGGGTCAAGGTAACTCACTTTACAGAAATTAAGAAATATTTGATCGATGCTAGTTGCAGACTGTTTCAATGCCCTTTTTATTCTTTGTATTTCTATCCTATAAAAGTGAATAATTGTATAAAATAAAGCTCCCCCCCTCTATTATTAGCGTTGTTGAATTATGTCTAACTGCCTTCTTTAATAGGTTAGTATTTAAATATCACACAATGGCTTCTTTTTTTTTTTTTAGAGATCATTTCTAAGAGATGATAGTAATAAAAGGACAACTTTTCCTTGTCTCTCTTCCTTGAAAGAAAGTAAAAAAGAAAAGTCATTGGCTCTGCAACATGTGTTGTGCTTATTATTAAATCATAAAGTAGGAAGGAATGATGTATAAAGCCTACAAGTACAGATAAAAGAATTGTTGTGTGCAAATCAACAATACGTCAAAAAATAAAATAAAATTCGCAAGTTTATTACGAGTCCGAAAATCCAATAGTGTGCTGCTTTTATTTGATTTGTTTGGTTTATCGAGTCACATAAAACTCAGCCACATGGCCCGGCGATAGAAGAGGAGCGAGCGATGATGGTTAATAAAGTAGAATGCAAATATCATAACGGATTGAATCTTCCTTTTTTATCCCCTTGATAATTATCTCACAATGGTATGGCATCAATACACTAAATATACATCATAAAAGAATGTATATTCAATGGATGGATTATAAATATGATTGACTTATTTTGTATGTTTAGGCCCGTGGACCTAAGAAACACATGAAGCGTTTGGCAGCCCCCAAGCACTGGATGCTTGATAAACTTTTGGGTAAGAAGAATACTGATTTGCGAATTCGATTTTATTTGCTTTTGTAATTGTGATCACCATGTATGTGTAATATACATATATATGTATGTATGTATATATGTATGTATTGGACGACCACGAGATGATTATAGATCGAATGGAAGCGTTTATATATACATGGATAATCTTTTTTTTTAACACAACATGTGATCATGTTACAGCTGATGAAATCGAAAAAAAACAAATCGCTTCATTTTAAACTTTCGGTTCTCTTACTAATTTTTTTATAGGTTCTTATGCCCCTAAGCCCTCTTCTGGTCCCCACAAGACTCGTGAATGTCTTCCTTTGATCGTCTTCATCCGTAACCGTTTGAAGTATGCTCTTAATGGTCGTGAAGCTCAAGCTATCTTGATGCAACGTTTGGTCAAGGTTGACGGTCGTGTCCGTACCGATTCCACCTTCCCCGCTGGTTTCATGGATGTTGTCTCCATTGAAAAGACCGGTGAAAACTTCCGTCTTGTCTATGATGTCAAGGGTCGTTTCGCTGTCCACCGTATCACTGATGAAGAAGCCAAGTACAAGCTCTGTAAGGTCAAGAAGGTTCTCGTCGGTGCTAAGGGTATTCCTTACATCACCACCCACGATGGTCGTACTATCCGTTACCCCGATCCTTTGATCAAGGCTAACGATACCGTCCGTTTCGATCTCGAAAACAACAAGATCTTGGATTTCATCAAGTTCGAAGTTGGTAACCTTGTCATGGTTACTGGTGGTCGTAACATTGGTCGTGTTGGTCAAATCGTTCACCGTGAACGTCACATTGGTGGTTTCGAAATTGTTCACATCAAGGATGCTCTTGATCGTGTCTTTGCCACTCGTATCTCTAACGTCTTCGTTATTGGTCAAGAAAACAAGCCTATGATCTCTCTTCCTAAGGGTAAGGGTGTCAAGCTTTCTATCACTGAAGAACGTGATCGTCGTAGAGCTGCTGCTGCTGCTGCCAAGAACTAAATTAAATAACTTTTTTTTTTCTTGTAAAATTCTAATAAAAAAAAAAGGTTGTGATTTAATTATCTATTATTCATTTTAAGATGTTTATTTATTGTGTGTTGGTACATCTTTAAAGATTTTTTTTTTATATTAAGACTAAACAAACAAAGGGAATTTTATTATAGTAAAACCAATTTTTTTTTAACTATTCAAATAACAATGAGTTGCAACGATGAAAGCGAGTTTTTATTTTTGTAGCATTAACCTCTTTTCCAATATGTCTACAAACATGGAATGGAAATTATCTACATCCTTAAAGCCTTCAATGTATGATGGAGTTAACGATTAAAAAAAAATATATATACATGTATATATACATGTATGTATGTCTTACTTACTTGGAAAATAATTGACATCCACTACATAATAATGATTGGTTTGTGATTCTAACAAGACATCAAAGCCAAAGAAAGTGAGTCCCTATTAAAATAGAAAGTGTAAGCTTACTTCCTTTTTCTTTTCTTTTCTTTACCAATTGAAGTTGCAAGCTGTCTGCTATCTTTTGTAATCTATTATTATCCAAAATCGATTCTTTATATCCATGAACATTATTTGGATCAGACCTTAAAAAGACTTTGTCAAGTTCATCTGAAAGTTCAATTTCTGTCTCGAAGCTCTTTGGTAATGTTTGACTATCAAAATGGACTACATCTAATTATAATGTGTATATGTTGTAAGTGTGGGGGTGGGGGTGCCATCTTAATATAGGCTTCGCCTCCTCCCTTCAAATTTAAATAAATCAACAACACTTTTTATACCTCCAGTTTTATCCAAATTTTTAAATGAAGGTCTAGTTGATGCAGTAATTTGTCCATCTGCTACGTAAACTTTAACTATTACGCCGTCATGTTGAATAAATTCTTGCAACATAACCGAGTCATTCTTTACAAACATTTCTAATTTTGCCATGCCTTGTTTAGAGGGTATAAGAGTCATTTGATGAGCCTCAGTTGAAGAACAAGCTGTCCTACGTTTACACATTACCTACATACACCGAAAGTATTAAAAGACATCATCTCCATATTATATTATATTATATTATAGCATTACACTTTACTGGAAAATTTATCTCTGCTGTATCTTTCGTATTCCAATCTTTTATAGAATCTAAAGCCATACTTTTTGGTACATGAAATAATGGTTGACCATCTAATGAGTGTGTATATATTAATATTGAACATAGACACTCCTTCCCTTCTTTATTTTATATCGTAGTTTTGTCTGCTGCCTATTTTACCTAATATCTCCTTTTCTGAACATGTTTGTGTATGATGGTATAAATGCATTCTATCCAATACCTTTTCAATATTTATCCAAGCATCAATAATAATCACCTCTGGATGCCTTTTACTATATTCCTATTGAACTTGTTAATTTTTTTATTATTTAACTATTATGTATTGTATAGACCTTACAATAAAATTGTCATATAACTTTTTTGCCTCAATATCACCGCGGTCTATTTTTGCAACAAGATCAGTCATCTTGTGTACGATCAAGTCTAATTTTCCTTGTTCTTCAAAAGGTTTCGAGATATCAATATGAATAATACGAATATTTCGTTTACTAATAATAATAAAAAAAGAAAGAATGTCAATCTTATTTAGATCATCTTTTTTTGTTCTCGCGTTCCAATAAACTTACATTGCATATTCTTCGAGTCCTATAAAGCCTGAACGAACGATTTTTTTCCTTGTAAAGATTAATCCGACTGTTTTTATACCATAACTCATTATAAGAATAAAAAAAAAGGGGGGGGGAAAGGAAGTGAGTTGATTTATATAATCTCTCTAAATTGAAAAAAAAAAAGAAAAAATATGTGGATATATAAAAATATTTATTTATTAATATTTATAAAAAAAAAGAAAGAATAAAAATTACATAAAGTTAAACTTTTTTTAGTCCGACATTAATATTATTAAGGTCAGGGTAACATGGAGTAGTATATGAATACATATAGAATTCTTTTTTTTTTTTATAGCAGCATTCTTCTTTATTCTGCTATTATTATAGATAGACTTCTTGCATGGAAAAAAAAAAGAAACAAAATTTCCAAGTTGGGTAATTTAAAAAAGAAAAAGGAAAAAAAAAAAAAGAAGAATTCCTATAATTGAAGACAATATACGATATAAATTAACCTTACCCGTGTATGTATGTATGTTAGTTAGTTCAGGAGTAGAGAATTAAAGGTAAATAAATACAAATGAACTACATCTCATATGAATAGAGTCTTTATGAATCAAGTTCGTGGAGAGTGGTACAGACAACAGACTAACAAAGAAGAAAGTAGATAGAGTAGAAAGTTTAGTCAAGGAACCTTTCACTAGTATCTGGAAATAATGATGTTTGTAGATCAATTGTATCATTAGCAATTCATATATAGAGTGATGAAAAGAGATAAAGAGAGAGAGAGAGAGAGAGAACAAGTAGTGAATAAGCTGCATACTATAGAATTTGAAACAGAGTTAAAAATAATTTTGAGATGATGCCAAGAAGATAATGAAATATCCTATATTTGTTGTGCCTGAATATAGGTGATGATTTCATGAAAAAAAAAAGTAGCTTACGATTCGTTTATATGAATAAGTACGTATATGTATACTATTTTTGTAATTAGCCTTTTGTTTTATTATATTCCAAGAGTCAATCAACTCTATTGCAATATCAAGATATGACTACTGCTACTGCCCTTTTATTCTCTCGAGTGATATACTAGAAATAATTCATTTTATATATTTATAAAATATACACATACACGGTAGTCGCCAGCCTATTACTACTACTCTTCTATGATAACCTATTTAGGAGCATTGACTACTACTTTATTCTCCTTGTAGTAATTATCAAATGATGATTGAAAAGTTGCTGCTGTTGATTTACTCGTCGTCGTCGTCCGGATAGAATTAATAGTAGTAGTAGTAGTAGCAGCAGAAAATTAATATCGGGTCTTGAAGTGTTCACACACAATTCAAACAAGTGTTTCAATTTCATTGGCCAAGTAGCAAAAAGTAGTAGCAAAAGTAAAGATCACAAATTATTATATATAAAAATATTGAACTGCGCAACCCTTTTTTCCTTTTTTTTTTTTTTTTTTTTTTTTTTTTTTTTTCCCTTTAGTCGACTTTTAATATCTCCATTGGGTGTCTTTATTTGTGTGTGTGTGTGTGTGTGTATATATATATAAATATAAATATATAATGAACGTCAACGATCCTCTTACTGAACTATTATCATTGCCAGTCAATTTTACTGTTGAGCCCCTGTTAACTCCAAACAACTCAGTCCCAGTAATGAATAAAAAGAGACAACAAGAGGGACCCATCGTCTCACTTAAAAAAACAAGACTTTCATTAGACGATAAAGATCAAAAGACAAAAGAAAGAATACTTCGTAATCGTGCAGCTGCTCAGGAATCTCGTGATAAAAAGCGTAGATATATTGCTGATCTTGAGAATAACAATAAACGACTTACAGAAGAAAATGAAAGAATGAATAAACATATAAAGGACTTGGAAGATCAAAATGCAATGTTAACTTCACAACTGGAAGCTTTTAGTCGTCAATTAGCTACCTTACAAACACAAATTAAATTCAATGTCATCACCGCCACAACTCCTCCTATCTTGTTTAATGACTTTTGCGATTCAGCACGGATCGCGAAGAAGGAATTAATCAAAGTCGTCTCATAACAAAAGAAACCCCATATTACATATATATTTATATATATTCATATACACACACATATATATATACATACACATATATAGGCACCCAATGGAGATATCATTTTATTCCTTTTCCCTGCAGCGGAGGTTGTTAAACAAGATAAGAGTGTCGTTGGGCCAAGTAAAGATATGTTATTATTACCTGTCACTACTACGTCTCCCGTATTGTCACCTTCTTTCTCTTCAGATGAAGATTCTGTGTATTCACCAAATACAATAGTTAATCCGGATTTCCAATTGGATGATTTGTTTGATTGGGAAGGTCATCAAACAGCTACTCAACAATAATAGTAGTAATAATAATAATAATTTTTGTTTTGTTTTTGTTTACATATCGCATTCTTCTTCTTTTATATATAAATATATATAAATATGTACATGTATATACGTATATATATAGATATTTCCTCCTTATATGCATACATACATACATTTGTATATATACATTTATATATATATTTAATACAACACCTATTATTCATTCTTTTTATTTATTTTCTTTTTTTTTATTATTATTATTAATAAAGTTTTTTGATCATTTGTTATAATTTTAACCTGTAAATGAATATCTGATATCATTAAAATAAGGATGATTTAAAGCATCTTTAGCCGTAATTCTCATTTGAGGTTGATATTGAAGCATACGACCTAATAAGTCTAGACCAACAGGATCTATGCTTGGTAAAAATTGAGATAGATGTTGTGGGGGGTAAATGACTTGCGGAGGTTTATATTCGGGTAACTGAGTAATAGTAGGCCAAGTTTGTTCTGTGGGCGTCCCCATAAGACGGAAAATCTTTTGTAACTGGTCTTCATTGGTTGTTCCTGAAAATAAAGGTCTACCTGTATACATCTCTGCCATAATACATCCTACAGACCAGATATCAATCGATGTGGAGTACATACGAGAACCTAAAAGGACGTCAGGTGCACGATACCATAACGTGACGACTTCATTTGAAAACGTATTGACGGGGATACCAAAGGCTCTGGCTAAGCCAAAGTCACCAATCTTGAGTTGATGATGTTTATTAATTAATAAATTTTGTGGTTTCAAATCTCGATGTAAGACACGGTTCTCATGACAGTAGGCTATACCCCGTAATAGTTGATAGAGGAATGACTTGATAGTATTGACATCTAATGCACCTAAATTAGAACGTAAGGCTGCATCCATATATTTCTTTAAATCTTGGTCCATATATTCAAATACAAGGGTTAACTTGTTTTCTGTATGAATAACATCGAATAGGCGAACAATGTTAGGATGTTTCAATTCTTTCATGAGTGAGATTTCTCGAATGGCAGTTGATGGAGCACCTTCTTCTGGATCCAAATGTATTTCCTTTAATGCAACAATGTCGCCCGTCACCTTATTTTTACCTTTGTAAACCGTTGCATAAGTACCTTCACCTAACTTTTCTGAACGTGTATACTTTTGATCAGGAGGAATACTATGTGTTGCCATGGTAAAGATAACTCACTTATTCCTATTTATTTATTTATTGAGAAAACAAAACAAGTAAAAAAAAAAAAAAATAAAGAAAAAAACAAAAGAAAAAGAAAATAAAAAGCAAAAAAAAAAAAAAAAAAAAAAAAAAACTGTTTAATTTTACTTAGTTTAAAATCATATTCTGAAATTAAATTTCATCGTAAACTAACAACAAAGCTGCTTCATTAACTCAAACTGTTCAAGGAGCATAATAAGTAAATAATAAACACCTTTTTTTTGATATGATTTGAGAATAATAACAAAAGCTCTTCAAAATGACGAAAGGAGTTCTATTATGTCATTACAAGATAGCACACAAAAGGGCTTATAGTAATAGCTCTGTCCTTTGTAGGACGTGATGTACTCTTCTGTTCAACTTAATAATAGGTCTTTTCTTTATTTATTGAATTTGATTGTGCTCATCATGTTTCGAATTCAACTATTAATTTTAACATTATCCAGTTGATGTTATCTTTAGTCATCTCTCTTTATACTCTTTAAAAAAAAAAAGAAACCAATCAACGCATCAGAAGAAATAGTGACAAATCGCCAATGAAAATAACGCTGCAGATAATACACTACTTGGCAGTTATTGGTAAACATAATCATAAGGATTGCTGGTTACGTGTTTATCTTTCAAGATAGGAGACCAATATACTATTGAAAAAGAAATGGTACCACCTTCTTAACCGATTTTAGTGATACACACCAAAAAAAAATAAACTTAATTGTTCTTTCAAAGATTGACATAAACCAATTATTATCTTTGAATTCTCATCCATTTACAGCAACCCTCCCCCTCCCCCATTGGACCACGCTCTGGCGTATTCTGACAAATAAAAAACTTTTCAGTGATTGCACATACTAATAAAATATGATTCATTGCTTTATTTAAATAGACAAGACTACTCATTAGCATCTCTGGTCTACCTTTTACATGATAACTAATAGCTTACAACACATATATCCCACAATCTATATTTACAAGAAAGTATATCAACTCGAACTGTTCTATTATAGAGTTGATATAACTTGTAATAGCAATCTCTATTATGCATGATTCAGCTAAGTTTTGACTTCCGTCGCTAGGCAACATTATCTTGTATAAAGCTTTAAGGTATTGGATTTAAACTGGCTCCCCAATTGAGCAAGAGATTAGTGGAGGTAGGCTTTTTTTTTTTATTGTTGACCATTTGACATGTAATGTACCAATATTGTTACTGGAAGATTTGCTTGGATATAATTTCGGGGAGAAGTTTTTTTTTTTTTTTTTTTTTTTTTTTTTTTTTTTTTTATATATATATATATATATATATAAATATATATATATCTTAAAGTAATTTGGCCCTAAAAAATAATTTATCGAATAATATATCCCCTACAAACTGTCATCATAGTTTTAGACTTCAGCACAGTTGTGTTGTATTCATTATTGACACACTTGTCGAAGGAAAGCTTGATTACTTTTAATAAACTTTGGTTTCTGTGTCATTACTGACTGGTATTTTGTAATTATGCTGAACTAGAGGATTTTCTTGTTGATGGCTTTATGTCTGTATCTGTTATATTGTACTGAAGTGTCTAAACTTACTTTCTGTTCCTCTCTTTTAATACTTTCAGTCTAATTCTTTCATTTTTCGATTTGTGCCTATAATTCTAGTTAATGAAAGAAGAATAAGAAATAGAATGAACTGAAAAAAAAAAGGCTTTTCTGCACTTTTGTCTACTGAATCTAGGGTTCATATTACAATGAGCACTTTGGATATTTTTTCTTGAGGGGGGGGAGGAGGAGGAGGAGGGAGTATAATGGCTACTAATTGACATACAATCAACACATTGTACCTCTAATGTTTTCATATAAATATCCATTCAACTAATCTATTTTCGTATAATTTATATGCAAAAAAAAAGGGAACAATTTTAACGTCATTTCACGTTTCAGACAAGCGCTGTCACCCATCGCATCCCACTAAGCTAAAAGTACGGTAATTTTATCACTGTCCTTCTTTGCAGACTTAGCATATCACTGTATTAAACATAGTTAGAATATTGTTATCACAACAGGTGAAATGATGATGTCTATATCTAAATTTCCTTTTTTTTTATATTTCATCCAAAAAAGGCAAGCCATAGTATCTGGATTTTGATTTTGATTTAATTCAAAGTAGGATATTAAAAAAGCACTGGTATTGTAATTTTTTTTTTATTATTATTATTTTGTCTGACTTGCCAAATGGAGGAGAATGTTTATCATAAAATATGTAATGTGTTAAAAAAAAATAAAATAGAATTATAATAATTAAAAAAAAAAGTTTCTTTTCTTTACTTTTTTTTTTTTCAAAAAAAAAAAAAATGTCTAAATATAATAGTTTATCTGTTCGTCTATCAAAGGAGCAAAGAGTCTATAAACAACTAATAAATAGAGAAGCATTAATCGATGCATTATTATCCTTGTACAATAACGCTACCAATTGTCAAAGAAATAAGAAAAACGATGGCGAGAATATCAATAAATTTATTCAATTATGTAATAGAATTTTTACATGTTAAAGAAAACAAACCCAAAGTAACGCTTCTCTCTCTCTTTCTCTTTCTCTTTTTTTTCTTTTTCTTTTTCTTTTTTCTTTTTCTCTTAGATAAATCTGTTTATTATGAATTAAATAAATCCCGGTTATCTTTAAAAGATTTTGAAATATTACACAAAGATTTATATGCAGAAGGTGCATTTGGGAAAGTGATGATAGTAAAGAACAAAAGAGACAGTTGTATTTATGCCATGAAGACGTCCAGTAAAGCAAAATTAATTAATCAGATGGATCGTTCATCACCTATGGAGGAGCGACTTATATTATCAAACCAAAATGAGGAATGGCTACCTAAATTATATGCTGCCTTTCAGGACAAGAAGAATTTATATTTAATTATGGAATATGCTCCTGGTGGTGACCTTCAAGGTCTCATCGAAAGACGTTCCTATAAGCCATTCTCAGAGGAAGAAGCCCAGTTTTATTGTGCTGAATTAATTCTTGCAATAGAAAGGGTGCATCAGTTGGGATATATGCATCGTGATATAAAGCCTGGAAATATTTTGATTGATAAGAATGGTCATATCAAATTGGGTGATCTTGGTTCTTGTATCTCGATTGACACAAAAGTAAACTACACTATATACATATATTTTGTTTGTTTATTTATTTATATTTATCTATTTTGCTTTTAATAGGACTATCTTTTAATGGTAGGAACAATGCCATATATTTCACCAGAGATGTGTAATTCAGAAGGAATAAATCCTTCAAAAGGACCTGCGTATGGACCTGAGGTCGATTGGTGGTCTGTAGGTATCGTACTTTATGAACTTTTATACGGTGAACGTCCATTTACGGGCTCTGATATACAAATTCAAATGAATCTTTTGAATCCAAAGGTAATATAAGCTCAACGAAATATGTATATACTCTAAAATGAATAACCAAAATTTAAATGCTTCCACTTTCTCTCTCTTAGATATCCGTTCAATTCAATTCAGATATCAAAGTGTCAGATCAAGCTAAAGATTTACTATCAAAGTAAAAAAAAAAAAAAAAAAAAAAATCTAAATGCTTAATTTACTAACATTCATATACATATATAATATGTATTATAATAAAAGACTATTAACAAAAGAGAAAAGTAAAAGATTAGGCTATAATGGTAACGCCACTGAAATTAAATCACATCCCTTTTTTAAGGGCATCCAGTGGGACACAGTACATAAATCAATGACTCCACCATTTATCCCATTTATTAAATCGCCCGATGATATTACATTCTTTTCTACTACACATAACGAGCACGAAAATGAGGACAATCAAATCGATGATAATGATAATGATAATGATGATAATGCTAATGACGACGACGATGACAACGACGACGATGATGATGATACCCTTTATAATGAATATCCATTTATCGGTTATAGTTATATAAGTGAGGATGTTCCAAAGATAAATACAACAGGATTGAGGGCAAGTAGTAGTAATAAGGAATTTATTGCTCAACTTCGACAAAAGTTAAATAGCAGTCCAGAACCAAGGCATTGGGGGGAGGATGAAAAGATAAAACTTAAAGCAGCACATGAAGAAGAGATTATGAAAATGAAAACTGAACACTCTATAGAATTGAAACGACTTCAAACTCTGTTAAATGAACAAACAACTAAACAGTCTATTGATGAGATTGAAAGGCAATTAGAGGAGGCCAGACTTAAGAACATGCATCTTGAATCTTCTATTCATGTACTGGAAAAGGAAAAGGAAGAATTAATAAAGGCACAGCAATCAAGGCATAACTCTAAAGATGATGACATGATGAATGCACTTCAAAAGGAAAATACTAATTTGGAATCCTCTCTAAATGACATACAAACTTTGAATCAGCGTTTGGAATCTGAAAATGCGCAATTAAAGGCACAGTTAGCGAAATCAACTGAACTAGAGGCCTCCTTAGGCGAGTTGAAGTTGGAAAATGAAAAGTTAAATCAAACAACCAAGTCTATCAAGGACCTTGAGGAAATAAACATCCATCAGCAAAAGAAGTTAGCCCAGTTGGAAGAGGAGATCCAGCTTATGACGTCACAGATGAAAGAGGATCAGGATCGTATCTTGAGCTTACAAAAGGAAAATGACAACAACAGGCTTGAATACAGTAACCAACTCTCAGAGCTACAAGGGACTATTCAGGCACTTGAAAATAAATTAGATGAAGAAACCAAGCATTCACAAGAGATAAAGTCACATTATGAACAAACGCTAAAGGACCAAGCAAACGACTATGACCAATTTATGAAACAAATAAAGACAGAATGTCTCGATCTCAGACACAAATTAGACGAGCTTCAAAATGATGATGATAATAATAATAGAAAGGTATCATCAGTACCTACTTTAAACAAGGGGAAGACAGATACATCAGAAGAGAAATCAATACTATCCGTTATGTGGCAACGTGATCGTGACTCATTAAAGCTTACTCAACAAGCGTTAGAAGAATCCGAAAATAATCTGGCTTTAGCAAGAAAGCAGATACTACAACTAAAGAAAGAAATGAAACACTTTCAGAAATCTTCATTTTTGCAGCAAAAGAAGGTGTATCCATATAATAATGAAGATACTGTACAAATCAAAAAAGATATACCTTTATTACCAAAGACAAAAAAGCCTATGCCACCCATTCCACAAAAATCTAATAATGATAGTGGATTAAGTGAAATTGTAAGGAGGTATAATAATAAATACCAGTTTTAATCATTTTATAGTGTACTTAACTCTTTTTTTTTTTTTTCTCTTTACAAGCCCTATAGTAGAAATTTTAAATGATAACAAAGCTAATAATCTAATACTGGATCGTATTCAATGGGGGAAAAGTTTTATTCAAAGCACAGAAAAGATGATTGATTCTCGAACAAAACTAGGTCAAACAAAAGAAGAGATTGATAAAGAGCTAAGACTTTCATTAGATCAAGCCCATACAGCCGTATCTTTTATGGAAAGTCAAATAAAAAATAAGGTAGTATCTATGTACACATGTACATGTGTTTTATTATATAGATTACGTAACTAACATTTATATATATATTCTTAGACATTTGCACCTTCTGATTTTTTTTAATTGCAAATAAAAAAAAAAAAAAAAAGCTTTCGACATTATAATATCATCAATAGGAATGCGAAGCTTTTTTTTTTTTTTCCTGTATATATTTTTAATAAAAAAAAAAGCAGTATAATATACACTGTTTTGTTGTATTTGTAAATAAAATAAAATGTATCTAACAATATTAAACAATAATAGCATGATGCTTAATTAAATGTTGAAATATATATCTTACAAATGTAATAATAATAATAATAATAAATAATTTTAACGATGAATTGATCTGAATCTATCAGAAAGTGAACTCCAGAAGGATTCTCTTCTAGGATGTCCATATTCATCATATTCATCCATTTGCTGTTGTGGTGCTAAATAGACACCAGGTTGCTGTGCAGCAGCATATGTGCCATATCCTGAACCAGCAGGATTCATGATGTGTGGGTCAGAAGAGGGATGATATCCAGATCCAGTAGCAGCAGCAAACTGATTATTCCATTCCATACCTTGTTGATATGGATCTGCATAGAAATCCTCGTTATCTAATTCACTTTGTCGTTGTTTAAGAAGGATGCCTTTTTTATATCGTTTGCGAGCAAAGAAAATACCACCGACTAAGATGGCAAAGCCTGCTGTTGCACCTACTACTGCACCAGCAATCGTTCCACCTGATGTATGTCTTGATATGGTTTCAAAGTTTGATTTATCTGCTATCAAAGAAGGTACAAGAGTCCTATCATACACACAAGTTATATCTTCTAAGCCATGCCATAATATATCAAATATATATATATATATATATATATACTTACGTTGTAGGAACAACAGTAGTAACTGTTACAGTTATACCATTAAGAACAACTTCAGTTAAAGTAGGAACTTCAGTTGTAGCAGTTACCATTACAATTTTGGATCCTGTTGGTGCTAATAATGGAGAAGTGTGCGCCATTTGATTACGAGAAGTTGAGAGAGTGGGCAACTGCATATATATATATATAAATATTAGCATTGATAATTAATGATTTTTGCCTCTCTCTCTCTCTCTCTATATATATATATATATATATAACATTTAACTTACAATTGAATTAGATGAACTAGTAGTACTGTAAGTCATAGACGTTAAACTCAAAGTACGTGTGATAGATTCAGGAAGCAAACTAGTAGTACTTGATACTACCATCGTACTTCTAGTAGGTGACACATCACTTGTTGTTGTAAGGCTTGAAGGATCTGATGAAATAGCTGAACTGGACGTAGTTATTGTTGACGAATGGGTAGATGACTCTATAGTAGCTGTCGATGTTACTTCTATAGAAGACGATATGCTTAATGATGTTGTAGTTGGAAATACAGTAGAAGAAGGTATCATACTAGATTCACTCGTAGTAGATTCGACAGAGTTACTTGAAGATGTTATTGTCATAGAGGACGCTGAAGAAGGAGTTGAGGTACTATCGGATAATGTTGTAGATGACACTACAGTAGCTGATTCAGACGCTGAAGAAGGAGTTGAGGTACTATCGGATAATGTAGTAGATGATACTATAGTAGCTGATTCAGACGCTGTTGCTGTAGCTGTAGCTGTGGTCCTAATTGGCTGTGATATGACAGAGTTAGATTCAGTAGTAGTACTTGTAAATGGTATATTTGAACTAGTAATTTCAACAGATGTCGGTACTGTCGATATGGTTGACGTAATAGTATCTAAGGAAGAAACTGTCTGTGTTATATCAGTCGTTGCTGAAGATCCGGTAGTAGTTATAGCTTTATCAGATGTACTAGTCGAAACTGCTATTGAAGGAGTACTTGATGTTATATCAGTTGTAGAGCTTGTTAAAGGATTAGTCACACTGTCACTTGTTGTTATAGTGCTGACAGTAGTTGACTGAGTAGCAGACGTAATTGGATCATTGGTGGTTGTTGTCTCCGCAACTGATGTACTAATTGAAGTCTAATATGTATAAAAAGTAAGTACATTATTGGATAATCAAATAGATTTGAAAGTTTTTTTTTTTTTTTTTTTTTTTTTTTTTTTTTTTTTTTTTAAAAAAAAAACAACAACAACAACATAAACTTACAATACTTTCTGATTTTGTTGCTTCCGCAGACGTTGTTGCTTCCGCAGACGTTGTTGCTTCCGCAGACGTTGTTGCTTCCGCAGACGTTGTTGCTTCCGCAGACGTTGTTGCTTCCGCAGATGTTGTTGTTTCCGCAGACGTTGTTGCTTCCGCAGACGTTGTTGTTTCCGCAGACGTTGTTGCCTCTAAAGATGTAGTAGTACTAGTAGTAGGATCTTTAGACGTAGTAGTTGTCTCACGAGTTATTGTTTTCTCTGAGGATGCTGAAGTGTAATTGTTCGTGGTAGTGGAACCCTCACTAGTAGTTGTTCGAGTGCTATCCTCAGTGGTTGTTGTTGGTTCTTCTGTTACAGTTGTAGCCTCTGCCCTTTTTGTAGTTGTTATTCTATTTGTTTCATCAGTAGTAGCAGATTGTGAAGGATTCATATTATAAGTTGAAGTTGGTATTTTTTTTTTTTCAAGTGAAGATTTACAGAAAAAAAAAAAAGAAAATCAGAAAAGTAGTTTAATGTCAAATATAAATTGTTATCATTCATATTCAGGAGTTCCAAAAAAAAAAAAGAAAAAAAAAATGAAACAAATGTCAAGCGAAATCCATGAACCGGAAGTTAAATAATTAGTAAATGAAAAAAGTAATTGTATTTTTAGTACATGAAAAAAAAAAAAATTAGTGAAAACCATATTAGATTTATCAAGTGAACAATAATACTCACGGTATAGTCATTGACTTAGATGTGTTAGTTATAATATTACTTGAGGTTGTAATAGTCTCTGTTTGAATCTCTTCTGAACTAGTAATTGTAGTTTCAGTTGTAGTAGCCATAGTTGACTTCATTGTAGTAGTCTTTGTGATTGAATTATCAGAAGAAGTAGTAAACTCGCCTGATGTTGTAGTTGACTTGTCAGAATTGATCGTGGACTGCTTTAATGTTGAAGTAGAAGTATCGGTAGTTGTAGTAGAATATTCTGAAGTCACTATTGACTTCTCTGAAGAGGTAGTAGTAATTACTGCTGCTGCTGTTGTTGTTATTTCCATTTTAGTTGTTATCGTCGGTGTTTCTCTCGTAATAGAAGTAGTAATGGCTGTAGTCATTTTTTCAGTTTCTATAGCAGTAGTCGTTCTAGTAGGTTCGTCACTCGTAGTATATTTACTTGAACTAGCTGTTGTTGGTTTTTCTTCATCGCTAGATGTAGTTCTGATATCTTCTGTAGTAGTATTTGTAGGTCTATCAGAATCTGTCGATGTTGTCCTCTTTTCATTACTATGATTTTCTGTTGTTGTAGGGATGAAAGAGTCATCATTATTGGTTGTACTAGTTTTAGCCTCTTCTGTTATCGTCGTTTCAGATTTTAAGTTTAACCTTATTGCTTCCTATAGTAGCAACAATTATAATGGAGATTATTTTTTTTTTAGGAAAAAGCTCTTTTTTTTTTTTCCTTTACAATATTTATATACCTGATTATTTTCTGTTTGTGTAGGTAACACCGCTTGATTGTTAATTATCAAGGTTGTATATCTACTGTCCTCTCTAACAGTATTAGTTGGAATTTCATTATCATTACTTGATGTCGCTCTAGTTGATATATATTCTTTGGTGCTCACTGTCACAATAGTTACTTGATTAATCGTATTGTTAGCGGTTATAATAGGCTCTTCCTTACCATCTAGTAAACCTATTTTATCTTCTATAGGCTTAACACCATTAAAATTCAAAGTATCATCATCATCATGAACATTCTAAATATTTTCCATATTTATAAGAACTTTTGTAAGGAAGCTATATTAGATTACAAAATCGAATACTAACATTCAATTTATTATCATTGATGTTATTATATGAAGAATCCTTTCTGTTGTTGTTATCGTTATCGTTACTGTTATTCATATTTCCTTGGGAATAATCAGCTGAAATCGATAGTTTTTGTTTCAAGTAGTTGATTTCTTCTTCAATTTGTGAAGGATAATTCATGCTGTTCATCTCTTTCAATGACAATTAAAACAATAAAAATAGAAAAAGATTTTTTTTTTAAAAAAAAAAAAAAAAACTTCTCTTTAACAAGAGAAAAAGAACAATACTAGCTGTCATATATTCAAAGGGTTAATCACTTGAGCCGGAGTCACTAATAATAAAAAAGAAAAAAAAAACCTTAAATGATCAAAGCGTTTTGAATCCTAATTCACTGAGCTTCATGTTAGCCCCTGATACACTGTCAGAATGTTTTACTTTAATTTATATTAGTTCTAAAAATATTAACGTTCAAGATAATTTTTTCTAGCTTAAAAAAATAAAAGACGGAATTTATCCGAAAGATTACATACAAATAAGGGTTAAAAGTCACAATTTCAATACTCTTTCTACAAATAAATCCAAATAGAACTTTAGATATCGCGTAATAACATTTAATAAGGTTTCTCAGGTTTTAATAAGCAGCTATCATTTACTTTGATCTATTATTAACGTTGTCGGTAAGTACTGTTATTGTTAGGTCTGGGCAATAGTAACCCATTTTTTTTTTATTCTGTGTAATGTTATTACATCATCATAGACAATCCTAAAAGACTATTTGTTTTGATATTACAGTAATAACGTATAATCTTTGAATCTACATTATAAGAAAATAAACTCGTCTTTAAACATGATTTTGATAATTGTTGATAAAATGAAACTCATAATAAAGCGGTGTAAAACAATAGAAGCAACATTAAACTCAAAGGGAATATAATAGTTTGTAATAATAGACATGTTTAAGCTATTTTAATCTAAATCTGCAATAAAACATTGAGTTTTCTCTATAAATGTGTCTACTGGAATACCTAATTTCCAATCTATGTGACCAGCGCCAAGATACATAACAGCAGGCTACATACAAAATAATTATTATTACATAAATACTATCTTTGACTTTTATATAAACAAATATATACCTTTAATTTGGTAATTGACTCGGCCAAGATAATAGGGATAGGTTCTTTCATACCTTTTTATAATAGTTTTTTTTTTAAAAAAAATAAAAAATACAATACAAATATAGCATTCTTTTTTTTTTTTCATTTACTTACCTATAGGGCTAACGCCACCTTTTTCAAAACCAGTAAGCTTCAATGATACCTTAAAATATTTATATACATGTAATAATAAAAGGTCAATAAAGGATATAGACTTCTTTGGAATATAATCTTCTTACTTCTTGATCAGCTAGACGATAGTTGTAGTATTTTTTACTAATTTCCTTATTTTTCATTGCACGACAATAATTTAATAATTTTTGCGTATTGACAGGTTTAACATACTATTATATAATTTATATTTTACATAACTACATGCTATTTTTTTTTTTTAATTTTTGTACCTGAGTAATAACGCAGTAATATCTGGAATAAAGGGGATCTATAGCAACAAAACTATGATATAAGCTGCTTTAAAACTAATAAAATATATCCTCTTCTTTTCATACCTGAAATATCTTCGTGAGTACAGCGAGTATTTTCTAAAATGACACTTTTACACATGTGTTCCTTTGATGGAGCATTAACTCGAAATCTAAAAAAAAAAAAAAAAAAAAGACAAACATTGAACTATTCTGTTATATTCTCAAGCCATGGGTATAAATTATTTTTACGCTCTTTGCTGAAGTTCCCAATCATAATAGTCAGATTCAACAGGAATAATTTGACATTGATCTAAAATCCCTAATTCTTGACAACTCTTTTCAACCTTTATTATTATTATTATTTGTATTAGCAATAATGATTTACTAATCATCAGTGTTATTATTTTACCTGCTTTACAACTTCAGGACAGTCATCATACAAGCGTTTTTTACATTCAGCTTCCCATTCTTTTTTATACTCTTCAGAAACAGTACTATAAAGACAACTTATTTCATATTGAAGCTTCTATTTATTTTTTTATTAAAAAAAAAAAAGAAATTAAATATAATGAAAATTTCAAGTGTAAAAGATGATATTATTTACTCTGATAGCTTCCTGTTCTTCAACGGGTAATTCTTTGATGATCATTCTATTAACGTTTTTTTTTTTCTTCAATCAGAAAAAAAAACAAGACAATAAGTTTGAACTTCGATTTTTGTATGTAAAACTCAGCCGTGTAGCTTCCAGCAAGACACTTCCTATTTTAAAGTTGAATTACTGTCATCATACAGTTAGTCACATCTAAATCTCATTACCTGTATGATAGGTCATTATAAACATGATTTTTTTTTAAAAAAAAATAAAAAAGTAAAAAAATAAAAATAAAAATAAAAATAAACTTGTATATAATTTTCAATTTCATACATCTTTAGATGATGTATCTTCAAGTACATGCAATAAAAGTAATTCGACTGCAACAGTCTTCAAAATATTGGCTTCTGAAGGACTATAAGATATAAGGTTGTATTCATATTTATCATTTATAATAATACCATCATTTTTTTTTTTTTTGAATAGCTTTAATACTTGGATATTAAGCGTCTTTCATTTATTTTATTAGATATTCTATACACATTTGTACAGTTATTTTTACAAAAGTCGTTTAGACCATTGATGTAAAACTGTGTGTTTGTTAAATAAATAAATCATTTTCGGAAAACCAGATATGACATACTTCAATTTAAGACAAAGAGATATAGTATAGGATAATAGTAATAAAAACTAGCCGAGAAATAAAGTCAAATACTACTGTCAATTATTTTACCTTAGTTAATAGCCTTTCTTTTTTGAGATAGGTTCATACAGTTAATACGGTGGAATATGATCGATAAACAGTCTGTTTATCTAAACGTAGTTCTATTAAATCTTTGTCAAAGCAAGTGTCAGTAAGCTGTTCCAAACAGAAAGAACAATTTTTAGCTGAGAAAATTTATTTAAAATAACCTCCACCCCCCTCTCATATTTATACTAGTTCTACCATGATGGGAGAAACAAACAAAACAAAACAAAAAAAAAAGGCAAAATTGAATAGAGGGAAAAGAAGTAAAGCGAAGAAAATGAAATAGTCTATATGAGAATGAATTAATAAAAATGGATATTCAAATACTGCTTCAAATATTAAAAAGTACCATATAGTGTAATAGCTTTGCCCATTTTAATTTTCAATAAAAACCTATCACATATTCAATTTTTTTTTTTATGTGACATAAGGACAATTCGCTGGCTTTTTATTATTATTTTTTTTTTCTTCTCTCTCTCTCTTTTTTTTTTTTATTTACCTATTATATACACATATATTAAACAGTCTATAAAATGGCTGGTGAAGAAGATTTTTACGTGCGTTACTAGTAAGTCAGTTGAATACAAGAAAGAAATAAATAAATTAACAAGTGTATTCTATTCACGCGTATAAATAAATAACTAACAATAACATATAATAGCTCTGGACATAAGGGACGTTATGGCCATGAATTTTTAGAATTTGAATTTAGATCGGATGGTCTTTGTAGATATGCAAACAATTCAAACTACAGAAATGATAGTTTAATCAAAAAAGAAAGTGAGTAAATCATGTTTATTCTTTTCTTGTTTTTTTTAACAACATTTATACATTTATATATTTTTTTATAGTGTATGTCAGTAAAGCTGTCATTGAAGAATTAAAAAGAATCATTGAAGATAGTGAAATTATGAAGTAAAATAAAAAACGATTAAGAATAAATAGAATTTATATGAATAACGTTGTGTTATAAAATAGAGAAGATGATAGTCAGTGGCCAACTAAGAATGTTGTTGGTAGTCAAGAAATTGAAATACGACTTGGAAACGAACACATCTCCTTTGAGGTAAAAGCAATCTATATACATATACAAATGGGGTTTTAATGATCTATGAAATAATAGACATCAAAGTTAAGTTCACTTGTTGAAGTTCAAGATAGCAAAGACCCTGAAGGTTTACGTGCATTTTATTATCTTGTACAAGATTTGAAGGCTTTTGTTTTTTCTTTAATTTCATTGCATTTCAAGGTAAATCAAGACTATATATTATATTATATTATATTATTTATTACTTATTTCTAATATCAATTTATATGGTGTGTGTGTGTGTGTGTGTGTGTGTGTGTGTGTGTGTGTATAGATTAAACCTATCAACTAGATAATTTTGTTTTTAGCTACAACTAAAAATAATAGTAATAATCATAATAATAAAGAGAACCTTTCTACAAGTAATTTTTTTTTTGTTTTATATGGTAGTAGTAGTAGTAGTAGTAGTAGCGGTTGGTGTATCTAAATTATCGTCTTTACTGGGTGTTTCTGGCATGAGGGAGGATTGATTTGTAGCAACTGAAGAATTAGGTGAATCCATAGTTTGCGTGATATGAAGATTACTACTTGTCAAAGGCTTATGATAACTATTAGATGTCATATTAGTCTCTTCCTCTAATTCTCCTTCTCCTCCTTCTTCTTCTTCAATTTCATCATCTTCCTCATCTTGAAGCATATCAATCTCTTCCTCATCTGTTTCTTCATCTTCATTTTGTTGTTTTGATTTATTAGCTGCTGCTTCTACAGCTGCAGCACCTTCAGCACCACCACCAGCAGCTGTATAACTCTTCATAGCTGTCTCATACTCCTCTTGTTCCTTTTTATAGATATCATAATACTTTTGTTTTTCTTCCTTTGTAAGCGATTTCCATTTTTGACCCAATAATCGAGTAATTTCACCTAAACTTTCACTAGGTACTTCATCTTTTATATTTTCTCGCTCCATACGACAAAAGAGGAAAAAGACATTACCAGGGCCTTTAGGTGCATTAGGATCTCTCTTCTTTTTAGGAGTGGGTGTTGCATTCTTTTTATTACCCCCTCTTGCATCAGACTTTTTTTTTTTCTTGTTAGAATTCTCACATAACTATACAAAAAAAAAAAAAAACTTACCATAATAGATTCAGAAATTGATAGTTCAGAATCACTTTCACCTGCCATCATATTATTTAAATGGCTGTTTGATTTCTTGATACGTGATGAAGAAGAACGACTATGTCTTAATTCTTCGATTTCTTCTAATAAAACACTTCAAAAAAAAAAAAAAATTAGATATTTACATAAATTAAAAATGACATAAAATTTACATTCTTTCAACCCGAAGACGTTTAATATGGTGACGTGCTTTAGCTAACTGTGTACTTATATGATCATTTTCCTACAAATAAATGTGGATGGGTTACCATAGTAATAAATTTAATATATAATAAACGAACATACTTCTTCAATCTCTCTAATACGCTTCTTGTATTCTTGGTATTTTTTATCCACTAGAAAAGAAAAAAAAAATTACATATAAATTATGATATTTTTACATAATAAGAATAGATTTGTACTTTCTGCAGAAGAACTCATTTTTTTTATTGATGTTATTTAAGATAAAAAAGAAAGAAAAGAAAAGGAAAAGAGAAAATAGGTTAAAGTATTATAAGTTATTTATAATAAATTTTTTTTTAAATAAATAAATAAATAAAAAAAAAAATAAATAAATAAATAAAAAAAGAAGAAAATAAAAAAGAAGAAGGAAAAAATTTCCTGTTTCTCGTTGTTTTAGGGTCTTTTATTAGTTAAAGCTTATAATAAAAAGGACGTTGTTTTATTTAATAGATTTTACCGTCGTCGTTTATTATGTGTACATAAAAGAAAAAAAAAAAAATATTAATAATTTTTTTTTTAAAGTCCATCTTCTTGAATTAAATCATTAATAAACATGTATCTTGAAAAGCTGACATATAACCATCTAAACCAAACTAGTTGACTTTTATGTTGACGCATTGCTTTATGGGTTAATAAATAAGCTAATGGAGGTGATATCATTCTCACAGAACCCTTGTTTGGAATTAAAAAGTCAATAAGGCCAATATATTTACGAATAACTGGAAGTGATTCAAGTCGATATAATTTAATGCCATTCTTGTATTGCTGTACAAAGGCTCTATTAAATATTATGTAAATAAAGAATGATAAACTATTAAATAAATGAATAATAATAATAAAAAAAATCCAAATTACTTTGCACCAAGATAAGCTGCAATATGGTTAGGATGTCCAGATATACCATGGTTATCAAATGTAATTATCTATTTAAAAAATATATATATAAATACATTTTAAGCTGTATAAATCTTAGTTGTCATTTACAGTGTCAATCTTATGTTTAGTTGTATAATCCTTTATTATTTGTGCTATCAAACTTGGATTCCAATGATTTTGCATACCATCTTGTAATTCACTAAATAAATGGTTATTTTTTATGCATATATTGTAAATACATACTTTACGGGTTATTCAACGATTTCACATGAGAGGGTTGAATATTAAATGTTTGACAACTTTTTATCAATTCCTTTTTACGAATGTCACCTAAACCATCAGCATTGCCTAAAGAATAACATTATTAAATACAAGATACGATTACGGTTATCAAGATGAACTACCCGTTGATAAACATAATACATGGATACGTGATTTGATCATTGTACGAATAGAAGTAATGGTTGGACCAAAGAACATACATTCATCATCAGGATGAGCTGTTAAAATTAGAATGTTATTATTTGCTGAAAATGGTAATGGCTTTTGAAAATGGGATAAACTAAAATATGCATAAGCTAATAAAGTAACAATAAAAGTAATGCTAATCAATACAATGAACATGTTATTTATTTATTTTATAAAAAGAATAACAGAAAAAAAAAAAAAAAATTATTATTATTCTGTCAAAAGTGAATCCATATTAGGAGCACAGACAAATTTTTGTACAATATGGCCCAGTTCAATGGCCTTTTTAGTTTCTTCACTTTCATGATCTACTACCATTACATTTTCCAAGAATGAAGATTGCATACCTTGATTCACATCCAACAAGATTGAACCTAATTGCATCTTCATTTTACCACTTTTATAGATAACCAATTTACCAATCTTGCCATCTGGCATATCTTCTAGTCCTAGATTGGCCATTGCTTCTTCTAATAGTAAAGATGATTTCTTTGCTGCTGGTGGTAAATTATTTTCAGAATCTGTATTGGCTTCTGTTTTAACTTCGTCTTTCATTTCTACATCTTCTACAGATTCTATCTTTTCAAATTTAGGTAGAACAGTGGGTAACTGGAAGTGCAGTAACTCTTCTTCTGCAACGCATACCAGTCGTTGTTTCTGATCTAATGCAAATATATTTTGTGCTGGTGCATCACTGTCCATGTACACTTTAGGTAAATCAACTGGTAAATCTTCTTCTTCATCCTCTGTTGTTGATCCTTTCTTTTTCTCTGCTTCGTTATCATCAGTTATATCGCTATCCATCGGTTCTGATTTTACTTTAGCCTTCTTTTCTTCTTCTTCTCCCTCCTCTTCACCTTTCTTCTTATTTGTTGTCTTGACTGACATCCAAGGAATTTTGCCTGTTTTTTGCTCTAAAGTGACAGGATCTATATCACCTTCAAGTCGAGATATATGCTTGAATGTCACAGGTGTATCATTCCCTAAACTGGCTGTAAACATCTCGACCATATCTGAATTGCTGTTTTCTCCTTCTGCTCTATTGCCTACATCTCCACCATAGGTAGCAAAGCCGCCACCACCACCACCACCACTATATCCTGCTCGACTTCTTGAAACAAGTGCTGGACCTAATGAAAAAATACCAGAAGCAGTTGAATCATCAACAATAATCAATCCTCTTCCTCGTCCTCTTCCTCGTCCGCCACGTCCGCCGCGTCCGCCGCGTCCACCACTATGTCCACCTCGTTCACCAAATCCACGGTTAGCTGGTTTATTAAGTGCTTCATCAATAGCCGAAGATGATCTAAAATAATAATAAAAAAAAAAATAAAAAAAAGGAGGGGTAAATATTCTTCTGTTTACATTAAGCTCTTTGATTGTCTATTTTACACTTCTTTTTTATTTCTTTTTAAAGGGACTGTAGGTTTAAATTTCATCTAAACCCCATGACAATTAGAATTGAATACGCTATTATTATTATTATTATTATTATTATTATTATTATTATTACCTTCGTAGAACTGCTTTTTGCTTTTTGTCCATCATTAACGCTTTGTAAGCGACCTGACCCTACGCCTTGAGGTCGAATTGTGCCGATCGATGTTGATTTAGGATGATCGTCACCCGTTGATTCAGCAGATGCATTCGTCATAGATCCTTCAACAGAACTGGCTTCACTTGTTGTTGTTGCTGTTGCTGCTGCTGCTGCTTCACGTCTAAGAGCAGCTGGTGATTTACCTCCTCTTTTTACAGGAGCAAAACGTCTTGCTTGTTTTTTCACGCCAGGCGTAATGGCTGATCCATCGGTTGGGTCTGACATAATTTATATATTAAAAGTCAAACAAAAGAATACCTTTTTTTTTATTTTTTTTTAAAGAAAAAAAAATTGTTAGGCATTTCTTAAAGTAAAAAAATAAAAAAAAAAAAAAAAAAAAAAAAAAAAAAAAAAAAGTTTGACAGTCACGTCGTAACCCCTTTTTTTTTGAAGTTGACGCATACTGATCTTTTTTTTTTTTTAATTATAAGCAAAAAAAAAATAAATAAATAAATATTAACATTATCTACAACATTATTCATTTAATTTTCTAATTCATTTTTGTTGTTTTGATAAGCCAAACTGCTTTGCGAAAGGATATTATTTCTTTTGGCTTGTATAGTTCTTTTTTTTTTTTATTTCTAGATCGTTGTAGAAGGTAGGGGAGGGAGAGAGAGAAAGTCAACAAGTAAGACTAGTTTCTCCGGCCTCTTTTTTTTTTTTTTTTTTTTTTTTTGTCAATGAGCGTTCTAATAGCTCATGAAAATTAATTATAAATAACTTTCTGAATATCATTGATGACTCTTAGTTATATTAGGGACATTAAATATAAGTGAAATAAATGTGAACTTAAATATGTAGTTAGAATGCAAGTTGGATAGGGAAAAGGAGAGTAAATAGAATTTTTTTTTTATGTCAACGTAATAACAGATAACATTCTTCTTAAGTTCATTTTTTGGATCTCGTTTGTTTCTTTAAAATAGAATAAAATGTTCCCTATGGTCATATTTGAAAGGGGAGGAGAGACACATAATAGAGATTATTGCATGAAATGAACAAAAAAAAAAAGTAGATAATCAACTTGTATTACTTTATTTGTTCATTTAACAGCCAACCATAAACTTTTTACGGATAAGTTCACCTTCTTCTTCTTGTGATTCAGTTGGGAAAACTTTATAAGGGTTCATGATTTGATGAGGATCAAACAAGTCTTTAATCTTTCGCATTGTATTGATCATGGTACATGATTTAGTATAGGCAAGATAGGGTGATTTCATCAAACCTACACCATGCTCAGCACTAATACTTCCTTGATATTTAGCAGTCCATTCATATACGAAACGATCCACCTTTTCTGTCAATTCCTGGTCATCACGTAAAGCAGGGATCGTCAAGTGTAAATTACCATCGCCGACGTGACCATAACCATAAACGGCCACGATATCATTTGGAATCAGACCCTCTGCAATAGCCCAACTACGAGTGTCTTCTACAAGTTGATAGAGACGAGGTAAAGGTAAAGAGATATCAAAATGAATGGAGGAAGGACCATTTTGAACGATAGCTCTAGGTAACTTTGTTCTCCATGACCAAAATCTAGCACGCTCAGCCGCGGTACGAGCGATAGCGCCATCCTGAATGAAACCCCTTTCACGTAACAAGGATAAAAAGCGATCTGCTTTTTCATTTTCAAATTTAGGTACAGTACCAGCTGTTTCTAATACAACATAGACGTGATGTGTATCCTGAATAGGGAAAGGTGAACCTGCAGGCTCCTGATAATCCTGTTCTCGTACACATCGAACAGAGTCATTATCAAAGACTTCAAAGGCAGATAATGTCTCTGGTAATTCCTTCTTTGCCAATGAATAAGTCTCGACGACTTGTTGAAAATTGGAAAAGCCTAATAAGAAAACATTCACGCCATCACGAAGACGAGGGGTTGTGATGGATACGGCCGTAACGAAGCCCAAGGTACCCTCAGAACCAATAAATAAATTTTTGAGATGATAACCTGTATTATCCTTTTTAAGTGTCGTAAGATTATCCAGGATGGTACCATCTGGCAAGACGACTTCGAGACCCATCACACTACTATGTAAATTACCAAAACGCATTTGACGAATACCACCTGCGTTTGTAGCAATATTACCACCAATACGACATATATGACGAGCAGGTAAATCTAAAGGAATCTGATAACCTCTCTCTACTAAATAATTATCCAGGTCCTGAAGGACACAGCCTGCTTCACAAATCAGGTCACCACGTAAGGGATCAAAGCTACGGATCTTATTGAGTTTATGTGTACTGATGATGATTTCATCAAAGACAGGAACAGAACCTCCTGCGGCACTTGTGTTACCTGATTGAGGTACAATAGCCAAATGACGATCATTACAATATTTTAATATTTTAGAGACTTGAAGAGTTGTCTCTGGAAATAAGATGACAGCAGGATTAGCTCTATAGACATTATACCAATCTGTTGTATATTTCAAATAAATTTCTTCTGGACAGCTCTCCTTTTCCAGTACGGATTCTAAAGGCAAAATACTTTTAAAGTACGCAACATCTTCAGCTGTGATCTTTAAAATGAAAAATAAAAAAAAAAAAATAAAATAAAATTAAGGAGGAGAAATAATTAATGCTATGATTGCTAACTACTCACTGTTCCAAATGTTGAGTTACGTTGAACACGTTTAAGCTTATTTGCAGTAAGCTCAGTTACTTGATATCCATGTAACATCTTTTAATGATCAATAAAAAAAATAAAATAAAAAAAATAAAAAAAATAAAATAAAGTAAAAAAAAAATAAAATAAAATAAAAAATTAAAAAAAAGGGTAAGAAATAGATTAAACTTAAGAAGATATTATTACATCTCCATTTGAATCAAATCTAAAACTTATTCAACATTAAAGATAAGAGTCATTAATAATATTATTGCTTTTTTTTTTTTCTGAGATAAGAAATGAAAAAGAAGAAATCATGTGTTTCTTTTTTTTTTTATATATACGCTATTTTTTTATTTGTCTTAATAGCAAGTAGATTTTTTTTTTTTTACTCTTTTTCTTTTTCTTTCTTTTTTAGCATTTTCTTTTTAATTTTTGCAGTCCCTTTCTATAGACTAATAAAATAAAATATAGATAGGAATGCCTTCCTATAAATAAATAGGGACTCTGTAATAGGTTTCAACATTTTATTATGTAAATCATCATTTGCATGTAAGTGTATGTGTACATAAAAGAAAGACATCGAGTCACCCTTTTGTATACTACGTAATAAAAATAATCCTTTTTTTTTATTATTATTATTCTTACTAAACATTTATTTAAATCTCAGATATATTTGCTTCTTCTTTTCCCATGTACATTAAATTATTTTATTTTATTATTATTATTTTTTTATTCTTTTTTCTTATGTTAATAGGAAGTATTCTTTGCGACTGATTATAAATGTATTCAGAATATATCTATCTCTATATGCATTATGTATAGGTATACATATTCATGTGTATTTAGGATAATATAGGCAAGTTAACAGTTAAAACTTTGTTGGATGACTATCACCAATTATATATAAATAACCTATCCATCTAACTCTATTTGTTATTATCAAAGCCGTAGCACGAATTCAAGAATCTCTTCTTTTAATTTACAAAAGAAACATATAGTTTGCTTATACACATAAAAATATAATTCTTGTACATATCACTATAGTCTATGTTCATGAATTATATATTCGTTTGTGTATAAGAAATTCTTATCACTGCTTTTCTTTTTTTAAAAAAAAAAGTAACCTGAGTTTTAATTACATTTATTTGTGTTCCATATAAAATGGATGGATAGCTGTAAGTGGAAACATTTCATTGTTGAGAAAGTCAAACATATCCAGTTCTGATTGGTGTGTAAAAACCAGTCACATTTCAAATTTTTTCTAAAAGATATAAAAGGGAGGCGTAATCGTAAAAGTAAAAAAAAATTTATATTTTTTCACTTTTTTTTCCGCTTCCTTACACTTTTTTTTTTTTTTTATACATATATAAAAAAATTAATCTATTTTTTAAATTATTATTTTTTTTTATATTTTAGAAGAAAAAAAAAAAAAAAAGTCATTTATACAAATAAGGAAGAACAAATAATAATAAAAAACTTTTTTTTTTATACACATATTTTTTTTTTTAAAAGCAAGCTACACAAATTATTTGAATCAAAAATTTTAATTATTGTTATCATGTCTGGATTTAACATTGCTACACCTTCAATGACTACGCCTGCTATGCAGACGCCTTCTGTTCCTACTCCTCTTCATAACTCAACTCCATTTGCACTTCCTACTACTCCTGCTCCTATTGATGCTCCCACACCAAGTAGAGATGCCAATCCTTACTCTGTGGCGGGTATCACCCCTACTTTACAGTAAGTTGTTTGGTATAATGAAAAAAAAATAAAAATAGTCATTAATTTCTTTATATCAGAAATATTGTTGCCACCGTTAATTTGGATTGTCGTTTAGATCTTAAAACTATTGCTCTTCATGCTCGTAATGCAGAGTACAATCCAAAGGTAACTTTTTAATAATGATTCATGTTTCTTTTTTTTTGTAGAAAAAAAAGAAAAGAAAGGATCTAGATCATTATTTGATCAAAAAAAAATTGATTTAGATCAATCTTTTTTTTTCGATCTTTCTTCTTTTTTTTTCTCTCTCTTTTAAAAAAAAAAGGAAATCATGAATTTCATTTCAAGGGGTAAATTCTTATAATGAATTGTTATTATTATTAGCGTTTCGCAGCTGTAATTATGCGTATTCGTGATCCTAAAACAACTGCATTGATTTTTGCTTCTGGTAAGATGGTTGTGACCGGTGCCAAATCAGAAGACGACTCTAAATTGGCCGCACGTAAATATGCTCGTATTATTCAAAAGCTGGGTTTCCAAGCCAAGTTTACTGATTTCAAGATCCAAAATATTGTTGGTTCTTGTGATGTAAAATTCCCTATTCGACTTGAGGGTCTTGCTTATTCTCACGGACACTTTAGTTCTGTAAGTACTATTGCTTTGTTTTAAAGAATAATATTCCTTTTTTTTTTTCTCATATCTTTCCCATTGTACAGTATGAACCTGAATTATTCCCTGGTCTTATCTATCGAATGGTCAAACCCAAGATTGTGTTATTAATCTTTGTATCTGGTAAAATTGTGTTGACTGGAGCAAAAGTTCGTGAAGAAATCTATCAAGCCTTTCAAGCTATATATCCTGTACTTACTGAATTCCGTAAGCCATAAAAAGAAAAAAGAGAAAAACAAAAAATACAAATGGAAAAAAAAATCTTGAGTTTGAAAAAAAAAAAAAAAAAAAAAAAAAAAAAAAAAAAGAGCATGGTTCCCTAATCCCTTAGCAAAAATAAAAAAAAAACAAAAATAACAAAAAAAAGCCCCCCCCCTCTCCCTCCTCCTTGTCGTATATATCTCATATTCACATTTATCCTCCCTTCATCATTTTCTTTTTTTTTCTGAAAAAACAAAAAAAGAAAATTATCTATGTACAAAGTCTTATTTTATATCATTTTTTTATCATTGTTTAATAAAAATAATTATTTTTTATACATGTACAAAAAAAAAAAAAAAAAAAAAAAAAAAAAAAAAAATTCTATTCTTTCTTGATCTTCTATTTTTCTACTTGATAAAGTTAATCGACAAAAAAATCTATGAAATCACAATTATTTTCTATTTCTTTTCTATTTCTTTTATTATTATTCTTTTCATTCTAGAATGAGTGGTTCAATTATGAACGAAAAGAAGGAGGAAATATTGATTGAAAACTGTGAAAAGAAAAAGATGATTTGGAAAGAACGGTTCAAGTTTCTAAAAGATCCCAAGTTTTATAAAGTCTTGGTTCTTGGTCAACGTAAGAAAGAATTTAAATCTATTCGAGTTGATGACTCTATAAAACTTATTCTAGATATGTGTTTATTTATTTATTTATTTATTAGTTCTTTCATTATGTATTACTGGGACTAATGTTACGACTACAAAACTTGGTATCTCTTATGATTTTGCTGCACCCACAACACAAACATTTCTTGTTTAGTAAGTCCTTTTATGAGTACGATTATATATATTTATATTTATATTTATATTTATATTTATATTTATATTTATATTTATATTTATATTTATATTTATATTTATATTTATATTTATATTTATACAACAGTGCCTGTTTAGCTGTCGTTTATAATAGTTATGCTATTTATAAACGTGGTATTCGTGGCTGGTTACTTCAGTTTTGGCGAAGAGGTATTTATTATTTCTTTTTGGGACTTATTGATGTGGAAGGGAATTATTTTGTCGTAAAGGCCTATCAATATACCTCCTTACTGTCTGCTATGTTATTAAACTGTTGGAGTACACCTGTTTGTATGATTCTTTCCTTTATTTTCATGAAGATACGATATCGATGGGTTCAATATGTGGGTGTGGTGATTGCATTAGGGGGTATGGGTATGTTGATAGCAAGTGATGTGATGGAAGGTAAAGATTATGCTGCTGTAGATGCGATTAAAGGCGATCTCTTTTGTCTCCTGGGCGTGACGCTCTATGGGTTTTCAAATGTAGGTGAAGAATGGATGGCTCGAAAGCATCCCCTCTATGAAGTCATCGGTATGTTTACCTTCTTTGCTACTTTCATTAACTTTGTTCAACTCATGATCCTCGAACGAAATGAGTTTGCTGCCTTTTCTCAAAACCCGGAGGCGATTGGAATGGTGATCATCTATACGGTCTGTATGTTTGTCTTGTATTCGTTGGCCCCCGTCATGTTTCGTCTCGGTAGTGCTGTCTTGTATAATCTATCATTATTAACTGCTAACTTTTATGGTCTTATCTTTGGTATCGGTCTCTTTGGATATCATATTACAATCATGTATCCATTTGCTTACATTGTCATCATCTTTGGTATCGCTATCTATCATCTTTTCCCAACGCCTGAACCGTCTATTGGTACCTTTGATAACGAAAAGGCTGAAAGAGAACGACATGAGTTAATAACAGGTCATAAACAACAAGAAGAAAAGAAATGACTATACCATCAGAGGTTATCGTTCATAACAACAACCAGTCATCGAGTTAGATCAAATAACTTGCAAAAAAAAAAAAAAAAAAAAAAAAAAAAAAAAAAAAAGAGAGAGAGAGAGAGAGAGAGAAATTGCTATAACATGACAACAACACATACTACACAGGAACGCATTATTTATTATATTTAGATCTGGCAGACAGCCCCCTTTTTTTTTTCTTGGTTATAGATTTCATACTAATATATTACCGGTGGACACTTTACGTCTTTTGGTCCATCTGTAAATAAAAAAGACGTTCCTGATTTAAACATGCACACAGCTGCACATCGGTTTTTTATTAACAAATGCAAAAAAGAAAAAAAGTGTAGTTATTATTCAAACTTTGTATATCAAATGAGTCAGTATAAATAATTTAAATTCTTCTGTTATATATTGGGTAAGTATGATAGATATCCTATTTCATATTATAATAATGAATCGATATAATATTCATATTGAAGTTTAATAACTACACTTTTATATATGTCTAAACATGTATATATCTGAGTATTATCTTCTGTAAATGCATATATCTATCTATGTATGTGTATTTACATGCATACGATAAATGAATTTATTATTAATATGATATGTAAAAGGGAAAAAAAAAGGCTTGTGCAGGTACGTATATGTATATATATTAATAGTTCAATAAGGATTATTTTCGTGTTTTAAAGCGAAAAGGACTAATAATTAAGTATACATTTTATAAATAAAAAAAAAATAAATAAACATGACACGATAACTTTTAAGTATTAATTATATATAAATATATAATTTTTTTTTTTTTTTGTAAAAAAAAAAACTTATCAAGTTTAACGAGTGATAACAAGAGTCATTTCTTCGGGCAAGCTTGTCTTTGTTCTCGCCTAACATTTTATTTGGAAAGCTGATACAACATGATGGTAATTGTGGAGCATCCTCAGAAAAAAAATACAAGCCATATTATGTATCTTATCTAAATACAGTAGCTTCAAATTCCTCAAACTCTATTATAAACGGGCATTCTTTTTTCTTCATAGTTTGATTGACACATTTAGAGTGGTAGTGGTGGTATTAAATAGAAGAGGCTATTTATTCTGCCATGAGGGAAAAAAAATATGTGTGTTAGGATTGTGGAACATACAGAAAGCTTAAAATATTTTATTATGATATCATATATATTTATTCATCCGTTAGAAGGAAACTCTCTCCTTTCACTTTAAATCCATCTATCTATGCCTTTCGTAGCTTATTATTATTATTATTATAAAAAAAAAACAAAGACCATGATAGCAGCGGGTATGTGAAGAGTAGATCCATTCTTTTTTTATTACAAGTGTCATTAGATTATTGCATGTTTTGTATTAAGCCTTGTGCAGAAAAAAAAAATAAGAAATTATATTTCAATTGATAATCATAAACTATTTCTTTTCTTTTCTTTTTTTTTTTTCTGGATAGTAAGCAGAGAGAACAGAATTTTGTCGAGTTAATAACTATTGTATATCTTAATGATGTGCGTTTATTCGATTTTAAAGTCACAGTTCATGTTTATTAATACAGAAGAACTAGAATTACACTACTGCCTTGGCTATTGGTTTAAATAGCTTGTTGTCAAGTCATACGTTAGAATATGAAAAGTAATAATCATATTATTTTTTTTTTTTTTTTTTTTTTTTTTTTTTGTGCGGTTCCAGGTTTTCTTTGATAAATGGATGCAATTCAATACAAGCTTAAATGCTCGGTCATTTTCAGAAAATAATAAGGATACCCAAGTTGACTTTTGCCATTTTAACTATAATTTTTTTTTTTTTGGTATAGTCCACCAGTATAAAGTCTTGAAAAAAAAAATCTTTATGTACTCCCTCTAACTACTGTGTAATGTATTCTTGTCATTATAAATCTATTTGTTTTCTTTAATAATTCTATTGCTTTTTTTCTTGACTGACATCATTCATATACAATTACCTATTGCATACGATAATATCAAGATAAAACGTTACTTTTTGGATAAACTAAGTTAGAAATAAAATGAGAAATAATAATATGTTATTGTTAAATACATTAAAAATTGAACTGAAAGATTCAACAGACACTAAAGAAGCTTAAATATCGAAATGATGTATTATTTCTAAAAAACCAGTTTTCTTCTCCTTAAAAATAAATAAATAAAAGGGGATCAATATTGTGTATAAAAATCCTGAAGGCAATTTTGGAAAGTCTAGCCTTTCTTCCTTCCCCCTTCCCTCTCTCTCTCTCTCTTTCTCTCTTTCTCTCTCTTTCCCAGAATAAATGGAAACATGTGCCATCATTTTTATAAATATATGCAAAGTCATTTTTAATGTATAAACTAAAAAAAGGATAGCCTTTTTTTATTTTTCTTTTCTATAAATACGATAAAAAAAAATACCTCATCTCTTGTATGATAAATTAAGGAGTTCTATTACTATAACATTCATTCCTTCTTCCTCTTTTTCCTTTTTTTTTTTCCTTTTTATTTTTATTTTTTTTTCCACCAGTTATATATCATTCTCCTCTCTACCCTTTCCTTTCCTTTATAATAATTTGTAGAAATAATTCAGTTAAAGAAAATATCAAGAAAGAGAGATAAATAGAGTAAGAGAGAAAGAAAAACGACATGTACATTCCTAAAAATCATCGTTTTGAAGTATTTTTAAAACGTAAAAGTAGTAGTAGTAGTAATAGTGATACAGCAAGGAATCATACAACAGTAGGAGGCATTTACAATAATAATGATACGAGTTGGTCTCATGTTTGCACTGATTTTATCATGAATTTAGTTCGTAGTAATAGAAAAGAGGGACATCATAATAAAAGAAACCATGCTACTATGAAAGGAAGAAGCCTACAACAACAACAACAACAACAGCAGCAGCAGCAGCAACAACAACAGCAACAACAACAACAACAACAAACAAACAATCATCTTGATCAATTATCAGAATTTCAAAAAAGTTATGTTTCCTTTCCAGAATTTAGTGAATCTTCTTCTATTAGTAGTAGTAGTAGTAGTCATATTACATCTTTTGATATTTAATAGTCAATCACTTTTTTTTTTTATTAAAACAATAAAAAGTTGATCCTTTCTACTACTACTTAAATTATACTTTTTTTATTTTTTTATTTTATTTATGATAATATAAAGAAAAAGGAAGAGAGAGAGAGAACTCTTTTCTCTTTCTTTACAATCTGGAAATAACAGCGCTGGTGAATTCTTTAAGTGTACTGGTACCACCAATATCAACTGTCTTGGCAGCATCCGTTCTAATAGTTTCATAAACAGCAGAAGAAATTCTATTAGCATGTTCATCCAAATTCAAGTGTCTCAACATCATAACAGATGATAAAAGCATAGCTGTAGGATTAGCACTATTTTGGTTTTGAATATCAAGTGCAACATGACGGCAACCCTATATACATACCCAAAGTTAGATTGAATGTTTTTTTTTTATTTATACTTTGATTCACTTACAGGTTCAAACATGGCATATTCACGGCCAATATTACAACCAGGAATCAAACCAGGGCTACCAATTAAACCAGCGCCCTATATACATATATATATATATGAAAGTGTTACTACTATAAAACTAGGATGCGTTGCGTATACTTTAAATACTTACAACATTGGAAACAATGTTACCATACAAGTTGGGCATAACCATAACATCGAATTGTTGAGGACGAGAAACAAGTTGCATAGCAGTATTATCGACAATCATATCATTCACTTCAATATCGTGATGAGCATATTCCTTAGCGACTTCACGACACGTCTTTAAAAAGAGACCATCTGCCATTTTCCTATATAATAAAAAAAAAACATAAATTTCTATTTCATACATAAAAATCAAAATCAAATACTTACATAATGTTAGCCTTGTGGATAATCGTAACCTTCTTACGATTATTCTTGATAGCAAAATCAAATGCGAAACGAGCAATACGTTCAGTTTTAGCACGAGTAATGATCTTGAGAGATTCAACAACACCAGGGACAGACTTAACACGAAAGTTTTAAATTCAGTTTTTTAGTTTTTTTTTTTTTTTTTTTTTTTTTTTTTTTTTTTTTTTTTTTTTTTTTTTTTTTTTTTTTTTTTTTTTTTTTTTTACCTGATGTTCTAAACCAGAATATTCACCTTCCGTATTTTCACGGATGATGGCAATATCTACATTACTTAAACGAGACTTGACACCAGGTACATTTTTACAGAGAGAAAGAGAGGCATACATATCGAGGTCTTTACGCATCATGACATTGAAGGATTTATGTCCAAGTTTAGAAGTAGGTGTATAAAGAGTACCCTTGATACCGACCTTATTGCGACGAAGGGATTCAATGGATTCTTGGAAAAGTTTATCGTCTTCAGAGGTCAAACCAGAGACATCATATTGTTCAAATTCAACAGGAACATTGGCGGCTTTGAAAACATCCTTAACAGACATGGCAATTTCGGGGCCAATACCATCGCCAGGAATCATGGTGACGGTATATTTACCTCCATACTTCTTAGGGAAGATCTAGTTTTTTTTTGTAGTAGTAGTAGTAGTAGTAAAATTAGAAATTGTAAACGTAATGCAGTTATATATGTATACAGGTATTGATGATCACTTACAGACTTTTGTTCAGCAGGAGCAGGGGTTGGAATAGTAGGTGCTTGAGAAGCAAAAGAACGAGTAGCAACCTGTAATTTGTTTTTATATTAAAAGACAATATGGAATATTTAACAAGTTTTTTTTTTTTTTTTTTTTTTTTTTTTTTTTACCTGCTTGATATTATTAACAGTAGTGGGTCTAGCAATAGCCTTAAGAAGCATTTTTTTTGTTTTGGAGTAAAAAAAAAAAAAATAAAGTGGAGTATTAGAAAAGCGAAACAAAAAAAAAAAAAAAAAAAAAAAAAAAAAAAAAAAAATTAATATTTGAAAGCGGGATTGAAGAAAGAAAAGGCTGGATTTTTACACTAATTTTTTTTTTTTTTTCACTATTACCCCGGGGTAACCATGTTTTCTACTTTATGATTGCTAAAATATGATGGTTTAGTATATAAATGTGGGGTTAAAATATTATACGTCAGAAGAAAAAAAAAAAGAAAGATTTTTTTTTAATCATATTTAAAGCAGAAATCGAAAACTATCTATTTTGTATTATTATGTAATCACCAAATACTGTTGTTCTTTGTATTTTTTTATCTGATAAAAGGGTTATATTCCATTCAAGCAGTATTTTCAATGCGGTAGAATGTATACAATTTTTTTTTTGACTGTCTAACATTAGTTTTTATTTTTATCCGTGAAAGTTTTTTTTTATTTTTTTGAAAAAAAAAAAAAAAAAAAAATGTTTTCATCATTAATGATAATCTCGGAGTGAGTAACTTGTCTTCCAAACGCATTATTATAATTTATTTATTTTTTTTTCCTGTTTTTTTTTTCTGCACGGAGGAGTTGAAATGAATAAAGATATCAAGCAGTCAGTTAAAAATACAATTAAGAATATAGATGAAGAGCTTCGAAAAATTAGTCTTCAAGTAAAGAGAGAGAAAAAAGGGGGGGTGAAGGGGAGGCATTCTGAATATTAAGTTTTATATACATGTATAATGTTTATATAGATTCATGATGATCCTGAATTAGGAAATAAAGAATTCCATGCCTATCAACTGCTTACTGAATTCCTCGATAAGCAGGGTTTTGAAATTACTCACAAGGCAGCAGGATTAGAAACTGCTTTTATGGCAACATTTTCTAATAGTAAAACAGGTCGACGTGTAGGATTTACGTGTGAATATGATTCTTTACCTGGGTAAAAAGAAAAAAAAAAGGCATTATGAGAAGTTTCAAATCTATAACTTTTATATATGTATACATATATCACTATAGTGTTGGACATGGATGTGGACATAATCTTATTACTATTCAAGGCCTTGCTTGTGCTCTCAGCTTAAAAGCTTTGATGGAACAAAATTTAGTGAAAGGCACTGTTGTTTTATTTGGTACTCCTGCTGAAGAAACTACAAGTGGTAAAATTAATTTTGTGAAAGAAGGAATTGTTAAGGATACAGTAGATTATGCTATGATGCTTGTAATTATATATATATATATATATATGTGTGTGTGTGTGTGTTTGCATGCGTAATAGAGACTTACTTTTGCATTTTTATATAAAAGCATCCTTTTGCTGAAGACGGTCTTTATTATAAAATGCTGGCTTTAGATTCTTGTACTGTAGAGTTTTTTGGAAAGGCCTCTCATGCTGGCATGGCACCTTGGAATGGTATTAATGCTCTTGATGCAATGATGCAAGGATTTGATAATGTTGGTTTATTAAGACAACAAATTTTACCTACTGACAGGTAACTAATGATATATATGCATATATAGTGAAAATAATATAAATTAAAATAGGATCCATGGTGTGATTGTAAAAGGTGGAGAAGCAGCCAACGTAATTCCAGACTACACCTCTGCTCATTTTTATGCTCGTTCATTAACGAGAGATCGACTCAGGGAATTAAAAGAACGTGTTGAGAATTGTTTCAAGGCAGCTGCGCTAGCTGCCGGATGTAAAATTAAGATTGAATGGGCCAAGTTGGGTCCAGTGGATGATGTCTTTACGAATGAAACTATGACTGAGAAATACAAGCAGTATATGGAAGAAGAAGAAGGTATCCAATTTCCTTCTCGTAGTGATGATGAGAAGGTAATAGCAGGTAGTACTGATATGGGTAATTTCAGTTATGTAGTCCCAACTATTCATCCTGGTTTTGGTATTCATACATCTGCTACGAATCATACAAAGGAATTCGCTGATGCTGCTAGAACAAAAGTAGCTCATCAAGATACACTTCGTGCTGCTAAATGTCTTGCTTTAACTGCTGCAGAAGTTATGATAGATGATGCACTTTATGAACAAGTTCTTGCTGATTTTAAGAAAGGAAAAGCTTCAAAATGAATAATCATTCTATTCTATTTACTAATAAAGTAACAAGATAGATATCAAATACTAGTAATTAATTAGCCACTGCTGTATGGATCTCAAAAGGTTATTTTTTTTTTATTTTTGTATGATGTTCAATAGTATATTATCCATCTTTTCTGTACAGAGTTGTAATGATGGTTTAATCATTTAATGATTGCAGCACTATCAGCTCACTAATTAATATATTATATATAAATAGGAGGACTGATATCTATTTTTATGTATTGAATGAAAAAATAAAAATAAAGATAAAAATAAATAAATTATTATTCTTCTCTTTCCCAAACAGCAGCCATGCCCATACCACTACCAATGCACATGGAAGTAATACCAATACGCTTCTGTTGACGTTTTAATTCCGGAAATAGAGTAGCGATTTGACGAGCCCCGGTACAACCTAAGGGATGGCCGATGGCAATGGCACCACCTTTAGGATTCACTTTCTCCTTTGGAATGCCAAGGACCTTGTAGGTATAGATAGCCTGAGAGGCAAAGGCTTCGTTAATTTCGAAAATATCTACCTCATCTAGTGTGATACCAGCCCGTTGAACGGCAACAGGGATAGCATAAGCAGGACCCACACCCATTAATTTAGGGGGGACACCGACAACAGAGGAAGTGAGATATTTACCGAGGATAGGTAAGTTTAACCTTTGAGCCGTCTTTCGTTTCATCAACAAGACCGCGGCTGCGCCATCCGAGATCTGAGAGGCGTTACCTGCGGTGGTAGTACCTGTGGTGGGCTTAAAAGCGGGCTTCAACTTCGCAAGACCTTCAAGGGTTGTGCCGGGTCGAATCCCCTCATCTTTATCAACCGTAATAGTCTTGGCATGACCCCCTTCCCCCTTATCATAGGTTGTGACGGTGCATGGAATCATTTCTTCGTCATAATAACCAGCCTCTTGGGCCATGTATGCCTTTTTATGTGATTCGTAAGAAAATAAATCTTGCTCCTTACGTGTGATACCGAATGTTTCAGCAACATTTTCAGATGTAAGACTATTATTAACATAAGCCCATTAGTATAATTAACTACAATAAAAATAGAATAATGATGATGAAGATGATGATGATGATGATTACCCCATAGGAAGTTCGCAGTCAGCAGCAGTAGGGTTTGTCATTAATTTTTTAGATAAAATGATCTTGCGATCAAAATAATCAGAAGACATAGATTCCACACCAGCGCCTATACCAATCTCGATCAGACCACATTGAATGGAAGTAGCGATTTGAACACAAGCTTGAAGACCAGAAGAACATTGACGATGTAAAGTACTAACAGAGGTTGTTTCGGGGAATCCAGCAGCAAGAGCAGCCATACGAGAGGGGGTAGCAAGGCCACCTTTTGCACAGACATTACCAACAGTAATGTCTTGAACTAATGCAGGGTCAATACCCGTTTTACTAATGATGGCCTTTAAAACATGGAATAAAAGTTCTACAAATATACATACACATGTATATTAATTTATGAATACTGTAATATAGATAGATAGATACCATCAGCAAGAACATCTTTAAATCCACCTTTACGACTCTTTGTTAAAGCAGTACGAAGAGCAGAAACAACGACAATATCTTCAGGGGATTTAACACCGACACGAGTAGGTTGAGCTTCAGCTAAAATAGGTAAATTAATAGGTTCAGGCAAAGAAATAGTCATAATGATATATATGTATATTCAAAGAATAAAAGGGAGAATCAATTTTTCATTTCTTTTTATAAAGTCTATTTTATTTTGCGTTTAGTAACACTACTTTATTGAATTATAAGACTATTGCTACTACTATTACCACTACTACTACTACCATTACCCCGCAGAAGAATATTTCTCCGAGAATTTTTTTTTTTCCCAAGATGACTAAAACGAAATATTAGAAAGACATTTGTTTATTAGCCTATTTGATGACTTCTGTATTTTATTATTTTATTATTTTTTTTTTTACACCTGCTACTACTACTACTACTACTACTACTACTACTACTACTACTACTACTACTACTACTAGAAGTTGTATACATTTATAAATAACTTGAGGATTGATACATATCCTGCCAAATAAGGATATATATATACATATACGACAGGACGATTATTTTATACTGAGACCTTTATACGCATGTATATGTGTATGTTTATGAGTAGTCATAGTGTAGATAAATACGGCAGCTGTGCGGTGTATATAACTGGGAATTAATAATCTCAGATTTAAAACTAAAGCATAAGGTTTTAAAAAAGAATGAGAAAAAAAAAAAAAAAGAGAGAGAAAACGACAAAAAGAAAAAAAAAGGTACAATAAAAACTATATAAAGTATACATAAACAACTCCATAATAACTACTATTCTTCTCTATTTTGGTAAGGAAATACATGTAAAACGAAAGAAAAAGAGAGAGATAGAGATAGAGGGAGGGAGGGAGAGATACACCAATATAAATCGGAGACAGGCATATTTATAGATAAATGTTTGTATGATTCTCTTCTTCCCTCTTAGTACATTATTATCATGACATGTTTCCTATTTTTAATAAAACAATACAAAAAGAAGCAGTAGAATGGATTGATCAAGTTAATGAAAATCATGATCTTTACTTTATTGTATAAAGTATGATTTAATTAAGGGAAGGTATCATCAAGTTAGTTTGATATTATTATATAATACAGTGAGTATAATATATATGTGTATATGTATATGAATATATATGTATATGTATATGTATATGTATATGTATATGTGTGTATATAAATATAAATATGTGTATGTGTGTATGTATGTATGTGTGTGTGTGTGTGTGTGTGTGTGTGTGTGTATCTGTGTCTGTATATAAGTATATACGTATTTACAATTCATTCGTTATCTATTGCTTGTTATTGCTTCTAGTTTTTTTATTCTCTTTCTTTCGAGTAGCCATTGTAGAGAAAAACCTTTTTAATTTTGAAGGAGATTTTACTCCATCTTCTTCTTCATCAAAAGACATAAATGTATTAAGTATTGAGTTACTACTACTATGTGATCTAAGTGCCATTGATTGTGGATAATATGGACTTGTCAATTCTTCTGTAGACGAACTAGATACAATAGATGTTTTTGATGATGATAGCTGTTGATACATGACTTGATTTATATCAAAGTCGAAATGCTCTGTAAATCTTGACATTGTATAATAAAGATAAAATTGAAATATAGATTAGATAAAAGGAGAAAAATCAAAATGGGGAAAAAAAAAAGAATAAAAATAAAGGCTTATATATACATTTATATACAAATAAATATTTATATGTATTTATATATATTTTTTTTTGTTGATCAATAATTCCTCTTCTTATCTCTACTACAACTTGTACAGAAAGTAGAAAGTCATGATCTTTCAAAGGAATAAATCGCCGTTTAAAGTTTATTTTTAAAAGAGATTTTCATTGTTTTGTAATACCAAAAATAAATAGTTCGAGTTCAAGGGTAATGATACACATTTAGAATAAAGACATTATATTGGTTAATATAAAGGAGGGCCCTGATGCTGTTCTAGACTTGATTTATATCTGTGTACAATATTTATAGAACAAATCACAGCAAAGAGGAGGGGACTCTTTCTCCCCGAGTCACTACTACCACCACTACAAGTAATAGTAGCGGATTTTTATTAATTATTATTGTGTATTACACTGTTTTCCTTTTTGTTCTGATTTCAAAATTATTATATGTAAAACACAATATAATATTTATTTTTATTTTATTTTAGTTATAGCATCATTATCATCAATAAAATATAGAGTCACTGATAACAATGTAAAAAAAGGATCGTGTTATAAAAGGCATACATCTATAGATAGACAGACTATATATGTGCCTGTTATATCCCGGATTTTTAACTATTATTATGCAAATATAAATTATTATATCAAAGAAAGGAGAAGCCCTATTATTATGCCAAGTTAATAGGAACCACTATCATCTTCTTTAATTTCTTTTTTTTTTTGGAAAATAGAAAAGAGATTTCTTATAATATATTTGAATCATAATAAGAAACTCTTTCTTTAGATACATTTTAAAAAAGAAAATAGTCACTTTCCTTTTATTACCCAAATAAGCTTGCAATAATAAGTGTATTCCCCTCCCCCCAAAAAAAATAAAATAAAATAAAATAAATGAATAAAAAAAGAAATTTTCTTTCTTTTACACACATGCATGTATATTCTTATTTATATTCATTTGAAAGAGAATTTTGTACTTGTTAAGCTTCTTCTGTTATAAATAAAGCATGTGCTAATAATACCTAATAATTGATGGGTATTGTATCTGTATATTTTATCTTTGAATGGCATAAATAGAACTGATGATTTTACTTTAAACTAAATTTGGACTGCTTATATTATATTTTATTTCATTTTTTTCTCATCATTTTAAACTATTTTTGAGTTTGGGTAATAGGAGAAGATCAAAAAAAAAAAAAAAAAAATGATATAAACTGACCCTGAATAATACACATAAAAAAAAGGTTAATTAACCAAGCACACCATGTGATATTAGATAAAAGAATAATACACTATTATAGAAAGTCTAGAGCTACATTTGAACGCTTACTACATATCAACCTTTAATTATTAAAACTTAACGTTGTAGTATGATAAAGAAAGGGAGAGAGAAGGAAGACTATTCAGGTATACACATACAACAAGGAATATATACATAAAAATGCCTATCACCAAAATCAAGCTTTTTTTTAATTTAAAATCATATATTTGGGAAATCAACTTGATAATGTTTCATGTCAACTTCTTGGCTGTTTATTATGATTTTTCGCTTTATGGCATCATCATTTTGAATGAATGTTGTTATCTCTTTCCACAAAAGTCTATCCATCATTTTACTTTTACTTGTATTGTTTTATTTTATTGTATTTTATTTTTATTTTTTTTTTATTTTTTTTTTATTTTCATTTTTTTTGCATTCAAAAAAGTTGAGAGCCTTTTTTTTTTCTCTCTTCTTCTTCAGTTCTTTCTCTTCTCAATACGCTTATTATTATTCTAGGCAAATTGAATATATTGAATTAATATATGTTTAATAATTAGGTAAATGTTTCATAATGATCTCTACCAGCAGTAATAATAGAATAATAGTTATCATTTAATAATAACGCTGGTGCTTGTTCATCTATAATTTCCTTATTTATACTCTTATTTAAATAAGCTTATATACTTTCATTTTCCTTTTTAATAATGAACCTGGATCTAGATGATGGTGTATTTAAGATATTAATATGCTGTAATATCGGTTCCTTAAATTTTTTTAATAAAAAAAAAAAGTAGTGACGGTTATTAATAATAATTGGAAGAAAATTCCACAATTAAGAAAAAAAAAATTGCCCTCCAGTTCCTTGTTTTTTAAATATATACAGATTCAAACATGCAAACAGCTGCCAAGATCTTTGTCATTTCTGGACCTTCTGGTTCAGGTAAATCAACTTTGTTAAAACGTCTTTTCAGTGAATATCCCAATACTTTTGGTTTTAGTATTTCCCGTAAAGTATAATTGATAGATAGACAGATTAGGATGATTCATTTTTTTAATGATGCATGTTTCTATGATAGATACTACACGTAAACCTCGTCCTGGAGAAGTTGATGGCAAAGATTATCATTTTGTTGATTTACAAGATATGGTAAAGGAAGTTGAAGCTGGTAAATTTATTGAAAGTGCTACCTTTTCTGGAAACATGTATGGTAAGGTTCAATGCCTTAAAAAGAAAAGAAAAGAAAAGAGAGAGTGTGTGAGTGATACAAAGACATCTCAACTTTTTTTTTTTATGTATATAGGTACTTCTATTAAGGCAGTTGAAGATGTGGTTCAATCAGGCAAAGTTTGTATGTTGGATATTGATATGCAAGGCGTTCAATCTGTCAAAAAGACTTCCTTAAATCCCAAATATATCTTTGTTCAACCTCCCAGTGTTCAAGTCTTGGAAGAACGTCTTCGTGGACGTGGTACTGAGAAAGAAGAAGCTATTTTAGCTCGTTTAAGTGCTGCAAAGAAGGAATTAGAATATGGTGCTACTCCTGGTGCTTATGATCATGTCATTATAAATGATGATTTAGAAAATGCCTATCGTAATTTGAAAGCTGCTATTTTTGTTCAATAAATAATAGATATAGAATTTGACATGTAAACCATCTAAAGTTCAACAAATAATAGACTACTCTTTTTTTTTTTTCTTCCTTTTTTTTTATATATACATTTATAAACTTCAAAAGAGCCAATTAAATAAACTCAACTGTTGTCCTTTTCGATTTCTTACCAGTGATTGTTTTAGTTTTTTTTTTTTTTTTGTTTTTTTGTCTTTTTTTTTTTTCTTTTTCTTTCTCCTTATCATTTTTATATAAAATGTCTGAAACGTGTCGTTTTGAAGAACATCATTCACATACTGCAGGTGCCCACGAGCATGGAGATGGACACGTTCATACACACGCAGGACATGATGCTCACGAGCATGGTCATACTCACGAGCAACTTGATCATCCAGGTTTATATCAAGAACGTCCTAAGGCTATTTATGAAAATAGAGATTGGTCAGAGAGAGCATTTACGATTGGTATTGGAGGGTAAAGTGTTATGTTTGTTATTCAAGTTTTTTTTTTTTATGAAGCGTGATTAATCACGCTTATATACATACACAAAGACCTGTAGGTTCAGGAAAGACGGCTTTGATGTTGGCTTTATGTCAAAGACTTCGTGATACATACTCTCTTGCAGCAGTTACGAATGATATCTTCACTAAAGAAGATACAGAGTTTTTAGTAAGAAATGCTGCTTTACCTGAAGAACGTATTATGGCTATTGAAACTGGTGGATGTCCTCATGCTGTAAGTTAATATAGAATACATAAAATCAAGTCATGTATAATTCATGTATATTTATTTATTTATATTTATAGGCTATTCGGTAAGATTGGTTTGTTTGTTTGTTTTTAAGAACAAATATATTTATATTTATTTATTTATAGTGAAGATGTATCTGCCAATTTGAATGCTTTGGAGACTCTTCATAGTAAATTCAATACACAATTATTACTGATTGAATCAGGTGGAGATAATTTGGCTGCTAACTACAGGTAAGCAGCTATTTATTTATTTATTCATGTAATTATGATGTGATAACACTTTTTGTGTGTGTGTTTGTGTATGTAGCCGTGAATTAGGTAGAGATACTTACTTGTACTTTTCGACTATTTTATATATACTGACTTGATATTATTTTAGCTGATTATATTATTTATGTGATTGATGTAGCTGGTGGAGACAAAGTACCTAGAAAAGGAGGTACAAAAAAAAAAAAAAAGAAAAGGAAAAAGAAAGAAAAATTCTTACTTTTACTCTTTTCTAATAGGTCCAGGTATCACTCAAAGTGATTTACTGGTTATTAACAAGACAGATTTAGCCCCTATTGTTGGTGCAGATCTTGATGTTATGGCTCGTGACGCTAAAAAGATGAGGTAAAACGAACTCCATTCCATATAACGTCGATTGTTTATTTACATATAAATCTATTTAGAGGCGATGGCCCTACTGTCTTTGCTCAAGTTAAGAACGGTGTTGGTATGGATGAAATTATCTCTCTTATTTTAGGTGAATGGCGTGCAAGTGGTGCTGCTAAAGAGTCCTCTTGAATATGTATATAAAAAAAAAAAGGGAAAGAAGAAACCCAACAAATGACTGAGTTAATAATAAAAATTGTGTACATATAATATGTACACACATATTTTATTTTATTTTTTGTTTTGTTCCTCCCTTTATTACGAAAAAAGATATTGCCAATTATGGTCGAGTGTAATTCAACCATCTTTTTTGCTGCTGTTGGTGTAGCTTTTATTGGGTATAAATTGCTCACACTTTTGAAAACATGTTACGATGTTTATATTGCAAAGGGTGTTCCTGTAAGTTGTTTAAGGGAGTTTCATTTCCTGATTGACATTTTAAATTAATCTACCATTTTAAGCTTAAAAAATTTGGTGCTGGTAATGGTGCTTGGGCAGGTAAAATTTTAATAACAGGAAAAAAAAAAAAAAAGAAAAGAAAAGAAAAAAGACAGAAAGAGTTAAGGTAATAATGATGGAAGGAATATAGTTGTCACTGGTGCTACAGATGGTATTGGTAAAGAATTCGCGTTACAACTTGGAAAGAAGAAATTCAACATCTTTTTGATTTCTCGTACTGCTTCTAAATTAGAAGCTGTTGCTAATGAGATTTGTAAGTAAAATAAGTTATGGTTGGGAATGCTGGTTAATCGTTCAGTTTTTATTATTATTTAGCTCAACAATATGGTGTTGAAACCAAGACATTTGCTATGGATTTTATCAAGGGTGATCCCGAAGATTTCAAAAAAGTAGGTGAAATGATCGATTCTATTCGTGTTGGTGTCTTGGTTAATAATGTAGGCGTCAATCATGATATCCCTACATCCTTTGCAGATGAAGATGAAAGTCGTATCAATAGCATTGTCGAAGTGAATATTAAGGGTCTTATGAAAATGACTAAGCTTGTACTTCCTCAAATGAAAGCAAAGTAAGTAGAAAGAAAAGAGAGGGATAGAAAATAGATAATTCATATATTAATCACGAATAAAAAATAGTCATAATGGCCTTATTTTAAATATGGGCTCATTTGCAGGCCTAGTTGCTACTCCTTATTTATCTGTTTATTCTGCTGGTAAAGCCTTTTTGTCTACTTGGTCTCAAGCTTTAGGTACAGAAGTAGCCAAGGATGGTATTGTAGTTGAACATGTGAACACCTACTTTGTTGTTTCTGCTATGAGTAAGATTCGTAAGCCTACTCTTTTAATCCCTACTGCCAAAAATTATGTTGCCAGTGTTTTAGAGAAAGTAGGTGTTCCTTGTGGTGCTAATGTACCTTTTACATCTACACCTTACCCTATGCATGGTATTGCTAATTGGGCTATTAATAACTTTTTCACTCATCAATTCTGGGTGACTCAAAATGAAAGTAAGTTTACATGACTTTTTTTTTAAGAAAAAGCTGTTGATTAACCTATCTATTTATTATTCAAAAAAGATATTCAAACAGACGTTCGTAAGAGAGCTTTACGTAAACGTGAACGTGAAGCTGCAGCACGTAAAGTAGAATAAATATTTTTTATTATTGTTATTTATTAAACATAATATAAAGCAAAGATTCCATGTGTGAAATATGTATATAACTATTAGCTAGCAAAGGCTTCATGTGTGAAATATAAGTTACTGTTAGTTAGCAAAGGCTCCATGCGTGAAATACATACAACTATTAGTTAGCAAAGTTATATGCTCACTTTTTCTTTTCTTTTTTTTCGTGTAATAATTTATTTTGCTTGCTTTAACCATTTACTTAAAGTTTTATATTGTTGATCTTGAACATCTATCAAGTGCTTTGGTGAACTATGACTAATACCAGCCACATTCTTAATAAATAATAGGAAGAGTTGTTAGTGGTTGATAATATAAGAATTAGTATTTATCGATTTTACCGCGCAATGAGTTGAGTTTGGAATGATGATAGATATAACATTACGTTCATTGATAAAACGAGTATTATTGGGTTCATGAGCATGTACGCTTAATTCTCTCCAGCTATCCCATGCACCATCAATCCAAATAGTATGGTTCAGTTGAATATCCCAGCCTTTGTATTCGTTATTTATTTTATTGATGTTAGGATACTGAGGGACATCAAGATGATGAAAGAATAAACGACATAAACGTTCAAATAATCCGAGGCCTAACTTTCTTGAGATGATTGTTGGTTGATTGATAGGGGCAGCCACTTGGAAATAACCAAACTCAGTGCATGTTTGCCACATCCAAGCAGTTGATGAAGGACTCTGTTTTATTTGTTCTTTAATATCAGTGATATTATGAGAACTAAAACAATTACTCAAAGACCTGAAGCCTTCACACATGGTTGATTCGACATAAGGTTTAGTAAATTTAGCAAATGCAACTACTTGTTCTATTAGAGTCACATTATCAACTTGTGGGAAAACTTTGTTACAGAAATATTCTTCAAATAAGTTTTGTGTTAACCCAACTCTATTTTGCCAAAAATAACTAATTGGAAATGATAAGACTAAAAAAAAAAAAAAAAAAAAAAAAAAAAAAAAAAAAAAAAAAAAGATCAGTCATTATAGAGAAAATAAGAGTGATAATGTTATGTATTACAATTAGCAAAATCATCGTCATAAAGATCTTCAACACCAAACGTCTTTTTCAATTCTTGTATTTGTTCAAGGGATTTACCAAATAGGATTTTATCAATATATTTAATTGCATTTTGAAGGGATTGAATACAATAAGAAGGACCATAACGAATAATAGGATTAAAATATTCATAAAAATTATATTGTGCTTGTACAGGAGCAGAAGAAGCTACAGCAGCAAAGACAAGATTTGGGTATTTTTCTCTCATCCAAGCTGCTAAATTACCACTATAACTACATCCATATAAAATTACTTTTGTTTTTGGCACAGGTGGTACATGAAGACGGTCAAGGAACTATTACATATAAATCAGTATATAAATAGATTTTATTATTGTTATTAAAGGGAGAGGATACCTTGATATTCTTTAATAAATAAGCCATGTCAGCTAGAGCTTGACTAGAGGTTAACTTTGATGCTTCATCAGCAGTATAATCCTACAAAATAATAGTCTATCTTTAATAAATGTATCATTGAATAGAGATATCTAATTACAAAGTTTGCTACGGTGGGCTTAGATAGACCATAGAATCGATGTTCCATATAAATCAGTATACCATTTAACCTTTGAGTTAATTGAGACATGGTTGAATTCAATAGTACATAAGATACATTATCTACTTCATCTTCACCTCCATTATACACTAATAAAGTTGGATAAATACATACATACATACATACATAATGATATAGACTTACATATAATAGGGCCATTTGATTTATAATAGTCAGTATTGAGCCAATATCTGTTTTTGAATGTCATAGAATTATTGGTGAAATGATCTAAAGGCATATCCATATAATGAGTTTTATAATTAAACTGAACATTTGCTTTATTCAACAAAGATTCTCTTAATAAGTATCTTGAAGACATCATATGAAATTGGCCTCTGATGCCATGAATCAAGGTTAAAATAATAAACAATAATGTAGTTAGCATAGTGTGAACTATTAATAAATAATAATAGTAGTAGTAAAAAAGATAAATAGAAAGAAAGAAATGAAAAAGAAAAGTGTTGTCTATATGATATTTTTTTATTGTTTTCGCGTATATCAAAATAAAAAAAAAAAACAAACAAATAAGTAAATAAACGTCATATTAATTTAAGACGCGTATAATTATTTGATCTATGTTATTGATAAAGCTGAAACCTTTTTTTCCCCTAGATCATTTGACAAAATGAATTTTAGTCATAGTAAATAATGAAATAGTAACAGTTTTAATATGTTTCTTTTTTTTTTTCTTTTTTTTTTCCAAGACAAATTGTATTATAAAAAAAAAAGGCAAAAGGCTTTTAATTATGAATAAAGCTGCAACAAACAAAAAATAAGCTTTTTTGTCGATTGATGTTAAAGAGCTTATTTTTATGTTACACTTAATATGATTATTTTCCACAAACTATTTTTTTTTTCTCAACTTTTAATTTTTATTATCCCTTTCTTCTCCTCTTCTTCTTTTCTTTCTTTCTTTCTTTTTTAATTACGTCTCTTCCTCCTTTTTTTTTATTATTAATTGTCAATAAATAATTGCATACGTGTGCTGCTACATATAAAAATAAATATTTTTTTTTTCTTTCAAAGGTTTTTTTTTTTTTTCGAGAAAGATCATAAAAAAAAACATACACACATCAACGAAAAGGCTCGAAATATAAAGTGAAGCAATAGTATCGTTTGTATGTAAAATTTGTTTCATATTTAGTTATAATAGTAACAAACGTTTTATATAGACTCTTTTTTTTTCAATAACATAACGTTTTGACTTCGGAGATTCAAGCAACCACGTTTAACACTCGTTCTTCTTGTCTATTATCAGATCCCCTTTTTCTTTCTTTTTCTTTATATATACATATTTATTTAAAATATGGAGCTAATTCTTGATATAAAAGTGATTGAGCATCCGGTTGTTGTAAATGATTTAATGAATAATACATGTAGAACTGTTCCTGTAAGTCATTTATATTATAAATAAACAAGCAATATTGATTTACTATTCTTTGTAGGAATTTAATATCATTGTAAAGACAAAGACATGCACAACTAATCTTATTCGATACGTTCCTGACTTTATCAACTTTAATAATCTTGTAAGGATCAAATTAAAGCGATCCTCTCCCCCTCTCCCTCCCCCCCTTTTTTTTTTCCTTTTTCCTTTTATTCTATTTTAACATAATTAATTCAAATAGGTGAAAACACACTATCAAAAAGTCAAGGTTCCGTTTCCAACTTTAACAGAAACGATTAAAAAAAAAGCTGGAAAAAGAAGAAGTATTCGAAATCTATTCTTTCATATGTCTGTCAAGAGTAATGCAAAGAAAATTGAAAAATATCTTTGGTTTTGTTCATCAGATCCTCTTCTCAAGAGCTCCACTCTCTTACGTGACTTTTTCTCCCCACAAAGAGAAGGTGATTTTATTGAGAATGATTTGCTTTTACAATCACATGATGTTTCATCAGATGATCAACTGGTACCATCACCATCAGGGCAACTACTAGAAGAGGAAATAGAAGAAGTAGTTATTGACTGTCATTCATCAGTAGTCATTCTTAAGGATAAACAAGAACGGTTGACTAGTCCTAGAGTATCAATCGTTAATTTAACAAACGAATTGAGTCATCATAGTAGTAATAGTAGTAGTAGTAACCTATTAGATTACTTGAAATGTCAACAAAATCTATCAATTATAGACACTTCTATACCTCTTGAACATTTAGAGATGGTGAAGGTTTTAGGAAAAGGATGTATGGGCAAGGTATTCTTTTTTTTTTTTCTTTTCTTTTCTTTTCTTTTTTTTTCTTTTGTTAAATTTATATTAATTATGATGAATAGGTTATTTTAGTGAGATCTAAGAAAAGCAAAAAGATATATGCTTTGAAATCTATAATAAAAGAACACGTTATTGAACAAAGAGAAATTACACATACATTAGATGAAAAAGATATTTTAGTCAAGCTTTCTCAGATTAATCATCCTTATCTTGCAAAACTCTATACCTCTTTTCAAGATGAATATCGCTTATACCTCTTAACGACTTATTACTCGGGTGGCGATATTGCTACTTATATGGCTAGATTGTATAGTTTCTCTCATGATTGTGCCCTATTTTATGCAGCAGAGATCATTGAAGGTATCGGTGAACTACATCGATTAGGTATCCTTTATCGTGATTTAAAACCTGAAAACATCTTATTGACAAATGATGGACATATCATATTAACTGACTTTGGACTAAGTAAATGGTTAGTGGAATCCAATAACTATACTACTCACACTTTCTGTGGCACAGCAGAGTACCTAGCTCCAGAGGTTCTTTTAGGAGAACCCTATTCGTTTACCATTGATTATTGGAGTTTTGGTACTATTCTTTATGAGATGTTAGCAGGTATTACCCCCTTCTGGGCTGATAACCATGCTGATATGTATCGTCGTGTACTCGAAGATCCTTTAGAGTTCCCAGGTGACATCTTTGATTTCGAAACAGCAGAATTTCTCACAGACATACTCGACCGTGATCCCAGAACTCGTTTAGGTGCAAATGGTGTTCAGGAAATTAAAGAACATGTGTATTTCGCTGATATTAATTGGGATGACATTAAACATCGTCGATTGCAACCTCCTTACTTACCCTCCGTTACAAATGAATTAGATTTTTCGAACTTTGATCCTGATTTTCTAGCAATGACTCCTGCTTTGACTCCTATGGCCTCTGGGATAGAATTATCAAATGAAATACAAGACATCTTTGATGGCTATTCTTTTACAGATGAAGCTTATGCTGAACTAGAATATGCATCATCTCTATGTCTCGATCATGATGATAATAATAAATATAGACGATGCTCGCTCCATGAGGATGGATTCTATCAAGATCATCATCAAGACTATCTCACTCAATCAATTCAGCCCGCTCGTAAACGTGGTAGTATCAGTATACTATCCAATATTGACAAAAACAGCAGTAATGTCGACATTCGAATACAGTCAAACAACCATTCTTCATTTAAAGATGAAGAAATTGCTCGATATGCTAAACGTCGAAACACAAATACATCAGAAGAAAAACAATCAATTCAACAACAATGCATGCTGGACATGCGACAACAACAATTGCTAGATCATAGTGCTTTCTCTACTAATCTACCAGTTATTGCAGCTCTTATGGAATTTGAAACTATAAACAAAACTAAAATCATCAGTAAGAATAAAAAAATAACTACAATCACTAAGTCTTTCAATAGTAGTAGTAATAGCAGTAAGCAAAGTAGTAGTAGTAATAGTAGTAGTAGTAGCAAAGTTCGTAAGTTCTTTTCGTCTTTCCTTTTATCTTTATAATATTATATGCCACTCTTCCCTTTTTTTTTTTTTCTTAAATTATCATTCACTTTCCATCATACCCTTCCTTTAATTATTTACAACATATCTATTTAAAATAATAATCATTTATTTTTTTTATTGTACAACAACAATAGTTTTTATTATAATATTTACATATTTATCATAATAATATCAAAATCTCCTTTTTATTTAAAAAAAAAGAAGTTATAATAATAAACATTATTCTATGAAAATATACTTTTAAAAAAATCTTCTTTGTACTACTAATTGTCAAACAGTAAGCATTATTGAAAAAAAAAAAAAAAAAAAAGAATAGAATATGTATTTTGCATTATTGTAATTCCGTTACACGGAAACCAAAAAAGGAAAGGTCCCACCGAGAATCGAACTCGGATCACCGGATTCAAAGACCGATATGATAACCATTACACCATGGAACCATTTGGTTGTTTTGTCCAGTTCATTAGCAATGAAGTAGATACGCAGCCAATAGAAGTCGCACTGCAAGCAATGAGTATATCTTGTAAAAAATATAATACAGGATATAATCAAATTTTAGCAGTGATTTTTAAATGTTATTATTTTGATCACTTTTTATTAAAAAATGTTTAAATAAAAATAATATTATATTTTGGAGGTTATAATAGTATTCATGTATCCAAAAAAAAGTATATCTCTACTACCATTTTCTATCATTTTATTTAATTTTTAATTTTACAGCTATTTTGGCTGTAGACCAGGAATTTCCTTTATCCGGCATTTCCGCCAATAAAATTACATAAAATGAAAAAAAAATAAAAATTGCGGATTCTGAAAAAGTACTTTAACATTTTTTTTATTTATTTTTCATTTTTTTTATTCCCCACAAATTTTATATGCGTAACTTTAATTATAGGCTTATAAAATGTAAATTACATTTCAATAATGTAAAATACATTGCAATTGTTTCAAATCATACTTGATGTTTTTTTTTCTCACTCAAGTTTTTACCAAAAAAAAAATAGTACACGTAATATAATAAAAATATGTATTATAATTATATAAATAAAATAAAGAATTTTTATTATATGTAAATAAAAAAAAGATGTTTAATTAAATTGCATTCAATCTAATCTATTTTGCATTTCAATTAGATCGTGTAATGTGTTGATTTATTAATTGACTTTAATTTTGAAATGAAGAAAAAAAAAACTAATTGCGAATGTAAATTAAAGCAATTCCATTATTAGTGATTATATACATTCGTTTACAATTAGTGAATTTAGAGAAAAATAAAAACAAGATTTAGCAATTATATAATTAATGTAGTTGTGTTCATTTCAATTAAATTCCTTTTTTTTTTTAAAAAAAAAAAATTCAAATTTAATCCCCCCTAGTAAAATTATTTTATATTTTACTTTTTTTATTCTTTATTTAACAATGACCAACATTACCGACATTGACAAATGCAAATGTTCTGCAATCAGCTCAAAAAAAAAGCCCTAAAGACTTTACTATATATTTTCAAGAGGTAATTACTACAATTACAAGAGTAATGACATCTCCATTGTTTAATGAAGATGACATTGGTAAATGAATTAACACATGTAATTAACAATTCTCAAATATTTTTAGTAAAGGATATTATTGTTCAAAGTAACAGAAATTTTGAAAGGTAAAAGATAAAAAGTTAGTGCAAAAAAATATAAATGTATTGCTAAGACTTTTTACATTGTACATATAGAGTTTGCTGCTATTCAATAATTTAGTTCATTTTATTTCAATAGCGGACCAAAAAATTTTTTTTTTTTAAAAAAAAAAGAGGTAATCACATCCTTTTTTCCTTTTTTTTCATTTTTTAATACATTCGTTAAACTACAAATTTTTTTATTGGAAAGATGTTTATTCTAATATTGATAGCTATTACTCTTTTTTATATATGTATTTAAATTATAGGTCTTTGTTGATTATTTCAAATTGTAAGTATTTACATTATTTTGAAAATATATGTATCTTTTTTTTAATTTTTCTCTTTTCTTAAATCAAAAACAACTAAAATGAAACAATTAAATAGGTATGTGTTGGTCTTTATTATGCAGTAGCAATATTTGATTCAGATCCGCAACAAAGACTTGTATTATTTATCTATTGAAAAAAGGTATATAAAATAACACCTTTATCTTTAACTATTTCAATATGTGTATTGATAATTCTTTATATAACAGGGAGGTCAAGTACAAGTGTACATCATTCTAATGTAACATTGAAAGGTATAGTGTGGGAAAAAAATAATAATACCCGAGATTTAACTAATATTCTTTTCTCTGCAGCACAAACATAGGTCTAGCCTTTTGTATTTTTTTTTTTTTTTGGTAAATATGATATTTCTATACTTTATCATATGTTGGCTTTTATTAATTATTTATTCTATTAATAGTGTATGCTTCTTTTGTAAATGGAATACTTTTCTGTTGATCACTTCAATTGCTACTATTTTTTGTTTTTGTTCTGTATGATAATCCTTGCAATCTCTGTGTTCTTTTTCTTTTTTTTTCTTTTCCCCAAAGGGTTCTTTAATCAATGGCCATGTTATCAATAGAATATATATTCAAGGTAAGTGTAATATTTTACATGTAATGCTTATAGCATACTCTTTTATTATTATATCATTTTATTATATAATTTTATTATTATTATTATTATTTGATATGTACCAATTTTTTATGTAATAAATAAATAAAAAAAAAGTAAATAAAAAGCCACATTTTTTGTAAACAATGTATTTAATAATGTCCAATAAAGAAAGGCAATAAAGAAGCCTATTTAATATAAACAAAGCCTAAAAGGGAATAAAATACCATCTATATAACCCAATAATGTATAACCATGTTTTGATGAGTCATGAAGCATAAAGCCAATGATAAACAACATGGTATGTAAAATATTAGCAAATGAAAAGCAATTATAAAGTACAGGATTTAATCAAAACTTGTAAAAAACAGTACATGAAATATATAAACCCTGTGTGTATCTTGTAGAAAAAAGTACAAGAAATGTTCAAAACTTGTATATATCCTGTAGAAAAAGTGCAAGATTTGTTTATATCTTGGTTATATCTTGTATGATTTTGAGGCAGGATTTATACATATCTTGTACATATATCTTGCACATACAAGAAATGTCTAATTCTTGTAGTACATGATATAGTGCAAGATATAATCAAATCCTGTGTTATATCTTGTAAAAAATATACTCAGATGATTGCAGTGTCCACTGCAAAAAGTTGGCGTACGACGTATTAAAGTACTATAGTGCGACATTAAGACCGATTTTTAAATTGTTTATTTCATTCACATCAAAATCGTATTTATACTAAATAAAATATTGTAAAATATTATCTAAGTATGAACGTGTTCCAATAAGATTTGAACAAATATTAAAAGCCTTAAAGAAGTCTTTACGTGTTAACATGTTTCACTTTGGACCTGTTTTTACGTAACCTTTTGTTATTGGTAATGGGCTGAATTTCATTTCCGCTTGGCTTCTTTCCTTAGACGAACATCTACTTCTAATGGTACATCTTCATAAGTATTATCAGGCTCGACATGGAAATAAATTTTTTATTATATTCATAGACGGTTTCTAATAAAATTAGCCAATCAAATTGCTTGAAATTTGTGACGTTTAATTTGTATCGTAATTATTGAAAGTAAGTCTATAGAGTATTTGGAATTTCATTTATTTTATATGTAAAGATTTAAAAATAATGACAATGAACATTTTCTTAATTTATAAAAAGGCTTCAAAGAAACAATTTGTTTTTTGCTTTCTCGCTTATCGACTATTTTGACGTAATTTACATATTAGAAATAAATAAAAAAAGCTACCTTCGTTAGACTTCAAACAAAATCCTGCAACTTTACACACCTATAATACATACATATTTATACATATGTAGTGTTATTAAAATTATGACACTTTCATATTTCACTCCCATAAATATAAGAGGATTTTATTTAGACTTTTATAATTTTATCCTTTATTAAATAAAATTAATAAAGTGAAAACATTTTTTTTTTTTTTTGTAATAATATATAATTAAAATTAACCATTATTTATTATACCTTATTAAAAGAATTAAAATAAATTAAACCTCGGCAATATATTTGCCTGCTTTCATAATTTTAGTTACATTGCAAATTTTAGCCCAATACAAACAGGATCTACACCTTGTTCTAAAGTCAAATCAGTCAATAGTTGACCTTCCACTTCAAATCGGGCAGCAATTGGCTGAGGAGATGCTTGTTGAAGTGTTATAAATTGTGCCTTAATTACAACTCATTTTCAGGAACATCGTTACTGATTTGACCAATATGCCACCCATTCTCTCTGCGATAAAATGAGCTCACCTGTAGGGATACTTGAAGCATTTTGAACATCACTTGTTATAGAAGTAGCGAAAATAACGTTGCTCATTGTTGAAATATTAATATTTTTATGATATTTAACTAGTAAACGACTTTTATCGAGGTCACATTTCCACATAGGTTTTATGATGAGCGGTAAATAGTCATTATTTAACCTTGTTTGATATTTTATGCACATAACATGCTCATTCACTCCTTCTTTGTCATAAAACAAATGTGTATTGATTTTGAAAAGTATCATTCACACTATATCCATCCAATACATCAACATAGTCTGTTGTCTCAATGGATTCTAATCTTTCATTACAATTAAGCTTGAAGCAAATTGGTATCTCACTTTCTGTGGGCCCTTTATACTGAATGCTAATTTTCCCCCAAACAAGAATATTTCTGATATACCTCCCTTAGAAAGAGCATGTATTGTTTCCGTAACATTAACATCAATGAAGGCACCTCATGCACTACTTCATCTAATTTTTCTGGCTTGCTTCAAATGGATTAAATAAAGCTGAGGATGAGGTTGATATTATTGGTGTTTCATTCACACTAGACTTATCACTTTGAGAAAGTGGCTGAACTTGCTCAGCAACAGAATATAATTGAGTTGTCCTTATTCTATTACATATGTTATGAAAAGAATAGATCATAGTATATATATGTGTATATAGTAATAGACTTACTCCTTCGACCACGAGGCTTCCTTGTACTTAATCCAGCTACATTTTTCTAAAAATAATACACATACATACAAACATTTAATTATCATTATCATTATCATTACTATTGTTATTTGTTTTACTTCTTTTAATAAGGTGGAAACTCGTGTAAGGGCAACAGCAGATTGTGAAGCATCATTCTCTTTTATAGTTTCATTTTTAATGTCTACTCGTATACGTGGATTGCTAATAAACTATCATTATTTTCAGGAAGTTAGAGCTAAATATTAGAATCATTCTTCCTATCAAAAAAAAAAAAAAAGGATAGCTTACCTTCCACCTTCGGAACTCACATCCTCTGTATCTATCAATGAATCATTAGTTGTATTTGTATCGCCCATCCAAATTTCACGATTGGTGGAGGAATAGAATAACCTTCTTCATCAACTACAATTAGAGGCTATTCAAATAGAGATGTTAGATCATTTTTATTCATGAGTTATGTTATAATACATACTGGCTGTGATGAATGTATGTCAGTAAAACTGTTATTTTTTTCAAGTGATGAGTTAGATAAGGTTGCACTAGTATTATTATCTCCTATATTGTGTTCATTGGGCCCTTTGCTTGACATGTTATCATTATCATGGTATTCTGCTGCTGTACTATGTGTATTAGTTGAACGAATACTGATGGATCCAGCCATATTTTCCTCATTATTAGGAACATGCGGGTATTCTGAAGTTTTCTCAAAACACGTATTATACTCATTCTGTGAATTATTAGGAGATGACTTTGTCTTACGTCTCATTGAGACAAATGATGAAAGAACTACACACCCATATTTAGTCTTACTTACTTTTCATAAATATATGTATATTCAAGTACTTACATCTCTTTTTCTCTTTTTTGTAAATGATGCAGATGAGGAGGTGAGTTTTGATACTTTCAAGCTCGTGCTTGAAACTGAGGGTTCTGGAACAATATTAATTAATTGGTTGCTATTTTCAGTTAATGGCTCTATAATGGTTGGATTATTATAACTCATATTGCTATTAGATGAGTGTGATGCGTACAGTGCATCTATTTCGTCATTCACACTTAAGCTGGTTTCAACTGCTATACTACTCTCTGCTAACTATCAATTTATAATTAATAACTAACATCATAAATAAATAATATGAAAAGAATGAAATGATAGATACAGATTATGTAATAACTAAACGTATGC